CGCCCGTTTTCATTCATCCTGAACTGCCAGTGAATTCCAGATACAGCAGTCGTTTCGTCGCTTATTACTGGATCGCTGATTACTGATTACTGTACAGTGTAAAATGTAGATTGGGATATTCCGGGACTGCCGCTAGTCATATCCGACCATCCGAGAAAGACACCTTTTCATCCTGGAGTGGGTCATGATAAAATATCCGGCTCCACTACTCGCTAAGCATATCGTGGACTGTCTACTGAACGGAGTAACCACTAAACTACACTCCGTCTCCGTAGGCCCTAGCGGGTTAGCCCGACACAAGGTTTGCCGACCGTGGTTCGTGAGCGTATTATGCAATTGGCATGGTCTCCGGGATTTTAACTTGGATGGACCACTCAATTTATTTTTCCTTTCGGCTTGGCTCTTTTATTTGCTTTTGTTCTTTTCGAGAATGCTCGCGATTATGCCGATGCCGAGCTTAACTCCGTGATGGCCGCTGGGAGACCGCGGAGAGACTGCCGATACTTCAATGTTCCAATTGTATTAACTTTGAGCGGGGCAGGATATGTTACAACTAGAGTATGCACTAGACATGACGGGTACGAAGAGCCTTATTTTGTTCATGCTGCTTTTCTTGTTTATGCACAGGTTTTTGGGCATATCTGCAAACAGTCTGGATCCCCGGCCGATGTATGCATGGACGGAGTATACAAGGCTACACAAGAATTTGAGATGTCATAGCATTATCTAAAATAAATTCCGTTGTTTGATTTTCTTTCTATGACAAGGATACTCGCGAGGGATTCATTAACATGTAATCTCAGGATTGGTTATGTGTGTAAGTGATTGATCATTACTTTCTATTCCCTGCATCCTCCGTATCCGTATTAATCTCCGACTCGCGAGTTGATCATCAGAGTGGCTTACCTGAACCTTCCCTTCCTCGCTAACTTACTGGACCTACTAGTCGACAAGGGCATCTGCCATCTGCCATACATATGTCTATGTTTACTGTATTCCTACTCTCTCAGCCGTGTGGGTAAGCAGCTGAGCCTATGCGATTGCCTAGAGCGATTGATACACGTACGATGATCTTACTAGGGCCTTGTGAATCCCTCCCCTTCCCCTTCTTAATCCACATTGGCCCCGGCCCCTGGGGCGATGACGTGCCCTTGCATGGGTCCGGCACACCCTAAGTGGCATTACCCACGATCAACTTTACCTTTACTTTACTTTAGATATGGTTGCGACGCGTTCTGTATTGTCACGCATCATTGCAACCCTGGAATTAAAGGTTGCCAAGATTTGATTCCGTGAAACGTCGCACGAGCTTATCTCCACTAACATAATTAAGGTGTCCACGATTTTGGGTCTTGGATCAATGGGGAATGTGTTGGGCCAAGCAACCTACATTGCGGGTTTTATTTTTATTTTAAAACAGTCTTGTCTTGTCTCATTATGATGATCTTTAGAGTAGACTTGCCTCTTTTTGACCCGATCATCAAACAGATACTCGTGGACATAAGCAAGTGCTCTGCTCTGTTCGCCGGAGCTTATACTGCGACCGCGGGAAGATCGCAAAGGAGAAATAAGAATATAAACAATCCTGGCTACTATACGCTAATTCGACCAGGATTCCAAGCCAAGTAATCTCCCACGCATACTGTAATTTCCTTGGTCGCCTAACCTGTTGGTTACCATGCATCCGGTTGCCTTAATTAGCACATCCATACTCCCTCTGTAATTAGATTGAATCTCTTTTATATTCCTTGGGTAAAAAGAGCGAGAAATGACCAGGCCCCTGCCAATGATCCCTTTTCCCCTAAATGATAAATAAATAATCATAATACCAAGAAATTTCTATATACTCATCCTTGATAGTGCATCCCTTGCCAAGCCTGGAAAAGGGTCACCCTTCCAGACCAAAGTAGCGAAGTGGCAACTGTCATCCGCAAGCCTAAAAGCCAGTTTCACCCAGGAGAACCATGGGAATAAAGGGAAAAGTGGAGGAAGCATATCCTCTTTTACCTCTAGTCTCACACTTTATGTTTCTCATCATTTGACTCAGACAGCCGAAAAGGGTGTGATGAGCCGACCAGAAACCTGTGTCTTACATGAGTGAGCATAACCATGTGGCGCACGGTTCCTTTTTGACTTTATGTGTCGGGGAGTTTATTAAACCGAATACGAAGGGTGGAAAGGTTAGGTTACGACCGGGGCTGGGGATGAATGAAGTGCGGGACTTGGATCGCAAAACTAACCATTTTGAAGTACGGAGTACGGAGTGGCTGGATGGTAACCATTATTTCGCATATTAGGATTCGCTGTTGACTTGAGGCGATAATGATAACTAAGTTTTTTAGTGTATTTTTGGTTGCTGATCGGAGACATTAGAGCCCTGAAGTCATGAAACTGGCGCTTATGTACTGAATTATCCATGTGACTTATTTTATTTTATGTTTGTTATTTTGATTTTATTCAGTTTACTCCTTTTCAAGTGTTCGCAGAATTCCTTTTTTTTTTTAAAAAAAATTAAAATTAATAGCGCATGCTAGTCATCGCGCGACAATGTGATACGCCAGGCAGGGATAGTCCCGGCGCCTCCAGGGCTGCATGACTCGTTTTGTTCAGACGGACAAAGCCCGAACATCTTTCTCTTGCTTATGCTTAACCCCGGTAAGGTTGGTAAGGTTGGGTCCCCTTGGCCCGCCGATCCTGGCCGCCTGATTGGCATGGGGTTGATGTACATTTCGGTAAAGTTTAATAGATTAAGGCAAAGATGTGCCCTGTTTTCTTCCAAGTTTTGATTTCTTAAGGCTGTGCGGGAGCCTCTTAACCTAATTGGGAGAGTGACTTTCCCCCTCCTGGCAATTTTGATCCTGTGAGGCTGGTTTTTACATAGTAAAGTGTACATGTATACTCCGTAAAAGGGCGGATGTATCTTACAACCGGGTAACTATTTAACTATTTAACTTAGGCACTAATATTGGAACTGAAGATGAAGATTAGATCAGCCGAGGCTGATGAATAGAATATGGATAAAACCTCCGATACACGTTTACATGGAGAAGATTGATTGAGGATTATTTATTACCTTGCCGACAGCAGCCGGATGAATCCACCGGATGAATCCACTAGCTCGCAAGCATTGGGCTTCTGAGAGGTCAAGTTCCCCCAAGACCACTGAGACCAGCCAAGAGAGTGCTCGGCATCCGTAAGCGAGCTCCACATATCACCGATACTCATGCCTGAATAGATTATAAGACAAAAGTATTTCAAAAAATATAATTAAAATGTAAAAAAGATTTTTTTTTTTTTTAAAAAAAAAAGTAAAATCAATAAGACCCACGGACCACGTTTTATTACATTCTAATTTATTTATTTTTCAACCTTGATGTTTAAATCTTGTTTTTGTTCTCTGCTGACGGAGGACCCCGGCCTCTTCATTTGCTCATTCGCATCGCACTGCGTACACTCTATACAGACTAGGTTAGCAGCAGATTATCAGCTCTTCCTGCTGGTTGCCGCCCCATTTTTTTATGTTTGGCTGCGGGCTATAACCACGCTAGAGTGCTTGGCTCTGCTTGGAACCGGTCCGAGTGCCACTACGCATCAATCCCTGTCTAAATAGCCTGGTCTAACCCGGAACGGTATACTGAAGGGCACACTAGTAGACATCTCAGGCCTACTCTGTATGTACTTATGTCTTCTGTAATGGAGCCTGATTGACCAACTGACTCATGCGCCTCTTTTCATATTAACTTACTGCGGTAAGGACTGCGCGACTAGCCGCTAACCTCGCACCTAAGTATTTGCCTAAGGAAGTGCGAAGAATGAACAAGGTAGTGTTTCAGTTGTAAGCTAAGCAATTCGTATTCAAACAAGGAATTTTTTTTTTTAATGTTAAACATTCAAAGTACGAAACACTGTATGTAGTACAGAGTAGAGGATTAAGAAATAACCGAACTATGCAACGAAATCGATGTCATAGTAGTCTATTTTAATCCGGAGTTATACGTTGGGGTTATTCGCCATGCGCTATTCCTGCACTGAATACTAACCGCGCAAATGGGAAGGTTAAAAAAGTAAGCAATTCCGCTACAAGGCTAAAGGTGCGAATATTTGGTATCCATCTTCCTTCGGCCCCTTTGAAAGAAGGAAGAAGAGCGAGCCAAGACCCACATTGGCTCAATCGTATAATATAGTTTTCATTGGCACTTCCTTCGATCTACAAGATTCATTGATCATCGTTTCATATGTCCACCGTCCCTGTTTCTTGTCCATCCTGCATACTGTACATACTTGCGCTCTGGACAACGCCCTCACGGTCCTGGTCCCACTGTTCCCGTCTGATCTTCCCGATTTTGGCCCCAAAGTGCTGACGTCCCTGGAGTTAGCCGTGGGGGCCGATATGTTTTTAAACTCCGTTTACCTCATTTTGCCTATTGCCGACTTGCTTCCTAACTGGCCCCATTGAGCCCCGGGTAATACCCCCGGGGCGATGGCCCGTTATTTAGCGTTGGTTTTAAGTACTTTGCGCGATGTTGGGAAGGCGTTAAACCTAGATTGTGTTGCTTTGCAGATGGCTTATTGCTTCTTCCCTGTTTTCTTTTGCCCGAATGGCCTGGGGCTGACATGAGGCGTCCAGTGCGTGAGATTTCAAAAAGATACTCCGGACTCCGTGGTCCGTTGTTTGGGATGGCGGACGGGGGGTTACAGATGGCTGCAGGAGATGACATGGCTATGTTCGTGGGGCTGATATATTTGGGGTTGATATATGTTCTGTAACGTGGATATCAGATGTAGGATTGTAAGTATGGTAAGGCGTGGTGGGTTCTGCCAGCGAACCGCATGGCTGGCCTGATTTGAAGTAGTATTGGCAGGATTCTCGGCAGCTGTCAGCGGGAGTGGCTGTTAGAGTTGTGGAGAAGTGGTGAAGAAGTGAAATGGTGTCATGCTTCTCTCATCTATAGTACATTTTCTTGATATCATACACTGTTCAATTCGCGTTTGTGCGTCTTTTAGCAGTCCGCACGGCCAAAGTATCGTGGAAATGCCACTGTATCACGAACGCTAGAAACGCCAGATAAGTAGCCCAAGAATCTATCAAATCCAAGCCCAAAGCCTCCATGTGGTGCTGAACCCCATCGTCGAAGGTCAGCATACCATTGGAGATGACCAAGATCCTCGGTCGGAGAGAGGTGAGGGTATAATGCCTCTGTTGGAACAGAAGTATCAGAGTCATCAGATACCCTAGACTTGATCAGGCCGTACTGACGCATGTTCTCGACGATGTTCGGTAAGCGGTGCTCACGCAAAGAGCCGCCAGCGACCTCAGCGATCTCCGGGAAGAGGAGATCAAAGCAAGCAACAGTCTCCCCTGTAGTGTTGTTCTGTTCCTCTTGGCCTTCACAAATATGTGAAGGAGCCATGTAGAATGGCTTGATTGTTTTGGGGTAATCTGTAACAAAAACCGGGGTACCTTGGAAGAGAACTTCCACGATGTACTTCTCATGTTCAAGCTGTAATCCACCATCCCAGGTAGGGGCATGTTCAAATGAGGCCCCGTCTTCAGAAACTGCCCGCTGGAGCATTTCTATGGCTTTGGTGTATGTAACACGGTGCCATTTAGGACCGTCCATCAAGACTGACCACCGTTGCCGCAAGCTTTGCTCTGCCTCTTCTGTATTGATCTCCTGTCCAGGCTCGCCGGTGCGCTTGATAGAAAGTATTTCTTTCCCGGCAGCTGTATCATACAATCGCCGTGTCAAGTCACGTAGTAAATATTCCACCTGATCGGTGAGCGCATCTAAATCCGACATGAAGTTGGCCTCCGCCTCTAGCATATAAAACTCGCTCAAATGACGCGGTGTATCGCTCCTTTCCGCTCGGAAAACAGGCGTCAATGTCCATACATTTCCAAGCTCCGCTGCGTACGCCTCGAGGTGCAATTGTGATGACACTGTGAGATATTTGGGTGAGCGGAAGAAGTGCTCGGTCTCGGCGTCGTCGGCGGTAGCACCGCGTGGCATCAATGTGAACGTTTCGCCCGCTCCTTCGCAATCAGAAGATGTAATTATCGGTGGTTGCACTTGTGTAAAGCCGCCATGGGGATATGAGTGGAAAACATTGCCGAGTTGGAATAGACATTCGGATCGGAATCGCGCAAGTAATGATTGAAGGGGGGTACGCATACGAAGATGAGGAATTTGGCGCAAGAAATCGACGCTTTGGTATTTCTTTTGAATGGGGAATGTCTGCGATCCGAGTAAAACAATTAGTTGGCCGTTACTGGCTATGTTGTTGATTTCGAAATGTGCATACCTCCGGTTCTGACGCGCCTGTCACGGCCACGTCAGTGATCTGAAGCTCATGAGACTGCTTCTTCCCTGGCGGACAAGCTTTCCATATTCCCGACACGCTGACAGCAGTTCCTGTGGACAAACTAAAGGCACAAGAAAGTAGGTTAGGTCTGGCTGAATATGGCCCTGCTTGGGATGACGAAACAAGCAATTTACCTAGTCGCTTGCTCTGGGTTCAAGATTGCCTGTAAGGGTTCAATTGTAGAGCCGTCTGAGATCTCAGCAAAAGCCCGGTGCTTTTGTTTGCGAACAGATCGAATGAATCCATTCACTTTGACCTCCTGGTCTTCAAGTCGGCAGGGGCCCTCGGCCTTGCTGGATTGGAGAATCTGAGCGCATCGCAATACTGCAGGTCGAATATTGGCTGTCGCTTTATTGTGAAACCTGGCGACAGACGTGGAGAAGGCGCGCCGCCATATCTGCATGACTGGATTGGGTCGCGATGTGATGCGCGGTGGGATCGTGGTCGGAGGTTGCGGACTGGAAAAACTGGGGAGCTGCCGGTCCGATCGGCTGTTGTTCCCCGACGCCGGGGAATACACCAAGTGTGGTTGGCCTCATTTGAGCTCAGTAAACATGAACAAGAGTTACATTAACTACGTAAAATATTGGTTTTCGCATGGGGTTTCCGAATTCCTTAAAGTATTCATAAGGCAAGAGTTTCGCGCCCCGTGAGCATTATCTGTAACCTTCAAGTTCAAGTTGCCCAGGTGCCCAGGTGAGGTTTCCACATGGATAACTTGAATACTATATATACTACGATAGCTTGAAGCCTTCAGAAGCCGCGCCTCATACTACTAGTAGTATGGATAAACTCATTCAAGTTCGCGAGAAACCTTGGAATTCTGTGCCAGTGAGAGTCAATCCATGTATTTTATTCAAGCTACTTATTAAAAGTTTTCCCAACTGGGCAATATGGATAATTCATAACCTTGGAAGTCTCAGTATTACATACCTAACAGCCTCGAGGGGGACTTGGAAGAGATAACATCTGAAGAATTCGGGGAAGAGCTAATTAGAATAGAATAAGAATAGAACATTAGAATAGACCACGCATAGAGGCATAGATAGCTGAAAGTGGAGGGGTGTTGCAATTCCTAAGATATCCAAGATTCACGAAATATAGCAAAGAAGGCTAAAGAGCGACGCCTAAAGATCCAACCAAACGCCATAAATCAGACCGAGTCAAATGTCATATTATTCCAGGTTCCTAATCATGCCTTTCATAGGCTTTCCGTTCTTCTTCAATCATTTCAATTGCATCCATAAGGTCGTTATTGGATGCGGCAGCATAAACTGCCATTCGGGATCGGCCACCATCCTCGGCTGTTCCGTATCCCATGTCAATGAGGGAAGAGACACATTTTTCGACATCAGCATCAAAAGCCGTGGAATTAGGTGGCTCTTCGACAGGGAAGCTGCCAGGAATACTGTGTTGCGACGATGGTCTGGACGTGGATCGCTTCCTTGTCCGTTTGTCAAGTCGTGCCCATGTATCCGACTCGCCGCCTGCGCCACTTCGCGAAAGTCGGCGCTCGCTGGCTCGTCGATTGAGTACTGGAGAATGTGAATCTTCAGCCTGGAAGCTGAAGCGGGATGATTGTCTTGCTCTCGGGTGACCAAACAGGGTAGTGCTTGCGCGACGAAGATTAAGCCGCTCGTCGTCATTTTGATGATCTTGGTCATTAGTGTACGAGATAGTGCGAGACCTCTGAAGGGGGTTCGAGGGAGATGTATGTTGACGTTGATTTGCCAAGACCTGGGCCTCCAGCTGAGAGACAGGTGGGAAACGTCTCAGTTGCACTTCTGGGTCAAATGGGTCATCGTGCTCGGCTTGGGACAACTCATTGGATACAGAGGAGAAGGAAGGCCCTGAGTTTGTGGTAGACTCATCAATCGTCAAATCAATTAACGGACGTGACCGAACTTCATCCACCGAGCCACTGGAAGAAGGTTTTGGATTTGAAGATTGGTATGTAACAGGCAGGTCTTCAGTCGGAGGTGCATCTTTGAAGGTGACTGATTTCCGACGTTTCAGTGGAGTGGCTGGCGTCTGGTTCAGCTTAGTCTCGACCTTGTCTTGTGCAGTGGGTGGACTACCAAACACTTTTGGATCATCAGTCGTTGTCGGGGAACCGACACAGTCAATTGGTGCAGCATCACTGTACTCCAGGTTGATCGCATGTCCATCAATATGGGTACCCTGTAAGGCCTCCATTGCAGCAATAGCCGGATAGACCGAGGGAAATTGCAAATAGCCAAAGCCTGCATGTTGTCCTGTACCGACATCCATTGGAAGATCAACATCAACAATGAAGCCCTTCGAGGCAAAAACATCCTGAATTGTTCGTTCGGTCACTTTAAACCCTATGTTTCCAATAAAGAGTGTCTTCCTTCCAGGGCTTTCTGACTGCGAGGCTTCTGCTTGATAGGTTGAAGAGGCCCGAATATCCGAAGACGGCTTCTCTGAAAACAACTTTGCATCACTATTTGAGACCTGGGACGTGGTTTGACCAAATGGCATAGTCGAATTTTGTGGCCATGCAGCAGAAGGAATATAGCCGCTGCACTGGGGAACAGCCGGCCACCAAGGGGCAGAAGACAGTGGGGGAGCAGGTGGAAGCGGGGGAGCAGGAGGCGGCACCGCTGCTTGTTTCCCCAAGCCAGCGTCCTTATGATCAATGTCTCCTGCAGGATTAGATGAACTCCTGTTTAGGAACCCGTTATGCAATGATTCGGAAGGAGCAGGATGAGCCCAGGTTTGGGACGAACCCCACGGCTCCACCGGGAAATTTGGACCCAAATGGCTAATATCCCCATAATATCCGTGTGGAGATTGTGCGTAACCCGTTCCGAGATTATTTTGCAAGCCTGACGCCGATGCCATAGTTCGTGGTTCAGCGTTCTGGGTGTTGAGTGCTGAAACAGCTGCACTGCTTATCGGAAACGAAAAAGTGGTAGGAGGAGGATTATGAGTCCCCGGGGCCATGTTCGGTTGCTGTGAGGAAGTGGCTCGGGCCAGTTCCTGTTCAAAGGCAGTAAGAAAGGACCGGCCCATTCCATTGACTTCGGTTGCCACCATTCGAAGACTTTCGGCAGCATTTTCAGCAACAGGCCTTCCTGCATGGAAGGCTTCTTCTGCCCAGTGCCTTGAATTATCGGCCCATTGCCTTCCGTTCTCAGGCAGATTGTTGAAAGCGGTCCTCAATTGAGCTTCAAGATGGACAAGCATGGTTTGAAGTGTATTTCCCATGTTTGCGGGCAGCTGTCTTTGAGCATCGCGAACTTGGCGTTGCAGCTCTGGTAATTTTGCACGCAGCTCAGACTTGACCAGCTTAGCTCCATTGAGCAGATTCTGAATAACATCCCATGCGAGATTCTCGACAGAGAATTCTCGCGAATCCGCATTTCTTGAAGACTCAGCAGCTGGAGATGGCTCAGGCTGTGGAGCTCTCTCAGCAGGTTCATCAGAAGAGTCAAGTATATTCGCCAACTCAGCCTCGAAAGCCGCCAGTAGAGGAGGTTGAGCTATGTCGCCAGGAGCAGCAGTTGCGCTGGTCTCAGCTGAGTGACCCTCGCGATCAGATGTATTGGCGGTAGGCTCAGCAGCCACCGAGGCATTTTTCTGGGTATCAGGGAGCTGTGAGCTCGTAGACGAATTATTCTCGAATCGTTTCCATAATTCAGTTACCGAGTTTGATCGCCGGATATCAAAAATGTGCATCGGCGCTCGGTCATCCTCAGATAGCTGGATGGCATCGAGTCTGGGCTGAATGCCGAGGGGCTCATCTAGACGCTGGGAAAGCTCAAGTGAAGACCCAACCTGCAAAAAACAAAACAAAAGTTAATGCATACTCTTGGGCCAACTTTGATGCATCGTTGTGGGGCATACCGTAATCTGATCGCCATCGTCGTCATCCGTGTAGGTTAGCCTCGCCCGAGGATGACTTGAGGCAAGGCTATCATACTCAGAGGATGATATCTGGACTATTCCATGAGAGCTAGAAGAGCCTTCTTCACCTGAGGATGAGGGACCATGCAACTCCTTGATCTTAAAGGGGTTCAACATTGTTAAATAGATGGGAACGCCCCCAAGATTTGGTTCACCAGACTGAGTGGGGAAGCAATGCGGGAAGGTACAGTAAGAGGTGGTATTTGTGAAAGAGTGGAAAATCCACAGAACTAGAACTGGGTCACAACAGTTATCATAAAGGACTTGATAGTTGCTGCCTATGACCACGGACAAAGATACATAAGAAGGGGGGCAAAAGAGGGGAATAAAGGATGAGACTCCGGTTGATTCACATCTCCTAAGACCTGATCGGCTTGTACATCAGCAGGCAACAGCGGATAAGATAAAAGCTCCAAGATCACCTGTTTTCGCTGACTCAGCAACGTTTTTCATGTTTGCTTCCAGGGCTAACAACAACAGTCGAACAGTTGGCTATCTGATCCCTTTGGCATTGAAAACAGCTAGGGTTACCAACCCTACGGCATCACTCTCTCAATTTCCAATGTCGGTACGAGTTGTGCTATACCTCTACGAAAAATCAACTCTGGCTGGATGATGCCAATGGCCAGTCCACTCGACAAACTTGAACCCTACCCTACATTATAGCGTGACACCTAATCTGTGAACGCATCCCTCCACAAACCTACGATCTGATAAATGGCGACGGATACATCTGCTGCCCGACTAGAGAGTCCGGGTGATCGCAACCTCAAGAATGTCGTGTTAGGAGACCTCCTGTTCAAACCGTGGTATCAATCGATCTACCCGGAAGACTTAGTTGCCAAAGACGCCGACCGCCTCTACGTTTGCCGCTGGTGTTTTCGATATTCCTGTGATAGTGAGGCTTTTGCGACACATACCTCGGCCTGCGAGAATCGCATAATACCACCCGGTGCCAAGGTGTACGACGACGGCGGATACGCAGTGTGGGAGGTTGATGGGGAGAAACACAAGCTATTTGGGCAGAACTTGTCATTATTTGCCAAGCTGTTTCTTGACCACAAAACTGTCTTTTTTGACGTGGCAACATTCCTTTACTACATTTTGACCTTTACTGACCCCACCAATCCGGAAAATTATCATGTGCTCGGGTTTTTCTCGAAAGAAAAGCTCTCCTGGGATGCAAATAACCTGGCATGCATTTGTGTCTTCCCACCTTACCAACACAGACAGCTCGGGAAACTCTTAATGGGCGTGAGCTACAAATTGAGTGGCTGGGAATCCCCCGGTGGATATATCGGTGGCCCCGAAAAACCCTTGAGTGACCTGGGCCAGAAAAGTTATAATCGATTCTGGGCTGAGAGGATCGCCAGGTGTCTGCTACGTGGCAAGCATGGGGATGACACTACCGAGGAGAATCGCACAAAGCCGAGCACCCCATCGAAACGCAAGAAAAACCAGCGCGAAACCATGACAGTTGAAGAAATCGGTCTTGCCACTGGAATGTTGACAGAAGACGTTATCACTGCTATCCAGAGCATGGGGATCGCACAGCCCGAGAAGAAACGTACAATGAGTCGGCTTATAGGAGAGACCGAAGCTGAACAAGGCCCAAAGATGATGATTCGTAAATCAGACGTGTGGGAATGGGCTAAAACCCACCATCTTTCTCTGGATGACCCTGTACGGGAGGAAGGTTTCATGGGGCTATGGCATTCTAGAAATGTGTCCGATGATGAAGCAAGCAGCTCAGAAGAGCACTAGGATTGTCTTCCAAACTCAAGTCCTTGCTGTATGTACGATATTGTTGATGTATGATGATGATAATTAGATTGACTACGACATGATACTTAAAAGCCTATTGATAATTGTATGGAGCCTTATGCAAAGTGAACTCCAGTGCTCTTATAATGATTCCGTCTCTACGTGTCATTCAGTTTAGAGCCTCTATTGACCGAGCAATGGTCAAGTCTAGGCCAACGTGGCAGAAACAGCAGAGTCATAAAGTCTGTTCGTTGTGATCGGAGACGATTTCCAGTCCATCAAAAAGTCTCCTAGCTCTGATTGAATTGTAAATGATTTCGAGGATAGTCAAAAGTAGCAACTGCGCTATGATTTCCAGGTTTTCGTCAAGAGGGCTGGCGGGGAACATTCTGTATTACTGTGGTGGTTAAGTTACCTCGGAATGTCAGTATCGGCGCTTAATTTTTCCGGACTAGGGCAATAATGCAAGTTGAAGGCACACCATATCAAAAAAGAGTATTTTGAGCCGTTGTTCATGTCTAATTTGTCGTACTAGTAATTGAATATGGTAAAGGTGGAGGATGTTGCATCGTGACGATGCGTAGGGAAGGCGGTGAGGAAGGTATTTTTTGCCTACAGTCACCGATTCGTCGCACTATTCTGGGTTAGCGGCGAAAAAAAGCTCTGGATTTTCGACTTCTCTTCCGCTCTCTAGAACGACCGCACCAACAACCCACCGTGTCGCACCCTTGAGTCGTTTGCGGGTCTTGGTTGTTGTAACTCATCCTTTTAGGTCAACTTGCGTTTTACTCGACCAAAATATTACACAAACGCCATGGCCGATTACCTTCTCCACGAGAGCCCTATTGGCTACTCGCTTTTCAAGGTTGCCATTAAGGGCGAGACTGTCGGCAACAGCCTGAAAGAAGTTCAGGAGGGTGTCAATGATCTTGCCAGGTTCGGAAAGATGGTTGATCTCGCCAGTTTCATTCCCTTTGAGTGCGTTTCCGGCCTATAACACCGCCCTGCAAAATTTCGTCTCTAAATTCCTGTTCGCTAACCCACATCCAGAACCAACAAGCAGGCTCTTGGTGAAATCAACGATGTCTCTGAGGGTGTTGCATCCGAGACTCTGATTTCTTTCCTCGAATTGAATCTCCCCAAGCCGAGCAAGAAGAAGAAGGTTGTGCTGGGTCTTGCCGACAAGGGTCTTGCTGGAAGCATCAAATCTGCCTTCGATTTCGTGGAATGCGAAACCGGTGACACCAGCGAAGTTGTGCAGGATCTTCTCCGTGGTATTCGTCTCCACTTCACCAAGCTGGTGAAGGAGCTCCGTGATGGTGACATTGACACCGCCCAGCTTGGTCTTGGTCACGCTTACTCTCGCGCTAAGGTAAAGTTCTCCGTCCAGCGTGACGACAACCACATCATCCAGGCTATTGCCATCCTTGATCAGCTCGACAAGGCCATCAACACCTTTGCTATGCGTGTTCGCGAGTGGTACTCATGGCACTTCCCCGAGCTCATCAAGATCGTGTCTGACAACCAGCGCTACGCTGAGGTTGCCCTTTTCGTCCAGGACAAGAAGAACCTGAACGACGAAAAGTTGCATGACATTGCCGCTCTTGTTGAGGATGACAAGGGTGTCGCTCAGAACATCATTGATGCCGCTAAGCACAGTATGGGTCAGGACATCTCTGAGGCTGACATGGAGAACGTTACTGCTTTCGCCGCGCGCGTTGTCAGCCTTGCCAAGTACCGCAAATCTCTCTACCAGTACCTCGTCTCTAAGATGAGTGTCGTTGCCCCTAACCTGGCTGCTCTGATTGGAGAGGTTGTTGGTGCTCGTCTGATCTCCCACGCCGGTAGCTTGACCAACCTGTCCAAGTACCCCGCCTCCACTGTTCAGATTCTCGGTGCTGAAAAGGCTCTTTTCCGTGCCCTGAAGACCAAGGGTAACACCCCCAAGTACGGTCTGCTGTACCACTCTTCTTTCATCGGTCGCGCCGGTCCCAAGAACAAGGGTCGCATCTCCCGTTTCCTTGCCAACAAGTGCTCCATCGCTTCCCGTATCGACAACTTCTCTGAGGAGCCCACCACCAAGTTCGGTGAGGCGCTTAAGCAGCAGGTTGAGGAGCGTCTAGACTTCTACGCCACTGGTGCCGCCCCTACCAAGAACGAGGTTGCTATGGTAAGTTTGAACCAATATATTGGCTTATCATTATGATTTTACTGACTATTTCTTTACAGAAATCCGCCATGGATGCCGTCCTTGCCGGTATGGACGACGTTGACGTCAGCGACGCCGAAATGGAGGATGCCACCCCCAAGAAGGAGAAGAAAGAGAAGAAGGAGAAGAAGGAGAAGAGCGACAAGAGCGACAAGAAGAAGAAGCGCAAGTCCGATGTGGGCGAGGGCGAGTCCGAGAAGAAGAAGAAGCGTAAGCATGACACCGATGCTGAGCCTTCAAAGAAGAAGCAGAAGGCATAAAAGCGCTTTTGTTTGTAACTGGGAGTCTTTGTCATGGCGTTGGGATCTTTTTCTAATGTTTTCCATTTATTTGTTCAATTTTCTTCACGACTCGATGGGCTTGGGGATCTGTAAATTATATTGATTTAGGCCAATTACTGGCAATAAGATTTGCTCTATCTTGTGTGTATTTGGACTGTTCAAAAATGTAGATGATGTGTTACACTAAGTATGCACTGTTGTGGAAGTAGCAGGGGGGTGAAGAACATAGGCATTGTTGATACCGCGGAACCGGATTACTCTAATTTTTCTTTTCTTAATTTTTCCTTCCTTTTTGTACAACTGCGATTGGGTCCCGCAATTGCAGGACACAGTCCAATGATCTTGCCCCTCATTTTCCTGATCTCCGCACCCTACATAGTATAGGGATTCCAGCATGATGATATTACCCCTCAGGACCTGACCTGTTGAATGGAGCCGACCATTTGTTATAGCGCATAGCTCACCACGATTTGTGGGGACTCCGTGGATTTTCGTGCGAGATCGTCGCCAACTCTGACGATGATGACGGGTCCTCCTCCAAGCCTCTCGCCCAAGCGCAAACGAGAGCCTTCTGAATCCGATTATTATAGTCCATCAGCATCTCCCGTGTCAACAGTGTCTTTCGCCAGTCTTCAAGAAGTTAGATTTCGAGAAGAAGAAGTTGGGCGCCACAGTCCTCGAGCCGCAGTGGCGGGTCGATTTGGGGAACTCGCCATTCGAGGAGAACGTCGAACAAGTCTGGGGCTCCCAAATGAACATGTCACCACACGAGGGCCAACAACGCCACCACCACAAGTACTGTCCATATCTGAAGATTTCGAGGCTGGGCCTGGGATCTGGCTGGGTGACAATAACAGCAGGCAGCAAACCCTTGATCAACAGTCCCAATCGGATGTGACAAGTCACTATGCCATGAATGATAATCCTGACACTCCGGTTGCTTCACCCTCTAATGGTGAATCTGCAATTGCTTGGAAACAACTGCATCCCGTTTCTCCTTCCAAACACCGCAAACAACGACTTTCGCCCCCCTTGGGAGAATCCTCAAAAGAAGACCCATTCACCTGGCATGATGATGAGATAACAGGCCATGATCCCTCAGATCCCACAGATGATGGCTATGGAATCAATGGCGTGGGCTTCAAGCCCACTGCTGCAATGGCATGGGCCCGATCCCAGAAACGACAGAAACAAGTCGCCGAATGGAAGACTCGAGAAGCTCGAGAAGCTCGAGAAAAGCGCAGAGAAAGAAGAAACGAGAGGGATGCTCTAAACAGACTTCATGCCATTCAGCAAGGCTCCATTCAGAAACGGGTCAAATTCGACGTATAGGCCCAGAAAGAATACCGCTGGACCATTATACTACAGCTATATTCTTTCTGCGCCGCATTTGGCTTTTTTTTTGTTAGGCAATTGGCCTAGGTGTATGGGAGCAAGCATTATTGGAATTCCTTTTGGTTGATTCGGCCAGATATTCTGGCAATTTTGGAAATTGGGACGCTATGATACACAGAGATGACTTGATGACAACATGATGCCAACCATCCCTTATATGGGATGAGAATATACAGTTTTGGATACAACTCCACAGAATACCGTGACTCCAGCTCACAAGTATAGAAAACACTACCAGAATTTGTAATTGGAGGGGTCTGTCCAACTCTTCTTCCGCCTTTCCTCCTCTGCCTTTCGAGCCGCCTGCTCCATGGCCTTTTCCTTGTCCCGTTGTTTTTTGTCCTTCAGCTCCTTCATTAACTCAACTGCTTGTTTCATTCCATGTAGCTCTTCGATTCGACGTCGGCGGCAGATCTCGTATGCTCCCAATGATGTGATCGCGAACGCTGTGACGGCCCAGTTTCCTGCAGACCATAATGATCGCATGCCTAAAGATAGAAAATTTAGTCATTAGTACTCATTGCAAATAGAAGAGGAACATAGATATATCAACATACCTCCAAATATGGCGCGAGTTCCACCAATCCCAAAACCAGCGCCAATTCCGGTCATTAAAGACTCGCGCGCGCATGGAACTTTGTAGAACGAAGCCATTTCGGACACAGACACGTCGCCAATCACCTCCGAGTATGAAACATCCTTCGCACTTTTGCCTCGAGGCTTGTATGATGCATTGGAGAGCATGTTGACCTTCTCTTCGGGGTTACCGAACGCATCCCATAGTTTTCCAACTTGTGATTGGGGGAATTCATGTTTTGGTTTCGTGGGATCGGTGGTATTGGCGGTGCTTTCGGGGAGGTGGTTACCGAGCTCCTGAGAGGGGCCGGAATCTCGAGACTTGTCTGTCATTTTTCTTTCTGCGAGCTCTGTCGACTATGATTCGATTATGGCGACTAGCAAAAGAAGTAACGATCGGTATCCCGGATGGAAATTTGCTATATTGGCCTCTACGGTCTACCATTTTGGTACAGCCAATGAGAAGCTCCATTCAACATGTAGTAGCGCCCTGGAGTGGCCTGGTTTTGCGATTTTGATTTTTTACAGAAGCCAGCAAAAATACAGAAGACTCATCTTGTCAACATATTTTAGGTTCTAATCAATCAAGTAATATTACGCGAACGGAATTGGTCAAGTTGACCATGTATTTGCGCCCGCAGTTCGCCTTGTATAGACGTATTATCCATGCTTCCTCAAAGTAATCTCTTTACATCCCACGATCCCCAATACCGGCTTCCATCTCGTGTGCTTTTAGAAACGCATTCTATTATCGCAGGAATACTCAACATCTCTGGCCTTCTCAAATCGATTGGAAAAACGCTTGAATATATCGACGAAGTTGCTGAGCTGGCAAACAATGGCGACGTAGTATCATCGGTATTAAACGCTACAGTGCTCTATGTGCTTGGTTCTGGTTTCAGCGATGCTGAGCAAGTTCGAAGGGATGAATCGCGCAGTGTGTAGAAGGCCCGACTCGAAAAAGGCTGGTAAGAAGCGCTTTGAGGCTTACTATGGTGTGTGTATTTTTGTATTTTTTTAAAGGAGAAAAAATAGTTTAACCCTTTGAATCAATATAAAACTGCCCAGGGACGCGGGTTTATTCGAGAACCTATTGCTTCCTTCAAGTTTAAATCGTACTCATTGCTCGAACAAATAATTGTAGCTCACCTCCAAAGGCATGTTTTTTCCTTCTTGGCAGTGCCCTCGGGCAACATGGGCCAGATAACGTGATTGGGCTCTCCAAATTTACAGATCAAGCAGCCGCTAAGAAGCATGTTGATGCTTTCCACATCGACAAGACTTTGCTCTGCAAATTTTCTAGTTGTCTTTCCAGTTGTCTTTCCAGTCGTCTTTCCAGTCGTCTTTCCAGTCGTCTTTCCAGCTATCTTTCCAACCGTCTTTCTATACATATATATAGACATCTGGAGATTACAGTACATATAGCGTTGTATTAGGGCAGCGGAGTTCTTTACGGTAATTTCAGAGGAAAGTCTTGTCGCTGTGGAAAGAATCAACATGCTTCTTAGCAGCTGATTGATCTGTGAATCTGGCTTCATATTTCTGGCACTGGATTCTCTCACTGATTTGCCAAGTCAATAGATGCCTCACGCACATACAGGAAAGCAGGATTCCACCAGGGAGAGCCCAATCACATTATCGAGCCCAATCACATTATCTGGCCCAATCACATTATCTGGCCCATGTGTAAAATTTCCAAGGAGGACAATATCGAGATGGTTCTAGAGAGCAGCTTTACTCAAATATGAACTCTCCAAGTTCCTCCTCAAGAGCAGACTTTTTCTTGTAACGATCATCCTTCGCAGGTGGAATAACCACTTGAGGCGCAGCCTCAACAGGATCGAGCGCGAAAGGATTCACCTCCGACTCAGCTTCACTCTCATCAGGCTTGATAATGTTGTGCTCTTTCAGAACTGCCTCGACCCGTGCATGATCGTGGGCTAGATGAGACTCCACCGGAGAAAGCTAATTGTACGCTGCTAGCATTGGCTCAAACTTGCCAGTCTTGATGCAGTGGTAGACGTCACGGCCATCCAGTGGGGAGAAATATCAGTCGGTTGGATAGACTGGCCGCTTGACATCAGCAGCGCGGACAGGTCCTTTCGGACCGGGAGAAGAAGAGGAAACCACGAAAAGAGGAGATTGAATCTTCTGAGTCTTTCTTGCAGAAGATAAGATTGACTTAGCGCAAACTGAAGTCTCCGGAGTTGCAGGAGTAGGAACAGTTGCACGCGGCTTCTTGGATGCAGGCGATGTAGCCTCCTTGGAAGAAGACGCAGAAGCAGTGATACGACGCTTTCGCGGCGTGATCACAAGAGAAGAAACTTCGTCGATATCATGATCATCCTCTTCCGCAGCAGGATCTTCAACCAGACGGCGTGAGACGCAATAGTGAGGGGGCGGATGAGCAGTTTGCATGAAGCGAATGAGGTTCTTAGGTGGATTCCGCCGGAAGGAGCATCTGCTTGCAGCATTTATAATATTCAAGTTCAGCACAGGTGAAACCATGAAATTCTTTCCAAAATGGTAAGTCGTGGACCGTTTATTATAAACTTCATATAACTTGATATATCCTATCTGCTCAAATTTCAGGACTTAGCGTCTTCCAAGATTGTAAATAATCATATTTGAGTAAAGCAGCCTTAGAGAACCATGTCGATAATGTCCATCTTGAAAAGTTTATATGTGAGCCAGATATAAAAAATAGAGAGCAATGCAAAGACTCTCTGGAACGAGAGAATGGGAGGAGGGAGAATCTCCATGCCGGAGATATGGCCTTTATATAGGCCAGGGCAACAAACGCCGCATCGGGAGTCTCCATATGGAGATCTCCTGATAAGCAACATAGATAAGTAGAAATTCCATCGCTTCCCATGCGAGTGGCCGGCGGCATATCTATAATCCGACAGAAAACAAAAATGGATAGTTATTCCGGGAGAGTATGACTAATGTTCACCACGCGTGCAAGGAGACGCGGACGCGTCGAAATAGTGCATTAAGATCGACTGGATTCAAAGCGGCCAACTAGGATTGGATCCTCTACGATAGGCATTGGCTGCAGGAACTCTCCCTTTTGCGTCGCCCCACGTTTGTGCCATTGATCTTTAAAACACCCGACGTTTTCCTTATTCCTCTAATCCTATTCCATGTTCTCTTAACGCGACCCGCGCTGCCCCAAAAAAGTATTCTGAGCAGCCCGGCCGGGCCCCAACTTCACGATGCCTTCGCGAAAACCTAGCAAGTTTGGGAACAAGTTCCGATCAGGTGCAGCATCGTCTAATCCACGTCGCACGAAAACCGTCGAGTTCGCATCCTTACGATCAACCGAGGCCACATCTCAAGATGAGAAATTCGAGGCCATTCGACTGGCCAACACCATCGATGAATCTCTCGGATTCCCACGTTTCGAGTCTGGCGAGACAAGAGCTGGCTGGCTTATCAACATGCACAGTACGACAATAGAAGATGACAATGTGCCAGGAGGCCGCGCTGGTGTGGATTATTACTTTCTTCAAGACGACGGAGGAAGTTTTAAAGCCACCGTCGAATATGACCCGTATCTTCTCATCGCTGTTAAGAAAGGCCATGAGATGGAAGTAGAAGAATGGTGTCGGCGAAACTTCGAAGGATTGATCAAGAATTTCAAAAGAGTCGACAAGGAAGACTTGGATCTCCCAAACCACCTTCTCGGATATCGGAGGACATTCATCAGGTTGAACTTGGCCAATGTTAGCAACTTACTTGAGGTTCGACGGACCCTTTTGCCGCTGGCAGAGAAGAACAAGAAAAATGCGACTGAGATGGACGCATATGCGGAAATGACTAGGTTTGTCATGAAATAAAGTCTTAAGCTTGACATTTAATTGCTTACTGATCATATTTGAAGTGTAACCACTGGCTTCGACCTGTTTGATGACGAAATAATTAATGAGCAACGACCTAATGCCAACATGCAAGCGAGTGATTTTATTGTTGATATTCGAGAGTATGACGTTCCATACCATGTGCGAGTATCAATCGATAAGGGTTTGTGATTTCAATATGCGGGAACGCACAGGAGAAATGAATTTCAATCCGACTAACCCTTTATAGATATTCGAATTGGAAAGTGGTACAGTGTGCAGTCAAAGCAAGGCGTGATATCCTTGACATGTCTGGAAGACCGACTTCAACGTGCCGATCCTGTCGTCCTAGCCTTTGATATTGAGACTACGAAGCTTCCTCTCAAGTTCCCCGATGCTGCCTTTGATCAAATCATGATGATTTCTTATATGATTGACGGACAAGGATTTCTTATCACGAATCGTGAAATCGTATCGGAAGATATCAATGATTTTGAGTACACACCCAAACCTGAGTACCCAGGTGCTTTTGTGATTTTCAATGAGCCAAACGAGAGAGGCGTTTTAGAGCGATTCTTTGAACACATCAAGATTGCCAAACCCACCGTCATCGCGACGTACAACGGTGATTTCTTCGATTGGCCATTCGTTGAAGCAAGGGCAAGTGTTCAAGGAATTGATATGTACACCGAAATCGGGTTTAGAAAGAACAGCGAAGATATCTACCAAGCTGATTACTGTGTGCACATGGATTGTTTTGCGTGGGTGAGTCGTGACAGTTATTTACCCCAAGGAAGTCGTGGCTTGAAAGCTGTGACGGTCGCAAAGCTTGGATACGACCCCGATGAGCTTGATCCAGAATTGATGACCCCTTACGCGAGTGAGCGGCCCCAAACGCTGGCTGAATACTCAGTTTCCGATGCTGTCGCGACCTATTACTTATACATGAAATATGTGCACCCTTTCATTTTTTCGCTGTGCACTGTTATTCCCCTCAACCCAGACGACACACTGCGAAAGGGAACTGGAACCTTGTGTGAAATGCTTCTCATGGTCCAGGCTTACCAAAATGAGATCGTTCTGCCCAATAAGCATAAGGACCCCCCTGAAACATTTTATGAGGGTCATCTGCTCGAATCCCAAACATACGTTGGTGGTCACGTCGAAAGTATTGAAGCTGGAGTTTTCCGAAGCGATATCCCTGTTACCTTCACGGTTGATCCAACTGCGATCGACGAGCTCATTAAGGATCTTGACCACGCCCTCAAGTTCAGTGTTGAAGTCGAGGAGAAAAAGTCACTGGATGATGTCACAAACTACGAAGAAGTCAAGGCCCAAATCTTGGAACGATTACTTGATCTGAAGAACAACCCTACAAGAAATGAGGTTCCCTTCATCTATCACTTGGATGTTGCTGCCATGTATCCCAATATCATGATCACTAATCGTTTACAACCCGACTCTATGATTGATGAGTCTAACTGCGCTGCCTGCGATTTTAACCGACCCGGTAAGTCTTGCGACAGGCGCATGCCCTGGGCCTGGCGTGGTGAATTTTTGCCCGCAAAGCGCGACGAATATAACATGATTCGGCGGGCGACTGCCAATGAGCGCTTTCCAGGACGACACAAAAACTCCCCCATGAGATCATTTGGGGAACTCAGTATTGAAGAACAAGCTGGCGTGGTGAAGAAGCGACTACAAGACTACAGCAAGAAGATTTATCACAAAATCCACGACAGTAAGACTATGGTCCGTGAGGCGATCATTTGTCAAAGAGAAAATCCTTTCTATGTTGATACTGTACGAAATTTCCGTGATCGTCGATATGACTTCAAGGGAAAGCAGAAAGTATGGAAGAACAAAACAGACTCTTTACAGTCATCTGGTGCTTCTGCCGCTGAGATTGATGAGGCCAAGAAAATGATCGTGCTTTTCGACTCCCTACAACTTGCCCATAAGGTTATTCTGAACAGTTTCTACGGTTATGTCATGCGAAAGGGTTCTCGTTGGTATTCCATGGAGATGGCCGGTGTTACTTGTCTTACGGGTGCCCATATTATTCAAATGGCGCGAGAGCTGGTTGAACGTATCGGCCGACCCTTGGAACTTGACACTGATGGTATTTGGTGTATGCTTCCAGGAACCTTCCCCGAAAACTTTACATTTACCCTGAAGAATGGGAAGAAGCTAGGAATCTCGTATCCATGTGTTATGCTTAACCACCTTGTTCACGCGAAGTATACAAATCACCAGTACCAGGCGCTTGTTGAGCCTTCAACCCACAAATATCAAACATACAGCGAAAACTCCATTTTCTTCGAGGTTGATGGTCCATACCGAGCTATGATTTTGCCAACCTCAAAGGAGGAAGACAAGAATTTGAAGAAACGATATGCTGTCTTCAACCACGACGGATCCTTGGCTGAGTTGAAGGGTTTCGAAGTCAAGCGACGAGGAGAGCTGAAATTGATCAAGATCTTCCAGACACAACTCTTCAAATTTTTCTTGGAGGGTAACAACCTGGCGGAGACGTATGCTGCCGTTGCACGTGTTGCCGATCGATGGCTGGATGTGCTTTACGAAAAGGGTGCTACGCTGGCGGACGAAGAGCTGATAGACCTCATTTCGGAAAACCGAAGCATGTCAAAATCTCTGGAGGAGTATGGAACTCAAAAGTCTACATCCATCACTACAGCCAGGCGTCTGGCAGAGTTTCTGGGCGAACAAATGGTCAAAGACAAGGGCTTGAACTGCAAGTACATTATCTCCTCGAGACCAAGGAATACCCCTGTCACCGAACGAGCTATCCCTGTTGCCATTTTCTCTGCTGAGCCGGCTGTCAAGCGATTTTTCCTGCGTAAATGGCTCAAAGAAGACCCTGCTGATATGGACCCTCGGACCATCATTGATTGGGACTACTATCTTGAACGTCTGGGATCAGTGGTGCAAAAGCTCATCACGATTCCTGCTGCATTGCAAAAGCTTAGGAACCCCGTTCCTCGCGTTGCTCACCCAGATTGGTTACAGCGCCGTATCAACCAAATGGACGACAAGTTCAAGCAAAAGAAGATGACTGACATGTTTACGAAATCGGACAAAGCACCACTCTCTTCTATATCCACTAATATTTTGGAACATCGTGTTCAGCATGTCGGTGACATGGATGAAGCCATTGCGAACTCGACCCAGAAAATTAAGTCACCTGAAGCCAAGGTGTCCCAAAAAAGAAAGCACCCTGAGACAGCCCAGAATACAGCTCTCGATCCATTCGCTACCCTCCCCGCTGTCATGCCGTCCATCAATGATGATTACCAGGATTTCCTGAAATACCAGAAACAGAAATGGAAGATTCAGAAACAAGCCCGAATCCGCCGCCGTCAACTATTTGGTGATCGAATGAACGTTGCATCAGACTCGCTGGGTGGCTTCTTCCGCAGTCAAGCACAGATGTTGTATATCAGTACATGGCAGGTGTTGCAATTGTGCGAAACTGGTCGGCCTGGTATTGTGCGAGCCTTCGTTCTCATCGATCAAAAGATCCATGCACTAAGCGTGAAGGTTCCGCGACAGTTTTTTGTGAATTTGAAGCGAGATTCATTACCTGACATTGAAGTGCCTGACTGTGAGGTCGAAAAGGTTAACCACACATTGCCCAATGGACATCCGTCAGTCCATCTCTTCAAAGTGTCCTTATCAGAAGACACCTTCCTCGAAGAGGCAGATAAGATGGAGGCATTGTTCCAACACTCAAGTATCGAGGGTGTATATGAGCGAAATCTCTCACCGAGTATCAGAGCGGTGCTTAAGCTGGGTAGCCACTGCACTTTTGATGAAGAGCAGCGCGGTGTTTTGGGCGAAGGACTCGAGAAAGGGTTCGATCTATCCACGTTACTTCATGCTACATCTGATCAGCTTTACCTTGCGGAATCTCCCCTCGCTTATCATTACCTTTATCACGTTGCTTCTGGTGACAGACAAGTGTTTGCGTTGTTCTCAACAACGAAAAACGAGGCCCATATTGTCATTCTCAACCGCACAAGGGATGTTCAAGGCCTCCCGAACGTCGACAAAATCTATTCCGAGCTTCTTGGTCGGAAGCTTCAAGATGGATCGAGTGATGAGACACAGAATGCATTCCAATACCAAGATAAAATCCACTTCAAGACTACCCAGGTGATGACCCGAAGAAAGGCGCACCTCGAGGTTGGCGACTTGGTAAGAAAGCTTCGAAGTGATGAGACCCAGCCAGCAGTTCTAGTCATTCAATCTCAACAGAAAGACCGCCTCTGTCACGATATTCCCATCCTCAGAGAGTACCCAACTTTGTCCGTCAAACCTGAAGTATCAGATATGGATCTCCCACCACTGGGCTGGCAGTCATTCATTGCCCGGCGCCTTGTGACCCATTATTTGTATTTGTCCGCTTGGATCCAACATTTAACCCTTCTGGCTCGATACGGAGACGTGCCTCTTTGCAATCTGGAAACCGATGACCCGCGGTACCTGATTGATATTTCGTATGCCAGACGACTCCAGCAAAGCAACGTTGTCTTATGGTGGTCAGAAGCGCCTCGTCCAGACCACGCCGGTTACGAGAAAGATGACCTTACCGGATCATTAGAGAAGGTCAACATGCCCTCTGTGAACGTACCGAACGCCTATGCCACGGTCTGCATCGAGTTAGATGTTCGTAATCTCGCTATCAACACGATTCTCACATCCTCGATTGTCAATGACAACGATGGAAACGATGCTCTTTTAGCCTCAGGGAACGGAGAGGATACTGGAGTTTTGTACTCTGAGAAAGCATTTGCATCTGCCGGTGCGCATGTTCTGCGGGAAATGGTTAAAAATTGGTGGACTGAGGCCTGTGCTGGAAATAGCATGGCTGATATCATGGTCCAGCATTTGATCCGATGGGTGGAGAGCCCGGTCTCGTGTCTTTACGACAGATCTTTGCACAATTACGTACGAATGCTGTCACGGAAATCATTCCAAAGATTGATGGCTGAATTTCGACGAGTTGGATCCAACGTCGTTTTTGCCAGCTCCACGCGTCTCTTGCTACAGACCACGAAGACAGAGGTAGGCAATGCGTACGCCTATAGCCAGTACGTTTTGAAATCAATTCGGGCAAACCCATCCTTCCATTTCATTGATCTCGAGATCAAGGAGTACTGGGACTACCTTGTCTGGTACGATGAATATAACTACGGTGGTAAGGGATGTCGAGAGGTGGTGGAAGCCGACAACCAAGACCTTGAGACCGTTATGCATTGGCAGCTCAATCGTTTTTTGCCGGCACCTATGCAGACTATCTTCCACGATTGGGTGGTTGAGTATATCGAGCTGATGCACACGTTGAAACGACCTGATCTCCAGGATGGCAATATGTCTTCTACCCCTCGTATGACTCAGATTCCTATCGGACAGCCGGGTGACAAGGAAAGCGAGGAGATCACCGCTATTCTAGCTGAAAGATTCTCCAAGCCTCTGAAGAAGCAAATCACCGGCCTGATTCGCCGCCAGCGTGATGAACTGCTTCATCCTGAGCTTGCCTCCGACTATGCCTTCCCCGTTCTTCCAGGTGTCCTGGTTGATCCTGCCAACGACAAACGCAACCCAGCACTCGAATTGGTGAAATTGCTCATGCAAGTTCTCAGTTTGTCCAAGACAACTACGCTGGAATCCCGACTGCTTCGTCGCGAGTTGCTGGCACTATTTGAAGTCCGTGAGTTCAGTAAGGAGGGTCGGTTCGAGAACCCAAGCACCAACCTCAAACTCACGGAGCTGACCTGTAACGCCTGCTGTCTCATTCGCGACCTGGATTTGTGCCGTGACGAGGATGTACTGCCAGACCCTGGCACCGAAAACATCAACACCCCCAAACCGTGGCGTTGTCCGTTCTGTCAGACAGAATATGACCGGCTTGCCCAGGAGGAAGTCCTCATTGGCCAGGTTCACGGTCTTGTGGTTGAGTGGCAGACGCAGGATCTCAAATGTTCCAAGTGCCGCAATCTTCAAGTGAGCGAATTCATGGAACACTGCTCTTGTAGCGGTGTCTGGGCACCGACCGTGGATCTCAACGAGATAAAGAGAAAACTTTCAGTCTTACAGAGTGCAGCCAAGTTTCATAGCCTACAACTGCTGGAGAATGTGGTTAACGGCGTGCTTGGCCAGATGTAAGGTTCGAGTGGATGTTTCATGTTATCCCTTTGTATGGTTTCTTCCGTCTCATTTGTCTTTCTACTATAACTTTGTCTATTTGATGGGAGTTTTATGAGGAGCCTGAAGGTTCTTGGCGTTATTTTGGCATTTTCTTCTTATTTGTTTTGCATTGCATGGGTGTTTGGCCACGGGGTTGTGTAAATAGCGGGAAAGCCGTTGACGATCTTCACGTCGATCCCCGGCCCATTTATATCTCCCTTTTCCCTTTTTATTCAAACTCCGCCTCTTCCCTTTCCACATCTCCCCCAATTTCCCCAAATATAAAATATATCGATTCATTCTTAAATTCTTACCGTCGACAGGCTCGACTGTTTCCTTCTATTTCCGACCGCAGGTAACCGAGTAAATAGCTTGAAATCCCGGTGAGTATTTGTCTCACATGCTCGTTTGGCGGGGCTGAACCCGCGACAGCGAGACCCCTGTAGCGCATTGCACAGTTCAAGGCTGACTTCTCTGAATGGCCTTAGGTTGATACGACTACAACCTTTAACTTATCCTTCAACCCGCTCCTATATTCCCTCTCTCCTCGCTCTTGGTCCTCTCAGTCTTCTCTCAACAACCTGTGTTCTCTCCCCGCATAACGCCCGCCGTCGATTCCAATGGCACAACCCCCGCGACCTCAGGTCCAGCCATGTCGCTACAAGACTGGTAAGACTCTCGGTGCTGGGTCATACTCCGTCGTGAAAGAATGCGTACACATCGACACCGGTCGCTACTATGCGGCCAAAGTGATCAATAAGCGCCTAATGGCCGGGCGCGAACACATGGTATCCTCGACCCTCCACATACACCGGCGAAACGCCTTAAATTGCGACCGGATAATCATGTTAACGGATTCTTGGTATGGCAGGTTCGAAATGAGATTGCCGTGTTAAAAAAGGTGTCTATGGGTCACCAGAACATTCTGACCCTGGTGGACTACTTCGAAACCATGAATAACTGTGCGTTGCAATCCTTTCGATAGCTTGATACGGGTATATGAATCACTTACTGATGATATCGGATACTCAGTATACCTGGTCACTGATCTTGCCTTGGGTGGAGAGCTCTTTGATCGCATCTGCCGTAAAGGTAGCTATTTCGAGACTGATGCTGCCAGCCTAATCCGGGCTGTCCTGTCAGCGGTCGCTTATTTGCATGATCATGGGATCGTGCACCGTGATCTGAAGCCCGAGAACCTACTTTTCCGTACCCCGGAAGATAATGCGGATCTTTTGATTGCGGACTTTGGATTGTCTAGAATCATGGACGAGGAGCAATTCCATGTCTTAACCACCACATGCGGAACACCCGGATACATGGCACCGGAGATCTTCAAGAAAAGTGGTCACGGAAAGCCAGTGTAAGTAATCATCTAATAATTGTCTTTTACAGTCGCGCCTTTCCTAACGACTTACAGTGATATCTGGGCCATCGGTGTCATCACCTATTTCCTACTATGCGGCTACACCCCCTTTGACCGCGACTCTAATCTAGAAGAGATGCAGGCTATCTTAGCGGCTGACTACGCCTTCACACCCCTGGAATACTGGCGTGGTGTCTCCCAAGAAGCCCGCAACTTTATCAGTCATTGCTTGACCATCGATCCCACAAAGCGCATGACAGCCCACGAGGCCCTTCAACATCATTGGATCTGTCCACCGTACGATGCCTCGCGGACTGGTACCGGCGAAGATCTGTTGCCAACAGTCAAGAAGAACTTCAATGCTCGTCGCACATTGCATCGTGCTATCGATACCGTGCGCGCTATTAACAAGCTCCGCGAAGGTGGTGGATTCATGATGGATGGAGTGATGAGTATCGATCCGAAGCCCGAGCGCGTAAATGGACAGGAGATCGTTGATGAGAGTAGAAATGGCTCCCCTGCACCGCGTGCTGATGGCGTTAGTCCGATGCAGATTGATAGCCGGGGAAATGCTCGGGGCCAGTCGGAGATACAGATCCGAGAACAGGAGCGCCGAGTAAAGGATACTATGGCCGGATTATGGAATCGGGGTGGCCATGCTAAATAATCCTGGGCTGGAACTCGGGATATAGATATCATGTCTTCAAGGAGCGTTGATGTCTGGTTTGGTTCCTCTTGTTTGGATATTTGGCTTGTCTTCAACGCTACAATCCCCGGCACGCTTGCTTTCAGGTTGAGTTGATGGCGTGAAGTTGTATATACAATGGATGATCAAATGCGATGATTGATGAACAAAATCCGACGCATATCTTCAAATAAGAGTCGACAAATAAATCTGGCCAAACTGCCTTTTCAAAGATTTGAGTTGTTCATTAATGCTACCTAGCGCCATATCAAGTATATAGATCTTTCATAAGAAAGTATAAAAAATGGCCCAATATCGAAAGAAATCCAATCCTGATCCAGCAAGATTCACACAAGTCGTAATCGTCATAAAAAGCCAAGCTCCGATTGCGAGACCGGCATCTAAAAACCCACTAGGCCAAGCCCAGAATATCTCGACCATCATCTAGAGAAAGCACCCAATTTCTCCATTCTTGCCATTCCTCATACGAAGAACTCGCCTTATGTCCCTGATACCTGACCGTTCGGAACTCAGATACCTGATCCCATGGTTTCGCGACCGCCGCGTTTCCGCCAGAGCCCCGTAGTAATCGTCGCGCGACGCTACCGACACCACCGTCCCAGCCAGCTTTGCGCATTAAACTTTCAATTGTCTCTTCTTTGGTCCAGCCTTGTTCGGCGGGTACATCGGGTAGATAGGTTGCACCGTAGCGTCTGCCACGGTGAATGAATGAGATTCGGATTCCGTGGGTTCCGAGGATCCAGTCCATTGCATCAGTGCATGGTTCGAAGGATCCTAGGAGAGTTAGTGAGCATGACATGGAGGGGAGTAAAGATTTAGGAACTGGAGAGAATCGGGTATCGTCGAATGCACTGGATCCCATCGTTAGTTACAATTCGAGAATGGGGAATGTACTTGTTAAGGTTCAGATGAGAAGCAGATAACGTACGATGTCAATGCATAAGACTTTAGTCCCAAGGCAAGATCCTGCGCCTCGAATGTTCCTATGCATCCGCGTAGAGACTTGTGACCGCTTCGAGATAACGTATTCCAGGTGACGAATAATGGATACTTCTGTTCAGTAGGCTTGTTTGATCCAAGCGGGGTAGTAGCAGCAGTAGATCCGGACTGAAGCGAGTGCGAGGATGTATTCGAGGCGCTCGTTGCTGTGCTAGACGAGTCGGAAGTCTGGCTCTGCAGCCGGTTGACTCCGGGCGTTTTTAGGCTTTTGGGCTGGTTACTTGTCTGTGAGGACTCATCACTATTGACAGCCTGCGGACCTGATTCCTCTCCGTCCTCCGTATCTGAATCTGAATCTTGGTCTTGAGATTCGAGATTTGAGAGCTTTTTAGATTGCTCGTGTTGTTCCCAGAGGGCTTCTATTGTTGCGAGTTTGGCGGGCTCGTGGGACTCGAATGAGGCGGAGAGAGACTCGAAGCAATAGTAGCATTGGGCTGGGCTGGCCATCTTTGCGGCTGTTTGATCACTCCCAGTAAAGAGGAGCTAGGGTTCCTTTTGGTCTTGAGAAGTGGATTTCATAAAAGATCAAAAAAGGGAATTGTATAGCTGTTCCTCCAGATTCCGAGGCTGTATGAAATGGAATGACCCCCGCAACGGTCGGTGTCGATAAGATAGAGAGCGTTCCTTATCAATAGTGGAGTCAAAAGAGAGCACTGAAGTAGTCAACTTGGGCGGGGCGAGGGATGAATCTGGGGGATCAGAGCAAAGTGGACAGCCGCAACGCAAACGAAAGAAGCACCGGAAAACTGAAGAATTGAGACTGGAGGTGAAAACAAGTACGGGAGTTGAACCAGAGCTGGGAGGGGTTTCCAAGGTTCTGATAAGGTTGACACGTGAGAGATTATTACATAAAGGACCTTGAGTGCACCACCTGGGCAGTTGACATCAATTTACGCAAACTACCTACATCCATGCAGATATAGTACTGGAATGTGCTATGTGATTTATTTCTTAGTGTAATGTCGTTCCAAAAAAGTTCGTCTCCAGAGCAACCAATTGCACATGATGGATGCCTTATGCGTCATTCAGGTTACTTTCGGTCTTTTTCTTCTCTACAACACCAAATGCCTTCGACCAATCCCAACCTCGTTGTCTGATATTCGTCAATCCATTCACTCGCTTGCGGTCTGTCGTCCCCTTTCTCACTTGACAACATCTTGGCACTGCAAGTACTTTCTTGCCAATGAACTCATTCGGATCGATAGGAAACAAAAGCCATTGGCTTGCCTTAACACCATCATCATGATCCTCCATCTCAGCAAGATTTATCTGTATCACCTCAGGATCGGTATCATCGGCTGGAACAAGATGATCAAATGCGACACCATAGTAGTTAATCACACTGATCAAGAACAATGACAAAGTGGTTCGTCAAATCCATATAAGTACTTGGTTTTATCATTGGGAGAGCTCGACTTACTATTCGGGATGCTTTTTGATCACCCCGCCTAAGCGCTCGTTTTGAACCACAAGATCGCTTGGTATGTCCGGGCTCGCATCCCGTCCATATATGGCTCTATAGGTAAGCTTTGCTAGCTCTGGCCCTGCTGGCTGGGGAAATTCATTACGGAAGCTGTTCAAATTCTACTTGATATCTGGGAGGAGCCTTTTTATGGCGATTAAAGGGCCTTCGATCTGTATTCCGAGCGGCAAATCCGGCGAAGGGAGGTGGTATTGGCCTGTTGGAGTGCATATACAAGGCGGGATAAAAAGTGGGAGTGCCATTTAGAGGAAGAAAGTAGTTTGGGCAATCTCAGTAATAGTATAACGTTGCAGGCACAAAATGAGTTAAGCCACTGGTGTGTATGAACAGAGATTACTTCCAAGGCTGAGTATAATTTCAGGGAAATGAAATGAGACCGTAGAGAAATGCCCAATATATATTTTATATCTCATAATGGTAATTAATTCAAAAGACAGCCAGCTTAGCGCTATGGCTTATCACCTGACTAAGGTGTTGGGCATAACTACTACGGGAATATTCTGAATCCGAGCAATCCGATTCACTTTCCTGCGGGCCTAATTTACCAATAACCTCTAAATTATTTTAGTGTGAGTCACGCTGAATGATTCATGATCCATACACATGTGCCAGTGGCCCGTCACCGTGAAATCTCTCCCCAAGTAGCCGCCTGCGGGTCAATAATGAAACCAGAGCGCTGCGCCTCAAGGCGACTGTTTCATATTCTAGGTATCTCATTCTCACCGAACTTATCTTTATATTTTATATACATGAAAGAGCTCATATCTCAAGTTTGATTGGAGTGATGCTCTCATATAATAGGCCAACTGCCTCATTTTTGTCGAGGCCGTTGGGCTGACACTATCAGGTGTGCGATATATCATCTATTATCAAATAAGAGACGCTATTCCATCAATTTAGGTATCAAGTCTGCCTCTGGTGAGTCTTGGAGAGATAGGGCATCTCCGTGTGACACGCATACCTCACTATATATAGTTTATCACTTCTTTAAATGTTTTCGCCTCTGTCTTTCAAATTTATCAACCTTTGGAACAGACCTCAGTTTGTCTTCACACTTCACTACATTCCTCTATCTCCTCAAACCACGCCTCGAGACCTGCTTCTCTGACTGTTGCGAGGGCTTGCGCGTTTTTAATGGCGTGCTAAAGCCTGGCAACTGTGTCTCACCAGCATGCAACACCCCACCAGAAACTCCTCCTCCATAGAGAACTGTCGCAGCCCTCGATTATCTTATCGCCTGATTCCTCTACCACATACTCTATGCCCCTGATCTGGGTTCTATGCTTGTTACCTTGCGAACCTATTTGAGTGACAAAGAATGTTTTTTATTGAACTAGTTCTTACTGGCTTGTCTGATATCTGGAAGTCAAATCATGGAGGTGGAGGCTGTGCTAATTGAGGTCCTGATTTCTGGCTCACTGCTTGTCTTCATGTTTCTGCTTCTTGCTTTTCTTGTTGTTGAATCTCTTATTCCTGTTCTCAGCTCGATGCGATATATTTCAATAGTACCTAGGCCGGATTCTTGCTGGCTTGGGACCCATAAAGCATGAAACAAATTGAACCTAGTCATTCAAGTTGAGCTACGTGCTTATAAAAGCAAAATCTTGGATGATAGTAACCAATTATATAGATAGAACCTTTGACACCTGGAACTTGAATATGTTCAACTCATCATAAGAACATAGGAATCAACTTGACTGTCACGGAAACCTCGCATCTCACTTTGGCCCATGAAGGGTTTCTTTTCACAATTACAAACTTTGAAATACGACCTTTAGGGACCCAAGGAATATCTTAATCCGAGACTGCCTCACAGCTTTTCCCACTCTTGGTTCGCGAGCACCCCGGGGGGCAAAGATAAGATGGATCATACTGCCACAAGAAATAGGGATCTGTTTCATTAGTAAGAACATTGGCCATCAGTCGAGATGGATATGGTAGATCAAAAGAGGCTTCAAAAATATCAACCGATGCAACGCGAATCTGGCCCCAGCCTTTCTCAATAAGTCTCGCAATTGACGTGCCGTAGATATACTCGCGGAATCCAGACCATCGAATTGCAGAAGCGCACTGAAAAACAGTAAGTACACGATTAAAGAACATAGTTCATTATCTCTTACCATAGGGCAGCTTTCAGCATTTGTATACAAGGATAAGCTCGCAAATGCTGCCTGCGCTTCCGTGGCAGTGAGTCGGAATTTTCCATTAGGGTCGGTTAGGATGTTTGTACAATTGGTAATTGCAGCAATTTCTCCTATTTCATTTGAGAATAAATCCAAACTCAGCGGAATAAATCATGTAACCCTTACCATGCGATGATGGGTTCCCTGTTTTGCCATTCTCATTGACACCCATGCAGATAAGCTCGCCCTCATCGGAGGCTGTATGGTTTACTATCACGGTTCCAAATGCCGCGAAGGGGCAAGGCGACCCGCTTAGTTCTCCCAATGCTTGATTGGCGAGACGCATCCAGCGCGCTCGAGTGTCAAAAGTGACTCCATTAATCATGAGTGTTTCATCTGCAAGTGGCAGCTGTGTGGTTGCCAGCACCCCTTGAAGATAAGCAGTGGAAACAACGAAAAGATATGAAAACCGCATTTTGATCTATGAAGTTGAGATCGGACCGAAAACAGCCCTCAGTAAGTATATTTATATAGGGTCATAGTCCTTCATAAAGCCGATCTCACGTGGGTAGATCCGTCGTTTCATATGTGCATGCGGGGAACCCCGATGCTTCCGATCCTTCAGCGATATGTGACTACTGATAGATCGACATAGTCGGCCGCGGTCGGCCGAACAACTGCGTCTAACTTCCTGATTGATGATAAGAAGTAGAAAGGAGCGCTGCGGGGGTAACCTTAATTCCGATAAACAACAGAAAGATGACTTGGGAATATGGACCAAATTATTCAAAATTTGCGGCTTGAACAATATAGACAGACCGTTCATCCTATTCCACTTCACCTAAGATAGGCAGGTCTAAATAGTACAAACCAAATATGTTCATCTTAATCTTAGTGCTGACCACCCGAAGTTAACTTTAGAGTTTCAAGAGAAAATCTTTATATCATTGTATTGATTTTCGAGATTAGCTTCAAAGCTGATGGTATGTGATGTACAGCAACACATGGGACAGCAGGGATAAATTTCCACACGCCATAGTATGTTGAACTTTTGGTCTCATGAGAATCATGGTCCCTCGCAGTTGAAGACGCGAGGGAGGTAAATGTAGTGGTTCGTGTCGCATGCTCGAATAGAGAAAGAAAATAGGAAAAGGAAATAGAACAAAATAAAATTATCAAAACCCGATTGTCCCTAAGGTTGAAAAAGCAGACCTGTATATAAACCCCAAATAACGCACTGTGTGGTATTTTTGATCTCCAACGCTTTCATAGTTGATGTTGAACTCGCGAGATCTCAAAAGAGTGAATCTCTCTTCGTAACTGTCATATCTTCACAATAAAACACTCTCCTCCCTAAGCAACATTGTTGGAAGTTGCTTAAACGGGCAGGGGGTAGGTGCTGGCCCAGGCAGCAATCTCCTTGCGGAGCTCCAGAATCTCAGGAACGGTGTCGGAGGCAACCTTGGCCTTGAAGTCCTTGAGCTTGTTAGCCTCCTTGGGGAGCTCGCTCTGGATCTTCTTGCAGAGGGTGATGGTCTGGTCAATGTAGCGGGCAATGCGCTTGAAGTCATCCTCACCCATACCACGCGTAGACATGGCGGGGGCACCGATACGGATACCGCAAGGGGTCAGGGCAGACTTGTCACCGGGGATGGAGTTCTTGTTGCAAGCAATGTTGATCTGCTCGAGAACAGCCTCAACACGGGCACCGTCCAGAGCCTTGGCGCGCAGGTCCAGAAGGACCATGTGGGAGTCAGTGCCGTCAGAGACGAGCTTGTGGCCAAGAACCTTGAACTCTTCCTCGAGAGCCTTAGCGTTCTTGATGACCTGAGCCTGGTATTGCTTGAACTCAGGAGTATCGACCTGCTTCAGGGCAACAGCCAGGGCAGTGATGGTGTGGTTGTGGGGGCCACCCTGGTGACCGGGGAAGACGGAGAAGTTGATGGGGTTCTCCAGGTCGTACAGGACATCCTTGCCGGACTTGTCCTGGCTACGGACACCACGACGGAAGAAGATCATAGCACCACGGGGACCACGCAGGGACTTGTGGGTGGTGGTGGTGACGACATCGGCGTACTCGAAGGGAGAGGGGATGACACCGGCGGCGATGAGACCAGAAATGTGAGCCATGTCGACAATGAGGTAAGCACCGACCTTGTCGGCGATCTGGCGCATGCGCTTGTAGTCAATCAGACGGCAGTAGGCGGAAGTACCGGCAACGAGACACTTGGGGCGGTACATCTCGGCATTGCGCTCCAGGGTGTCGTAGTCAATGATACCGGTCTCTAGGTCGACACGGTAGGGGAAGGTCTCGAAGTAGGTGGAGACAGCGGAGATCCTATGGAAGTTGTTAGAAAATACAGGTCCTGGTCGATGACTCAGTTATATAGCTAATTGAAACTCACTTCTTAGCGGGGGTCTGGTAACCGTGGGACAAGTGACCACCGTGGGGGAGGTCAAGACCCATCAGACGGTCGTGAGGGCGCATCAGAGCCTGGTAGACCTGCAGGTTGGCAGGGCTACCACTGAGGCACTGAACGTTGACACCCCACTTGGCGGAGTCCAGGTTGAAGGCCTTGAGAGCACGGTTCTGGCAGGTGATCTCAATGGCATCAATGTGCTGGTTACCACCGTAGTAACGGGCACCGGGGTAACCCTCGGAGTACTTGTTGGACATGGGGGTACCCAGGGCCTCGAATACAGCGTGGGAGGTGAAGTTCTCGGAGGCAATCAGGACGACGGACTCGCGCTGACGCTGGATCTCACGCTCCTGTAGGTAAAATACTTATCAGTAACGATTCTCATTGAAAGAATTGATGATAATGATATTGTTTTCACGTACCATGATGGCGGCAATCTCAGGATCAGACTCCTTGAGGCCATCGTGCATTTGCTATATAGATGAGTCAGTGATCTAGAGCTCAATTCCGTAGCTAGAAGAAGCTAAAGGGAAGAAGAACTCACAGCCTTGTGGGCTTCGGACAAAGCGTAAGACATTGTGAAGGTATTGATGAAAGAAACGGATGATTATGGAAGAATAAAAAAAAGAAAGAAGGAAAGGAAAAGAAGAAAGGTTAAAAGCAAGGTCGGGAAAGAAAAAAAAAGATGGTGGGGTTCGGAGGGGAAGGATCTACGGTGCCTGAGGCATCAAACGACGATATCGGAGACTTGGAGAGTTTGACCGGATCGGGTTTGACAGTCCCCAGTCGTCAGTATGAAGAAAACTATATATCAGATGTGTAAGGAATATAACGGAATGAAATGAGAAACCTATAAAGACTCCTTTGAAAAGGCCGATGAGTCTAGTAATCGTTTGCATTGTGAACTGACCAACGCCGATTTATTATCTTGCCTCCCCCACATACGGAGAGCACACAGATCATTGCCCGCCGGGCTTCCAAGGTTCCTAACCTGACACACGAGAATTTTGTGGCTGCATAATCGAACCCCGTGGATTCCCTCTTCTGTGACCTTCTCCCGTATAGAGGCCCGGTGAGCTCTTGTTTCTCCCGTTCCTCTTCCCACTAGCTCTAATCATCGTGGGCCCGTATCTTCCAAGGTCCCATCTGTGCCGCCGCCCACTCCTGTACATTAGCTTCTAGGCCCATTTCCTGCCCTTTAGTTTCATAGTGAAGAATCTTGAAGCATAAATGTGCCCAGAGAGTTCCAATTCTGTAACGAATTTCAAGGCTAACTAAACGCCACATTGATGATCGATCAGGACAGAATAATCGTACAAATTCCCCCCGTTTAAGACCCGTTGCTATCAAAAATTGATCTGAAGAAACTGTCCTCTTTCTGCCACAAGTCATTGAATGATCCAGTTTCAACAATTTTCCCTTGATTCATTACGACAATAGAATCTGCATCAGAAATTGTTTCAAGTCGATGGGCCACCACAATTGTCGTGTATCCCTGGAATTCATCGCGAACTATCTGCTGAACCCATTTATCAGTCTCTTGATCCACATTACCTGTCGCCTCATCGAGCAAAACAAGCCTCCCGCGGGAAGAGCGTAATAAGAGGGCCCGGGCCAGCGAAAAAAGCTGCATCTGCCCTTGGGATAATGTCCAATCTTCCATCCGCACATCAAGATACTGTTCTGGCGAGAAGCCCTTATATGCGGCTCTAGTATCCAGCAAGGAACGGAGGTGAACTTTCTCCAGGGCAGTCAAGATCTCTTTGGACGAACTGTTCTTCAATATATCAAGGTTATCACGGATACTATCGCTTGCCATGATGAACAGGTCCTGGGGAATTGTGATGATTCTGGATCGAAGAGTCTCCCGGGAAACAGTTGTGAGGTCCAGGCCATCAATTTTGATGAAGCCGGTGGATGGGTCGATTAAACGCAAGATGCTAAGCAGCAGAGAAGATTTTCCACTGCCAGTGCGACCGCAAATTCCAATCTTTTGGCCCGGTATCAGATTCAAGGATATGTGGTTAATGGCATGATAGGTGGAAGTAGTCGACTCGGAGTCAGCATCGGTCTTAACAGAATAATCAGCAACGACGTTCTCAAACTCTACTGCGCCATTAGCCGGCCATGAATCAGCTGGCAAGATTGTTTCTTCGGACTGAGGCTCGGGAAGCACAGTCGAAGTAAAGGTTTTTATCCGAGAAATGACACCGAGCGAGGCATCGAAGTTAGCCCACGACTGAACGGCCACGAAGAGCACTATGTTGATGCTCAGAATCACATTCATGATGATTCCGACTTGGCCAGCAGAAATGCTGCCAGTGTCACTTTGGGTCACAATAAGGGTAACATTGAAAATTGCTACAGCCGCAACAATGAGGTCCAGTACCAAGGTGAGCCATTGTTCGATGGCAAGAAGAGTGTAAGATGGGACTTGGGATATATCGATTGCCTTGCTATTATCAAGAGCATACTCATTCTCCCACCCAAAAGCACGAATAGTTGTGATGCCGTGAACAGTATCCAAGAAGTTAGTATTTGGAAGCGAGTTAGCTTCCATGCTCAGCCATCTTAGCTGTCGGCTGGTAAATAGATATATCTTCTGGATCACGTATACAATGGCTGCCAAAAATGGTATGGTGAATAGAAAATATGCCTGTGCCATGAAAAGTAGAATTATTTGAGCGATTAGCTTGAATACTTGGCTTCCCAATGCGGCAATCTGGCCGGGGAGCTGACGATCCACTTGTTTCATGTCTTGACTGAATCTTGATAAAGTGGTAGCAACCATATCGGTAGATGTAATGAAGGAAAGCGGAGCGTTGATAACAGTCCGGATAAGCTGATTATGAAGTTTTTGTCCAGATGTGGGAACAACCAATAGGGAAACAGTTGCGGTTCCAGTTAATGAGAGCCAGTGTCCAAGAGCAAGAATGAGGTAAATGATCAGGTAGAACCATGTTCGTTGGTCGCCGTTCTTATCGACATTGGCAGTCCACAAGCGAAGCCAATTTTGGATCAGCATTGTGAACACAGCGGCGGACATCAAAATGGTAATCGTAGCCATGATTCGTGATGCCCCAATTGCTTTGATATAATACTGATAAATAGCACAATCCCCGATTTGCCGTACTGAATTCAATGATCGCTTTGGTTTGGAGTTTTCTAGACTTGAATCTATAATTGGTTTCTCTTCCTGAGTCAAATCTGTCGAATTTTCGAGAGTAGTTTCTTCTTCCGTTTCTGTGGCGACGGACAAATCTTGGGATTTGAGTTGACCCCAGGTGCCTTTCTGAGATATGGATCCCTCCGTATCTAAAGTGAATATGAGATCCGAGAGGGAAAGAAATTGCGCTGAATAGACCAATAAGTGACATTTTCGGCATAATAATGGGCATCGATAGATTGGACTTACTTGAATGTGTGATTAAAACAACAGTCTTCTTCAGCTCACGAAGTAGACCGGATGGCCCTATTAATCTTTGGGCTACAAGGTGTGCGGTCCGCGCATCAAGGGCACTAAAAACATCGTCTAGAACCAAAATATCCAATTGAGAGTATATGGCGCGAGCAACAGTCTTGCATCTTGTTAGGCCTCACGAACATGTAGAGCATCGGATGATTACATACCACTCGCTGCTTCTGACCTCCTGACAGAGAAGTCCCTCCAACAAATGTCTTATCGCCATTAGGAAGTTGAGCTAAATCATCATCCAAGTCACAGGCGAAAAGCACTTTTTGGTACCATTTCTCGTCTGTTATCTTCGACCCCGGAGGCCCAGCAATCAAATCTCGAATTGTGCCATTTGGCAACCACGGGGATTGAGAGCAGAATGCCATTTTTCGCGAAAAAATTGAGATAGATCCGCTCTCAGGCTGTAAGTCTCCTATAATTGTTCTTGCAAGTGTCGTCTTGCCTGATCCGGTTATACCTTTGATCATTACGACCCAACCTGCTTCTATCTCAAAATTGATCTTCTTCAGTACAGGGCGATCCTCGGTATCGAAACGGACCGAAACATCTTGAAATTTGATAGCGTAACCACCTCTGGAGTGATTAGCTATATCCGTCAAATCTTGGTTCAATAGATCAACAAGTTCTGGGTTGATCCCTGTTTGGTGAGTGAGATCTAAGTGTCTGTTTTCGTGTGTTGGCTCCAAAAGAAACTTTTGGATTCTGTCAAAACCTGCAATGGCTCCTATAAAGTTCGGTACGATGAAAAGTATTGAATTGACCGGCAATGTGACCATTTGGATCAGTCCAAAGGAGGTAAACACTCGTTCTGTATTGAGAGGGGGGTTTCCGGTGTATTTGGCCACGACGGTATAGATACCGAGTGTAATTGCGGGGCCGACGACGTTTAAAAAACTGGCTTCATGTTGAATCAGCCTTGTCAGTGAAGGATCATATCTTCTTGGAGTGGACGGTGTACTTACCGCAGCCAGCGAGGAGAACATCAAGCCAATATGTGCTAAGACCCGCATTTAGCTCCTTTTTGCGGGCTTCTTGGACCTTATCCTCTATGCTTTGCGAGTATCCCATCATTTTGATCGACTTCAAGTGTCCCAAAAAGATTCTAATAAGGCCGATACGTGTCTGGGTTGCATCGCTCCATGCCCTTTGTTTTGATACAAAGTTTTTGGAGACATACTTCCCGCCCTGGGAAGTAACTGTATCTTTTTTAGCGGATCTGGGACATTTTCAAGTCTTTTTATGGAACATGAAGGCAAAAGCTACTCACTCACAACTAGTATAACTGGAACTATACTTGCCCACCCAAGTTGCAAACTGAGCAGATAGAGTCCTACACCAAATGAAATAATGGAAGACCAAATGACATGAAACCATTGCATGGCCCTCTGCACGTCCTCAACATCATTCCCTATGAGTGTAATAGCAGAGTGGTTACTGTCGTTGCTGGAGATGAGAGACTTATGATGAATAAGGCTCATCAATGATCCTTTAGACACAATGGTCACTCTCCTCTGAGCAGTATCTCGTCTACCTTTAAGAACCTGGATTCATCGTAAATAAGAATGCCAAAGGAGAAATCATGAGTGGACTCACAGCTAATCCGAGGTAGATTTTTAAAGTTAAAAGGATTAGTCCGAACCCTCTCAGCTCTCGCTGACCGTCAGGGTCTGGGGTGTTAACGAAGCGTATCAACAGGGAGATGAGGACTGGCTGCATATATTGAAGACCCATCGCGGCTAGCATGAAAGGAACGACTCTGATATTTTCCCAGAAAGTGCACTTCACCAACGCGAATGCAAGCTCGTATCTTCTCTCTGGCTTTGGTCTGATTTCCCAGTAATGCTTCATCTTCTCTCGTAAGAGCTGAGAGGACAGATCTCTTGGGAGTTGAGGAAGATCTTCAATTTCGAATAGCTCATATCGTCCTCTCCGCAATAAGGAATTCACCCACCAGAAAAACGACTGGCTGAAAGAGCTCTCGGTTTCTTCGAATGACAGGCCTTGCCATGGCTCGCGGAGAATTGAGCGTTTGCTCTGCAATTCTAGAATCAAAAGCACTGTCTTTGCTATGATGGTGGCCTCGCTGAGTACTGAAATTCGACATTGACCTATATAGCGCAGCAAGAATACCTGCAGCAGATCACGACTTATAGAGAGTATCAGAACGCCATTTAGCAAGTTAAATGGGCGCTGAGAGCGACTGTGGTTGGAGAACGATAGATATGGGATGATCAACCCGGCTGCAAAAGAACCAGCAGCTGAGTAGAGGTAAGGTGGATGGGATCCGGTTTTGATTTCAAAAACCAAGCTCGCTAGATCGAGAAGGGCCAATACAACTGCTATTAACTATTATCGACTGTCAGACTATTTTTTGTTCTAGGGTTGTTGGGAATGATGAATAGAATACCAGTTTGCAAATGCCTCGATAGTTCGGGACCACTTTGATTGGTTGCTTTCGGAGGCGAAGGAAGTTGAATGGTGCACAGAGTAAGAAAATAAACGTCGGTACTATTGCAATGAATATATCGAAGGAGAGCTCTCTTAGAAAACCAATCGCCACAAAGCTTGGTGCACGCTGTGAGGGTAGGCAGAGTCGCTGCTCCCCCACAACATAGTCCGCAGTCATCCAATCATCCATGTTGACACATTCGAGTTGCTTGAGACCAACAATAGAGAGGTGACGATGGAAATGATTCAAAGAGCATGAGCATGAGCTCCCCTGGTAATTTATTCATTTGGCTAAATAATTATCACCGCCTAAATTACAACTAGTCACCTCAGGTGGCGTTTATCACCCCCTATAGGCTAACTGATTGTAAGCTAGACAAGGGTGTTTTCTGGCCCCTGTCCTTGCGATATCTGATTCCACTATCAAATCTCGTCTTGACCTCTCTGGTGGATCATCTTTGTCCTAGTCGAATCCTTTGGGTGAGGGGCATTGGGCCGAACACTGGGCCAGCGCTTGCGTGCTACAGGGGTTGTAGGGTAACTGACTGGCCGCGTGTAGGTCTTTGAAAGCCTCTATCTTCACTGCGGGGGCCGTCGGAGCCCCGTCACTAGCTAGCTACTTTGGTTAATATGTGCGAGTCACCTCGTACGGAGTACACTTGATATGTTTCAAACGTCCAGAGAGCCCTGGAGATCTGGAAGCATCTGTTAAAGCCTGCCCCATTTTGTAAGTTATCGCGGGATCATCCGCGTTGATGAGTGGAGTAGACAGTTTGGAGAGCAAATGGGTGATCAAGCATAGGCTTGGCACAGGAAGTTAAGGCGGAGAGGCCTTGCCTCTAGATAGACTTTACCGCGTATTGCACCGCTTCCTATACTGTAAGCTCTACATAGATAGAAAACTAGGTGGAAAGACAGGTAGAAAGACTACTAGAAAGGCTAGTGGAAAGATAAGTAAATGAATGAATTTTTTCTAGATAGCTTAGATTTTGCTCGTAAGCATTGGAAAATTTTCTCAAAAAACTTGGCTATATAGACCTCCAGGGCTGCATAGTTGAAGTTATTGTATTACAAGTATCGTGATTTTCTGCCGGCATGGGCCATTTGGCAGCAGATGCCGCTATTTTCGGCGTCAACCTCATAGGTCCTTATTTTGTTATGTATGTTAAAAACAAGACGAAATCGATCTCGGATGCATTGGGTATTCCTGTCCATAAACTCCAAAAGAAATGAAGACAAAAATCGAGAAAAAAATAAGAAAACGCCCCGTAATTGAAAATATGGTTGTAAGCAGCCTCCGAGCTTCGCTGCAAGCTTCGCTGCCACTTATATTGTGCAAAATGGCCAGACATGGTGGAAGCATATCGCAAATAGCCAGCCTTAGCCGCGGGATGATGCTGCACGGCTGCCAAAGTCCCCAATGACTGACCGGAGACGTGCCACGCGCTCCTCAAGCTCCGCAATCTCTGCTTGTTGGTCTGTTACCGACCGGTGTATATCAGGGAGACCCTCCACGACTGTTCGTGCCTTCTGGATTCGAATTTTCACCGAACTCGTCTGAGTTGGCAGATCCTTAACGTCGAGTGGAGGTTGGGTATTGGGGCCGAGAGAAGGGACCTCTGGTACACCCTGTGATGTTGGAGCACCGTTGTTCCCATTGTCTGTGAGGCTGGAATTTGCGTGTTGGCTTTGTTGATTTCCTTCCGTCGAAGCCCCTGGGGCACCTGGACCATCTCCATGGCCGCCAGCACCGCCGTTGGAAGCATTCGCAGGAGATAACAAGCGAAGGAGTATACCGTGGAGTGGTGGGATAATCTCAAAGGTCTGCGGTGAAGGGAAAGGCGCGGTCTGTGGAGATACGGTCGCGTCTTTGGAGGGACTCTCAGGCGCAACAGAGGATTTTAGCAGCGGCGTAGCTGCAGCCGAGGATCTGGAAGCCATTGTCGCGGGTTACCAGGGCAATATCGGAACGCGGATATGAATTTCAAGGACTTGGAGAAAACCCGTTAAGGTTGGCCCGAGACTGGAGTGAGTGTGTAGGGAAGAGTCGGAACGGCACGGTGACGTCGCGGGAGAACCAAAAGCGTCACCGGGAAATGCCCCTCCTTCACCGGCCTACCATTTTTTGTCCTATCTCTGTTTCCCCCAGATTTCCCCTTCTTTCCTAACCATCTGGAAAGGTAAGAAAATCCAGTGATACCATTGCCATGCGTATGGCGTTTTAGTTCAGCCATTGATCGTTGTTTTAGGTGTGATTATCATACAACATCTCCACCCCCACCATGGCCAACCAAAAAGTCGCTTTGAGTATGACCATCCCGGCCACCCAGGTCCCCAGATCGATCTTCCCGTCAGGCTAACATGACCTTGCAGTTGTCATCGATGGCTGGGGTATTGCTGGCCCCAACTCACCCCCTCAGGGTGATGCCATCGCCGCCGCCGATACTCCTTTCATGTCCAGTTTCGCCGAAAAGGACTCCAAGACTGCCCAGGGCTACACCACTCTCGATGCCTCTTCCCTTGCCGTCGGTCTCCCCGAGGGCCTTATGGGTAACAGTGAGGTCGGTCACCTGAACATCGGTGCCGGTCGTGTTGTCTGGCAAGACAGTGTCCGCATTGATCAGACTCTCAAGAAGGGTGAGATGAACAAGGTGGAAGCCGTTGCTAAGGCCTTCACTCGCGCCAAGGAGGGCAATGGCCGTCTGCACCTGGCTGGTCTCGTTTCCGACGGTGGTGTTCACTCCAACATTACCCACCTGTTCGCCCTGCTCGAGGTTGCCAAGGAGTACCAGATTCCCGAGGTCTACATCCACTTCTTCGGTGATGGCCGTGATACCGACCCCAAGAGCGCCACTATCTACATGGAGCAGCTTCTGGCTAAGACAAAGGAGCTTGGTGTTGGTGCCATTGCCACCGTTGTTGGCCGTTACTACATCATGGACCGCGACAAGCGCTGGGAGCGTGTCGCCGTCGGCCTGAAGGGTCTGGTCACTGGCGAGGGTGAGGACAGCTCAGACCCGCTTCAGACCATTAAGGAGCGCTACGAGAAGAAGGAGAACGACGAGTTCCTGAAGCCCATCATCGTTGGTGGCCAGCAACGCCGTATTCAAGGTTCGTTATTCATTCCCTAAAAAGAAGAGCATACCGAAAGTTACAATCTGTCTAACTCCATATTTTAGATGATGACACTGTCTTCTTCTTCAACTACCGCTCTGACCGTGTTCGTGAAATCACTCAGCTGCTGGGTGATTACGACCGCTCCCCCCTCTCTGACTTCCCCTACCCTAAGAACATCTCCCTCACCACCATGACCCAATATAAGACCGACTACACTTTCCCCGTTGCCTTCCCTCCTCAGCACATGGGCAATGTCCTCTCCGAGTGGTTGGGCAAGAAGAGCCTTCAGCAATGCCACATTGCCGAGACTGAGAAATACGCACACGTTACTTTCTTCTTCAACGGAGGTGTTGAGAAGCAGTTCCCCGGTGAGATCCGTGACATGATCCCATCTCCCAGAGTCGCCACCTACGATCTCGACCCTAAGATGAGCGCCGCCGAAGTCGGTGTCAAGATGGCCGAGCGCCTTGGTGAGGACAAGTTTGACTTCGTCATGAACAACTTCGCCCCTCCTGATATGGTTGGCCACACTGGTGTGTACGAGGCAGCCATTCAGGGCGTTACTGCCACCGACAAGGCCATTGGTGTGATTTACGAGGCCTGCAAGAAGAACAACTACATTCTCTTCATCACCGCTGATCACGGGTAAGCGTCCATACATGATTTTTATTCACGTTCAAAGCTAACATTCTTTGACAGAAACGCCGAGGAGATGCTCAACGATAAGGGTACCCCCAAGACTTCCCACACCCTCAATCACGTTCCTTTCGTTATGGCCAACGCCCCCGAGGGCTGGAGCCTTGGTAACGAGAGTGGTGTCCTGGGTGATGTTGCGCCCACTGTCCTCGCTGCTATGGGTGTTGAGCAGCCCGCTGAGATGACTGGCAAGAGTCTGCTGGTTAAGTCATAGATAGATAGAGTTTCTTTTCGCACATACGCATCGGGTTAGGGAAATGAATCAATGAATAATTTGGAATGTTGACAATCACTTTTTGCATTGAGGGCTGAAAACAATAAAACCGATAGAGCCCGATAGAGAACCTTGCCAATGAGAATGATCAAGCCGCAGTAGGAGATTGGCTCAATCAAATCTACTTCCTCGATGAAGTATACTGTCGAGCGTTTAGCATCAACACCTACCGGGCTGCGAGCTCTTCCTACCTGCAGATACATTGCTATCTAAATAGAAAGAGGTCGATATATGCCTTTTCATGCATCTGTGTAGATAGAACCATACATATATAGGTTTATTCGAACTATTTTCATCATAAATGGTTCATGAAAGTGAGCCCTGGAGTCCTCAGCTACAGCTTTCTGGTTTGTACAAAACTTCATTGGGTATAATATTTTCCAAGTGTCTCCACCAGGTATTGCGGTTTAACGGGTAAGACGCAAAGTCGCAGTATCCAGCAGGACATGGACCTTATTAGCGTGAACACGCGGCGTCTTTTTGCTTTCCTCGGCAACAGTCCAGTCCGATCGTGGGTGAAACCCTTGCTGGACGTAATATAGTTCGTTCTCCATCAATTCCCACCATACCAAATGTCTAGCATCAATCCCCAGTCGTATCTTTCATGGCAGTGATAGCTTATGCGGAGGCAGCGGCAGCCTGTTGTTGTTGGGCCTGGGATTGGATTTGTAACATCTGGATGATAGTTAGCATAGGGTCATGGATAGATGACCGATGCTTGTATTCATGATATTTACCTCACTGCGCTTCTCTTCGCTCTTGTCTTGCTTATCTTCGATTTCCTTCTCGATTCGCTTACTATAAAGCATGCGTTAGTGATAGTCGTTTGTGAATCAAGACCATGCGCACTAACATCTCCTTCTCGATGAACTCCAACCGGCCATTGACAGCCATAGTAGCCTCGGCCTTGTCCTGCTTCAACAGCACCGGTCCGACCATTTTGTAGATATTGGATTCATCGTCCAGCTGGGCGAATTCGCTCTGCACACCTTGGTTCTCTTGCTGCTGCGACTCGAGCTTCTGACGGGCATCGACGAGACCCTCAAGCTCTGTCAAAATAATTAGCCATCACAATATCTATAGCACACTGAAATTAAATGATCAGCTTACCACCCTGCAGCTGCTGAAATTCGTCCGAGATGGCCTGAATCTTTTTTTGAGCATCCATGTCGACGGTTGGCGGGGAGGTGGGAGAAGGGAAAACCGATTGACGTCTGCCCGCCCGTCAACAACCTCCCTTCCCTTTCCCCTCCAACTCCAGCTCCAACTCCAAACTCCAATCCTCCTCCACCACCAGTACTTGCCCTGTGAATTCCTACCCGCACGACTGCATTTCTTCCATACGTCTACCATATATCTCCTCCCTATTCGATTCACTCGCGACTCCCACTTTCAAGCTTCTGCCTAGAACGAACGACACGCTACCCACTTCCACCTCCCCGCTTTAACCGCTCCGCGGTTCACTTACCACACACCCCTACGAAACCTGCCGAACGGGCCAGGAAAAGACATTCGTCGACATGAGTAACACGGATTTTCTGGGGCGGGCGATTGACACGGTTAAGAAGGCGATCGAAAATGACAATGAGGGCGAGTACGAAAAGGCTTATCAGCTCTATTACTCCTCATTGGAGTTGTTCATGCTGGCCTTGAAATGGGAGAAGAACCCTCGATCTAAGGAAATGATCCGGGCGAAAACGGGCGAATATATGGATCGCGCGGAGAAGCTGAAGAATCATTTGGCCTCGGCGGAAGGGAAGACAAAGCCCAGCGCGGTTGGCGCGAATGGCAAGGTAGCGCAAGGCAGTGGTAAAGGGTAAGATTCTCACATGCTGTCCCTTTGATTTGATTTGGCTCCCGTCGGTCTCTCTTGAGCGCTACTACGCGTGGAATACTTAGATTGTTAGGCCCAATGTACGGTTTGATCTTGAATGGCTAGGCTGACACAATTCGGTGGCATAGGAAAGAAGATGATGATAATGGCGAAGATGCGGATGCGAAGAAGCTTCGCTCGGCCCTCCAGGGTGCTATTCTCTCCGATAAGCCCAATGTTAAATGGGAAGATGTTGCAGGTTTGGAGGCTGCGAAGGAGTCCTTGAAGGAGGCGGTCATTCTCCCTATCAAGTTTCCACATCTGTTTACGGGTAAACGACAGCCATGGAAGGGTATTCTTCTATATGGTCCCCCGGGTACTGGTAAATCCTATCTTGCCAAGGCCGTTGCGACGGAAGCAAACAGCACCTTCTTCAGTGTCAGCAGTAGTGACCTGGTATCGAAGTGGATGGGTGAAAGTGAACGGTAAGGGTCCCTCTACATCAGGTAACCGAGCCTGTCTTATCAGAACATAGACTAATGATTTCCACAGACTTGTTAAGCAATTGTTCAATATGGCTCGTGAAAACAAGCCTGCAATTATCTTCATCGACGAGGTTGATGCACTGTGTGGACCTCGTGGCGAAGGCGAATCTGAAGCATCTCGACGTATCAAGACTGAATTGCTTGTTCAGATGGATGGTGTCGGCAAGGATTCAAAGGGCGTTTTGATTCTAGGCGCAACCAATATTCCCTGGCAATTAGATGCCGCTATTCGGCGACGATTCCAACGCAGAGTTCACATCAGCTTGCCCGATCTCAACGCGCGGATGAAGATGTTCATGTTGGCCGTGGGCTCTACACCGTGCCACATGACCCAGGCTGATTATCGGTCACTAGCTGACATGAGCGAGGGCTACTCTGGTAGCGATATCAGTATTGCAGTGCAAGATGCTCTAATGCAGCCCATTCGCAAAATCCAAACAGCAACTCATTATAAAAAGGTGAGTGCATTATTCGCTTCTTGAGCATTGCTTGAAACTTTCCAACTAATTGAACTATCCTCCAGGTTGTCGTCGAAGGAGAGGAGAAGATTACACCCTGCTCGCCAGGTGATGCCGGTGCCATGGAAATGAATTGGCTCAGCGTCGAAGCAGAGAAGCTCTTAGAACCACCTCTGGTACTTAAGGACTTTATTAAAGCGGTTCACAATTCCAGGCCTACAGTCAGCCACGAAGATCTTACGCGAAACTCGGAATGGACCCAGGAGTTTGGCAGCGAGGGTGCTTGAAGTGCATATATGTACACCTTTCTAAAGCTTCCATTTTATCTCTCATTTCCTGTTCCCTCGAGTGATACTCGAGGGTGCTTGGAAATATACCATTCAAAGCTCCTTGACTTGAAACACCCCCTACCTTCCTCCGTCCTGACTATTCATGCCCTATGTTTCAGGCTCGGGTCGGGATGGTGAGGCTTCAGCATGGGGTGGGTGCATACGAAGAATCTGGCGTTCAACAAACGGCAGAGATCTCTTGTTTTATTTCGTTTTCTTTTCTTTTCTTAGTTAATGTTTTTGTCTTCCATCGAGTATTTTTTGGCAATGGCGAGGGCGTTTGTTGAGCAAATATCCATGTGTTTTTATTCCAAAAGATCTCCTGTCCATAGGACCTACGAAGAAGTTGTGATACATATCTGGTAGAGACTGCTAGTAATACATGAAGAACTTTGAAGTATTGTAGAATCTGAAGTCGTAAAATGTTTCAATTGCATTTAACACAAGTCGACGCCCGAATTAGTTTGACTTCCAAGTCTGCATGATGATGCTTTCCACGATATCGTCCGACTTGACACTTGTGCTCAAGAGTTGCAAAAGGGTCATCTCGACACCAAAGGTCTTCATAAGCCAAGTTCGCATCTCCGCGGCGATCAAACTATCAATACCATATCGCGTGATTGGGGCCTGGGAGTTAACATCCTGTTTTTCAAGTCCCAGTAGTCTTGCAAGGTGTTCAACTACACCATCCAGAGCGATATTCCTAGCTTCTGTTTCTGTACTGGCTGTTTCGATATTTGCACGGATCGATGAAGTTGACTTGGACTGCGAAGAGCTTGAGCTTGACTGATCACAGACTGCTTGGATGATAGATTGGAAATGGGGATTGGAATGCCACACTAGATCTGACATTCGACCATGTTGAGCAAATTTTGAATGTAGACGGGCGGGCTCGAAACCAATTGATATTTGCGCGGATGAGAGAGGATCCGCAGAATGGAAACCAAACTGTGCATCAGGATGCAATACCGTCTCTAATAGTTGCAAAAACTCAGTTTCGGAGATACCAAAGGAACCTACGCGCTCGAGCATCTGTTGAAAGGGGGTTGCTTCGCGAATGAAGCCGATTTCCTTAATCAAGCCCACCGCAAACGTGGTTGCGGGGAGACCTTGGGCTTTTCTGTGGCGGGCAAAAGCATCCTGGAATGCATTGGCGCCACAGTATGCCCCCTGTGCGAGAGTACCCATTGCAGCAACCGTGGAAGATGTCATCAAGAAGAAGTCAAGATCGTGACCAAGAGTTGCATCGTGTAGATTGAGTGTACCAGTGACTTTCGGTGCCAGAACCGACTGGATTTGAGAATGCTGAGCATTTCGGAACACGGCATCCTAATAGAAACGAGTTAGTCAAAAGCCAGGTATCAACACAAAAGAATCTTGGCACTTACACCTTCGCTCATAGCTGCATGGATAACTCCCTTGAGAGGTCTTTCACGCGAAATCTGGTGAACAGCCGCCATGACCATGTCCCGGTCTGTCACACTGCCTTGAATAATTTCCGGCTTAGCTCCCCTCGCCGCCAAATCTTCAATTAGCGATGCTGCTTCAGGTCGTTCTGCCCCAGAACGAGACAGAAAAGCCAGATGACGAGCCCCATGGTCGACCATCCAGGTTGCTAAACTCCGACCCAGGCCTCCAAGACAGCCAACCAGAAGATACGTGGAATTGGGGTCAAAAGTCACTCGTCGGGGCTTTTGAGAAAGCTAATAAAGAGCACGTCAGCCTCAAGCCTCTCTCAACATCAAAGGTAGGGGGAGCAGTAGAAAGGGTATGTGGCGTACCATCAGCTCAGACTTTGGCTTATCGAATGTGATCACGAACTTTCCGACGTGGGTGCCCTTAGCGAATTCTTTCATTGCGGCTTCGAGTTCTGAGATATCAAAAGTCTTAATGGGGGTGATGGGATGAATGGTTTTCATCTCCCACATTTCTCGAACTTCTTGCATCAATCTATATTCAGTTTAGTAATTTCCCTCGTCAGAAATTATCCTTCGGTTTAACTGACCGTGCAAATAGCCGCGGATTTTCAGTCAAGACGACTCCCATGTCAAATGAGGAGAAGCTTGCGTTGCGCTTGAAAACATCAAGACTCAGATGATCATCAGCGAGGACATTCATACGGCCAACATCGATAAAGCGACCAAATGAAGCAATACAACGCCATGACTCATGCATTGCATTGCCCGAAGTGGAGTTCAAAATAACATCAATGCCCAAGCCCTGCGTGGCACGCATGATCTCTGCTGTGAATTCCAGAGAGCGTGAGTTGAATATGCGTTCAGCTGGAATACCATAATCACTCATGAGAAGCTTTTTCTTCTCCTCGGTTCCAACAGTTGCGTATATCTTAGCGCCAACACTGCGGGCGACTTGCATTGCTGCAATTCCGAGTCCGCCTAATGCACTTTGAATCAGAACCGACTCATCAGGTTGAAGACGACCAAGATGTTTCAATGCATATACAGCAGCAAGATGAGAGATAGGCATTGACGTTGCCTCGGCGAAAGATGCGTTTGTCGGTATCTTTTGAACAAGTGTCTCATGCTGCCGCGTGTAGTTACCCATATTACCAGGCATTGCTCCAAAGACCCTGTCTCCAGCTTGCAACTTGGTGGTATTTGGGCCCACTTTTGTCACTATACCAGCAACTTCATTGCTCAGGTATGGCCAGTCAAATTTTCCCAGTGCCACAGAAAGGTCCTACGGCTAGTTAGTCTTTATCCCGATGAATTGCAAAACCCAATACCATATGTAATAGTATCCCCTGGGGCCACTTACCTTCATAATGAGGCCAATTGCTTTAGTTTCGATCTCCACCCACCCATCTGGTAGTGGTTGAAAGAAGTCGTTTTCTATCTCAAATTGAAGGGACGACAAGACTCCAGGCTGCTTGTACGAAGCACGGAAAGGGTATTCTTTATCCACAACTTGAGGGCGAACTGCATCATCGAAGCCATGAAGCAAGCTGAAAAAATTGTTCGCGGTCTTGTCAAAGACGTGTCGTGGAATATACAACGATCCGTCATCAAGAGAATATTCGTGGTCTTTTCCGAATTCGCTGGCGCCAACAGTTTGAATGCCAGTTACCACCGAAACTAAAAGCTCTGCAGCTCTATCAAGATCGGCATCAAAGCCATGATCGAGACCGATGAATGAAATATTCAAGAGTGGCTCCTCATTGCGAACTGAACGAAGAAGACCCTCCATACAAGCTGATTCTGGATTAGTCTGGTGGACTAAGCTGCCCAACGATACCCATGTTAAATTCGCAGACTTGAGAATTAGGTCTCTTAAGGCTTCGAATTGTTCTGCGGTACCAAGGATTGTTGGAGATTCAATGTCAATCAATGAGATAAGGGTAGGATTAGATGGAAGGACCGTTGTGGCGAACAATAGTTCTGTAGTAATAGGCTTCAGGCCCTTTTCAGCAAGCCTTTGTTCAAGAGCTTGAATGAGTGGCGGCGGATGATCTCGATATATCAAATATACTGCAGGTACATCTGACGATTCCTCGAGTTGCAAAGCCACAGGTAGTGGTGGTGGGAGCTTGCCAGTCACCATCACCGTAGAGATCTCTGTCTCTGAATACTGCGAAACTGTAAGTAAAAAGGCCCATAATAACGTATCCAGGGGAGATTAAAAGGCTTACATCGTTCAGCACATGTTCAACGTTGGAGAATTGGGCAGTAGATAGAACCTTGTTCCACTGTGCATGGCTCCGGAATGGAGTGAAATCTCGATCCCACCGAGCTGCCAATGTTCGCGTCATCATTTCCAACGCTAAGTCACCATTCACAGTTTGGAGAAGAATAAGCTTCCCGCCTGGCTTGAGCAGGAGGTGGATATTTTCAAGAGCGGTGGGGAGGTTATCACTCCATGTCAATGAGGGAGGTGCAATAACGAGATCATACTTCTGTGTTTCGAAGTTCTGCATCTCTAGGTCCTTGTCAAGATCAAGGGTCTGGTACAGCATATCAGGAATGTCTGCAAACCTTCCCTGGGCATCTTTGACACACCAGCCTTGAGGATCGGTAAATGTGTAGCTTTGAAACCGTTTGAATGTGTCTTCCGCATCGAGCGTATCAAGCACCGCGCTGGTGACACCTCCAGATCTACCGCAAACTTCCAGGATGCTCAAATTTGGATACTTATGGGCAAGAAGGTCTACCACTTTGCTCAGCTGCGAGGTAGCGGCACGAGTTGCTAGACCCGAGACTTCAAGCTCTCGAAGCAAATCAGCTTCCATAAGAACCTGAATGCTGTTACTTTCGCCTCTCAAGATATTTGGGAGGTGAACTGAGAGTTTTTGGAGAGCTTGAGCTTCCATAACCCCCCCCAGGCGAGCATGAATTTGATCCACGATAGTTGTATCCATCATTCCGCGATTTCCAGTCCCCTGTGCGTTGGAAACCCAGCGAACGAACTCGGAATGCCCCCCTGTTCCATTGAAGGAGAGATCCTGTGCCTTGGTAATAAATACCTCCGCTAAAGTGTCAAGATCGCGAAGCGTATCCCTTGAAATCTGTTCCTCCGGAAACAATTTACTTGCCTGGCTCCGGGACAGAAAGTCAATATCGGGCCTCCAAATAGTCCTGCAGAAAGGCTCCCGAGCAGAATTTGACCCCTTAGAATCAGACTCCATAGAGCCTCCCTCGTAGGAGATACATCGAATTTGCCCTATGTCAAGAAGGGGTTTACCGGAAGAGGAGTGTAGCTGCACACGGCCATATACCGCTCGAAGACCTTTAGCATATCCAGTTGCTATTGCCTGTCCAACTTGACTGTCATCTGTGCCCGACTCATCATTCGTCCATATAGTTGCTTCACCGACATGTATGGGGACAAATGCAGACTTCATATTTTCAACTTGCCCCGCGTTACAGCTGATCAGTATCAATTGAAGACAAGCATCTAAAGTAGCTGGATGAAGAAAATATTTTGATTCGCCCCCATTGACCATTTCGGCGGTAGGACATAGTGAAACATGAGCCTGAGAAATATTGCTTCCCCAAAATGCTTCAAGGTTGGAGAGACCCTGAAAAGCCGGTCCATAGACCAAACCCGCATCTGCAAACCTGTCATACCACCGAGTGATGTCTAGTTTTCTTGAGCGCTTGTCCGCTTTCAGTCTATCCCAAAGTATGGGATCGGTCATATCAATGCTGATCAATCCGGAGCAATGCTCCGTAAAGGTGTCGACATCGGCTTGGAAGGAGGAAATGGAAAACTGCAGCTCGATTGAAGACCGACTTCCCACGCATTTTAGTCGCTCCATGTTTAGTACTGTCTCTATACCGGTGTCTGTATCTGGAACACTAAGGGTAGAGCGTATGGCTACATTTCGTAGCTTGAAAGCACGGATTTGGACGTGTTCATCGCCACCTTCTTCTAAGCCGATTTGTCTCGCAGCTTCGACTGCCATGGTGAGATATGCAGTACCTGGCAGAACCGCGTGTGATTGAAGCTTGTGGTCTTCCAGCCAAGGGAGATCTTTGCTCCGTATAACATTTTTCCATGAGGGGTGTGTGGGTGAGCCTCCCGGCTGCCTGCTACCGAGAAGGTCATGGCGAGGAAACTTCCTCAGACGGAATTCTCTGCTGACGCGGTTCTCGTAGTAGATCGGTGTCTTTCCGTAATCATATTGGTATCCCGGCAAGTCAATGCATGGATACCCGTGGGTAAGATGTCCATTCGAGTCAGTTGCGTTGACTGCTGCAAGGTTGACCGGCGCGCCCTTCAAGAACAGTTGCCCTGCCAAGGTAAGAATGCTGAGACAATCATTTTCCCCACGCTTCAGGCTCCCAAGATATGGAGGGAGATTCACATTGTTTTCCTTCAAGGCTAAACCAATCTGCTTGATTGGTCCTCCTAGGGCTGCATGTGGACCGATTTCAATAAGCAGATTCACAGGGAATTCTTGTGCTAAGGTTTCTATGGCTGAGGAAAATTGAACAGGTGACTCGAGATTTTCTCGCCAGTAGGCTGGATCAATAGCTGCCATAGTAGGAGGCGCCTTTTGAGGTGTGACGGACGAGATCCAATGAACGGAATCATAATCTCTTGAAGGTGCATCACTAAACCCAGCTTTCTTGATTTCACACATTCCCTGGTTAACAAGAGAGGCATATACTTCTCCCACTGGAATCATGTGGTGTGAGTGATAAGCATTGCCACCTGTTTTCAGCATGCGATTGAATACTCCATCACCGTCGAGTACTTGAGCAAGGCGTGTGACCGCCTCAATTTCTCCAGAAAGGGTCAGCCCACTTGGAGAGTTGACCGCGGCAACTTTCACGTCATGCTCAAATCCTTTCATATAGATAGCAGCGTCTTCAGCCTTAAGTCCGACTGCCAGCATTGCACCTTTCTGCTGATTCCTTGACACAGCCTGGCCTCGGGAATAAGCCAGAACTATGGCCTCGCTTGCGAGGACTCGCCCTGCGGCATACGCGGCCGCAATTTCACCTAGAAAAGAAATGTAAGCTGATGATGCGAAAAGCGCAATATGTGGCTTTATATACCTGAAGAGTGGCCCACAGTTACTACAGGCTCAACATTCCACGTCCTTAAAAGATCTACCATGGCAATTTGAAGGGCCGTGCAGACTGTTTGAGACACCTCTGCCAGGTGAACCATCTCAGTGTTGTTTGTCTCTGAAAGTACTTGCTCAATTGACCAAGGTGGTCTGGTGGATAATGCGTCCAGCACACTATCCAGATATGTGATGGTTGATCGGAAGACTGCATACTCTTCAAGCAGTTTGGATCCCATTCCAGGCCATTGTGCCCCCTGTCCAGTGAATACAAATCCAAGCTTCGTGACTGGAGTGTCCGGAAGCTTCCCAAAAGTGATTGAATCGACTGGAATTGGTGGCTTGCTCTCTTCCGTAGCAGAGGAGCTTTTGACTAAGAACCCTCGGTGGTCGAATCGTGACCGACGGGCTCCTAGCGTATACAAGATATCTTCAAGATTGAAAGCGTCAAGTGTAGGACCAAATGATGCGATCTGAGCTTTTAAAGATGACTCCGTGTGCGCAGAGAATGGATAAAGCACCAATCTCCTCACTGCTGCTTCCCTTGATGGAACGAGCTGAAGGTCCTTGCGACTTCTCTCCTTATTGACAAAATTAGCCCCATTGGCCCATCCGTTGGGGAATTCATTGAGAGGTTCATTATGGCTCGGATATGGCAAGAGTGACCTGCAAATCCGAAGCCCACGCTGGATATACCCTGGCAACAGAATACTTGGATGATCGAGAATGCAGTGGGCGTTTGCACCTCCGTATCCGAATGAGTTGATACTGGTACGCTTCAGACGGTCTTTGGGCCATGGTGTTAATTTAGTAACAACTTTTGTCCTAGACCCATCAAAGTCGATAGCGGGGTTAAATTGTTTAATTCCAATGGTAGCGGGAATTAAATCATTTTCCATGCTCATTATCGCCTTCATTACCTGGGACATTCCGCTTGCTGCCTCACTATGTCCAAGGTTTGTCTTCACCTGCAGAGCAATCAGGTTAGTATCAAGAGATTCTAACAATCTATCTAGACAAAGTACTCACTGATCCGATTAATAAGGGGTCCTCAAATCGCCCTGTGGAGAATACTCTCCCCACTGCGGATACTTCTATTGGGTCTCCAACAGGTGTTCCAGTTCCATGACATTCAAGATAGCCGGTATCGTCTGGATTTAGATTACCAGCAGCCTCGTATGCCCTCCGAATCACAGCTTCTTGTCCATCTGCACTTGGTCGTGAGATACCGCCCGTCTTCCCATTCGCGTTGAATGAAGTCCCACGAATACAAGCGCGAATAGGGTCACCATCAGAGATGGCTTTTGAGAGTGGCTTTAGATAGAGTGCACCGATCCCCTCGGCGCGCGCGTAACCGTCAGCCGCTATATCAAAACTATGACATATTGAGGTAGGTGAGATAGCTCCCAGCTTCGTCGTCATGAGTTGTGCGTCTGGACTCAATATGAGATTACTTGCAGCCACAACTGCGGCGTCACAATCATTATTCCTGATTGCGTTAACTGCTAGATGCATAGCGTATAGTGACGCTGAACAGGCCGTGTCCACGACCATACTGTGCTAAATGTCAGTGAAAATTCGCATATGATGGTTTCCATGTGTTTGATCACCTTGGACCTTGCAAATCGAAGATATAGCTGAGACGATTGCTCAAAATTGTAGTTCCTGATCCCGTGACAGTATATGGTAAGATGTGATCAACGTCGCGATGTTGCATTGTCTCATGATCATTGTTCATGTTTCCAACGAACACTCCGGTCCTGGAACCGCGCACGCGATCTAATGGCTCCCCTGCAGACTCAAAGGCCTCGTATGTGACTTCAAGAAGTTTTCGCTGGGCTGGATCAAGGGTAAGAGTCTCCGTGGGTGATAAACCAAACAGACTGTGGTCAAAATCCTTCGCATTTTCGTTCAGAATAAACCCTCCCCGGCTGACCATACTGCCTGGGCGTTCACGGTTGGGATGACGGAATGCATCTGGACTGAATCGATCAGGCGGAAATTCAGAGAATCCGCTTTTACCCTCTGCTAAGAAGTCCCAGAGCTTCGAAGTTGAGGTGTTTCCGCCCGGGAATCTGCAGCCTGTCTCGTGTCATCAGTACTTTTTCCTTGCTTCTGGGAAGGCCATTGAAGATCACATACCCATGCCCACAATGGCAATTGGCTCCGGTGCAGATGTGTTCCCCAAGAAGCTGGCTTCATTTTGAGATGGTATTGCTGCTGGATTTAATGTATATTGCTGTTGTGAATGTGGTTGTTGTAGGGGTTGAGTTTGTTGGGTAGATGAAGCAGCGGCTGTGAGCTCATCAATATTTTCCTGAAAAGCAAGAAGTTGCTCTTGAGACGCCTGGCTAGACGACACAGCTGTCATCAATGCTTTAAGTTCAGGATCAGCATCAGACCGAGCCTCAAGCATTTGAGTGACAGGATCAAGTTTCATGTTGCTAGATTGTAAAGGGTCTTGTGAATGGAGGGTATCAAAAAGGAACCCAAGAATGAAAAATATTGAAATTGAAATTGAAAATAAGAAGCAGAAAGTATCGGGAGATGCAGATAGGCAACTCCTTTAAGTCTAATGGCTCTTTCGCTGGCCGTAGTCCTATCTAGAGATTGCGCGGTGTCTATCATTGAAATAGAATTACTGTTTATGATATCGTATCTTCTATTGTAAACTCTGAAAGATACGTTTAGTAGCCGCTGGCCCCCGCCTCCACTGGTTACTATAAGGTTTAAACAGGTATCTAAACGATGGGTTGTCTTTTAGGGGCCGGTCACATCGAAATTCCATTACACGTACCGTTCAACATCGTCATCTAAACCCTACATATGTCATACCAAGTCCTTGTTTATGTTTGGCACCGGTTGCAGAACCTAATCGGGTATAGCGTACAATTGCTACTAGCAGGGGTTGAAGTTCCGCAGCCAATGGCTTAATTTTTGGCCCCCTATGCAACATTGATCGGAGGGGGCTCGAATGAGACAGGAAGTCCGAAAATGACACTTAGTAACAAATGCACAAGAAAAAAATGTACATAGGACGTGTGGCAATCTTTTCCAGTCTGGGGGCGAAGCCGCGTTAGGATCTGACGTCGATTAGGTGGATCTGTATCTGAAGACTTCGAGGGCTGAAGCGAGGCTACCAGCGGATCTAGGCTATGACGATCGTAGTAAGGGGCCGTTTACATTAGACCGTGGGGCCGAGAGAAGAAGATACGTATCGAGCTTAATTCTGTATGTTTGAGGTGTTATTTATAGTATTCCTCGGTAATTCATTGTCTGGAAGAGAAAGGAACTTGAAGGATGACACAGTACTACTACTGGTTTAGAGTTGAGCTATTATGTACTCTCTTATCTTCGGCGTGTGAGAAAAAAGTATAAAATGGCACTGTATTACTTTAACATATTATAACTTCAAGTTTAGCTCATTCTTGAACTCAATACCTACAAATTAAAGGCATTATACTACATATAAAAACTACGTCTGTTGTCGCCGCGCAGAAAATGTCTGACCAGGTAACCCCCCCGAATAGCTCTGAAAGCTCAGAAGGTTTCTACGATTTTACTTTTAGGCTAACGGTGATCCAATTTGAATCAGTCCTTGATACTAGCAAATGCTGAGCAAGTGCTGAGTCAAGCTCAGAAATTAGTGAACTACTTGAAGGAAAACCAATCTGGTGAAATAACCTTCAAAGCCACAACTGCCCCCACCCCAAACAACAGCCACTATGATGCCCTTCGCTTGCCTCTTGCTGAGTCCTTGGAGGATCTTAATCTCCTCGTCAATGGACCGATGCAATGGCTAAGAAAATATATCTGCTCCTTTCATGAACTATCAGCTTGGCAGGCTGCACTCCGTCGTCGGCTCTTCTCCCTGGTCCCTTTGGATAAGCCCATTCATTTTCGAGACCTGGCCACAGCTGCGGATATAGATGAGGACCGCCTGTGTCGAATCATGAAGGTACTGACTACCCGGCGATGCTTTGAGGAACTCACCGAGGGAGTGTTCGCCCATTCTTCACTATCTGCGTCCATTGCTCAAAATAAGGAGTTGGAGTTGTGTACCGCTTTTCAGCTTGATGAGATGTTTGAAGCTGCGTCTTTACTTGGAGACTCCATCGACCAGAACCCCCATTCTTATGATCCCATGACTAGTCCATTCGCGATGCGCCACGGTACCTCACCTTACAAATGGTATGCCGAGCGCCCTGAGAAAGCAGCTCGCTTTATGGCCGGTATGGCTGCCTACTCACAAAGTAAGTCAAGATTTCTTATGTGGCGAAAATCCTGTCTCTAAAAAGAAATTCTACAGTAAACCGTGACAACCAGATATTGATGGAGTCGTATTCTTGGGAATCTGTCAAAGAAGACAAGATTGTGGATATGGGCGGAGGGAGCGGCCACATATCTCTGTTTTTGGCCAAGGTACTTTATTATGCATTCAAAAACTGCACTATGAAAAACCGACACTGACACAAGACGCAGCAATACCCAAACCTTGAATTCATCGTGCAAGATGTAAATCCAGACATGTTAGCGCAAGGTCCCAAATTCCCAGGATTTGTTGAGGTGAAGGATCGTGTCACATTCATGCAGCACGACTTTTTTCAGCCGCAGCCTATCCCCGGTAGTACCGCGGGCTTGTACTTCATTCGACAAATTATCCACAACTACAACGACAAGGATGCCGCGAAAATCTTCCTCAACCTAGTTCCCGCCCTTGAGCAAAATGCTGGCAAAAGCAGAATCTTGATTAATGATATGGTGCTACCGGAAGCAAATAAAATCCGCAAGGTTGAAGAAAACGCTCTGCGCCAGATCGACATGGCTATGTTGACTGGCTATGGAGCGAAGCAACGTACCGTACAGGAGTTTGAGGCTGTACTCAAGGCTGCGGATACACGTTATGAGGTACGTTTTGAAAAGATCATCTCCTTTATAAAAACGCCCAAACTTCTGATACTAACCGACTACAGATCGTGCAGGTACATGCCGAAGGTATGCTAGGATTGGTCGAGGTTAGGCTCCAAGTTTAATGGCAAAGCAAACATCCCACAAATCTAGTACAAGTGAATAAATTCTAGACCCTCAGTTTCAATAATACATATTACTTGATCTGCCAACAATATTACCAAATTTCTTTCTACAGAGCTTTGCTAAGGGCTAAGTAATGAACATGCATCAAAATCACGTACTTCAAGTTTCATGTGGCCTGGTGGCCTATGGTTGGGTCCCGAGGTTGTTGTTGTTGAGACATGATGCACAAGGTTTAAGGCCATTGGCGCCACAAATTTTATTTGGCTCCAATCGTTGCAGGCTTCACAACTAGGTCACGGTCAAAGCTTTACGGGGCTGTTACAGTACAGGTAAAAACTCGCATTGGGGGAAAAGTGTTGCTAGATGGCACCATCCGGGGGAGACCGCATGAATGATTATAGTAGGAATGACGTGTCCATGTCTTTGTGTACATAGACCCCACAGTTGCCATACATTATGCCATATCGTACATGGAGTACGGTAATGGCCGGCCCGGCCCCCACGGTCGCGAAATGGATCGACAACCGTGGAAGTTTCTTCCAAGCTACGGAGGAGTGCAAAGTGGACCTGGCGCGTAGGGCAGGATGTCTGTAAGGATTATCTACGTATCTGCCAGTGGGCAGGGATTTTTCCTATTATAGCCGAGGGATTATTTCATGTACTGCACACCTGGAAATTTGGGGATGTAAGCTCAAAGTTGAAAGGAAAACTACATACAAAGGACCTGTTTTATTCGAACGGCTTTGATCTTATTTTCAATGTCCATACATTCTCCCTTTCAGAGGTTTCACACTTTCAGCCGAGGTTTGACAAACTATCTTTTTTTTCGTTTCTTCCATATATCTTCAGCTGGTTTATTCCTGTTTTCAAGCAGGAGAGCAGTATAACAATCATCTGAAGTAGAATTGGTGCGGGGCAGGAAAGGGATCTACAGCCAGATCTAGTTCATTCTTGGGCCAAATAGGTTGAAAAACGAGAAAACAAAAGCAAAAGCAAAAAGTTAAGGATAATAATGACGATCAGTTGTCAGTTCAGAAGCTCCAGTGAACTACTAATTACATACTGTTTGGCCCTCCAACCGTCGGATCGCTCGGCATGTTTGGACGCCTGTAGATATTCCAACTTAGAGTCGCTACCTTGAATAGTCGCTTTCGCTGCAGCGTAGCGAGCTGCCGATCCCTGCAGGTCTGCCAAAATAGCAATGTATGCGCAGGCCCAGAAATCTATACATAATCTATCAACTTTAGCGCTGAATACCACTTTTTGAGTTTCTTTCACATTAATACGGCACCTCGGCGGGGGCTAAATCGTCATCATGTAACCTACCCATGTGAGTGAAATTTTCGGCCCCTATGCACATACATGAATGTGCGCATGGGTGGATACACCCAAATGTCTACAGGGGTCTTGCACGACTCAAGTGCTACCCTCGAGACCCCTGTCGGACTCATCTGTGATTCGTATGCGGAGGTGTAAACAAAATACTGAATCCATCAACTGCTTGAAAAAAAGAAAACAAAGAAAACAAACTGTATTTTGAATTATGGTTTAAATGCACCTTAAATGCTCTTTGTTTTCACAGCTCTTCGCACTGTTTCCTCAACTCCTTTCATTGCTATTATATTCTTCGGTTACTCTATTTGACCTTCCACGCTTGGAACAATTGCTACAATATGGCCGAGGTACAAGGTTCTTATCACCCTGCTTTCAACACAGTGCGAGATCTCTTGCAGCAAAAGATTGCAGATGGTAGTGAAAATGGCGCTTCCCTTGTTATCAATATCGACGGCAAAGATGTCGTGGATCTCTGGGGTGGTTATAAAGACCTGAGCCAGTCTAAGCCATGGGACAAAGACACTATCGCTTGTATTTGGTCGTCTACCAAAATTCCTACTCTCTTGGCTGCTCACATCCTTGTCGACCGTGGCCTTTTGGATGTAAATGAGAGAGTCGCGACATACTGGCCTGAATTCGCGGCAAATGGCAAAGAGAACGTGAAGGTTTCCCATATCCTGAGCCATTCTTCTGGAGTTCCTGCCTTTGATGGCGGAATCACTATCGAGCAAATGCAAGATGAAGAGACAGCAGCTAAGCGGCTTGCAGAGCAAGCTCCCTGGTTCCCACCAGGAACCCAAAGTGCATACCAATATACCAACTACGGTCTTCTAGTGGGTACGATCGTTCAGCGTATCACGGGACAGCCTTTAGCCCAGTTTATTTCTGAAAATATCACTACACCTTTGGGGGTTGATTTCCAGCTTGGTCTCTCCGAGAAGGATGAGCCGAGGACTGCTGAGAATATTCCGTTCCCACCGGAAACTGTACCTTCCTCAGAAGGCCTTGATCCTACTACAAGTATCTTACTTCGATCTCTTATCGGATCTTTGTTAGATCCTACAACCCCTAGTAACCCAACATTCAGAAAGTCTCAGAACGGAGCTTCAGGAGGATTCTCGAATGCACGTGCTTTAGCAACTATTGGATCTATTGTTACTCTTGATGGTGTCGTCAATGGGAAAAGGATTCTTTCCTCCCAAACTGTTGATAATATGCTGAAGGAGCAAATCAGATTACCTGACGAAAATATCATGACAAACTCCCGCTTCGCCCTTGGACTTGCACTTCCATCAAGCGATGGAGTGCTCCCATATGTCCCAGAAGAAGAGGGCATTAGTTTTTGGGGCGGTTTCGGAGGGTCTGCGGTCATCATGGATCGCGGCCGGCGGATGACTATATCATACATCCCGAATAAAATGGAGTTCAGGGTGGTTGGAAATTCGCGCTTTGATGTTTATTTCCCCGAGATCTACAAGGCTTTTGAGGCTTATGGCAAGGCTTAGGCGATGTGACAGACGATTGGAGAGATTCTGCTGATTAGGAATTGGAATGTCAAGAACGCTTTTACCTTTTTCCTTTCCCTCATCAACGTTGACTTTTTTTTTATGCACACCTTTGCTCTTTTGTAAGCTTGATTATTGTCTTCAACATAGGTTTCATAAAGGAGCTTCAATCAACCAAGTCAGTGTCCGCCTGGGTGAAATAAAAACAAAAGAGATAAACGCAGTAGAATTATAAGCTATGCAGTAGATCAAGGATCAAGCGACGGTCGTGGGTTCAAGCTGTGAGTAAAATGACCTTGGGACTTGACACAGTAGTCGATAGAGCCAGAAGAAACCGCATCGGATCGCTTATTTTCTCAGAGAACCTTATTTAACGAATCAATTGCCAAATTTAGAACGCCTCGCCAACAACCCAAGCCCAGAATAGAATTAATGACCCTATCTGCCATTTAAATAAAAATTACGACTCGAGTTCACCCATCACACAGTATGGTGGTACCTGATCAGGATTTCATGGATTGTGGAGTACAAGGATTATTTTCTTCATGATATCAAGAAAGGGTGAAGGTTGAATCTGCAGCGGTTCTTCAGCTTGTACTGTACATTTAGTGTTGTTTACGCACGCTAGAGCTGCTTCGGGCTCCCTCCGTGATTCTTCATTTGGTGGCTTGTGTACTGTACTTTCCACTTTATGATTTTTGTTTGCCCCCTTGGGTACGTCATGCAAGACCACCCACCTGCATGAGCCTCGCACTTCAAGTTGCCACCCATCTCGCTCAAGATCAAATTAGATCTCAGCCACACGTTGGTCAAAGTTGATACTGATCATCGCTCGCGGGGACTTAGAATGATCAATTTCATCACTGAAAGGAAGATGTTGTGCGGGGGGGTGGGGGGGGGCGGGGTACTAACGGAGTAGATTTACCACGCTCTTAATCCATGCAACCCTCCTTTCTGGATCAGTTTAGTCTGTAATTTTCTCATAGGCTCAAATGCGAACACTGCTCCCGGGTAGAGGGGGATGCAGAGTAGCATACATGGTGTCTGCAGATCTGCAAATTGGGGCTAGAAATGGGGGCCAGGCGGGCTTGTCATACCAAAATTACAAGTAAACATTTTTACCTATATGGGAATTCTCGACCATTTTTGTTTTTGAATTTTCATGTTGATTGGGACTTTTAACTGTCAGGCGCGCTGAATTCCAAACGACCCTGGTCTTGTCCAGGATCTTCTTTCCCCCCGCAAAACACATCCCCAACTGCAGCTGCATACTGGTATTATTTTCTCATATCAACTAAGCCAGCTGTTGGCCATTATTCTTCACAGCCTTTTGTTTATACGATAATATCCTCCTAATCACTTCAATATGAAGCACATTGGCGACAGTGGCTCCGCAAACCTTGGGGCCAGCATCTCGATGCTGATTTTATCCACGGTAGCTGTAGGACTTCGGCTCCTCTTTCGACTGCAAGCTAAGCAAAGACCTATATTATCTGATGTCTTTGTCATGTTCTCTTTGGTTTTTGCATTCGTCTGGTATGGCTTTAATATCAACTGTAAGTTGCATAATATGACCGCACGTGGTCGACTATTGATAGCTGATACCTGGACAATAGACATTACCCAAGGGCCAGGACCTGGCACTTATGATTTAACGGAAATCATGGCAAGTTTACAGATCGGGGGCCTTACGTGGGGGAATGCTTTGATGAAGGTAACTTCCCGAATGACTCAAACTTGAATATACTGAGGGCTTTGGTTACTGACCTATCTTGGGTATGTAGATGTCTTATTTTGGGGAAATATTCTTTACTGCGGCCATCTCCTCGGCAAAACTCTCAATTCTATCCCTTTACCAACGCATTTTTGGTATCTCCGTCCCATTCAGACGCTTCAATTACTTTATGGATGGGGTTGTGGTGGTTTTGTGGATTATTTTCACATTCCTCTTCATTTTCCCCTGCCATCCCGTATCTAGGTATTGGAACCTAGCAGAGCAAGAACTGTCTCCTGGTAGTTGTGTGGAGGAAGCACATCTCGTCTTTGCTTTCGAATTTACGAATCTGATCGTGGATGTTGTGATGCTGGGAATGCCACCCTTCATGATCAGTCAACTCAATCTACCCAGGGACAAGAAATGGTCTACTTGTGGCATCCTTCTTCTCGGTGGAATGTAAGTTATAAATGGCAAAAAACTTATATTCAAGTCCCCATGGGTCTCTTTCTAACAATCTGTCTACAGGGTTTGCATCGTCAGCATCGTCAGATTATCCTACATCTGGAACCCATCATCAGCAGAAAATCTGAAGGACTTGTCAGCAACAATGATCACATCAGATATTCAGCTTGGTATTGCTCTTCTTTGTGCCTGCCTTCCAACATACACGCCTTTACTTCGTCTCTTCAATCGAACATTGACGAGCTTGAAGCAGAGTTCTGCCAGGAAGACCTATGAGTACCCGTTGAAACCAAGCAAGCAAAGCACAGAAGGCAAATACTCGAATGATCACAGCTCCACTGGCAGCAATACTATCTGCGCATCGGGTCATTCTTCTGTGGATTACACAACCAATGCGGACACAAGGGAGGAATCTCGCGGAATGAACTCTATGTCTTCTTACACGGCGGCTAATGACCCCTCAGAAAGAGTTTAAGTGGTCTCGGCAAAATAATTAGTACTATCGATATAGTTCATTGTATGCTACTCAAATAAGGCGTTTCCTAAAATTGAAACTTTGTGCTTGAATGATTCGACCATACTGAATCACTTGTAAAACCTTCGGCAAGAAAGATTAGCAGTTAAAAGATTCCAGCGAGAGAAAAACAAACCCCTTAAGCAAGCCATGGTGGAATAATCTGGTAGAAATAAAGTGAGCGGATTAGAACTGATGATGAATCAGATACTATAAAGACAGAGCATGATCTCAATACAAAAGCCCAATCAGATTAGGCTGTTGATCATCTGAACTTCGCTGGCAACGGTATTGATCAGTCCAGATTGGAATGAACGTCTCGCTACCCCAGAGGGCCGCTGTATATGATGCTCTACTAGACATTGCGGAGGACTGACGTCGGTTGGAATAGCGTAGATCAATTGATACGATGACATACTAATCCGTACGTCGTATAAATTCATACAGAACTGCTTCGTATACCGTGGTTCTGAAAAAAGGCCTTGTACCTTCACAGCGCCCATTATGACGTATTCGACATGTTGGTAGACTCGATTTAGCCACTCATATCGCTTGTAATTAATTATATACAAATCAATTTTGGCCCCAGCCCCCAAAGCCGGCCCCCCTGTAATTTTGTACGATACTAGCCGTGCCTGCGGACACCAATTCCGAATTAGATCCCCAATTAGTGTCCGTGGCACGGCTAGTATGTAAGGGGCTGATTTCAAAAAGCCCGATCGGGTTATCGTTGCAAAATTATCTTCACTGGGTAAATAACAGATTTCACTGCAAATGCACGTGCGGATAATGTCGTAAAATAACACACTTCCCTCAAGAGCTATCATTCATAAATTTTAAACGTCAAAATAATCTCACCTATGATTCTTTCTTCACGTTTTTTCTGAGACTGACATTGGACCCAAATTATTCCAGTCCTTTCTTGTCACGATGCTGGTCATGTTGGAAGATGGGTATCAAATTTTCCTATCTATAATTATAGGATCTTTTTTGCTCACACAAGTATGGAGGAGTCTATCAGGTATGTATAGAGGTTTCTGATCCTTCTCCCGGAGTTTAAAAACGCCTCCAGCTGACTAGTAAATCCGATCGCCCACAAGATTGGAAATTTGCCAGTCAAAAGGGTTGCGGCAAAGCAACACACGTTCCGACTTGGTTCTTTGGACTTGATATACTATGGAACTTCCTTGAGGCAGGGAAGAGATTTAAGTCCATGGAGTTTATAAGAGGGTTACATCAAACTTATGGTAAAACATTCCATTTACGTATGGGTCGTTCAATGATTGAGACAATCGACCCTGTCAATATCCAGGCTGTCCTAGCGCACCAGTTCGAGGACTTCGACTTGGGAAGCCGTAACGATTGCATGAGACCTCTACTTGGCGAAGGGATCTTTGCTAGTGATGGTCCAGTATGGGAACACTCTCGCGCGCTTCTTCGTCCGAATTTCGTGCGCGCCCAAGTTTCCGATATGAACAATGTATATGAAAAACATGTCTCCCGGCTTATTCGAAAGATCCCTGTTGATGGATCCACGGTGGATCTCCAGGATCTATTTTTTCAAATGGTAGTGTATCTTCCTTGATTGATGGATGCTCTTGAGAAGTATAAGGCTTATATTGTTATAAATACAGACCATCGATTCAGCCACAGAGTTCCTTTTCGGGAAAAGTGTCGATACATTACTCGCCAATGAATCAAATTCTACTGCCAATTCTACTAGCAATGCTTTTGCACAGGATTTCCAAATATCTCAAGCCGGGATACTCTTACGTATTCGACTTGGTGGTCTTAAGGCTTTCTACAGAGATAAAGCCTTTACAAAGGCCACAGAGGATTCGAGGGAATATTGCATGGGAATTGTAAGGGAGGCCCTGGCAAACAGAGACTCACCCAAGTCCAGCTCAGACCAGTCATATGTATTTCTTCATGAGCTTATGAAACAGAGCCAAGATGAAAAAATGTTGGCAGATCAACTCCTCAATCTGTTATTGGCTGGTCGTGATAGTACAGCCGGCCTTTTGAGTATTTTATTCTTGACCCTGGCGAAACGACAAGATATATTACTCAAGCTTAGAGAAGAAGTTCTCCCGAAACTTGATGGTAGAAAGCCTTCATTCGAAGATCTGAAGTCAATGACATATCTAACATGGTGTTTAAAAGAGAGTAGGTCTCCCAGGCTTGGGTGCTGCTTCACCTCGAGTACCTCAAAATAAAGTATTAAAATCCGGGAACTTAAAGGCTAATCAATATTCTCTACTTCTAGCACTCAGAGTCTATCCTATTGTTCCAATAAATGTGCGCGTGGCAAACAAAAATACAACTCTTCCCACTGGGGGCGGGCCAAATGGAAATCTACCATTATTTATACCTAAAGGGCAAGAGGTGATGTACAGTTCTTTTAGTATACACCGTCTACCGGAGGTCTTCGGAGAAGACGCTGAAGAGTTTCGACCTGAAAGATGGGAAGGACTGAAGCCAGGCTGGGCATATACACCATTCAGTGGAGGACCGCGGATTTGCCTTGGACAACAATTTGCGATGACCGAAGCTGCTTATACCACAGTCCGAATTCTTCAGGAATTTGACCATATTGAAAGCCGAGATCCCGAGCCTTTCAAAGAGAATGTAACGCTCACTCTGGCTAGTCAGAATGGTACAAAGGTTGCTTTGACATCCTCACAAAAACAATAACATGTGAATGGGGGGCCACTACATGTATATACGAGTATAATTTTCTTTCGTGAGACACGACTACTACTACTCATAGGGTATGGTAGACATGATGTAACATTGACCTTATTCATAAAACATAGTACTAGTACTACAGTCTCTCCAACTTGAATATCAAGAGTTTCAAGTTTTCCCTTATCCCGTATACCTACAATCAAGTTGGAATAACAAAGTTATAAGAGCAGTGACTAGTATGAGTCTGCCACACCCGTGGAGGTGCGTACAGATAGAAGAGGAAAGCCAATTGATTAGGATCGTCAAATTTCTGGCAAACAGTAGAAGTAAAATAGTTTCTTGCGAGTCACGCTTGATTCAAAGCCAAAAGTGACTATGCTGAACAATGCCAATATCCTAGTACAAGAGCCCCAAGAACGCCGAAAGGAGCAAAGCAATGGATAGGGAAAGACAAGGAAAGAAAAGCAGATGTATACATGACATGTCGGGGAATCTCTCGTGGCAAAAGTGGTGATGACGCTGAAAACAAAGAAGCCGTAATAAACAAGATAGAAAATCAACAAATCTACTGGCCAAGCAAACTCTTACTAGAGCTCTCGCGGCGCTTAAGCATTTCGCTCTTCGCTCGCTTCAAGCCTTCGCCTATCTTCTTGGTTCGCCTCCATTCTTGGCCCATTCTCTGCATGCGAACAGTTGCGACGACGAGAGAAATGGCAGAACGGAATTTGCCGCGTGCTGACCGGGCAGGATTACGATCGCGAGATTGAACACCCATCTCGTTGATCATACGCAGATCAGCTTCGTTACTGTATTGCGAGATAGGTTAGTCAAACAGATCATTAATTGGATTGGATTGGGGAATTTGACGAACCATGCAACACGAACGCGTTCACCAAGTTCCATGAGACCCTTGCTCCAGGCCAAGTCACGACGGAACTTCTCCTCGCGTTGTAAACGGGCACGAAGCCAGATGATCTCCTTTCCGAGGCCACGGATTTCCTTTTCATGCCGGGTCTTGCTTGTCGATTTGCCCTGAGAAACCTTGTCCAGTGATTCGGCATACTGTTGCTGAACTGCTTCCAGTTCCTTCACAGCCGCCTCAGCTTTGCGTACACAGAAGGCGCGCTCTTCACGAATTCGCCGGACTTGGATTTTGAGGTCGTTTAATCGTGAGTCCCTCTCTGAAACCTTCAATGCTAGTGCCTCGGCTTCAATAGTTGATGACTTAAGCAGTTCATGAAGATCCTTTTGGTCCTCTTCTTTCATAACTGCACGCTCTAGATCACGATTCTTCAACTTCACTTCCTTGATAGATCGATGGGCATCGGAGAGCTGCTTGCGTAGGCTGCGTAGCTCTTCGTGGAGTTTATTAGAGGGCGAGTTCTGGGGAGAGTTCGTTTCGAATTTGTTCATGTGAGCGTCGTGAAGGTCTTTTTCCAAGTCGGAAACTCGCGACTTCAAGCTGCGAGTGGAGGTCTTATGTTGAGCTTCGCGTTGTAGGAGAGCCTTTTCACGCTTGCGGGCTTCGTCGAGGCTATGGCGAAGCACAGATAGGTCACCATGAGCGGTTGAGTGATCTTGGTCAGCTACAGGTTGCTGAGAAATGAGTGCTTCCAGCTCCTGTGCGCGACGTTCGAGCCGCTGAACCTTTGTCTTCGCTGTTGTCAGTTCTCTGTCGCGGCTCCCGGAGCCAGCCAATAGTCTGTTATTCAGATGATCAATTTCAGCCGACAATCGGCCCTCCTCTTCCGTGGCACGTTCAATCTCAGAATTGAGTTGGTTTTCGAGGGTTTCCTTGGCTTCCATCAAGGCACCCTTGTCATCCTGCAGGCGTTTCATCTCGTTCTCCAATCGAGTTGTGGTCTTTCGCAACTCAAGCTTCTCGCGATCGAACCGGGTGGGGTCCTCCCCGGTCTGTCCTCGTTCAATCTGAGCTTGGAGCTCATCACGTTCAGATTCCATTTCAACCATAGACGTCCGCAAGTCATGCAGTTCAACGTGGGCATTGGCAAGCTGATCACGAAGCGTTTGTCTGTCAGCAACGGCCTTCTGCAGCTGGGCATCAACGTCATACGGGCCCTTCTGCGATCGGCCTTTGGCGTATTGTTGCTCATCCGCCAGACTAGACTGCAAGACGACCACTTCATCCTCTAAGGCCTGGATCTTTTCTTTCAAAGATTGCTCCTCGCGCCGAGAAACACGCAGCTCGTCTCGAACAGTCAACAGATCGCTGCGTTGGTCATCAACAATTTGTCTCTTCTGTGTAAGATCATCGCTCAGCTCCTTGATTTGGCGACTGAGAACAGCCTCCTCTTGCGTGTGACGATTTTTCTCACTGTCGATCGCATCCTGGAGCTTGTATTCTTTCCCTGAAAGAGTATGTTCTGCTTCCTGGAGCCTCTCAATAGTCCGCTTATAGCCTGATGCTTGCTCTTCCGCTCGCTCTCTCTGGGATTGCAATGTCCGCTTGGTACTATCCCATCGGTCTTGCTCGAGAGCAAAATTACCCTCCTTGTCCTCGATCTCATGCTGAAGAGCTTCAATCTCATCACGAAGACGATCAACCTCTACCTTGTGTTGCCAGCGAAGGTTTTGGTTATCCTGTGCCCGATTTGTGGCCTCCTCGACAGCATGCTGAAGCTCACGGATTCTCGAGTGTGCACGACCTAACTCGCCTTGCAAACCTCCTGACTCATCAGTGAGAGCATTGTGTCGGGTTTGTAGGAGCTCCTTCTCTTCGTTTCGGCGTTGAATTTCGTCGAGTGCCTCCTGCAGACGTGCCGAGTTCGTTTCATGATCCTTCAGCGCTAAGTCTCGTTCACGTCTGGCCAAGTCAAGGTCGTCGCCCAGCTTTCCAGCATTACTCCTCAGGTCTTGCTGTATAGTTTGGCACCGCTCCTCCAATTGATGAACAGTTCGAGATTTGCTGTCAAGTTCTGTTTTGAGCCTTTCATTCTCCTGGCTTAATTCACGCAACTCATCCTCAAGCTTCTCGGCCCTATCCTCAAGTTGTCGACCAAGTCCCTTAGTCGTAAAGGACTTATTTGACATCTCGTCTTGCAATTCTCGGAGATCATCTTCAGCACGATCTTTCTCGTCGACCGCCTGTCTGGCAGTGTAGGCTGCTTCTTCCACATCCACCTTGGCTTTCTCGAGACTGTCTTGGAATTCTTCAATCTGCTCTCTCGCGCGGTCGAGCTCCAGTTGAAGTTCGGTAGCGGCATCGTTGTCCTTGCCGTTTTCTCTCAATTCCTCCAGTTGCTCATCGCGCTCATCAATTATCCGATCCTTCTCTCGAACTGTGGCTTCCAGGTCCTCAATATCGTCCCGTAGCTTCTCGACTTCTTGTGATTGTCCATCCTTGACCAGTCGCAGTTCTTCTCGAAGTTCTCGAATCTCTTTATCACGATAATCCACCTCCTCACGCATAGCGTCCATCTCTTGTTGAACCTCCTCATCGGTTTGTCGTCGCATGGCTCTCTCTCTCATTTCGGTGAGTTGTTGGCGGTAATCTTCGAGGTCGCGTTCCGCTTGAAGTAGGCTCTTCTTGTACCGGGATATGTCGCGCTGCATTGTCAATCGCATGACTTTGAGCTCGGTGTTCTCTTTCAGAGCAAGGCTGTTGTACTCTGGCCCAGCTTTTTCGATCTGTTCTTCGAGGTAGTGAATCTTAAGCTTCAGATTCCAATTGTCTTTATCGAGCCTGTCAATGATCTACACAATGTCAGTCAGCGCTCATCTAGAAAAGATGAAATGAATATAAGCATACTCTCTCTTGCTCCTTAAGAGTCATATTTTGCCCATCGCCCAGAATTCCCCCGCTGTTACGACCTAATCCCGGAAGAGGCGTACTTTGTACACTGCTGCTAGCCGCCTGGGGTAATGGTGTCGGTTCATCCGCGGTCACATCTTCCTCGTATATATCGGACATATCATTTGGTGGCAGACCAGGAGTATGGGCGATCCGACTTGTTTCACGCAGGAAACCTGGAGTCTTCAGACCGTCTGCTCCTCGGGTAGTGGGGGCATTTTTGAGGTAATTATTCTTCGTAGCACTTCTCATAAGTGGTGTAAACTCTCCTTTCGCCGGTCCTGCTGCTGGAAGATGTCTTAACGCGCTTCGTGTCGACTTCTGGTTATTGCTGGCGCGCGGGGTGCCTTTGTTGCTATCGGAGACGCGTCTTCTCCCATTGTCAAACCCTTTAATCACGTCGTTATTCTTGGATGGTGTGTGAAATGAGTTTTCAACTGAATCTAACGCCGAAAGGTGTGTTCGTCCGACGCTGCGAAAGCCGTTGGTAAGGTAAGTCGCGTTCCCGTCGATTTCGGTGCGCGGCGTGTCGATATAGGGAAACGCCATTTTGGCGGGACGAGTCACAGATGTGTCAGGAGCGGTCAACACGCGACCATCGCAATCTCACAAACTGGGAAACAAGGTTGGGAGCACTTGGGTAGGAACGTTGTTGTGTTCAAGATGCGACGAGAGTTGGAGACTGTTGATGTCTAGCCGCTTATAGTTTAGCGCGTCAGTCACGGGTGGGTCCCTATTCGCCGCTTTTTTTTTCAATAGAATGGAATGCCATGAGGTCATGATCGCATTATCTCCAACCCACCTCTTAAATCATGACGACCGAGGAGGATATTGCGTGGTTTAAGTCCACCTTTCGTCCTATTCCGAAGCCAGAGCTTCCAGACGACTCTGTCGAGTACTTCGTTTATCACCTACCCTCCCCCGCCCCCGCCGTTATCGATGAAGTTGCCGAGACTAGGGCCCGATTGCTTGAAGTGCAGCGAACTGTCGCAGATTTGACAAAGGATTATTTGAAAGACTACATCTGGCAGCGTGAGGGCTTTCGATTGGAAATCAATAAAGATGATGGTAAGATTCTGCAAGCTTCCTTTCAGCTGATCGTGCCCAGATGCCGCGTATATATGTATTTTACTAACGCCGATCATCTACTGCAGGAACAACATACCTCAGCGGCCGCACCAACTATGGCGATTCAATTGAAGATGAATGGGTCGTAGTACACCTACTACGGGAATTGACTAAACGTCACAAAGATATCTGGGTCAAAATAGCTGATGGCGATGGTGAATTCTTGCTCATCGAAGCTGCGGGCACACTTCCTGCCTGGTTGGAACCTGAAGTTTCGGACAACCGAGTAAGCTACAATATGTCTGCATATCACAGAGGCGTACTAATCTTATTCCTATTTCCCTTAGGTATGGATCAATCAAGGCGATCTCAAAATCATCAAACCCAAGCAAGACACGGGGAAAAAGGTCACCGAAAAATTGACATTCCCTCAAGCTCGAAAGATCATCCAAGAAGAACCAACCCGTTTTATAAAATCCACCATAATCCAGGAAGAGGCATTTTACAGACTTCGAAACTATCCCAAACAAATATCCGAGAACCTACATTCCGCGCTCGTCACAATTCCCCGCAGGGTGGCTTTCCTACTTCATCAAAAGCCAGGCTATATATCTCCGGCCGTTGAAGCGTTTTATGTCCGTGACCCTATCGCCTTGCGGCCTCTACGCGCCAAGGATGCTTCCGACCTCACTTTCAAGCCGGATGACATGGTTACCGTGAGTGTTCGATTTACACGCGTTGGCTATGCCCAATTAAAAAGCCAAGAATTTCCAGTTCCAAGCTCCTGGGCTGGCAAGTTGCCGCCAGTCGATGAGGAACCTGCATATACACGGGCGGAAACTGGAATGAAGCTTGCTTGCGGATTCGAAATGCTACTTTACGATCCTCATCACCAGGATAAGGCTTTTGTCAGAGAGATGAAGCTTGTATTGGAAGACCTGGACACTGGCGACGAAGAGCTTCCAACCAACGAAGAAATTGAGAAGACTTGGGATAAACGGGAGGATGACGAAAAGTGGTTGGACATCAGTTTTGACGATCTTGATCGCGAGCTGAAAGGAAAAGGCAAGGGAAAAGAGAATGACAATGGGAAATTTGGCGACGAAGGCGCGCAAGAGAACCTACAACGAATTGTTGCTCGCTTCGAGGAATTTTTGAATGATACCTCTGCTGGATTTGATGGAGCAGAGTTTGACGATTTTGATACCGACTCTGACGTTGATATTGATGACGATGACGAACTTAGTAGCGATGGGGAGGACAAGGACGCCTCCTTTGATGAAGAGGAGTTCTCCCGCATGATGAAAGAGATGATGGGAATGCCTGGGGCTGGTCAAGGCCCATCTCTGGCCACACCACTACGCAACCGGAATCGCATCAAAGAGTTGGATGGAGATGATATCGACGAAGATGACACAGAACAGATTAAAGAGCTCTCTCGGCAGATGGAGGCTGAGTTAAAGGGCACTGGAGTCCTAGATCTAAACAGAAAACCGGAACAACAGAAGTTGTCATCTACAAGTAATACAAGCAAGGATGCCAAGCCAGACGCTGGACTCGAGCATGATGATGAGGATGAAAACGCCAACATCAACCTTGCGAAAAACCTCTTGGAAGCCCTTCACGGCCAGGCTGGCACCGCAGGTCCCGCCGGTAACATGTTGTCGATGATGGGTCTACGTATGCCCAAGGACGACCGACACGAATGATTCAGCTATGTATGGCTTGCCTGAAAGTGCAGCAAGAGCCTGAGTTTCCTTACGATATAATATTTATTTCATTTACCCTTCATCTCGGCCTATTTGCCCAAAAGAACGTCGAAACTATGAGACATTCTCAGACCTACGTAGTAAAGCATGACGAGGAGCTTCGGCATTCGACCGACTGACGCAGCTCCGCCACTGCAGCTGCAGCTGCCGAGGTCATGAGCAGCGGCATAGGAAGCGTACATGACTGTGTCTGAATGTGGAAGGGCAGGAATAGCCAAACAGACTAACTACTGTACCTTGTATTCTCCATGTACGCATACTCCACCACCAATCCGACAGCACAGCGATCTGATTAGTACGTTAGGACACCGACTCCAGCAATAAAGAACTGCCGAAATGGTACCTGGTTTTGAATAATCAACCACAAGATCTAAGTTAGGTACTGTACATGGAGCTCCCATACACCATCATTTCATTTCCATGGTTCCCAAAGATGTCAAGCAGTGTTTTAGTGCCACGGCCATAATCAAAATAGATCTGTATGGTCTATTATGAAAAAACGGACAGTTCCACTTAACCCTCCTTTCACCCGCGGTGTGCCTAGAGCAGTAGGTCGGTCGAAAAGTTTCCTCTTATGGTTTCTCCGGTCCACCTCGGAACCCCACTTGGGAGCACGATAATCGCGCAGAATCGATCCACGCGAAAATTCTATTATGGACTGACCGTTGATCAGCGGACTTGATGTTCTGCGTGATTGCCGTTTTCCGCGATGATGAAGACCAATGGGTTTGCATGGAGTACATAGAGATCGATGGAGATCATGTAAATACTGTATAGTAGTATCCTTGTCTGTTCGGATGTGAGTTCATACTTACGTTGAGCAGCAGGATGCAGTTGTGAGACCTCACCTACATAGCACGTGGTGAGAATCTGATCTAAGAAAACTAGAACTAGTAAACTAGATAAACAGCAATTCAATCAACCTGTCTAATTTCATAAGCAGTAGATCGGCGCGCATGTTCATGTCCCCGTTTACTGTCTTCCGTCTTACAGTGGACTCCTGGCTATACTATGGAGTACATCTCCGTACCTTCATGGTTCAACTGTGGAATAGTAGAGTAATGTTCATCCCGACAGTGTCGATCACTGCAGTGTAGGGCGTAGAGAGCAGCCAGTCCCCATAAAAAGTGCAAATCATAATAAGCATCATCTCACCTAAGTCCAGATCAAGCAGAAACAGATCGGGCAACTCGTGCCCCCAACTGAACTGTTGTTGGTAAACCATTAGGCACGATTAACCGTTCGGATCGTCTCCCGACAGTACTTTTTGGAGTACATACAGAAGAAAAAGAAAAAAATCCGAAAAGTGGAGATATTACTAATAAAGCGCTCTTCTTGAATCTAGGTACATGTTCTATTCTATTTTAATTTATGTTTTGTTTGTTTGGAATCCGAGTCCTAACCCGTTAAGCTGTCGTGTGCCATGTGCACTAGTTAGTTATACCGGTAGTTCTTCTCCATTCTTCTCCGGAATCCCAGTATCTGTCAGTAAGCTATTAACGCGTATGTCCCTAGCGGAACAACGGAAAGCGGATTTAATTTTTAATTTTACCTCTTTTTCGTAACGAAGACACGGTTGACAGACTGGAGCCTAAATCCATGATCCATTACTTCAAACGGATGAATGGATAATAGAGCAAGCGCAACGCCACCAAAGTAAATCCTAGCGTTCGATTGGGCCCCCAGAACCCGTACACTAGGGAATCGTCGGATCCATGGCTTAGTCCTGCAGAAAGGAACAGAGCGGAGTATAGAATTAGAATCTGTTTTAGAATAGACCCTGTTAAATCCCTCATGTGATTTTTGATTTCTAATGCATTGTGGACTGGGCAGAGTCTGGAGTCTAATTAGTCTGGAGTAGGGACTCCATAATGGCGTTTGGGTACGTGGATGTGTATTCGCTTCTAGCTGAAAATGAAAATGAAAATGAAAATCTCGGAGAAAGCGAGAGCAAGAATTGGAATGGTGGAGAGTGGCCAATAAGCGGTGGAAAATATGGGGAATGAAACAGATTAACTGTGCTTGACTGTGCTCCGGGTTGATGACTGTTTTCGGGGTTGCGGCACGGCACGAGTGGAAGAGCGATGTTCCCTCCGGAGTATAGACCCAGTTGAATGGTGTCTGGTTTGAGAGGAAATCCGTCCAGCCGAGGTGTGTTATGACTGATGACTGATGACTCCCTGTGTCCTGTGTGTCCGTATATGCCGGAATTAAGGGCGCCACCGAACATTTGAACCCTTGATTTGATTAGGCCTACTTATCTCGTAAGATTGAAGATGACTCTCATGTATGGGGCACAGAGTACATGGACTGCATAAGTGTAAGTTAAACAAAGTAAGGACTGGACTAGCCTGATGGCCAGATGCCTGTGCGCGGCTCCCGAGGAGTTTTACATGCGGTTGGTACCCGTGTCCCAACACAGTGGGACGGGCAAAAGGCTACGGTAGACGACTTAGAGACATGGGATGAATTATGGATGGCTGATTTGCAACTGCAATTACTATTCACTGGAAAATAACTCCGCCTGAGCACCGATCGGGGAGAATGAAGTTGGAAGGGGAAATGCGGTGAAATGCAAAAAGTGGTGACGTTGAAAAGTTCTAGTATTCAACGGCCCTGCGTTTTACGGCTACGAGGCTGGCATTTAATGAAGACGGAAGCTTCTTATTCGAGGAGATTCAGGTTAGTTCAAAGTTTAGATCCTGTACAGCGTCGGCATCCACTCCAGATGCTCCTGGTTAACCCGACAGAGTGATTCTCAGCCCCTCATCCTGAATCTACCCACTTTCCACTTTCCATTTTCCATTTTCCCTTTTTTATGATATTGTTATTGTTATTATTTCTCTTCTAGGTAGCTTCCGGTTGCCGATATTTGCTCCGTTATGGACCCAGGCCAGAGAAGCGAGACGATCGGCGGATCATCCTGAACCGAAGGGGCCGCAGGATGGGAAATCCTCGGGGGGTGCCAGATTAATTTCGAGCCACAAACTATAATCCTCGTCTGGAGACTATTGTTTTTGAGTTTCCCGGGAGATAGTATACACTGTAGGAGGGTGTGGCTCGTAGCAAATCGGAGGAAAGGGAATTAACCGTTCCGGCGAGTTTATACAGCCTTCCGAGGTTGGAAGGGGGGGGGGTATATTCAATTGGGGCACTAGAATATCAATTCCGAAGTATGGAGTTTGGGTATGGGGGGAATCATGATGGAGAGTTAGCAAACCTACACCGTGACTACGAAAGTATGTGGACAGAATATAAAGTGCGAAGTACATACTACAGTCGAGTCCAGACAAAGGGATAATGAAATCATTGCAATCCTTAATTCCCCAAACCGCGCTAATGTCAGCCACCGGTATTTCGGGGGGAACAAGAAAAAGAAAGCCCAAAAGTGATCGGCCTTGTTCGGATAGGTCGAAGCGATGTATCAGAAGCGCGGATGGTTACCTCGGTGGTTTGGACAGTAGGGACCGGGCTTTTTTCAAACAGATCCGTCGGGTTGTTGAAATTAGTACTCCGTGGAAGACTGCAAGACTGAAAGACTGAAACCGACGAGAGAAGTGTATAGAGTTGGGGCATTCTGGACTGGGAGAACTGTTTGCAGCGAACCCCGACAGGTCGGTTCTGGAGCGGGAACACGTTGGGTAGGAAATCCATCTGCAGTCGGGCCGAAGATAATTAAAGGGGAATAAATTAATATTATGATTTTTATAATTCTATGATGACAATAAAACAATAATACAATAATAAATGGTAATTAATAACTCTGGATATCATCCGCGGAAGAGACGGAGATATCAGGAAGGGGGATTCCCCAGCAAGGAGATAAAGGAGATACAAGAATGTGAGATATGGGAAGAAGAGATAGATACTAAATTATCCTAAGATAGTAGATAGTATCTGCAGAGTAGCTCTGCAGAAGAGCCTCTTGTAGACAGAGAAGTAGCTACATCTGTGAGTAAGGGCTAGTAGCATCTAGCATCTATCTTTGTAGTAAGATCTCCTGCAGCCAGAACCAAAAGTCCAAGGAGTAATCGGAAAAGCCTCAGTGGACCCAGCCATTTGTTCGATTTCTTCTATCGGGCTTCCATCCTGGAGAGTTCAAAGTTTGGGATCCAGTTACAAGTGGGCTCCACTCGGCCTTCGACCGAAGCCGACACAGCGGAAATCCCAATTAGCAAATTAACATGCTAATGTAACTTTGGGCCGTGGCAAAAGAGAATTCCCCCTTCACTCTGTCACCGTCTATTAGTCTACTCACTCTATCATTCATATATCTCTTCTCTCTCTTTTCTTTTTTTGTTTTCTCCAATTTTATTCCTTCCATCTCCCCATCTTCTTTCTCCCCCCCTCCCCTCAAATCAGGGTTTCTGGTGGATCTACTCCAGCGCACTTGTTCTTCCCCATGTCCATCAAGGCATGCATCCCGCAATAATGGACTGAACTTGCTGGCGATCCTTACCGTGAGACAAAACCCGCCATGGATTTCATCGTGAGTATGACCTGTCTGCCGTTTCGATCTCGAATCTCTCTTTGTCCTCTGTTCTGTTCTCTGACCGTGCCTCTCCCCAGCTTTCCTTGACGCACTTTTGTGAAGTGCATGGCCCAACTTCAATTATCTGCTCACAAGTTCTACCCTTCTCATGCGCTCAATGCCATGGAGACACGGATCATTCTTCCGATTCCCCATCTAATTCCCCTCAACCTCGATCACCGGCCAACTTTCCCGGCCAACCCGAATCCAAATCACCAAAGATCGAAGACCACCCTTATTTCCTGCGACCCCAACAACCCGGCTCGCCCGAGGAACGAGCAAACCGCGCCGGCAGCGGAGAAGGCGACACATGCGCCAGTTGTTCCCTATCTCTCCCAGAAGACGTGAGCAAGCAACTTCCCTCGCCAACCACCCGCGACGGCAAAGTCAGCAATGGCTCTAGTCCCGTCCTCCGCTCCCGCGAAGTAGTCTACTCGTGCGGAAACAGCCACTCAGACCTCGACGACGATGCCTTCGATTCCCACTCCCATACACACGCTTCTCCCCCAGATTCCCTACACTCATCCTCTCTCGCATCCGATGCATCCTGCCACACACACATGTTCACCTACCTCTCTCTCCGCGGCCCACCAAATCCAGCAGACTACGCGCTCCTCCGTCGCTCCTCGATCCGCACTTTGAGCTGTGAACTCCTTCCCCGCGGCCTATCCGCCGGCCCAATTTGCTTCGGTGACTCAGTCGCAGGCTACACAATCGCTTACATATTCCGTCTTCCTGATCCTATGGCCCGTGGCAAACGACGCAGCTATGCCCTGGTGGCACTAGCCGGAAAAGATGCCGGAAGAGCATTTCGCGCATGCCCCATCATCTGGCGCGCATTCGGTCGCATCGCATCCAGCATCGTCAATGCGGCAGAACGGTTCCAGGAAGACGAAAAGAAACGCGAAGAGGCTAATTCTCCCGGCTCGAAATCCGGTGGGTCTCGTCAGTCTCAACATCAACCGGTTTCATCCTTCTTGACCGGTCGAGCTTTTGATCCGGCCGGACAACCGCGCCGGATGGGTCAAATTCGTGCGCGCAATTTGGCGGAGATTGTTGGGAATGAGTACATTTTTACGGAGTTGCATGCGCATTTTGTTGCGCTGCTTCAGCAGCTTGGATCTATGTTTGGGGGTGTGCCTATTTCTGATGAACAGTTTGTTTGTTCGACTGTTGGTGATGAGGAGAGTGTTACTGCTGAACAACCTGTTCTTGTTTCGACTACTGATCGTGAGCGCGCGAAGCGTTCATCGTCGGCCAAATATGATGGGAATGCACTCGATGTGTCGAAGTTGGATATCTCTGGCCCGAAACCTATCCCTATTACTCCGCGACAGTCTGTTGTGGCATAGACTTGACTTGACTTTGCTTTACTTCTTCTTTCTTGCCAACTGCCAACTGCCATCCGCCATCCGCCATCTGCCATCCGCTATCTACATCTACCTTGAGATACCCCGCCTGCTCGTTTTTCCTTTCCAGGCACATTCAATTCAGTTCGACCATTTCTTTTGCTTTTCTTTCTACCTTTTTTGCCTTTCGGTTCGCTCTGCTCTGCTTTACTTTTTGCTCCTTTTTTTTGCTTACAAGCGATACGAACTTTCCGCCTCGCATACGATTGGGACGTTTCTTTGCTTTGCTTTTTTTTTTTTTTTTCGCTGTAAGATGAATACTGGGCATAGACGGCGTCTCAAAGACAAGGACGGAGTTACTTGGGTTTTAATTTCTTTTTTCATTCTTCTCTTGAATACCTTTTTCGTTCTATTGCCTTGTTATTGGCTCTTGGGTTATTCGGGAGTTTGACGACGTAACGAGGCATTCAAGAGATATCAATGTATTCTATGTATTATTGGACACGACAATGACAGCAGGCTTTATATGGCTGATGCTTCTTATCTTTATAATATTATCTTTATCTTCTAGTATTGTTTTTATGGTGTATTATTTGTGTAGATCGGATTTGTGTGTGATGCTGTAGTATTGTGATACACAATACTTGCAGGATAAAATCTAGTCTTCGTGATCCAATTATTGTATATTGGTAGTTGCTAGGGCTCTGTTTGATCTTATCGAATGTACTAGTACCTACAATATATTGCAATACTTATTGTATAGGGAAAAATCTAACACATACTATTCAACCATTGCACACTGGCACGTCCTCCGCTTGATCATAATCTTCAAGTTCTTTACTGTGTAGTAGTTCCCTGTTTTTGATCTTCAAGTTGTCAAATGTACAATCTATTGCAATACTTACAACATAGAGATCAAATCTAGATTAAATTATTGCCCAGTGCATGTTGTCCGTTTGATCTTCTTCACTTGCCAAGTGTGCAATACCAGTGCAAAAGACTGCAACTGTCCCTCTCATTCACAGTATAAAAGAACTCTGAATACCCCCCATATCCATTTTTCTTCCATTCCATAACATCCCCTGAATATCTACAATCCATTTATTCACCATACCAACCATCTCAACATTTTGAAAATACCAATCAGCACGATGACCAACCATACGTCCAAGTCTGACGCAGGTAGAATCCAGGCTACCCAGGTATTATCTTCTTTTCTTCAACATTCGAACCCTTACGCCCTCTCCTTTATAGACTAATGCCTGGCGTGGATGAATGCTTACAGGCAAAATCTGGAGGAGATATGTCCTCTGGTGGCTTTACCGCCCGAGCACAGGGTGCCGGGGATCGGAATACCAATGCTGCCAGTGCTCAGGGCTCTAAGCCTTCGAACAACTCCGGATCTGGCAATATTGGCGCCGGTAAGGGTGGTTCCACTGGTGACTCTAATACTGGGGCCCAGGGTAAGCGTTAGCGCTTTTACTATTTGGGGCTAGAAGATCTTTGCTAGAGGAATTTGATCTTCCTGCTTTGTTGTGATGCTATTTGATAAAATTTCCTAGTCTTAAATCTTGCTCTTGAGATGGAATTCGCATAATATAGAATAGTAAATACTTTGAGATCTTCAAATTCGTAGATGTGGTTGATTTAGGATGTGATGTATTACGTCTAAAGATAGAAGGGAAACAGGAGAAAGAATAGCATGGAAAGATGATAGTATTGAAATGCTAGCTGCTGCTAGGTAACTACTATCTTCAGACAATACATCACTTCAAGTTTCAAGGTTATATTCATGCTCGCGTCTGGTCCAGGATCAATATCAAGATGAAAGAGAATTAATGGACGAATGACTCAAGCGCCCTCATCACACGTAATATACTTCCACAACACTCCAACCTATGCCGCGGTAGGAAGCTCATAAGTCCACTGCGACTCTCCTGCCCACAGAGGGAAAGAGTTCGGAATCGTCTGATAGTACTCCTGAGGCATAAAACTGTCCAATTCAGACTTGACACAACCAGATTGAATCAAAGGCAAACCCTTGAATCGATCCTCAATCCACTGCAACCAGGTCTGTCTCGCTGCATTAATGCTAGAGAAATGACTTCCCTCCGCGATATACAAAAGCTCGATATCATTAGGGTACGCCTTGCATGTCTCTTCCATAGCAGTTGTCGTCGTATTATATCCCACGTATGGATCGGCGGTTCCCTGAATAAGAAGCAATGGTCCCTTCACAGGCCTATACCCAGGCTCGAAAAGCTTAAAAGCTCGAACAGACCATGTCTCCGTCCAATCTGGCTGTGCATCTTCAGGAGTCAATATCGAACTTGTAGCTATTTGCCCTCCCTCAACTTCATTCATCAGCTCTGTCTTCCTAACACCAAGCGGAGTAAGCCAGTCACTCAGATTGAACGATGGGAAAATCCTCTTGAGATCCTTCCCAATCCATGAGAGAAAATACTGGATACCACCCTCGAAGGCGAAGATATTCGTCGGTGGAGCAAGGGCAATAGTACCGAGATGATATTTGGAAATGTCGGAAAATGTATTGTTCTTTTCGCCCAGAAGCTCTGATAGCCGCCAAGCTGCTGAGCCACCTTGACTATGTCCCATAACGACATAGTCTTTCGAAAGTTGTCTCGGGAAAGAAGCCTGTGCTGCTCGTAATGCGTTTAGCGCATCACCCGCACTCGCAGCTGAAACAAGATATTGGTGTGGAACAAAGCTTCCATCCCAAGATGTACCAACTCCAAGCCCGGCGTAGTCGGGTGCTACAACTGCGTATCCGGCTTCGGCGAGGGTAAATGGGACCAAGTCATCATAGAATAGACCTCGATGGGTTGAGGGCGCAGCATCAGCGTAAAAGCCTGAGGTTCCGTGTGTCCAGAGGACGACAGGCGCGGAGGGAGAGGTAGCGTTTCTTCCTTTGAAGGCTTTGGCGTGAAAGGGCCAAAGAACATATGCCGAGGCTGGGACAAGGGTTCCGTTTATGTTGGTTGTGCTGTATATGATCCGGGACATGGCTATCTTTGCGGGGATGGAGAAGTTAGACGGGTCGGTGAACTTCTGTAGCTTGATGACTTGTCCTGGAAGCGTGGGGTATTGGTCTTTAGGTATATGTTGGATGTTATAGAAATCATCCTGACGAGGACCACCGTTTGCAAGTTGCGTTCGATCAAAGTTGATGATGGTGTTTAGCGTGGCGCCGGCGAAGCTTGTTAGGTTACCCAGTTTGAGCTGGGAGGGACTAAGCTCGAAGCTGGAGTTCCAGTTTGTTGACTGGATCTCAAAACCTTGGCCTGTGGCTTGTTTTAGCCCTAGGGCTAGGATGATGAGTGGTTGGAGGTACTTCATCACCGTCAATCGAGTAGGATGTCAATTGGGTTCTTGAGGGCTTACTGTTAGATTGGTTTGTTTTTGTTAAAAAATAAATAAACAGAAGCGCTGAATTCACTGTGTTTTTATACTCGAGTCCATCACCTTCATCATGTTCGTGGTTTATTCGAGGATGATGGTTCAATTCCAAATCATCGTATTCCCAAAGACGTGAGATCTGCTCCAAGATCATTTGCTGATGATAGATGCCGAATCTCCCGAGTTTCCTGGATGCCTGAAAGGATACGCACTCTCATAGTAACCAAATAAGTAGTATAGTAAGATCAGATCAGTGTCGAAATACACCCATGGTGGGTAACCGCGGACGATTAGACAGGGCTCTGATTCGCCGGAAGAAGATGCATGTGCGTATTCATGATACGCCTGCGCCTCGATGACAGGGCGAGACCAACAAGGAATACGCTCTGGTATCCACTTCTGACACCTGGAGAAGTTTATCTGATTCAATTCAATTCAAACTTCGAAGCATGGATTGAAGTCCTGATTATCGCTTATTTGTCATTAATCTCCCTTTAAATCATTTCTGTTTCTACACTGCACTCAAAATTGTGTTGGCCCCATGTTCTTGGCAACCATGCTGATGATAATCAACCACACAGGATGAGATCAAGCAAAATCAACTCGAAAGATTTCCGCTCTAATAACCTATTGGAATGACTTGGCATTTCTGGAATTTTACTAAGAATATTTGAGCTTATGGATTAAGTGCTTGGCGAAGCTGAGATGATGGCTGAGCTTCATAAACGCGGGATGCCAAGTTCTCCGCACATGAGGCTCAGACTACCACCGTTCTGGAAATGATTTGGAATGGGATGATCATGGCTATCTGGATGATGCGTTGAATTGAATGATTTATGTATATAAGGCACCAAGTCACCTTCGTTCTGATCAGTTAAATTTGAATCAGCTAGACTACCATCCAAGCACATTATCATCGCCTCCATTCAAACAAATATTCTTGTGATTCGTATCCAACAATCATGATGATTCTCCAATCCACTCTTAGCTCTGCACTTCTTGCTGCTACCATAGTTGCTCTTCCGGCAAATGCAGCCCCTCAACTTATGCCTAAACGCTCAACAGTGGAGCTAAGCTTACCAGCTCAACTACGACTTGCAGACACGTAAGTTATTGAATATTCGCCTCAATGAACGAATTTAATCTGATTAAATTCATTAGGGCCGTCGACCGTTACCAGCTTCTGCCAAAAGACGAAGACTTTATCTTTGACTTTAACAAAGCCGAGATTCCGTTCGCCAACCGCAAGACCTTCCCAGCCCTTACTGGCTACGGGACTTCAATGAGTGTCTCTGCACTGCCAGGTATGTCAATAAAATAAAGTCCATATTGATTTATGCTAATGACTTGAATAGCTTGCAGTATGAGCTTTCTGCATCTCCACCCTCGTGCTACCGAACTCTTCGCCCTTACATCCGGCCATGTTATTACTGACATGGTACCGGAGGGAAATGTCACTGATTCCAATGGCAAACAGCGTGTCATCACCACGGAACTTTATGCTGGAATGATGACTATTTTCCCTGCTGGCTCGTTTCATACGCAGGTGAACCCTGACTGTGAACCTGCCAATTTCTCGGCAGCCCTTACGGCTGAGGATTTTGGAATTTCCATGGTCGCGGATCAGACGTTTTCTCTTCCCGATGATGTCGTTGCTGCGACCTTTGGACAAAGTATTGCTGGTGAAGATATTGATCGCGTGAGGGATGCGATTCCCGGGGCTACTTTGATTAGAGTTGAGGAATGTCTGAAGAAATGTAATATTCAGAAACGCCGGACTTGAGTAGATCGCAGCTTGAGCCTGTATATCAGGATTGTTGACGAGCATGTAGTAGATGATTTTCCGTGTGTTGCTTTTGCATTTTGTTTGTTTGTTTGATGATATTCAAGTTGGAGCTGTCTAGAATGAGAAGCAAATATGACAATATATGGGTGTTCGGGTGTTCATTAAATATATTATGCGAGGAATTGGAGCTTTTTGCACGGCATAATTTTTGAGCCATGTAATTCATAGAAATTTCCGTTGTTTTGAGCTCGGAGTATCTGCAACATAAGAAAGGAGGAAGAGATTGAAGGAATTGGGAATTAAAACAACGTGGTATAGATTGGACGGATAAATATCCCAATTTCGGTTATTCCGGGCACCCGGGGCCACAATCAAAAATCCCACCGAAAAGAACCTCGCAAAGACCCGCCTCCCTAACCCCCTCGTCAACCAAGCAAGATGGTCGCCTTTGACAAGTGTGAGACCCGACCGGCCCATATCGATGCCATTCTCAATGGCCTCGATCGGTACAACCCCGAAACTACCACAGTCTTCCAGGACTACGTGGCCCAGCAGTGCGAGGACCGTACATTTGACATCTACGCCAATCTGGCTGTACTGAAGCTGTGAGTCGCCCTGGATTCCATCCCATACATGGATATATCTCGCGAAACTTGGTGCCTTTATTATGATGAACGATTTTGTTTCCTATTAGCCTGAAAACCCCGCCTAGGAACGGGGTCGATGGATGAAAAACTGGTGTTACTGAAACCTACCTCAACGCAATTATATTGCATGAGGGCGCACCCATCTTCTTATTTCCATTTATCAATTACATACCGGGAATTATTTGACTAATTCGCGCAATTACTTGTGAAAACTAGCTACCAGTTCAACCCCCACCTCCTCCAGGCCGACACCGTCACCAACGTCCTCGTCAAGGCCCTGACCGTCTTCCCTTCTCCCGCTTTCTCGCTCTGCCTCTCTCTTCTCCCAGCCCACACCCAGCCTTTCTCCACCACCCCAGAGGCTCAGGCTGCCGCTCAAAACTCAGACTTTGTTGAGTCCGTGCAAAAGCTCGCTCGCCTGTCTACCCTCCTCGAGTCCGCCCAGTACACTCAGTTCTGGTCCACACTCAATTCCGATGACCTGTACGCTGACTTGACTGCTGATGCCGCTGGCTTCGAGGAGCTCGTCCGCATCCGTATCGCCGTTGAGGTTGGCAAGACTTTCCGCTCCGTCGCCACTGACTCTCTCGAGCAATGGCTCGACCTGCGCAGCGGTGAGGCTCTCGAGAAGTTCGTCACTGAAGTCTGTGGCTGGAAGGTTGATGGCTCTGTCGTCAATGTCCCCACAAACAAGGAGAACGAGGTCCGCAGCGAGGTGAAGAGTGAGCGTGTTGGTGTTGATATGTTCGGTCGTGTCATCCGTCGCGGCTTCGAGCAGGCCGCATAAATGGTCCATATCTACCTTCACTTGTTTTTTACTTTTTTTTCCTGTTCAATTTTCTTTGATTGGTTTCATCCTCCGTCCTTTCACTTCCCTGGCTTGAAAAAGAGTCGAGGCAAGTTTGAAAGATTAAAAAAAAGACATGAGTTCATGAATTCCCTGATCCGTGATGACGGTGATAGATTTCGCATGTGGAGGGCTCGGAGATGAGTCGGGATCTGGCGCATGCGGCGTTTCTTTTCTCCCTTTATACTGGGATGTGTTTTATGCTTGAAATGAGCGGATGAAGGGTTGTTGCGAGAGATGTCCGTGTTCATACCATACCTCCTATGCTGAGCCAAACTCATCTGGCTCGAAAAATATAAAACATACCAACAATCTTAAAGACAAAAGAAGACCCCTCATATACATTCGTAGTGACTCATCTAGGTTCATAGGGTATATATGGTTAAAAGCTGGTGGTAAATGTAATAAAATCTATGCAATTCTGTTTTTTCGTAACAACAATCATCCCAAGTTATCTGGTATATCAAAGGAAAGGCAAATCTATTTCATCTCTTCCCACTGTACACCAGCCCACTCCTCTCTCCACCCAGTCTGCGCAAGTGTCTCGGGCACACAGTCTTTACCACAAACACCCATCACAATCGTACTCCACTCCATACCCGCATCATCCTTTCCAAGACCAACACCTTCCCGTCCATCCTCAAGCACACTGATAGCGTGCGGCACAAGTTGAAATTCAAACACCCGCGTAGCACCACAGTACTCACACCGGGGCATGTGTCCACCACCAGTCGTAGTAACTCGACCAGCAGAGTGCTCGGGATGTAAAAGCTTGCCAACCTGGTCCGCATACGAAGAAAGAAGTGGTGTACCACGGTACTCGTAGCGCAGGACCTGCTCAGGGTTATGCGCAAGGCGGGTAGAGAACTTCATGAAGGCCTTGTCCATTTCAGACTCAAATGCATCTTTCAAATCAGCGCCGCCGCTTCCGTCTTCATCCATTGGCTCCATTTGTACATTGTCTGGGACTGTAGGTGTTGGTGGCTGAGAGAGAGTCTCGTACTCAGCGTCAAGGAAAAAGTTCTGGTATGGTGCTGGGAAAGCGGATTTAGCTGGCCACGGGGCACCGGGACCTTGTGACTCGGGCGTTGGCTTGAAAGGTGTTTTTGGTGCATTCGATGAGTCTGGGGACGAGATGCGGACTTTGTCAGCGAAGGATTCAGCGAGCGCGTTCGCAGATTTTTGCGCAGCTGGTACTGCTGGTTTGGGCATGGCAAATGGATTACCACCTGCAGACGCAGAGGGGGTTGAGGAAAAAGGATTGGCGTTTGCAGAGACGCTGTTCGTGAGCGAGGTCGCTCCGAATAGACTTGCTCCTAAATCTGCCTTGGGCTTTTGGGGAACCGGGGCGGGTGCCTCACTGGTTTCATCTTCCTCCTGTTGAGGTATAGGGTCGAGGTCGACTCTACGAGCTGCTCGGTAAGCTCGAATGCTTCCTGGCTTGCGATTGCATGGTTTTCTGGGGCAACCGAATAGGTATAGACGACGCTCATTGTGGGAGAAATGGTCGGGCAGGTCTCCGTGAAGTTCGAGGAGTAGGTTCATAGGACTGTTGCAAACTTTGCAATTGGCAAAGTCGCCTGGTGGAGGAACGTTTTCTTCGAGCCATTTCTGTAAAATATATTATTAGTCTATTTGTTCTTGTTCTATATTGATTTCAATATTTGAAGATGTGTATGCACATACCGGCCAACCACCCAGGTGGCTGACGGTGTCTTCGATAACTTCATCGGCAGAGTAACCGAGAAGCACACCGGTATCGGTAAAGTCCTCATCGGCACTGGAGTCGCTGTCGTAGGGATCCATCTTGTTGGCGATTGATCTGTGCAAAGTCGCAAAACCCCGCTGTCCATAAAAAAAATGTTGCGATAAGCGATACGGCCCGCCCCACTCTGTGAATACTACGTCGTCATTGGCTTAGCTTCCCCCAGGGCGTCATCATTCCACCCCAGCTCGTCACTTACAGCTCCTCCTTACGCTTATCCCACAGGTAGTTTGCAATCATGCTATCGACCATGGGGACCCAGAGAATGCTCTGGATTATTTATTCAGTTGTGAACTTGTTCATATCTTTGAGCAGCGCAGCGCAGCAGCAACCGTTGCATACTATAATAGATGCCGCTCCAAAGCGGGTCGCTGTCATCGGTAGGCTCCAGCACCCATAAGCCCGAAGTAATCAATGCGAGGAGAGCCGCAGAATAGATATGCTAACATATACTAATAGGGGCTGGAGCTGGAGGGTCATTTGCTGCATATGAACTGCGGAAGCTTGCGGATGCCTCCAACATCCCTGTGAATGTCACTGTATTCGAGCGGGCCTCGTATATCGGTGGGCGCTCAACAACAGTCAACGCTTTTGATGACCCCGCATACCCGACAGAGCTGGGTGCTTCAATTTTCGTAGAGGTCAACCAAAATCTAATGAATGCATCCCGCGCTCTTGGTCTCAACGTTCGCGGTGCAGCCTATGAAAGACCTGGAGAGACTGATGACTCCATCGGAATATGGGACGGCTCTCAGTTCGTCTTTACACTCAAGGACTCTTCTGGATGGTGGAACATAGCTAGACTATTTTGGAGATATGGACTGGCGCCACTCTATACTCAAAACCTTATGAAGCGTGTGGTCGGCAAATTTTTGAAGATATACGAGGAACCGCTGTTTCCTTTCCGGTCGCTATCCGAAGTTGCAGAGGCAGTTGGCCTCCTCAACGTGACTGCATCCCCGGGCGATGCTTTTCTACAAGCGAACTCAATTTCGGAACTCTTTTCAAGAGAGATCATCCAAGCCAGCACACGGGTGAACTATGGCCAGAACCTACCACTGATTCATGGACTGGAATCCATGGTTTGTATGGCGACAGATGGCGCGGTATCTATTCGTGGCGGAAATTGGAAGATCTTTGAGGGGGTTATCGAGGCATCCAGAGCTGAACTTAGACTCGATACAGCGGTGACTGAGATTGTGAAGACCGATAAGGGCACCGTGCAAATAGCCTCTAAGCCGACTTCTGATCCTGACTCGGCGCAACCAGACGAATCCGAGTTCGATGAGGTAATTATTGCTGGTCCACTACAGTACTCTGGAATTTCGATATCACCACCTTTAGAACATATTCCGGATGACATCCCGTACGCCAAACTTCACGTAACGCTCTTCGCTTCACCATATCGAATCTCGCCTGAATTCTTTGGTCTCCACGGCAAGGACGCACAGGCCCCAGAAACCATTCTTACTACCCTTCCTGGAGGCCTTAACCTTGGAACAAACCCCAGAGGGGTTGGACCTGCAGAGTTTTGGAGTATCAGCACACTCCGGATGATAACAAGAACCGTCATCAAAGATGGACAGCCACATCTCGAAGATCATTATGTATATAAGATCTTCTCCCCAGAACGACCTACTGCCCAGTTTGTTGCGGACTTATTCGGAATTGAATTCTCTCATGGTGGTCCTGGCATGGTGACCGTTGCACCTGATAATGCTACTATCGGTGATCTTCCCGAGAGTGAGATCAGCTGGTTCCACGAGAAGATCTGGAATCCATATCCTCTTCTATATCCTCGTGTGACATTTGAGGATACTCTCTTAGCCCCTGGAATCTGGTATACCAGTGGCATTGAAAGTTTTATCTCAACGATGGAGACGAGTGCACTTATGGGTAGAAATGTGGCAGCGCTGATGGTGCAGTCATGGGAGAGAGAAAAGGATGAAAAGAAAAGCGGGCCTTTGAAATGGAGGACGGAACTCTAGTCTTTGATCTATCGGCACTGAAGTCATTTCTTAACAATACACACTCTTGGGATCTGCTACTTTTCTGCTATTTCGTAATCATTTCCCAATTTTTCCCGCGCGTAGCTGATGGGAACGTTGGAAGGTTGGTACTGCTCCAGATTTGAATAGGTGGGTGCATAGACAATGCTTCACTGATGAAGTGAATTATTTAAAAGAGACCGGAAACCAATCCTTAAGAGGGGGTTGCTGCATATTTCTCTGACAAGAATAAGACACCCTTGCTGTTCATTAGAGCAGCGAATATACTCGACCTTATGTGGTATCTGGATAGGTAGAAACTCCAATTTCGCTACGAAACAAAAAGAGACACCTGCTCTTCTCAAAGCTTTTATTATGAGACAGAAAACATTCAAAACTAAAATCTGATAGGGAATCTTCCTCTCGGCATGGAAATAGTGAGCTGAAGTGGAGCTGCTCTCGAGTTGTTGACTGGTCATGAAAGTGGAGCCTTGGACCCCTAGCGTGAAGATCTATACAAACAAAAAGCAAAAGTTGTCTCACAACATGAGACCTCTGGATCGTGCGTCACGTAACATTGAAATTCTTTCAAAAGCAAACAATGATTATAGTAGTCCAAAATGACCTGTATGCAAGCTGCAAGTGCTGCATTCCTTGTCACCAACGAGGATTGAGCATGCACTGAGACGCAGTAAACAGCAGCAAGGACAATTATTTTTATGGGCCCCGAGGCTGATGCGAGAATACCCCTTCAAGTCCTAAGCTAAAAATGAAAAACATGTTCACCCCGCCATCTTTCTAATAACATCGCATCGCTGGCCACTTCTTCCCCGTGGACATGGGAAACGGCGAACCCTGGGGTACAAGATGGCGATCCTCAAGCGGGTTTATCATGTTCACAGTTGTTATTGGGTTGTTCTGTCAGATTTTCATATACTCTTACATCGTCCCGGTCTTGAGCTACATGGTTGAACATAGGCTTCAACTGCCTACATCGCAGATACAACAAATCACTATTATCATGCTAATGCTCCACGGAGGGTTTGCGGTGGTCATGACTCCCATCTTGACACACTTTGTGAATAAGACGCCGCATCGCAAGATATCTTTGTTGATCAGTCTATCTTGGTGTTTTGTTGGTACTTTACTTATCGCTTTTGCTCATTCCTGTAAGTGTTATGATGATACCCATACTTCCGTATCCTGTTACTAACGTCGCAGTGTGGATGCTTGTTTTAGGAAGAATGCTTCAAGCAATAGCTGGTTGTGCCGGATGGATCATCAGCTTCGCAACGATAGATGATAATATCAACCCTGCGTACATGGGGACAGCTCTCCGGATTGCATTCACGTCCCTCGCTACCGCTATTCTCACTGGGCCCGCCATATCAGGCGTACTTCTTCAGTTTGTGGGATATTGGGCTACCTGGTCTGTACCTCTTGTTATTTTAATCATTAGCTTCATTGCTCGTCTCATCATGCTCGAAGAAACCAAGTTACCTGCCGCCACATCGGACGAAATAACCTCTCTATTGAATTCTACGAAATCCTCACAACCGTCGTCTCAATCTGGTACTGGAATTTACCGAATCATACTATCTGATGTTGGGTTTCTCGTCAGTCTTCTGAATATAATGATGGAGGGCATTATAAGCACCGGATTTGATACTACTATTCCGATTTTTTTGGAGAAGCATTTCGGAATGAAGACAGCTGCGATTGGCTTAATACTTCTTGCCCTCCAAGTCCCTGGTGTCATCATATCTCCATTTATTAGTTTACTTCGGAGCAAGATGGGACTACGCTTTCCAACTACATTTGGATGGACTGTTATGGCGCTATTGTTTTGGCTTCTGGGAACCCTTGGAGAAGATGTCTCTTCCGGAATCATGCCAAATGATATCCACGTACATAGAGCAGACATTTTTGTTTGTGTTGTCGTTTTTATTGGGTTTGTTGCAGCATTGATTCGAGGCGCAGGGATGCTGCAGATGAAAGGTATAAAGAACCCATTCCGATGTTTGGAGATAATTTTCTGACTTGATGGCCTATTAGAAATTGCCAGCAACGTTCAAGATATATCTGAAATGTATTATTTTGCCGATATTGGATTCAATTCGGGGGCATTCATTGGACCCCTACTTAGTGGGTATGTCTGCGAAGTGTCTGGATTCTTCTACATGACCTTGACAATCGGTAAGTCTTTCGGATGTCCTATATGGAACGTTAATTATTCATTGGGAATATCTAATATTTTTGGTTCTTCAAGCTATCCTCTCACTTCTCACCGCGTTATTGACTTTGATATTCTTTGGTCGAAGAGCTCGATCTTTTGCGACATGAAAATGCTCAGTTGAAGAAAGAATGTGACTGGAGATTGAAAAAATTAAGTAAATGAATAATCAAGCCTTTCACCAAGGTTAAAAATGATATAATGCTAAAATCGTGGAACATTGAATGGGTATTCTTATCTGGAAACTTCCAGATGGTCAGCCTGAGGCGGAACAAGCGCCATCCAGCCTAATCCATGAAGTAAGTAATCGCAATCTGGCTCTCACAGAAATACAACTTTGCTGATGGAGAGGGCATGGTATGTATGGTCTCCTATGAAGCGCTTTACTACTAAGTTGTTGTTGTATTCTTTAATATCTGCGTCAAGCAGGGCTAGCCCCTACTTCTGAATCTCCCTTAAGGTATATAGATGGTGTGATATGCTGCCTGTAGTTCTACTAGAAGAAGAGGAATGGTGTAAAGAAGAAGTAATATCAATATTAAAGAGATAAAGGGAGGGAGAGGAAGCCGAGCCGCCGTATCTATAAGACATCTGGACGGCTTCCCACTCCCGGACCAATCTGATTGGTCCGCTGCCGAGAGTAGGCCAAACCAAACAAACGCCGTCAGCCGCCAACCTCTTCCTCCTCCATATAGCTGTACTACTTATGACAGCTTGCATACCAAGCAATTTCCGGAAAGAGGCAGCTTGTGATCATCTCGTTTTGACTCCTGAGGTTGTGACAGATATGTCTGACTAATCAAGATGAGTAACGTAATTCCCGGTCGGGCTGTACACCCGGCCGAGCTGTACACCCCATCAAAAATCACATCTTCCTACCAATATACCAACTTTAACCAGCCACTATGCCACCAATTCGCGCCCAATCGTCTCGAAATTCTGCCGGAAAAGAGGGTAGGATCTTATTAGCCGTTAAAGATATCAAAGATGGCCGTATCAACTCTCTCCGCGCAGCAGCAAAGCTATACGATATCCCCCATACAACGCTGGCTACGCGCGTCAATGGTGTACAATCACGCGTCGATATACGTCCAAATGGCCATAAACTGACACAATTAGAAGAGGATTCACTTGTTGAATGGATAATCTCTATGGATACGCGTGGAGCAGCGCCTAGGCCAGCTACTGTACGAGAGATAGCTAATATACTACTAGCTGCGCGTGGTAGCTACCCTCCACCAACAGTTGGTAAAAATTGGCCATCAAGCTTCATAAATCGACGCGAAGAGATTCGATCACGCTTCTCTAGGCGTTACGACTATCAACGCGCATTAAACGAAGATCCTAAATCGCTACGAGAGTGGTTTGCGACCGTACAACGTGCTATTGACGATAACGGTATCCAAATGGAGGATATCTACAACTTCGATGAGACAGGGTTTGCAATGGGTCTTATTTCAACACAGAAAGTGGTTACGCGGGCTGGATACTACGGTCGGAGAGCTATATTACAACTAGGAAACCGCGAATGGGTTACTGCTATTGAAACTATTTGTGCAGATGGCTATTCGCTACCGCCATATATAGTTTTTAAAGGCCAAGTTGCTATGGCTGGTTGGTTTGATAATCTACCAAAAGACTGGCGATTTGAGGTCTCAAATAATAGCTGGACTACCGATGAAATTGGCCTACGTTGGCTACAGAAACTATTCATCCCATATACAAATTCGCGCGTACATGGCCGGTTTCGGCTATTGATTCTTGATGGCCATGGTAGCCATCTTACGGCTAAATTTGACCAAATCTGCGCAGAAAACAATATTATACCACTTTGTATGCCTGCGCATTCTTCGCATTTATTACAACCGCTTGATGTTGGATGTTTCGCAGTGCTTAAACGCGCATACGGTCGCTTTATAAGTGATCTTGCGCGTGTAGGCTATAACCACATTGATAAGTTTGATTTTCTGGATGACTACCAACGCGCAAGACTGGAAGTGTTCAAAAAGCCAATTATTATTCAAAATAGCTTTATAGCTGCTGGCCTAGTGCCTATTGATCCAGAAAGAGTGCTTTCGAAGCTTAATATCTCTCTACGAACACCAACACCCCCAGGAAGCCGACCAAGCAGCAGATCTAGCCAATTTACACCAAAAACGCCGAGAACTGTCATTCAACTACAAAAACAAGCTTCTATGATGAAAGATCTATTAAAACAACGGTCAAATAGCCCACCAAGCCCATCGAAGACTATGTTAGATCAAATTATCAAAGGTCACTATATATCGCTACACAACACAGCGTTACTCGCACAAGAAAACGCAAATTTACGTACAGCCAATGAGAAAAAACGCCAAAAACGCAATCGATCAAATAGGCAGATACCCTGTGATACTGGCCTAACGGTCGAAGAGGGCCTACAACTAGCTACGCAGCTAAATTTACTAGATGAAGCTACTCCGGTGGATTCGAATACACAGGGCAAAACGCCTATTCAGCCAGGTCAGCCAGCCAAAAGGGCTCCGCCTCGGTGTAGTGGATGTGGGAATATTGGCCATAAGATCAATCGATGTATAAATCGCGTTATTTAGCTAAATTAATATATGTTGGCCAATATATATCGATTTAAATTTTTCTAATGGGTTGGGGTGTACAGCTCGGCCGGGTGTACAGCCCGACCGGGAATTACGTTAACAATCTATGTTTAGTCCGATTGATGGGGCTTGAGGTATGTATCATAAGTTTAACCATTCGCATTTCAATTCATGGATCATATATCGTGCTTTCTTGAACAGACATTCACCTCCGTCAATCCTGCCTTCCGATGTTGTGTAACCGCAACTTTTCATAACTAATACGCTCGACTGTATATTCGTGCGCAGATGCAAGATGAAGAAATCCCGCAAGGCAGCCTGCCTTCCAAGGTTCCAAGGCTTTAGACTGAAGGCTTATTGTCTCGCACTTCATGTCCTGTTTTGAAAAAGCTATAGGACGCTAAGTTCACAATAAAGGAAATACCACCCAGGAATAAATATTAGTGAATGGCGGCTGTAAAGGAATATTCGCCTTCAACATACCTAAGGTCATACTCATGTAATCAAATCCGATGAATTCTGATAAGGGTCCTGCAAGTAGAGGACCGACCATAAGTCCAAGATTAAATGCCATCTCGTTTAAAGCAAACGCCCTGGACTGTCCACCACACGGGCCGAATACGTTGGGTCGTTCAGATTCGAGTTCTTTCAGTATCGCTATTCGATAATTAATGTCAGTGAGCAGATGAACATTATGCAGAGAGGTCTTGGGATAATATACTTACTCATTACATAGAGCATTCCTGAGCCCTGAACTAGGGGTAATACAAAACCCATACCCACCACACAAGATATAAATATTTGTTTCCCGTATTCTTCCCCAGAGGCCCAGGTTACTCTATTACTACCGGGAATACCTAGGAAGACCAGCAACGGAGTCATGATCATCCACCCAATAGTAGTCGGATATCGAAGACCAGCATGATCCCGGAGCCAGCCTGCGATAGGCCGTAGAACTATTCCCGGAACACGAAATATCAGGAATATTGTCCCAACATCTAATGGACCCCAACCAAAGATATTGCGAAGGTGGACAGGTAAAGTAGTAATGAGCGCTGCAATTATTATTGAGGTCATCGCGATGTTAAAAATAGCGACAATGACACGAAGATCCAGAAGCATGGTATAATAGAAATTAGATGGTGGTCGAATATATTCGATCTCATCATGATCATCCTGGGAATCAGTCTGCGTTATGGAAGAATTTGAAAGAAGTGAGGAGTATTCTGTGTTGATGGTAGATGCCTTATTGGATTTATTATACTCAGATATCCTGTTTTGTATAGATAAATCGGCAAGATGCGATACTTTTTGTCGCTCGATTAGAACCAAGCATGCGACAATGTTAAAGACTAGTACGCCTAGTGGAAGGTACCAAGCGGGTTAGTATCCTGAAAGCTCCAAGAGAGATCCTGCGACTACAGGACCTCCAACTGTTTCAGTTGTGACGATAGACATGCTGAGTCCCATCATCCTCCCCATGTTTCCATCGCCAGTAGTTTCGAGTATAATGGCCAAGCAGCGGATCCATGCTACTGCCCCTGCAGAACCTTGAAGAATTCTTCCCAAAATATGACCCCAGTCTAAAAGATATTAATCATAATATAGCCGGACAAAAATACATAAAGAGGGAGCTCAAATCCGGAAACATACAAGTGGGTGTGAAAGCAACGAGGAGAGTTCCACCCAGTGCGACTGTAAGAGAAAGTAGAAGTGGTGATCTTTTATTTGAGGTTTTATCAATAAAATGGGCAAGAATTGGAGCAGACACCACTGGGGTAAGCCCATGCACTCCAAGTAGCGAGGTTGTCAGGCGTTGAGTTTGCGACGGAGGATAATGCAAACGAACTTCGAGCATGTAAGGTAAAATTGGAACCACGGATCCATAGAGTAATGCCTCTTAAAATGAATGTTAAAACCAAAATTTCCTATTCCGCTATACAAGGGATCAGACTTTAAAGATTTACCTGTCAGCAAGGCAAGACAATATGTGCCTATTATGAAAGATTTGGATGAACGGTACCTATAGCCCATGGGCCGATTCGCATTCGAGCTCATCTTCGCTTGCGGAGAGATAGAAGAAAATTTTAAGCAGTTGAGTATACTAAAAAGAGAAGAAATGAGAACCAGCCTCGCACTCTTGGAAGAGTTAAGATGACGAACGCCTGGAGAAGATTGGTTTCCAAAGTCGGATTGCGAGTAACCCCCCTCTCCCCGAGCGCCCTCTTACCTACTACCTACCTGCTCTTGACTCACCAATATATTGACATGTTCAAACCAGATTGGTTAGTATATCAGATATATATGTACTAGTAGATGGCGGATCTTCACTGCGTGTTCGAGGTTAAGTACTATCCAATTCATTATATTGGAAAGATGAATATTTTTGCTTATTTATAGTATATGCTGTCCACGGGTGCGACCTTCGAAGTGTAAAGAAACAGGAAAAGGAACCGGCGTATGATCTCTACTGTACGTTACACCAAATGCAACAATGCGCCCCGATCTACATACCCTTATGCAATATATGCGAAGGATAGTGGAAGAAAGGACGATGGAAGTTTAATCCGAAATCTTTCTACCCATCATCTGAGAGAATGTACCACCTCTCCTATGTATGTGGTAGCGCGACTTGGCCACACTACTTGATGGGTTCAATAAGCCATAAGATCTACAGTACTATGAAGAACAAGCAGAATACACGTGAGATCTAGACAGGTGGCTCTCAACGAGCACGGGGGATAGTTCAGGACTGGATTTTGAGATTTACCCAAAGGCAGGGGTATATATGCATTTAAAATATCTCCAATCTCCGACGGAATATTAGATAATATAACAATGAAAATGGCCGAGACTACCAATCTGTCTCGCTTTCACTTCCTGGATAAGCCTTCTTTCTTAGCTTCCAAAGCGACTTTTCCCGTCGAGCAGCCGATTCACGTTGAAGTTTGCTGTTATCCTCTACAACAGTCATCCAAGGCACTTGGCTTGCACGTCGTGTTCTATCTCTGAGCAAAGCAAGTGTCTGTTCACGTTGAGCTTGGTCATCAGTAGATCCACCACTCTTTTTGAAGCGAGTACACGACTGCTGGTATCGTCGCTCTGCAGCTCGGGCCGAGTAGTATTCTTCACTAATAGCCCAGTTGGGGTTATCCAACTGGCCCCGAACGAGCACAAGTTCATGTCCTTGCTCAATGGATTCGCGAATACGCGATGACGGGATGGGTGTGGAAAGTTCAATTTTCTTCGAAATGACATCCACTGAACGAACGAGTGCGAGACCAAGACAATTAGAAGCCCTGGGGCTTAAGGGAGTGCAGCTCCCAGAGCCAGTGAAAAGGTAAGGGAGACCTTCTGATGTTCTGATGATGCTATCATCAATGGAAAATGCAGAGGATGTCTTCATATCGGGCTCCTCCGAGTCCATGTCCATTTCATCTGCATTCGAGTTGGTTTCATCTTCCGCACCCGATGATTTCTCTCCACTAGAATCATCCGAGACACCTGTGATTGCGCTGCGGGATTCAATGGCCACGACACCGACGATAGCCCCTTCCAGGATTTGACGAAGCATGACTGGGTTGATCTGAGAACCTAAAGCCATGATTCCCAGAATTCCCTGTTTCGCGCCGTCATAGTTCACACCAATTGGCCTTGTACGGGATAAAGGAATATCAGACCATAGTGGATTGGTGATACTTGTGGAATGCGACGCATGGAAATAAGACTGAATTTGCATCGAGCGCAGTTGAGCACTTGACCGGCTCACGAAATCGGTTGGTTGGGAGGGTAGGATGGTCATCGGGACCCGAGCGTCATTTGCTGCAAAGGCTAAAGGCTCAACAACCTCCGTTGGGCCCTTCTCACTCATATAAACAACATCGGAGAGGCCAAGGTACTTGACCAGCCACGTTGCCACCTCTAAGCCTTGCCCAAAAATCCAACCTGGGTAGTTGACTATTAATGGGCATTGAGGGTACTGTGCAAGTAATGTCTGATACTGTTCTAATAGATCCATTGTAGCCAGAGCATAGTGGTCGGGATCCTCTTTGGGCGATGTTGCTCCAATAAAATGGGAACGCAATATTTTGCCGTCGCGCGAATCATGCAATGATGAGTGAGTGAATGGAGGGCCAAAAAACGGAGATCGAAGGTGTGCAAGAGAAACTTGGCCCATAGGGCCAAATTCAGGCTGCCCTGGGTCTAAATCAAGGAAAGCCACTCCGTCGGTGTTGATGAAGCCGTTTTCTGTTTCTGGGGCAGGGCTGAGAACGTGGTTGAGGAGATAGCGACTGAAGGTGGACTTTCCGGAGGCCTTTGGGCCGCAGACTAACACTCGGAGGCGACCTTGTCTCTGGGAAAGAGCTCTCATAGATGCACTCCATTTCTTATCAAGGTGGAGGGGTCGCAAATGACGATTTAAATGGTCATCTGATGAGGTATAGAGCTGCAAATTAATTAGTTTCTTGTCTTTCATCAAAGGATAGAATATTGAGTAATATGACATACCACTGAAAAGGATCGCCGCGAATCCTTAAAAGCACCCTTCAGCGTGAGTTTATCCGCGGCGGTATTTTCTCCATTCCAAATCTTTTGGTACAAAGGAGACAAGTCTCGAAGGCGAGAAAGACCGTTATTGCAGGACTTAATCTCCACTTCAGCCTCGCCATCAACACCAGAGACACACTTGATAATGGGCAAGGAGTGGGTCGATGGAGCATAAACTCTATACACTCGCTGGGAAGGGTGTAGCTTTGCGCCCATAAGACTGACGACTCCACGTTTCACCCAAAGATCATACTGGCCCATCAAAGCCAAATTCTAAACCCGCATTAGCCATATGAAATCCATGCCTCGTGAGATTGTCCGTACCATCTTCTCTTTAATGCGAATGCAAAGAGTATTATCATCCGCATATACGATATTATTTTTGTTCAGTCGAGCTTTGGACAAAGGGAAATTCTGCAGTTCTGCTGGTGTCTCCGCCGGCGACTCATAACCGTCGGCATCACCCACCACCGACGCGACCTCATCCTCATTCATCTGATCCAGACCTTCGGAGGCATCATTCTCTAGACTTTCCAATTGAGTCTCTTCTTTTTCATTTGACTCTTCTGGTTGTGACTCTGCAACTTGGGAGCGTGTTGCTTTCTTTGGCTGCACTACGGTTGTCGCTAATGGCGATGACACTTGCTGCGTCTTAGACCTGGTATTGCGACTCGGAGACTCTGTATCATTCGCATTGCTTTGTTCTTCGCCCTCGGAGGATGTCCGCGGACGTTTCGAAGGGGGTTCCGCAACCGCTTCAACCGGTGCCTCAGCTTTCGTTGCTGTTACATTTTGCGCCTGTTGCTGCCTCGCTTTGCGCGCCGCAAAGGCACTAAGCGGGGCTGTAAAAGTAAGTTAGCAACACCATTGGCAAATCTCCAAGGAAGATATAAATCCATACCAGTACTTTGCTGCTTTTCAGCCTTTCTTTTTGTCATATCAGTCGACGATTGGACCAATTCTCTCACCTGACGTTAACAGAAGGTCGATAATGAAGATGTTGGAGCTGATAAGGAAAAAAAAGTTGGCGAGTGGCCCGTGCGCCCGCGGAGCAGAAAAAAAAGATCCGAAACCTCCAGCATTGTTCCCTTCAGCTGTCGCGACGACTTCACAAGTTACGGTTCTGCGCAATTAATTGGTATCGCATTTGGTGTTATACTATTTAGACAATTGAGAGTCTATATTGTATTCTGGTGCTCAGGATTGAGACCGTAACATCGACAGTCGCACGCCGCTTCCCTGCAACATCACCTATATAATCGCCATGGCTGCCTCCAGTTCTTCCGATAGCGATAGCAGCTCCAGCCGCTCTACCTCGCCTGAACCCGATAACAAGCAGAAGCAAACTATGAAGGGTCAAAAGGGTGACTTAAAGTCCAAGGAGGAAGTTGAAGATTCAAGCTCGTCTGGTTCGGGCTCGGATTCCGATAGCAGCGACGATAGCAGCGACGAAAGCTCTGACGATAGCGAGGACGCGAATGAGACCGCAGCCCCTGCTAAGAAGTATGATTCCGCTTGATATAGACTCCTCTGCTTGTATAGCAATTTAACTAATCTTCTCTTCCATCAGAGTGGTCATTGCCGGCTCCAAGCCCTATAAGCCTCCCTCCGGCTTCAACTCCGCAAACAAGCAAGCCCCGCCATCCTCGACCTCCTCTTCCGTCCTCTCAAATCTCAATGGCAAGAAAGTCTTTCACATTACCGCTCCCTCTTTCCTTCCCTTATCAAAGGTCAAAGAAATCACTATGTCCAAGGTCATGAAGGGCAAGCCAATCCTCTCATACGAAGGCTCAGACTACGGAATCCCGTCCGAAGCTTTCACCGAAGAAGATCTCCAGGGCAAGTCGCTCCTTGTATTCGACAAATCCACACAAAAATACAAGAAAACAACCGATCACATCCCTACCTATAACATTCAAGAGCTGGTGAATGTACCGGAGGCTGATAAGGAAACCGTGGAGGCTCTCCGGGATACCGTGAAGCCCGCGCGGCCGCAACCAAAGAACCTGAAGATGCGCTTCCGACCTCTTGGAAGTTTGCCCGCCACACCTGAGACACTAGGCTCAGACTCAGAGTCCGAGGCTGAGGTCCCTTCATTCAAGGTTCCAGCTGGGGAGAAGGAACGAAAGCGAAAGCACGATCGTACTGAGGGCGAGGCTTCTCAGACGGTTAGCTCGCCTAGCCGGAAGAAGTCTAAGAAGCACTCTGCGCCTGAGGATGGGGAGGAGAAGAGCCATAAGAAGTCGAAAAAGTCAAAGGATGGCGAGGAGAAGAAGCGGAAAAAGTCAAAGGCATGATTTGGAGTTAAGGGTTATTTTTCATTTTCATCTGTTTAGCTAAAAGATATCTTTGTTCCACGATACGCAAGACAACATTCAATGTACAATTTCAAGGTTTCTATCCGTCGAGTTTTACGGTCGTTGAGAAGTGTAAGGCTCTAAGTGGGTTTCAATAGAGGAATGTGTTCACAAAATGTGATAATTAAGGGCATACATTCAGCAATATTTTATATAATATTAGCAAAACCCGGAGTTTTAACTCCTCCATCCAGAGCAAGAAATTATTAGTCGTTGACTCATGAATATAGAAGTATTCTTCAATCACCACATTGATCCAGGCTCAAATCTAATCCGAATGGTGAAGATTGGTATGGAAGCTTTCATGCACAGCAACGAGCTGTACTTTCTTTCCATCTACACCGATGACTCCACCCTTCTCATCATCGTCGGAGTTACGCTCGGCAACTTCCCATTCAGTACCAGCGGCCTTTTCAAGATTCTTGCCCCGAGTCTCCTTAATGAAGAACCAGCAGAAGCCAGTAGCAACAAAGTCAAATCCCATGAAGATGAGGAAGGTGTTAGCACCAACGTTTTTGATCATGTATGGACTTGCGAATGAGAAGCAGAAAGATGTTGCCCAGTGGGCCAGCATACTGACAGCTAAACCTAGGGCACGACTGCGGGTTGGGAAGATCTCGGGCACATAGGCCCACGGCATTGGGCCCCAAGAGCAGTTATAAACCTGGAAGTGAGTTAGCAAAGGGGTCCTATATAATGGATTGAGGGTAGGTTGTTCGACTAACCATAATATTGAGGTAGAGCATTGCAACTGTTGCTCGTCCTGCTGCGGTAGTATTCCCGTCTATGGTAGTGTGTGTCTTGTCGACGATCAGTGCGGTAATCAGCATACAGACTCCCATGAATGCCGAACCACCGGTTAGGGCCGCACGACGGGTCAATCGCTCGGAAAGGAAGAAGATGAAGAATGAACACGCGATGACCTTCATCGCACCGAATAGAGCGGTCAAGAGCATGTCGGCGCCACCACCAGCGACTAGCTTGAAGTACTGAGGGGCGAAGACAGCCAGAGCACTACTTCCGGTTGCATTTTGGAAGATGAAAAGCATAGGACCAACGAAGAAACGAAGGCGGTTGGCGGGTTGAAGAATCTCGCGAAAAGTGAAACCCTCTTTCTCAGAACGCTCCGCTTGGAGTCCAAGTTGGGTTTCTGCGAATTCCTCTTTTGTTTTCTCGTTATCACCACCTCGGATCCAAGTGATTGATTTCCATGCCTCGTCGGTACGGTTCTGAGTTAGGAGCCAGCGAATCGACTCGGGAAGGGTGAAAGTCAAGATAAAGAGGGCTCCTCCAGAAACTAGCTGGAGACCAACAGGAATCTGCCACTCTTTTCTGGTGCCCGCAATCGAAGAGTTCTGCTCAACACCCTGATTTGACACTATAGTTAGTATACAAGTTCCATTCCTTTTAGAGGTATTCCAAAAATGAAGCCTTACATAGTTGACCCAGTATGCGAGGAAAACACCCCACGCATACATCCATTGGTAGAATGAACCACAGCGACCACGAATCTCCTTGGGTGTCATCTCTGCTGAGTACATGGGGATCACGACACTCTGACCACCCATGCCTATACCAGCAACGATACGACCGACATACCAAGCGGCGAGTGAGCCAGTGTTAATAACTTGAATGATAACGCCGATGCAGAAAATTCCGGTTGCGCCAATGATTACCCATTTTCGTCCAAATTTGGTAGTTATTGGGTAGACTGCGGCTGCGGCGATGAATGAGCCTAATTGCTCCAAGCCCACGGTGAGCGACGAGACCTTGGACTCATGCGCTGCCTTATAACCGAAATCTTTTTCGAATGACGCGAATGTCAAGATTCCACCGGCTATACCGCTGTCATAACCGGATAGGAAAGAAGAGATACTTGAAGTAAGTTAGTTTGAGATGTCAAACGGCCTCGCGATCAAGGGTCCAATAGGACGATCCAAGAAAGAAAACACCAAGCACTGGAAGCAAAGAAAAAGAAAAGAATAAAGAAGTATAACTCACAAGACGATCGCGGCCAAATGATAGGCACGCCAAGTACCCAAACGGGTATTTAGCTCTGGGACAGTAAAAAACCCCATGACTATTGGCAGCTCTGGATTGTAAGGTTTCTAAACGTCACACCGATGGCGATCCCAAGAGACCCAGAAACGACCGGCCAGGACCATCAATATAAAGGATTTCAAGTCGTCGTATAGACCTGGTGAGCAGGTACAGGGGCCATTTTGCGTGCTTGGGTAATTGCGCCAGCCGATGTCGAAACGGGGCTCGTTCGCGCACAGAAGCACGCCTTTGCGCTAAAAAGTGGTGTTATGGAGCCGACAGGCGAGTTAGTGTCACCATGCCATCAATAGGGCTTGTTACTTCGTTGGCTGGAAGGATCGTAGAACGCGCGTTTCAGAGTGTCTTTCTTGATTAGTGTAGTCACCCTCTTACCTGGCTTGCTCGGTTCTCGGCTACATCTCTTTGATCTCGGTGATGGTAGTCTGGCGCGTCGGAGATTTAAACCTTCCAACTGGTTACAGTGGATGATCAAGCCATCAAGCCAGGATGTGAGTCTATCTTGGATTTTTAATCCTGTCGGCAAAAGAAGAGTCTAGTGGCAATCTTGGATTTCAAGCAAACTATTTGTCTCCTGAGGTTGACAGAGGCGATCAAATTAAGGCGATCCACGATGCTTAGCAAACGTCGATCTCTCCCCACATATTAAAGTCCGGAACACCACAAAGCGATAAGTAGGCTTATGGGGTATAAGTGGGTACACCATGTCTCTTTCTTTCTATCGAGGCAAATAAGCATACTGATCACATACTACATAACTCTATTACTTATATTTTATTCTACGGATATCAATCCCTCTTCATCTTTTCAAGTGTCAACAATGATTAGATAATCACTAATTTCTTTGATAAGCCGTCACGTGCGATGCGATCATCACATGGCGGGGAGACCTGACGAGACCATGAGGCCAATAGAGGCTGGTAGGTCATTTACATCTTTTTTTCGTGTCAATCTGGTCTTTTTCTTTTGTTTTCTTCCATTCCGAAGTTGATTTCGGTTTAAACTCCTTAGGTGTCAGCTTCCATCAAATTGACTCTTTAACCCCCTATTTACAAGGCTCATATTTTCTTTCACTGCAAGGTCAACTGGTACCTTGATGTTCCAGGCTTTGGTGCAGAAGGCCCGAGCTTGCTGATTCGCTTATCGCTCCCGAAATTCCCCTTATCGCTCCTGGGGGGTAGCCAGAAAGTGGTTTACTCTTTCTTCTCAACTTCTGGAGTTAGAGGGCGGTACTGAGCGCAAAGGATCTGTTATCCTCACATGTTACTATGTTATCGTGGCCAGCCTCGCCGTTGGGCAACTCCTGAGCAAAGCCCGCCTGACGTGGCCATCCTGGATCATCATCGCCCTATCAGGCCCGAGCTGTCACCTGCGACCCTGACCTTCCCGCAGGTGCAGCTGTCTAAACTCCCCAAACTCATCAACACAAAGCGGCATTTGCTTTGCACTTCCCATCTATTATCGATTACGCCGATACAATAACACAACACTAGAGATGAAACCGTCAATAGAAAACGCCAGACGGCGGGGCGATCGACAGATGAGCATGAGCATGAAAGCACCCTCGGCCCAACGAACATTCCCCGATCGGCTTCCCGAACGCTTCAAAGATGGAGACGATGCGAAGCTGGATTTCACAGCGCCTCCAAAAGGCATGGTTTCTCGCGATGGAAATGTGCACTATATGCAACAGTCCCTTTTTTCGATGATCGCCGCTGTAGGCTCCCGCTCCGATTTCCGAGCACGATTTGACGATTCCAGCGACGATGACGATAGATCGGACGAAAAGATTCGAAAAGAAAACCGAATACCCACTCAAAGTAAAGATACATTTTCAGATCAAAATACTAGTGGGAGTTTGGCATCCAAACCCTTTGACAGGGAGGACGGACGAGGACGTCGTCATCGAAGAGCCATATCGGAGAACAAGCCTTTAAGAAGCCTGCCTGGCCAGAGTTTAATGGAGACTGAGAAAGAAACATCGACTATCAGTGGATCGGTACTCATGGTCCCTCCAAGGCGAGCACGTAGTGTTACGCCACGCCCGGCTCCTATCCTCACACAGATGGTGCAGGCCCAGAACCGGTTCGATACAGCCTCTGTACCCGAGAATCCACCGTCAAGGCCAGAATCTCCAAGCGACGATCGACCACAAACAGCAGGGTCGGCGCTTTCGACAAGATTGATGGAGATGTTCGGTTTTGAAAGCCCCGAAAAGGTACTAGCCGAATACCCCTGTGCGCTACTACAAAGTATGCTCCTTCAGGGTTATATGTATGTTACAGAAGGACATATTTGCTTCTATGCATACCTGCCGAAGAAGTCCAGCGTCACCATCAGATCCGGTCACTTGGCAAAACGCGGTCGGAAGAATCCAACATATAACCGGTACTGGTTTGTCCTGAAAGGAGACGTTTTCTCTTATTATGTCGACCCATCAAACCTTTACTTCCCCAGTGGCCATGTGGATCTTCGATATGGTATCTCTGCATCTCTCGCGGAGTCGAAAACGCCGGGCGCTGAGGTGAAAGACTTCCAAGTAACTACCGACCAACGGACTTATTACTTTCGTGCCGATAGCGCCGCGGGCGCAAAGGAATGGGTGAAAGCACTCCAAAAGGTTATATTTCGAACTCATAATGATGGAGATAGCGTCAAAGTATCATTTCCTATTGATTCCGTGATCGACTTGGAGGAGAGTCCGATGGCCGAGTTTGCCGAAACCTTCAAAATCCGCGTTTTGGACAGTCATGAGGATTATGCTATGGACGAAGTAAGTATTCCAACTCTCAAGCTCAGCAAAACTTGTATTTATTTATGTTCTAACTATTCTATCAGTACTTTTTCTCGCTTTTCGAGTCAGGGCAAGAGGCTTTCATTTATCTTAAAGGCCTTGTGGGCTCATCGTCTTCAAGGATTCTGTCTGAAGATTCAAGTTCATCGAAAGCTCAACTCGATGCGACTGTCGCCGATCTGAAGAGATTATCAGATAGTGAAGATGCCTCTATGTCAAGGCAAGATCTGCTATCGCGAACGCAGAGTGAGAGTTTCGGTAACGACCATCAGGGCTCGGGCGATTCATTCACTCATTCGGCGGATCAAGGGACAGACTCGTCACATGTTGTGCAATCAATGATTGAAACCAATGAATCGGCGAGTCAAATCCTCAACCGAAGTGATGTTTTCCAGTCACCGACCATGCAGTCTTTACCAAGGCGGCGATCGGATGCCGAAGATATCCACCAGCGACGATCGATCGATACAACCCGTGCTCAATCTGGGCCTTCGGCACGCCGAGGTATCACAGGACGTATCGCAGGGACCCCCGAGCATATGTTTGTTCCCCGGGACCAACAAACCAATGTCCCCTTAAACGAGTTGGTAAAGGCTGGAGCTTATCCTCTTCAGCGTGCTGCTGGATTTGCTGAGTACCTAAAGAGTAGGTCCAAGCAGATGAGCAGTTTGCTGGCAACGGAATCAATGGGATATATCGAGAAGGTTTCGGGCATGTGGATTGGAGGGCAGAAGCATTACGGAGAGACCGAAGGTGTTATATCGGGTGACCGAGGCCTGGATCCTGAAGAGCAAGAAGGCGACATCAACCATGGTGATCGCTTTCGTGCTCACTTTGCCCTCCCGTCGACAGAGAGACTGCAAGCAACTTACTATGCATACTTACATCGCATGCTCCCGCTCTATGGCAAGATTTATATCAGTGAGCGTAAATTATGTTTCCGCAGTCTAATTCCTGGTACTCGGACCAAGATGATCCTACCGCTCAGGGACATTGAAAATGTGGAGAAAGAGAAGGGATTTCGCTTTGGCTACCATGGACTGGTTGTGATCATTCGGGGACATGAAGAACTCTTTTTTGAGTTCAACGCTGCTGATGCGCGGGATGACTGTGCAGTCACACTTCACCAGAACCTCGAATCCGTCAAGTTCCTGGCAGAATCCGGCCTATTGGCAGAGGAGGAACGCGAAGAAGTCGAGGCGGCAAAGGCTGAGCACCGGATGCTTGAAGAAGCTCGACTGGAGAACCCAGATGATAATGAACCTCAATCAACAATGAACGAGGTTTCATCCGAACTCAACCCGTTCTTTGATGACCCCCGCGCTTCTATCATCAATTTCAAACCGCCTGAACCTCTAAGGATCACCTGCTTGACCATTGGATCCCGAGGAGATGTACAACCCTATATTGCACTATGCAAGGGTCTCAAGGCAGAGGGCCATAAACCAAAGATCGCTACTCATGCTGAATTTGAGCCATGGATTCGATCCCATGGCATCGATTTTGCGCCCGTCGATGGTGATCCTGCTGAACTGATGCGAATTTGTGTCGAGAACGGCATGTTTACTTATTCCTTTCTTCGTGAGGCCTCCTCGAAATTTAGAGGTTGGATTGATGACCTTCTGTCTTCTGCCTGGGTTAGCTGTCAGGACAGTGATCTTCTTATTGAATCACCTAGTGCAATGGCTGGAATCCATATTGCAGAAGCACTTCGAATCCCATACTTTCGAGGATTTACTATGCCCTGGTCGAGAACACGAGCATATCCACATGCTTTTGCTGTGCCCGAGAATCGCATGGGAGGCTACTATAACCACATTACCTACGTCATGTTTGACAACATCTTCTGGAAAGCTATTGCAGGTCAGGTAAATCGATGGCGACATAAAGAGTTGGGACTTAAAGCAACCAACCTGGACAGAATGCAACAGAACAAAGTTCCATTCCTCTACAACTTTTCGCCCTCGGTAGTGCCACCCCCTCTCGACTTCCCTGACTGGATCCGCATCACAGGCTACTGGTTCCTAAGTGAAGGATCGGATTGGAGCCCACCGAAAGAGTTGGCCGATTTCATCAGCCGTGCTCGTGCGGATGGCAAAAAACTTGTATATATTGGGTTCGGGTCTATCGTGGTCTCAGATCCTGCTGCTCTCACGCGAACTGTCATCGAGAGTGTCCAAAAGGCCGATGTACGATGCATTCTCTCTAAGGGATGGTCGGATCGACTGGGCGATCCTTCTAGTGTTAAGGTTGAGACTCCATTACCAGCTGAGATTCATCAGATTCAATCTGCTCCTCACGATTGGCTTTTCTCGCAAATTGATGCTGCAGCTCATCACGGTGGCGCGGGAACTACTGGCGCAAGTCTCCGGGCTGGTGTTCCAACAATTGTGAAGCCTTTCTTTGGAGATCAATTCTTCTTTGGTTCCCGTGTCGAAGATTTGGGTGTGGGAGTTTGTATGAAAAAGCTGAATGTCAGTGTCTTTTCGCGCGCAATTTGGGAGGCGACACATAGTGAGCGAATGATCGTCAAAGCCCGTAACTTGGGCATTCAGATACGAAGTGTAAGTGTTTACTACAATTTTCAATCTTTCAAATACTGACAACATAATTTTATTACAGGAGGATGGTGTTGCCACTGCTATCCAGTCCCTTTACCGCGATTTAGAATATGCAAAGACCCTCGCGCGACAACGCTCTAATATTTCAAGTACCCCCTTTTCGCCCACTCCATCTGCTAAAGCATCGCCTGATCATGACGATGATGACATCGACGATATTGAAGAGTGGACCTTTGTGGGCGATGATATTGACCTCTCAAAGCGAGTACGTGACCGAGCTGCCTCGGCCGCATCGGCTGCATCAGATGTCGACAAGATGGCCTCTAGCATGTTTCTTCCATAATCCCAGCCTCCAAGAACAGCGCTCCTCTAGCCATCACCTTCTATCTCTGTTTCCCTTTCTCATCATCGAATGGCCATCTTTCTAATTTGCTTATTTATTTCTTTTGTTTTAATGACTCGCTTATTGACTTTACGATTTATGGTTGCATTTCTCTGCAGTTATTGAGGTCTTGGAGTTTTGATTTCATATAATGGATTGTTTTGTTGTTCTCTAATGTTTTGAACTTTGATCTTATACACCACCTTCCCCGTCTTTCCTATTATTTTCTTATTAGATGATAGCAAGTTTGAGGGTATATTTTATATTAGTTTGGTTTGAGCGATTTGTGAAATCCAGAGACCAACCTATAGTATCCTATTTAGGTAAGGTCTTTATCTTCAAGTTTTACCCTAATGGGAAAATCAGGTACTTTCTAGACTCGACACAAGTATATATAGATAATTCTGGAACTTATCCTCTGCAGATTTGCCATATCTCCGCACACTTATATGGTAATAGCTGATCATCCGGCATGCGAAACTCCCGAGGCCCAGTACGAGCTAATCCATGTGAGGCGTGCGAGTGCGAGGGCTTCTTCTACGACGCCCGGGCCACAGTGCAGGGATGCTAGCCCATTAACGCCTAGCAATTTGCTGAGTTTAGTGGGGCTGACCCGCTGACTGTTAGCCTGGAGGTTAATCTGAGTGTTTTCCGCCCAAATCGCATATTTGAATATCCAATCCGCCCATCCCATTACTCACCATCATCACCACATGCCCCCTTTCTATTCCCCTTTCCCCAGTGAGGACCATTTTATATCTGCTGGGATGGTTCGGAATGTTCTCAATGAATGTCATCCTCACGCTGAGCGTGCCCCTTTTAACGGCTATCGGGTACGGCCTGTATTGCGGGTACCAACATCGGCGCAAGATCAATGAGCTTCGCAAACAAGGAGTGGTAAGTAGCTAGCCTAATATTCATAATCAGATACTGATATGTTATTCAGGCAATGCCAAAATGGAATTGGATCACTGGTCACCTTCTCATTCTCGGGAAATATTTAGACCCCTTACCCTCCAACGCCTTTGTCCAGCTTGCTATGCAAGATCTATCCCTGGAATGGGGAGAGACAGAGGTCTTTCTTATGGACGTCTGGCCTATTTTCCCTGCTTATTATGTGGTATATGACCCACAGACAGCAGTGCAGGTCTCAACGAAGCTTAATCTCCCCAAGACTTCTAACCATTTGAAATTCATGAAGCCGATCGTGGGCGGGCCTAACATACATTCTATGATTGGTTCTGAATGGAAGTCGTGGCGCTCAATATTCAATCCAGGCTTCAGTGCTAATAGCATGACGGATCTCATGCCTGCCGTCATCGACTCTGTTCAAGTCTTTTCCGATATTCTACGGGAGAATGTGGGGTCGGGAATCATCAAACTGGATGAACTGAGTACTCGGTTGACAATGGAAGTCATTCTGAAGGTCACTCTGTGAGTTTTTTGCGGTCGCTTCTGAGTTGTTTCAAATATAGTAGTTGTCACTAACTATGATCCAGGGATATGGATTCAGGTCACCAGCGCTCAGAACACGAAATTTCACGAGCTCTCAAAAGAATAACAGCATGGCATTCTTTCTGGGATCCACGTGTATTAGCCAATCCTATACGACCATTTATCCAGAAATACTACGGCAGCGTGATGAATCGAATTATCCAAAAAGAACTGCATCAAAGGTTTCAAGAAATTAAAGAAAATAACAGCAATGAAAAGCCTTTAGAAAAGAGCTCTAAGCGCGCAAAATCCGTCATCACATTAGCGCTCGAGGCGTATCTAGCTGATCCTCTTTTCAACAAAAATGGCATCTCAACCGACACATTAGATGACCATTTCGCCAGCTACGCAAGCTACCAAATTCGCCTTTTCCTATTCGCCGGAAACGACACAACCTCAAGCTCAATTCTCTACGTCTACCATATGCTCTTCAAGCATCCCGAGATCGTGACCAAAGTCAAAGAAGAACACGACCGTATCTTCGGCACCGACCCCTCCGCCGCAGCTGACCTTCTCAAAAACGATCCATCCCTTCTTAACCAATGCCTACTCACCGTCGCCGTGATTAAAGAAACTTTAAGAATGTTTTCCCCCGCCTCGACAAATCGCGGAGGCCAAGAAGGGTCCCATTTAACTGATCGGCATGGGAATGTCTATCCAACAGATTATGTAGGTGCTAGTATCTTGCACCAGGCAGCTCATTATAATCCTCGAGTTTGGCCTCGGGTCAATGAATTTCTGCCCGAGCGCTGGCTCGTCGATAAAGATCATGAGCTGTATCCTGATCCCAGTGCTTGGAGGCCGTTTGAGCAGGGGCCTCGAAATTGTATCGGTCAGACGCTTGTGTACAATGAGATGAGATTGGTTTTGGTCATGACGCTTAGGACTTTTAAGATCGAGCCTGCTTATGATGAATGGGATGTGATTCAGAGGCAGAAAGAAGGGTCGTTAACGAAATGGGGGAGGTGGGCTGGAGTCGTTAAGGATGAGATTAAGACTGTTCATGGGGAGAGAGCGTATCAGACAGAGGAGGCGGGGGGTCATCCGGCTGATGGGTATCCATGTCGAATTAGTCTGGCGAGCTAAGATTGCGGACAGTGTTCGATTTTTGGCGCCATGTAATTTACGGGCTATGTTTCTAGGCTTGGGTTTTAAACTAATATACCTCAATGCATGGCTAAGCCTTCAAATGTTTTAGAAGAAACGAACCCTTAATATTCTGAAAACGGGTTGAATCTATACAACAGTTGAAAATGGTTTTATTTCATATTACTGTATTAGTCATACTAATTAGGCATGACTAGGCATGACTAGCTTTCGACGTGCTTCCAGGGAGTCGACTTTTCCTTACCGAGGATGGTTAGAGAGGGGAAACAAAGTCTGTCATTTGGAGCCTACGTAACGCGTCTCAATTTCAAGGACATAAAATTCATTTCAATACCTAGACTCCAAGTAGATTCAGTATATCTACCTTGAGCAATGTTTGTAGAAAGGACCAAGTCACTAAATGCGGTAGCCCTGTTTCGGTTCGCATATCTATGCAATCTCGCATGGCTTTCGGTAGTTTAGACACAAGGCCTCAAACATATCATCCTCATAGAAATAGACCATTTAAGCGATTTGTGCGGCTGTAAGTCCGCTCCAACTATCAGACTATACATCTATAGTCTGATTGATTACCAAGCTTTGTAGCACGATGAACTCGAGAATTACGCACCAGCTGCGGCGGAGATGTAGTTTCAGCCCGCTTATTGTTGGAAGTCTCAGGCTGGACTTAGTATTTTGAACTTGAAAGACGCAGCACAAGAGAAAGTATGGTAATACTTACGCCATCTACCTCTGGCCTTCGATCCCAGTGTCTAATGTCGTCGTAATTCCCTACCTTTACACCTGGTTGTTCCTAAAAATAGAATTGTCAGATATTGACACTTGTTGTAAAGTCGATTCGAGAGAAGATAGTACCCTATCGGGGTCATAAATAGGAGGCATGCTGTTGCTTGTGACCATGGACTGCAGTTGGGGATGGATTCATTAGTAAAGGTAGGTAGGATTTTGCTCAGTGCTCCGAGTTGCCTTACAGTCACAAGAGGAATGGTACCAGCAAACAGGGTAAATGTGAGAAATTTCATCTTGAACTTGAAAGGACTAGTAGAGATCAACTCAAATGTAATTGAGGATTGATTGGATATATGAAGGAGAGCATATCCCTTGCCACAGGATTCGCAAGGTTCTTCAATATTTTATATCTTCTCTAGCTAGGCAAGGTATACTTCCTCGTGGTGATTCAGACACTTGAAACACCTGGGTAATAATAATCTCTGAAAATGGCTGGCGTGTTACTTTGCGGGGGGCCTAATCCGTTGGTGAGCTGTAACATAAAACACGAGCTGACTTGAGTACTAGGATGTTAAGCTCTATTCTAGACTTTAATACATGGTTCTTCCTGGTTTCGTAGGTATTATGCGGCTTCCACTGTGGCATTCTAGAGCCTCCCGATTATTATAAGCTTTATTGGCGTGACACTAGAAGATAGTATGGATATTTCGAGAGATGCCACCCTTGAAGTAGTACCTGAGTATTAACTTTACGTACATGGTATGTAAGCGAGAGAACTAGGTATAGACAAGTGTTCTTCTCCCTTTCCTTCAATTATTTCAAGTCTTCACCACCGAGTCTTCTCATAATGCACCTCTATATCCTCCTCGCACTCCCTAATCACCTCAAACGGCGCAATTTCCAAAAACTCCTTCGACTCCTGACTAGCAGGCCACGAAACCTCCACTGAGAAATCCGGAATCCAGTCCAATTTCATCAGGGGCTCCAACAAATTCGCCTCCAGAGGCGATGGCAAACCCTCCTCACCATCAACATAAACGTCCAACTTGCATAGGAATCGAACTCTTAGTCTGCGTAGATCTTTCATCGTAGAAATGACATCCCACGTATTTTGGGGTAGTGGATCTGTCCAAAACTCGGAAGATTCCGCGAGCTCTTTTCTATGATACTGGAGATATTTTTGCATCGTAGTTAGTGTAATGGGGATCTCTAGTGATCTGACTTTGCAGAGTCTCTCGGGCAGAAAGATATTTTGCAGTATGAACGGTAGCTGAAATGCTGGGGTGTCGTTGTCTAGAAGTCGGATTGTATTTCTGGAATAGAGAATATCAATTGCTTCGGAGTATCTGGTTTTCTTGGTTAGTCATTCACGTATGCATATAAGCAGGCAGATGGTAGGTGCAAGTGGAATATCTCCGGTTACGTACATTTTTCGACACGTTAGAAGGAGAGAAAGATTCCCCGTTTCGCGTACAATGCGCTCATTATCTCGCCAATGGCCCCATCTTGGCATTAAACAATCATTAATACGCATTAATCTCGGCAAAAGATCATCCGTCAAAGCCGACGTATGCTGGAGTCCATTTTTCGAATCCCAAATACGAACAGTCTTATTCCCAAGAACAAGACTGTATATCTGTAATCTTATTTCTGGCGGAAGCGTACTGAAAAATCGACTTTGATCTTGCTTCTCTGTTCTTTGCTTTTGTTTCTTGCGTAAAAGTCTCCAACTTGGTTCTGGTAGTGGGAGAGTTAAGGCGCGTTTTCGCAGCAAGGGAGTTCCAAATTGATGGAAACTTTCTTCCGAGTTATTGGTGTGGAAGAATAGGGGGGATAGGCAACGAGGTGCAGATATGATTATTAGGAGGATGTCGAGGGACCATCTTAGGAGACTTTTCTCCTGGATTTCCATGACATGTCCAAGTTCCAATTTGGTATTGTTTGTGACGAGTAGGAGAAAATAAAGCAAGGAAAAGGGGGCGTTTTTTCAGCCTCGATTTGTCCCCACTTGGCGGCGGATTGCGGGTCTGATCGTTATTCAACGGTGAATTGTCTTTTCGGGGATAGTAGAGATAGATGCTAATAGTTTAATTTTGGAATAGAAAATTTTTAGCCACGGTAATGATAAATGAGGTTATTAAGGGGTTGAGCTTTTGGTCACGTCCCTGTTCTTCATATGACGCAGTCTGACAGTGTGCACCAACGGCTTTATAGCAAGATGGACTATTTTATGAATTTGGAATTTGTTGTTTGAGATGAAACGATTGATTCATACAATTGGAATAATAAGCTCATGCATCTGGTATTTGAGTGATCGGGGAGTCATCGGGGAGGTGCTATACACATGCATATGCCCGGGTGTTATGTACAAGGCCAAAAAGGGTAGTTTTGGAGGAAGTACGCAAGGACACGCCCTTTGACGCATCTTCATCTATGACATGCCATTCTATGATTCTCGAAAATATCACTATATTTGATGAGTCAATTTTAAACACGTAGACTTCTTGGATTACCTGTGGAATCTATCGTTCCACCCGTTTTTTACCCAATACCCAAACGAAAACAGCTAACAGGTATACATCGTCCCATTTTATTTCTTAGATACATTCAATATCAATCATCATATACCACCTCTTCACATTTAACCAGGTCGCGGCTTCTCTTCATCGTCTCCTTTCCCTTCGGTCTTATCTTTGCGCCGTTGCACCACATCCCAGTTATAAACACGTGCTGTAGCAACCTCCAATGTCTAAAATAATCATTAACATCATTCAATATCCAACATTGAAGCCACAAGGTAAAGATAAGGGCGTCACATACGGTAATCTGCTCGCGCAGGAACTCCAGATCTTCCTCGCAATTAGACAAACTTGACTCCGCAGCCGAAAGCTTCTCCTGCAGCATTGACTGTGCCTCATCGAGCGGGTAAGCGAGCATAACATTAGCTCCAAGCCAGAGGTAGACTTCCTCTGTGTTGGCTGGGGAGATTGAAGCGCGTGCGTAGAGGGTATCGTTGAGTTCAAAGTTTGTTTCGAGGTCTGTCTCTGTGTTTGCCTGATAATTATGATGTAAGTATATATCCACGCGTTGTATTAGGATGCCAATGGGTAGGTAGTGTAATAGGTAAGAATATCCTTACATCCTTGCGCAGCTTCAGAAATTGTACCATCTCCAATGTCTTCTTGATATCTGGGATCTTGTCGCGGAGTCCCTGGCCCCGGCGCTGGGTATTCACCTCCATATACTGGTATTTGGAGATCATCTCCTGGAACCGGCGGAGGGTTTGCTCAACCTCTGCGCGGTTGGAGACGTATTCGGATACATCGTCGACAAAAGGCGCAACGGGGATACCGCGGGGGTTGGTTTGTGTTGTTACCGGGCTGTGAAGAGGATGGAGGGGTTAGTTGGAGTTTTGATGCGTGACAATTGGGATAGCGAATCAAGTTCCGGTTTGGTTTGGGTAAAGAGAATTAAAAATTGGAAAGGATGGGATATAGATCCTTCATTTATAGGAGCAGGGAATACTTACCCCTTTGATTTGGAGTCTGCCATGGCTGCGTGGTGGGTGCGGTTTGCAGAATCCCAAAGTGGGGAGAGCTTGCATTGCTGGATCTTTCTGCCCGCAGAGTCTCTTCCGCTCGTTTCTCCGCTACACCTCCGATATGATATGACATCCACCTGGCTAAACTAGCCAGCCACGCAACAATCAATAATTCCAATATTCGCGATGGTCCTTCTGGTCGCGACGGATCGTATTCGATCGGCTTTGGAGGCTGTATCGGAATGCAAACGGAAAGAACTTGATCTCCCTACCACGATCGATGTTCATGGGCCGATCTCACACAGTCAGCTCCTGCATTTATCGAAGCATTTACAGAGTGACTCGGAGTATGACCCTGTAGATTGTGGGGTCCCAGATACGAATCCCACAATTCTCAGTGCGCTTTTAAGAGGCACGAAGGTCTATGTTCCGCCATCACCTAAGAAACCTGAACCGGTACGTGTCCGAATCATTCATGCCATGCCATGCAATCGCATCGTAATCGCAACCTTACCCCATTACTGCCTGTCTCCAAAAAAAAAAAAAAAAAAAAAACAGTATCTTTTCGCTAATCTCATCCAGACACCCGAATACCTCGCCTCAAAAGCCCGTCTACAAGCCCTAGCCGAAAAACAAGCATACCAACGCCTCCTAAACCCAAACTACACCCCTCTCCCCGAATACGCAGACCAACAAGCCCACGGCCTAAACGGCGAAGAAACAGAAGACACACTTACACCTTCCTTGGTCCTTAATATCTTTCTTTCTGTCGTTATTACCGGATTCGCCGTATACTGGGCGTTGGGAAGCTTCTATATGCCGCGTATTCTGGCCCAGGTGTTTACGTCCTGGACCACGTCGTCGGTTAGTATTCATGATCGGTATGAGGGGGTGGGAGCATCGCAGGCTGTTAGGGTTTTGATTTCGTTTATTGCTGCCTTGAGTGTTGCTGTTGCGGAGTCGTTTTTGTATGGGCTTTATCTTGGGAAGGTGGAGGAGGCTAGGAGGGTGGAGAGGGGGAGGAAGGAGGAGAAGGTTGTCCTGGGATCTTTTGGGGATGATGATGGGGATGGGGATAAAGTGGAGAGGGTTGTTGGGGAGAAAGAGGAGATTTGGGGGAAGGGGGTTAATGGGGGGATGAGGAGGAGGGTGAGGGAGAAGTGGGAGAGGGAGCAAGAGCAAGAGCAGGAGCAGGAGCAGGAGCAGGAGGGACAGAAGGATAAGTTGGAGGAGGTGAAGGTTCATGAGAAAAACTCTTAGTTTGGTTTAAAGATTCTACGCTCTTGTTTATTTATGTATACTAAGTATTATACCCATTTCGGTTGGATTCAAGATCAATATTAACACTTTTTGTTGAATTTCTATGCTAAAGCTACAACGCGCTGTCATTACTCTAACGGGTATGAATGCTGGTCAGTCATTAGTATGCTCGTCGCAGCGGAAGACCGAGACCGAGATGCAGGAGGTTTGACAAAAAAGAACTGTGAAGTATAGACGAGACGACGACGGAAAATGGCTGCCGAAGAGTCAACTTGTCCCAAGCGGAGACAAAGGAGATGCAAAAGGCTTGTGAAAGAAAGAAGAGAGAAAGAGAAAAAAGACGAAGAGTGAATGAAATCAATCAAACCCGTTTCTCGAGAAGAAGCTTGCCAGCAGGTGCCTTGTCGCCGAAGTTATCTTGACGGCTGAAAATACGCTCACCACGCAGCCAGGTCTCACGGACCATACCGCGGAGAGTGCGGCCCTGGTAAGGAGAGCACTTGTTACGGAAGAGCATAGTGCTAGGCTCAACGGTCCACTCGGCGGCGTCATCGAAGACACAGATATCGGCATCAAAACCGGGACGGAGGTCACCTTTGTGAGACTCGAGACCGACTTGAGCAGCAGTGTTGGCACAGCAGAGGCGGACAACGTCTTGCAGGGAGTTCCTGGTGTTCACATCATCAGGGGAGGGGGTCAGACCCTTACGGCGGCTCAATTCAGTCCAGAGAATGGGTAGTCCCAGGCCAACGGAGGAGATACCACCCCAGGCGGAGAAGAAGTCACCCTTCTCTTCCTTGCCACCCTTGATAGCGCCGGCGATGTGGGAGGGGAGCTGCTTCAGATCGGGAGTGCAGGGGGAGTGGTCGGAGACGACGGTCTTGATGACACCGTCACCGGTGTGTTTCTCAAGCTCGGCCCATAGACCGTCCTGGTTCAGTTGGGAGCGAATAGGTGGGCAACACTTGTGGCGTGTATCACCGTCACGGACCTGCTCAGCAGCCAAGGACAGATAGTGGAAGCAGGTCTCGGCAGTGACCTTCACGCCTCGGGCACGGGCTTCGCGCAGGAGAGGAATGGCTTCCATGGCGGAGAGATGGACAATGTGCAATTGGAGGTTAGGAGCGATGTGGGCCATTGACAAGATACTCTCAACGGCGCATGTTTCAAACTCTGAGGGTCGGGAGGCCAAGAAGGTCGAGTAAGCCTCAAGAGGACCAGCTGGGGCAGCTGGTGGATCAGAGGATTGGACCTCATCGCCCACGGACTTGGTGATGGGTGGGACCATTTCAGCATGGAACATGAGCGTTGTAGGCTCATCAGCTAATTCAGCCATAGCTTTTTCGATATCCAATTTGCCCACAGCAGGGAACTCATCAACCTATTGGACAACGATTAGATAAATGGCGGGATAGGTAATTAATATGATGTGACTGATTACTTACACCACTGTCAATCAGGAATCCTTTGAAACCACGAACACCCTCATTCACGAGACCCTTTAGTTCGCCAGCGTTACCGGGGATAATACCACCGTAAAAGCCAACATCAACCCAGCACTTGCCCTGGGCAGCATCGAGCTTCTCCTTCAGACCCGCTACAGTAGTAGTGGGAGGGATAGCATTCAAAGGCATATCAATAACGGTGGTAACACCGCCAAAGGCAGCAGCTTGAGTGCCAGTGTAGAAGCCCTCCCATTCTGTGCGGCCGGGTTCATTCAGATGAACATGAGCATCGACGAGACCAGGCAAAAGCACATAAGGTGAGTAGTCGGTATAAGGTGTACCCTGAGGGAACTCAGAAGAAGGAATCACGGAATCAAATACGGCGGTAATCTTTCCGGTAGTTCGGGAAATGACAATTGTAGCAGAGGTCAAACGGCCGGAGATAACAGCACGGGATGAAGCCACCACGGCAATCGAGGGGATGTTAGCTGTCGCCATAATAGCTAGTCCAAGGGGGCTTGCTGTAGATTCTTTTTTGCTTCTTCTTGCTTTGCAGGCCTAAGTATAGGATATCCCAAACAGCTCGTCTGACGGTAGCGGGGTGAAGGAGTAGGAGAGCGCCGAAGATATGAAACTAGTTCGACTAGTATATAAAATGTAGATAAGGTGGCCAATGAATAGGATCGGATAAGATAGACAGCCAAGCCACGTAAAAAGCAAAAAAAAAAATAAGATATAAGATATAAAAAGAAACTTATCTGAAGGAGGGGGGGGAGGATAGAAAAGATAAGGGTTCTAGGGAAGGGAGATATAAATAACGGAGTTCTGGCCCTGAAATTTATAAATTTCTTATTCTCTGAGGGGGACCGGGGAACAGCGACCCACCATTGCCCCCCTCTATGGAAAACTCAAGCGGTTAAAGAAATGGGAGAGAGTTGAAGATACCCACACTGGGGAGACCCATCCGATATTGTTCCGAGTACATGAACGTTGTTGCGATTACTCGATAATTGGCAAATCAGTGGCTAAACCCGCGGCGACACGAGCCAGTCAGCTCCCGTATACAACCTGCAAGGCCCCTCAACCCTCCAGATGATTCGGTGAATACCTTCACCTTTGCCCTATCGGGAGGGGAAAACACGGTGTACAAACACTGGTTAATCCTACATGACTTCCCCTAACATGTACATGTATGCACAGTTATTATCGGTTTTCGCCATGTTGCGTCCATTGGGTGGATTAGAGGGTGTCAACCATGGTACACCGCAAGATAAAGAAAAAAAAAAAACCTCGAATCACAAGGCGAATCGGCTAGCAAAGGCCGAGAGAACTAGTATCGGGCACCTCCGACAGGCGTAGCAGTCAAAGTGGGAATCAGCAGTTCAAAATGTTCGGGCATCGCCAGTCTCGGGCTTATCACTGGATGCCGGAGATCCTTTATCAACAACCCTTACTCGATCAAAACTCCCCAAACTCCCCGTGTCGTTCCGGGGCTTTCTTTTTCTTACTCGATCGAAACTGAACAGATCAGACTTTTTCAGTCACTTCTCCGAATTGCGCTTGAACTTGAACCTATGACCTTTTTGTCTTTTTTTTTTTTGTCTCGGCTTCTGCCCCTCTTCTGATTTCAGATGGGATTTGGTTTTGGATTTGGTTTTCTTTTGCTAACGTGATCGTTGCTTTCCGCGGCGGTCTCCGATAAATGAGGGGCTGTGTATACTGTACATTGTGCTATACTCGCGCTTCTCCACTCCCCTCTTTGATGATCGAATTCAACAGTCATGGCCGCGATGATCAACATGAATGTGAACGTGAACGTCAAAACAGAGGCAAGAATAATAAAGAGGAAAGAATGGATTTCTTGGAATTCTGCAGGGTTTGCAGCGTATCATACGTATCAGGTAGAGGTACATTGTCCGTGGCGTGTCACCACCAAATCAAGGATCGGAATCCTCGCTGATTGCGCCATCCCTCGCCAACTGTTGGCCACAACTGACCGATCAGCACTCAAACATATCCACATCGCTCAGTGCTTAATATGACTGCAAGTTAATGGACATCGAATACAGTTCTGATTGTTCCGGTTGTTGAGGGGCCATCTATACTAATCATGGGCTGTTTATGACCTTATGGAACAGATACCGAGATATATGGCGAGATGTCTTAACCAATTGGATCTCTACCAAGACTGGCTGCGCTTTGGGAACATAGAGCATAATAGATGCCTAGTATGGACGACTGATATCTCTATTTCCGCCCCCTGGAGTGAAGCACATACTAATGAGTACTGGCCTATCCAAGTATTCCAACTAACCGTGCTTCTATATGAGAGTTAAGAATGAGCATATACGCCTACTATTATACCCTGTATATTCAGTTTCAACAATTTCAAATTCATTCTTGATTGCAACTTATTGCTCAAACTTGCCCTATCGCACTAGAGGATACGCATGGGTGAAGATATCATCCTCTGGAGGGAACTAGACTACTCAATCTTGACCGCCAGAATAAACCCCACAGCAAAGATTGCCGCATACCTCCAGGGCTGCATATGCTGCATCATCATGCTGCAGCACTATCAACAACCTCAAGCTTTTTTCATCTCTTCGGAAACATCTCCCAGATTCTCCACCGTGCCATCTTCCTCGACACCCTTGACCTTAGCATCAGTGCCAACGATCTCGAGTGGTTTCATCTGCTCATAGTAATCCCCCAGATTTTCTACCTCATCATCATGTTCCTCCTGGACATCCTTGGTCTTGGCTTCTTCCTCAGCTTCAGCTTCCTTTTCAGCGGCCCTTTTACCGTCCCTTTCAGCTGCAGCTGCATCACCTATTACCCGCAGCCACTCAATCTCAGCAGCCTCACCCGTAAGCTCATTTTTCGCCTGCTCTTCCAATTCACGAAGCATCGCCTCATCCATGTCCTCGTCGCACAACATGACATGCTCGGAATATTCAGGGTTCTTGTCAATTTCATTTAGCCAAGCAAGAATGTTCTCCCACGCTGCAGGAATAATGCATTCGGTATTGAGATTCTCCCCCGAAGAATAGCAGTTGCAGCCGTAAGTCCGATAGCCAGGCTGGGGAGTTCCAACAGGCTCCGCGGAAAGAATGTACGCCCGGCATCGCGAGGCAAGAAATGAAGTAAAGGATTGCGGATCCGTAAGCATGCCCATGTCAATGTCACAGTATGTGGTTTGCTGTGGATCAGCGAGAGCTATGCCGGAAATGTATGGTTTCCAGACGTGCCCTATCAGATGTATTAGTGAAACTGAAACCTGAACTGACGAGTTGTCGTCTCGTCTTAAATGAGAATAAGTAGATACTTACAGTCTTTCTGGAGATATTTGACGGCTGCATGTCCACCCTCTGACATTCCGATAATATCGATGCTGGTCTCTTTTCCTACTTTGGGCCATAGTACCTTCTCAAAGATGTATTGGACATGCTGGTCCCAGTTGTGGTGGCCGGGGATCTTGTTGCGCAAGCTTGTTGTGGCCTGGCCCCAATTTGCGAAGGGGCGAGGGATAGCTTGCCAGGTCTGATGGGTTACGGCACGTACAGACTCATTGTGCCAGATCAATTGACCTGTGTTGCCGATTATGAGACCGACATTTTTGTCTACCAACGCGGCCTTGGTCAAGTTAACTGCTGAACCGAAGCTGATCCCTTCATGGATGGCACGGTAAGCGAATATGCCAAGGTCTTGGTTCGGTTCGCCGAGGTAGAGGATGATGCGAGGCTTCTCATGAAATTCCTTGGAGACTAGGATTGGGACATGGGCCTCGTCTAGTTCCGTGTCGAGTGGGAGAGGGAGGATTTTCAGCCCAGCATCAGTGAGACGCTCCGCGACGATTTCGCGGATGCAGTCTAGACTTCTGTGTTAGTTTGCTTCACTTTCCTTTTCAAGTGGCACTCGAGGGCTCTAACCATTCATAGCTTCCCGTTGTACGATGTTGAAGCGCTCATTTCGGTTGATCTTGAATATGAAGCCTTCCTCTGGGTTGGCGATCCGACGGATTTGATCCTTGTCACTGATGAAATATCTAGGTGTTGTAAATCATCAGTGATGTTTCAAGTGCTCATGCTATCAGTTGCTGTCGGCTGTACCTACCCCAGTTCCTTGAGATCTGATGGGAAAGATGGATCTTGGGGTAGATCTTTGTTGCGGTAGACATACATATTGACCGCGGGGTAGATAGTGTGTATGTGGTGACTTGCTGTGATGAGAATAGAGTAAGACGATTGAGTGATAGAAGATGATGCTGGGTGGGTTAAAGAAAGGAAGATGAGAAACAGGTTTCAAGGAAAGAAAAGATCAAGTAAGAGAGGGACTCTGTCTTTGAGGGAAATGTTTTATCAGCAACGCAGGTGGGCAAATTTTGTGTACGAGACTAAAAATCTCAAAATACAATTTGACTAAAAGTCTCTTCCGAAGATAAGTAGTGAAAGGTAGATGGAGAGAATGCAAAATGCTATATGCACACTATACTATACAAGCTTCAATCGAAGCGTACAAGCTTAACGCCGCCAAACCCAAACATTTCAGATCAACCCCATATTTTATACAATCCCAATTACCAACTGGCCTTCTTGACTCCAGGCAGTTGACCAGAAAGAGCCTGCATACGGAATTGGAACTGTGAAAAGAGCCTCATTAGCCAACCTGTTTCATGTAGATAACCCCGAAAGGACCAATTCGACTCACTCGGTTGATTCTGAAGTCCCGGAACACACTTCGAACGTGGCCAGATGCCACACAGCGGTTCTTAACCTGTGTCGGACGAGTGTAGGAGTGCATCTGAGAAAGTTGGAGCTGGGCCTGCGCGCGGACACGGCCTGGAAGCGAGGTATTGCGGATCATGTAGCGGAGGGCTTGGCTGTTCGACAGAAGAGAGAAAGCATCAGTTTAGGCTCGCTGAATCGATAGACCACAGGGGATATTGCCCAGTAGGTTCTGGCTCGAGTTCCTCATGAAGAGCTTCTTACCGTTCGGGTTCGTGCTGCTCAACGGCCATGCGCTTGTTGTTGTCACGGATGACGCGGGTGTTGACGAAACCAGAGAGGTTCAACCTCTTGGGGTGGAATAGTGAGGCTGCCTTTGACATTGTGATGTGATGTGGCTTTTGTGCAAAAGTTGGGGAGCTGGAGAAGACGGAGAAGATCGCGATATCTTGCCAGGCGGAATGGTGAAAACTCCTAATTGGGTTTAGCGCGTACCTGCCAGATTCCCACCAAATGGAGTCCTCCAAGGCTATGTTAAAGGAAGTATATACTACGTATTTTATTTGGTGTTTATTGCGCTAAGACGTGATATTAGATGCCAATAGGTATAATAGGCACCTGGAGGACCTTTGAAGCTTACATGTGCGTCGAGCGACCGGTGCCACGGTGGTGTTTGCCAAATCGCTAGACGGTAATTTCTTTCCCGAGATCACCTTATAGCGAATACGATATCTCCAGATTACGCAGGCTCCATCAGATTTGCGGAGCCAGAAGCCTACGGTAGTTGGGATGGTCAAGCACCATGCAGCCATAAGGCCGATTATCCCGGATTTCTCAATCAGTAGTGGTACAGCTTGTGAATTGATCCAAGTCACCCTGTAGGGTATATTCTATATGCTTGGACAGAGGGCAAACTGCCCAGAAACGTAAACACAAATTAGTGAGCCGACACTGAATGCCTAGAGCTATTTCCATTCACATCTCCGCGGTCATTAGCTCGCCTCACTCCTGCTTCACACCACACCCGGTGGCATCGCACAGCTCATTGTCGAAGACTGATTTAGTGGTCGGCCTTGCCAGCGTTGGGGTTGCGGGGGTCGTTCTTGAACTCGGCGGCTGGAAAGGTTGAAAGTTAGCCGATTGTATTCGGTGAAGAGCTAGACCGGTATCGGAAACAGGCGTTGCGCAAAAACCACCATTCCACTGTTCCAATACACATGGCCATATATCTTTTACGATCTTCGGCGGCTGGGGGACTCACTGTTGGACAGGGCGTTCTGGAGAGAGTTGACGCCGTAAAGGACAATGACACCTGGAAAGGAGACTAGGTCAGAACATGTTTCCGGAGCGGGGGACCTGGGTCAACGATCGCCGTCGACAAGCGAATTCGACAGCGAGTTCGGTTCCAGGTCAGAAGAGAAGACTGGAGAGTTCATTTGGAGCGTACCGGCAGCGAAGAAGGGGGTCATGGGCTTGCCTGTGAAACAGTGTGTTAGTGGCCAGTTCTAGTGGTGCGCCTGCTTGATCGGGGCGTAATTTTCAGGTTGAACTTACCCAGAAGACCGGGGAACTTCTTTCCGAGGAGAGACATGGTGGTAGATGATGCGAAGGATATGGAATTGGGGTTCGCGGGGGAGATGATGCAGGAAGAATGAGGAGAGGTGAAGTTGGAGTTTGCCCGGTCTGACACGCCATGCCGCTTTAGGCTTGGCGCTCTGGCCGCTTTACCCGATCAGTCCCGACTTGTTTACTCTTTGATGAACCTCAAGCTTTGGAAGACCGAGACCGCATTTGAACTTATTCTTTGAGGAGCCCGAGGAATAGTATCAGCCTCTCGAATTTCTGCAAAATGGCTTCATCACTCGCTTCCTCTGTGTCTTCCCTCCAGTCGTCACTACAATTACTTGATAATTCCATCTCCACCCTCGATGAGGGCGTTAGTGATTTCCCCCGCCTTTGCAGGGTCCTTCAAACCACGCGGGTAAGCGACGACTACCATAAATTGAATCCATTCAACGTCTGATCTGACTCATGAATATAGCATTTTGAGCTTCTACCCGAACCTACCCTACGAGAAGCACAGCAATCTCTTTCAGACGAAATCTCACCCAGCATCGCCCACTTACTCTCCCTCGCATCGAACCACGTCGAAAAGCTAGCCCGCCGTGAGCAAGGCCTGAAAGCTAAGTGTGAACTTCAGGAAGGGCGCATGTCTTCACAACCGGAAAACCGATCTTCAGCTTCGCGCGCCCAGGCACAGAGCGCTTCGATGCGGGGTCAACTGGCGGGATCAACAAGCAATGCAGCCTCCAAGGCTGCGGAGCTACGTCGATTGATCCAGAAGAAGGAGCGCCTCAAGTATGCTGTTGAAAGACTGGAGTTGCAAAGTACTCAGCGTCAGCGACAATTGAGAAAGAGCATGGCTGCACAGTGATCTTGGACCTTCAGAATTAATCAGTCCGATTTAAGGATGCTGGCGATACCTTGACGATGTCACGGTATCAAAACTATGCTGCTCCATATCAATCAAAAACGATCATCGCCGAATTCATCATAAGTTGGGTGACCTGTAACTGGAGAGACCATTGAACAACCAGGGGCTCATCCCAGCTATTAATACATGAAACTTCCCCCGGTGCCACCTTGGCCAGGGGCTCTGAAAGGAACATTTACCCATTGTGAGCATCACACAATGCTCTTGTTTCAACAAATTGGCTGAAAACTCTTCCCAACAATCCCCTAACCTGGGACGCTCAGTGCGATCACCTCTCTGGGATTGACTTGAACACTTCATCGGCGGCCAGTGGTTCGTCTTTCAAATTGCATCTCTTCGACGTGCATCTTCTATGGAATCAATTCATGGCCATGGAGCTTTGAGTCAGCGAATATTTCGTCGGAGACTTCAATGGAACCTCTGTTCATTGCTGGCAATCGGCTGACTATCGCCTCAAGAGGATAGGAAGCCAAACTCGACGGCAAAGCCATTGTTTATCTATTCATGAAGTCCTATTCTGGCCTACTGAGCTAATTTTGGGACCATTGTTCGTTTGTTTCTCGTGCGGAACACAACGGCCTAAATTTAGAACCGTCACAATGACCTTTCAGCCTCCATTGATCGAGTCTTGAGAGCGGTTCCTCAAATTATCTGTCTATAGGTTATATTCATTGTTCCTTTGAACAACATACTATGAATAAATCATGCTCAAATGTCTATTTAAGATCCGCCCACAGTATTTAAACGATCATATTCCCCATTCTCAAGTCATCCCAAGAGTGCATCGACAGAGATCACCTAGCCCACGAAACGAACATTACTTCTAGAGATTAATTCCCGCGAAAATGCAGCGTCTTACTTTTTGCCTGACCCTTCTGGGCCTATCAGGCTTGTATTCCTTCAAAAAAGCAGCCACCGAATATATGAACAATGCCCCCAGAACTACCACTAACAATCTAACAAGCCTTCCCACCAAGCCAATCTCCTCTTTTGCTGAGAGCCCCTTGGAGTCTTTTGTTGACACATTTTGTCTTCCGTCAAATACCTCGCTAACATCATCAGTAGCCTGCAAGTCGCTCTCTCGTTATCGAAATGTTCTAACTCCGGTTTCTCAGGTAGAAGCACCACCTCTGCAGGTCAAGGTACATTACCTAAACTACTGCTCACCCTCAAATCCAGTTTGCGACAAAATGAAGGAAGAGATTCGTTCGATGGTGCCAAAATCCCTGAGAGACATTCATCAGTGGCTCTACACATCTCCAGTATACAGTTTCCTCAATGGTCCTAATAAGCCAACCCAGCCAAGACCCTTATTCACTCCCAAGTATCCAAATACTCCCCATATCATTTTTCACGTAGGAGAAAATGGCTATCTTGACAAGCAGAGACCTGACATTGCTGCCTATACAGTGTTTACAAATTTAGAGACTCAGAATGCCGTCGATATATATTTCAGTCCCAGTACATTCGAAGGAATCACAAAAAGACGAACTAAATATTCTATGCTCCGTATACTTAGAAGCACATTAACTCATGAAATGGTTCATGCTTTGCAAAACGGAATCAGGGATATGAGTCTAGGATACAAAATATTGAAAAAAGCTGGCATTATGTGTCATGCCCCCGCTCCGCGCGGCCTTTTAGAAGGGATCGCGGACTATGTCCCCCTTATGGCTGGTGAACCTATGCCCGAGTATGGACCTCGTCCGAGTCGATCATCTGAGCGCGCAGATAACTGGGATGCAGGATATATGGCGACTGCATATTTCCTTGAATGGATCGACCGGGTAGGTGTTGGTTCTGGGGCCATTGGATTGTTGAATGCTCAAATCGGAAAAATTGGTTATCATAGGGACGGCGAAGATAGATCCTTTCTTTGTGGTAGGAAGCAGCCTGACACCTGGAGGGCTATATATGGTCGCAGTGTTGATGATCTTTGGGAGGCCTATGGTCTTTATCTTGATGGGGAGACTGATTTGGACCCGGTAAACCCTCCGATTGGTACCACAGGCGCCTCTTGGGATGAGCGTAGCATTGGCCTGCTGAGCACTATTATATTGGTAACTATTCCTGTTGCTTTGGAGTTTGTAGGCTATTTTAATTGGGGTTGAAACTTTTCAATGCTACTTTGTTTACTTAATTCCAATTTCTAGCTTTCGAATCGCCCTGGTTAGCTTTCGAGGCGGTAGTACAGTTGATAGATATTTTTAGTGACATTGCTGGAAATTCTACCACTGAGTAAGGAAGATGAGGCTAGATTGTCTATCCATAGATTGTAAACACTGGAAAGCCATTTACTGCTTTCAGTTGTGTTGATTGTTATACATAATTTGATGAGAAGATGATTTTTCCTATAATACAGATGGGCGGTAATATTAGCCGCTGAGGGCCGCTATCGTCGCCCGTACTATACTGTCTACTCCACTCATCAATGCGGATGATCCCACGATATCTTACACATGAGGTGCATATGTGCCTTTATTCTATTCCAATCCAAGTCGATCATATAATCTACTCGTATTGGCTGGTAAAGACCTTAAAAAAAAACTTGAGATGCGTTTGTAAAAGGGCCATCCATAGAGTTCATAGTAATGCTTTAATAGAATTTTTACAATCATCATGATGGATTCATCTATAAATCAAACCATAAGCACTTGGTTGAATTTATGTCATAATTATCATTACAGATTTAAGGCAATCGTTACGGTTTCTCTTTCCCTGGTTTTCCCTTTCCCTGGTTTTCATATCCCTCCACAGTTTCTCTTCCCCTAGTTTTCCCATCTCCTGGTTTTCCCATCCATCCCTCAAATACACCTCTTTACAGTTCTATCTACCACTACGCCTGCTACAGTCAACCACCACGTCTATACAATCAGCTGCAAGATGGATACTATTCGCCCGGGTCATTTTTCCGATTTAAATACAATCGGCCGCAAAACTGGCACCCGAGAAGACCTTGCTGGTCGTGATTTCGTGACTCGCTGCCCCCCGGATCTACCTCCCCGCCATCGAGTACTCGCCCTCTTAGGAATATGTGATACTCACAATATGGCTCACCCAAGTGAAGATGGGTGGTTTGTTTCAGATTTTTATCTGTTCCATCATCTTCTTGAGCCCAAATTCCCTCGATGTGAGTAGTTTATAGCGTTGGTGCTACCCACACTGTCTAATAATTATGCTCATTAGCTCCAAACCAACTATGGCTGACCTGTGAAGACCCCGCCGCACTTGTGGCCAAGTATGGCGAATTTTTACATGGTGATTCGAAAGGAGACCGCCGAGTTGTTCTAGACAATGCAATTCTCCCTGCGATCGTTGGATCCGGCAACATTCGAGTTTGCCCCCGACAAGATCTCTTGGAAAGATATCTAAGTACCTTACGCGAGCAAGCCAACGAAGCAGCCAGGCTTGGGGAACATCTTCTTCTATTCATTTTTGGCCATGGGAAACCAGATTTTTCTCTGGAGGTTGCCCAGTCTTCGTTGGAATTGAAGGATTTTCGCCGTATCCTACCACCTAATCTATCGGTAACCATTTTCATGACCCCTTGCTATTCTGGCGGATGGCTTGTTATCCCAGATTTTCCTCAAAAGCTGCTAAATGCAACAGCTGTCACTGCAGCCGGACCCAAAGCAATGTCTTTTTCCTGGCCAAAGAGTTCTACCCTTCAAAGATCCAGTGGGAGTTTAGTCGCATCCGCTTTCCTTCGCTGTCTAATTGATATTGAAGAAGATTCCGAGAGACAGGAAATCGAGCATCATCCGACTTACATCAAACTGGCTAAGTCTATTTACGATTGCGTAAAGACTATGGGAATTCAGGGAAGGGAATCTGAAATATCTTTCTCTGCAGAGAATGATGAGTGGGAGCAGAGCTACCAATCTCGACTGGGACTCCCTTTAACTGAATACAAAGCGAAGTGGGAGTCTCTGCGCCATGTTGCATCCTCTGGATATTCTTCCCCGGAGTCACCTGTAACAGGATGTTCAGGATCCCGCGCACAGAAGCGATTGGTAAATTTGGCAAAAGAATATCTCGCAGCAAACCCGGGGCAGCATAATGCGTCCCCGAATCTTGCCCTACACGGGAACCTACACAGAGTTCTTAAAGGTGAACAACTTCCTAAAGAAAAGGTGGATAGACTTACCGAGGAAACCGCATATCGGCTTGCATCGATGCATGAAGCAGATTTCCTCAGAGAGCAAGCCGGCATAAAATACCCATCCATCTTCGATCTGGATACAAACGCCCTCATAGCTAACAGAGCTACCGACTCTCAATTGAGTCTCAAGACATGGCAACTTTTGGTTGCCAAAAAAATCAATACTGAACCAATTGGTATACGAGGCGGCTATCACAAAGGCCCCCAGTACCTCACATTGGCTTTAGTGGAGACTTGTGGATCTTGGGACCAAATAAATCAGCATATCTTGGATATGGCTTCCAAGAAAAAATCTTGGTACAAGTTCATTTTTCAAGCTTGGAATGTGAACCGTGTTGCAAATGATGAGCGGGTCATGATGGCACGACACGCTGTTTTGGAGGCACTGAAAAAGATTGGAAAATAGCCGAATGTTTTCGCATTCAGTTTCTGTTGCGGTGCATGATTATCATTCTGATGAATCAAGGGAAAGTTTTTGAAACTGGATCATTCAATGACTTGTGGCAGAAAGAGGACAGTTTCTTCAGATCAATTATTGATAGCAATGGGTCTTGAACGGGGCAAATTTGTACGATTATTCTATCCCGATCGATCATCATCGTGGCGTTTAGTTAGCTTTGAAATTCGCTACGGAATTGGAAGTCTCCGGATACATTTATGCTTCAAGATTCTTCACTATGAAAACAAAGGGCAGGAAATGGGCCTAGAAGCCAATGTACAGGAGTGGGCGGGGGCATAGATGGGACCTTGGAAGATCCGTAACGGGCCCACGATGATTAGAGCTAGCCGTGCCTTATCCTATGGTCTGGACACCAAAAGGGGCTATTTAGTGTCCCGCAGTGGAATGTAATTCAAGTTCTCAATATAATGTAATTTTTTTGTCTTTATATATTTGGGAGATTGTTGATTGTTATACATAATTTGATGAGATGATGATTTTTTCTATAATACAAGGCCTAGGTCCCGCAATCCCATGCATACCAAATGCTGTTGCCCAAATTATAATACTAATATACAAATAATTCCATAAATTACAGGGAGATGAGAGACGCCATTCAACCAGTGACGAACTCAAATGGAAGATACGAAGTAGGTCACCGCCCAAATCTCCTTAGAGCGAATTTTCGGCATCCACTTGCCTCTTCACTGCCTGCCTCATCTTTTTCTTATCATTGTGCTTCTTCCAGCTGGGAATTGTCTGACCCCTCTTCCGCACAGGAAGTTCAGGGAGGTCTGAACGAGATCGCACTTCATCGTCCTCGAGATCTTCCTCTTCTCCTTCCTCCTCGTCAAGCTCATGTTCTTCAAGTGCCTCTTCATCGCGTGCAGCCTTAGTAGCTGATCGTCGGGCTAGACGCTCCTTCTTGCCTTCGCCATGTTTTGCGCCAAGGTTCAGGTTGCGAGGGATGCGTGTCTTGGCTCCCAGGGCCCACAGGTCACCCCAGTTTGACTTGCGAGCGTCGCGGTAGGCTTGTCGACTATACGAACGCGGCACAGTCCAGCGTTCAATCTTGCCAGCTGGAGTACATAGGTCAAAGATAACATGCCCACGGCGCTTCATAGGTGGATAGACAGCACGTGGGAGAGAAAGAGGGTGGAATTTTGTAGCAGATGATTCTTCAAGATCTTCGAATCCTTCAAAAGCGGCATCTACAGCTTCGGCATTCTGCTGGATACCTTGCTCGTGGCGCATGTCCGTGCCACGCTGCACAGCAATGTAACTGTATTTGAGATCCTCGTGATTGCGATCTTTAGCTCCCATAATACGTTGCAAAAATGCAGGCCGAATGTAACGCTGCTCAAAGTGACAGTAGTCCTTGCGGCCCTTTGTTGGCCCAGCTGAATTATGCATGGGGCAGGTCGAGTGATTAGTGCAGGGAGCAATGATCATGCCGGGCTCTTTCGTGACAGTTTTGTTTGGGTTGGGAGATTCGAGAAAGTTGTTGTATTCTGTCGAGTCAGGGCTGGCAATGTAACGCTTAAGAAGCATCTCACGCGCACCAGCAATAGCTTCGAATCCCTTCTGACGTCCCTTCTCTAGAAGGATGAGGACACCGCCATTGGGGTTGAGAAGTGCCCATAAGTTCTGCACATACTCTTTGCGCTCGTAGTCTTCTTCGATTCGAAGGAGGGAATGGGGCGCAATAATGACATCGTATTGTTTGCGCTTCGGGGCCTTGCGACTATCGTCTAATGTTGGTTTGTCACGAATATGGAGGTAATCAGGTAGCCGAGGTAAGAAAGTGGTATTTTCGAGCATCGCGCTTGCACGTAGACGGAGTGCATCTGAGCCGGTTAACACCGTAGAACGACCGTACGGGATAGGTGCGTCCTCCGGATGATCGGGAACCATGGTCTGGTATTCTGCACGGAGAACATCTCGCCAAGCCAATATTCCGGCACCACCACCGCTAGCATCAAGAACATTCGGGCCACCTTCTTGAGACATAAGGTTGCGAATCCATTCTGTTCCCAGGCGTTTCCGTACTTCGACTAAAACGCTGAGAGTCGATGCATAGATTCCCGGATACAGGACTGCAAGGTAGGCATTAGCCTCCATGGTTCCCATGTTGTTTTGACCCGCATGAAGAGGAATTGGAAGTTGGGGTAACTGTGCGCGTGGAGGGGCAGTTGTAGTGGAGTGAGGTAAGCCTGGCCCACCAAACAAACGATGAGAAGTCTCTGCAATATGCTTGTTGGCGAACTCAGAGAGGATGACGGAGATGGGACCGGTGACAGAGCTCTTGGGCAGATGGATTGTGCTTGGATCAGTCTGGGATTTTCCGAGCTGGGTTAAGGGATGCGTCCTCGGAGCAGAGTCTGGGACAGCCTCGTTCTCAAATTGCTCTAGCATGACCTCGCCACCCAGCTGCTCAGCTACTTCTCGGGTTCGCTGCATGGCAACTGTCTCCTCTTCCTCGGGTGCATTATCCATATCGTAGACTACGGGGGTATCGTCTTCAGCCTCCACATCCTCTTTATATTCAACTTCCTCCCAGCCTCCTTCTCCATCCTCGCGAAGCAGTGCATCATTCTCGTTCTCTTCTTCTTCAATGATTTCTTCCTCTTCGAAGAACTCTTCAATGATCGGCTCTCCATAAAGACTGGTGTATAGCTGCATCTCCTCTTCGTTCAAGACTCCCTCTGGCACGGTATCGCCGAACTGCTTTCGTACCATAGTCACCCAAGTGTCCACCGTATGTTCGTCTCGAGTGCTCATCAACTCGGACAGGGGATCTTCGTAACTATCAAGGCCCCCAATTAAGTCCAACTCGTCCATAGTTTGCACCATTGCCTCTTCATTTTCGGCAATGCGCTCGATCAGCGCATTGATATCGTCGAACGCGCTAGGCTGTTGGGGATCGGGCGTCGGGGATTCTGCCGACTTGGCAGTGGAAGAGTATCTTTGGCCAGAGATCCATTGCGTTGATTTGCTTGAATCGGCATAGCCAAAGTATCTTTGGGGACACGACTGAACGGAGATCGATCGCGATGAGGGGATTTTTTGCTGCTGTCGTGGTGCAATCAAGCCCGCTGCGCCGCCGGATGAGTGCCACCTCGCAAGGCGAGAGACCCGCACACGCAACGCATGGCGCGCGCGCGAGCTATTCGCACTCGATGTCGTTGGCCTGGATAACATAATTCCAAGCCACGTTGATGTGGTCAAGTGAGCAGATGGGGGATAAAAAAAGTTTCGGAGGTGGACACAGCTCCGAAAATGATGCCAAGGCCATCACAAACTGCGGGTCGCTGATTGGCTGGGTCCAGTAGCCTCCATTTGGTGCAGTGACCTATACATCCAATCTTGGGGGAAAATTTCCATGAAAGTTCCAAGAGCTCATGAGAATGGAAGAAGTTCTTTGTGTGAAAAACGCTTCTGGTAAGATACATCAACATTCGATAATTCCACTCGATATATTGAAGAATTATCAAGCTACTAGATCGTCATAGACCCGCAAAGCCCTATTTTTGGTTTTGCAGATTATCATATAGCGGATACCCACTCGTCTATGAATTGAGTATGGATTCCCCATGCTTGAATTTTCAAGTATTTGGTCTTGTCGCCTTTGCCATGCTTTGGTGAGATTGTATTGTTTAAATAATCTAGATCGATCTGTGATTATGCAATTATCTATATGTAAACCTAGCGGTGTTCTATGTCTCACTCTCGGTATCTTCATTGCCCATAAGCACTCGCAGAGCGCCCACCCAACGCATCACTTCGTGTTCCAAGGCGGTCAGTTTAGCCATGACTGCCATCAAGCTAGGATCCTGGCTTTCCACTCGGATTTTCTCTTTAACCCGCACTTCCTCTCCCTGCCACATGAATACCTCGCCGGCCTCATCATGCGCGCGTTGCCGGCTCCCAAATATCCGGTCACGCAAGGAAAACCCAGTGAGAGAGATATCTGTCGCAAACGCTGTCGGAGTTTGAGCGTATGCGTTGCTTTCTAGGGTTCGGAGAAGAAGAACAAGGGCCGAATCGGCGATTGAGAGGTGGAATGATACATAAGGTGGCGGAAATGGATCAAATACCTAGCGCGCACATTATTAGTGAGACGGTACTTTATCTGAATTTCTGAGACTTACATTGTCGCTGGCGCTTGTTTCCCACCATTTACCACGCACGTCCCCCTCCCCCTTCAGCATCTGTCGTGCCTCGCTGATTGTCTCATGCAGGAGATGCAGCTGGCTAAAAATAAATGTCGCATCGAGGGGGTTCCCCGTGTATGTGCTCACATCGACAATATCCAAACTCTGGTTGACTAGGTTTCGCACTGACACGAGTTGCTGCAGAACTAAACCAGGGGCATCGGGTGTTTGCGACAGGGTCAATCGTGCGCTGGACTGACCACGTGGGACAGGCAACGAGGGAAGCCGAAGCTGAATATCCTGACAGTCGCAAATAGTGTATGAGCATTTAATCGGAGCCAGCTGGGGAATAGTAAATAGTGGAGACGGTCGGCGAAAAACATACTCCTTTGACTACCTTCGTGCCAACACGAGTCACGAAGCCCTTGACATTTTCCGATCGTAGCGACGACAGAACCAAAGTCGATCCCGGATCCTGTGGTGCCAACAGAGATGCGCAGTCTTGAAGTCCTTCCTTTAGAGAGACAAGGGATTCTTGTAGCGATTGCAGGAGCCACTCTAGCTCACGAGCCTAAGATAAAAGTATGTTGGTATAAGATCCACTATGATCCCTGAGGGCGATCATTTTCGCTCTCTTTTTTTCCTAGGCATCCACCAGGGACCGGGTCCACTGAGTTGCATCATTCTCAGAGAGGTTAGAATTGACGTACCAGAGCACTATCAGCCTCCCGGTTCAATTGATCGGGGGGAGTGGGGGGTATGCCCAAGTTGCCATGATGTGAAGAGCCACAAAATTGGGCCCGCGGTAAAAACCTTCGGTAAGGAGAAGCAGGCAGGAAGGATTTTGAGTTGATCCACGTCACTGAGGGGATCAGAGCTGCAACGTTGTTGCTGGTTATGTCTGCAGCTGTTGTTCGTCACTTCGTCATGGACCGCCCGCGCTAACCAGATATGGTAACGCGCTAAACCTAATACCCACTAGCGCAATATGGAGTGGACACTAACCCTCAAACAGCACAGCAAATCAGGTTCGAACATGACGTTATGATCCTCGTCCAATCTATGAGTGCGATGATGCTCACACCGTGCGAGAGGAAAGACCCGGATGAGCCCGGCTCTTTAATTCAAGGATCTTTTCAAGCTTCTTGGTTCCTCTTTTCTGTTCTCTTCTCAAAAAGCACAAAGAAGGTCCCTCTTCACTCCCTTGACCTCGAGCTCGACCCGGCAACTCAAGATCCCGATCTATACATTATCGGGCACCAAAACACAGAACCGATCTACATCACGTCCTCACAGCGACAGGAAGGAAGAAATTCCCCCTCTCTAATTCAATACCCGAGATCCCAATCGCAAGTCAGGTACAATGGGTTTCAGCAGTGAGTACCTTAATCTTTCTCATTTTGAGCCTTTTCAAACTATACGGACGAAATCATATACTAACCAGCTCTAGGAGCATCGTTGGGCTTTTTGGGCCTGTTCTTCATGGCAGGCTCCATTCTCCTCATTTTCCTCACACTGCTCGGTGGTACTCGTAACACAACCCCGCTGAACCAAATCTACTTCCTCCAGGCGGACACAAGCAATATTCCTGGTGCTCCATCTCTTTCGCGCTGGACTTTCTGGAACGTGTGTGGCGTGATTAATGGCAAGAATGACTGCGGTAGCTCTCACCCCGATTACCCATTTGATCCACCAAGCTCTCGCAACTTTGGTACTACGTCCAATGTGCCTTCGCAGTTCATCGGGTACGTGATTCAGACAAAAGCATCTCTCTAGGGAAAAGCCACGATCGAATATCTAATAATGGACTCTCTAGGACCAAGCACTACTTCTTGACCTCTCGATTCATGTTCCCATTCATCATTATTGGCCTTTTCTTCGCCGTCCTTTCTCTCTTCACTGGCCTGTTGGCTATGTGCACCCGCGTTGGCAGCTACATCTCCGGTTTCCTCGCGTGGCTCGCTTTGACCTTCCAGGTCATCACCACCTGTCTTATGACGTATGTATATACATATAAAAGCTTCTTATATACTTATATGCTAATTCCACGAATAGTGCTGTTTTCGTCCAGGGTCGCGATGCCTTTAAGAGCAACGGCCAGAGCTCCAAGCTGGGAGTGAAGGCTTTCGCTTTCATGTGGACTGCTAGCGCATGCTTGTTCCTCTCATGTCTATGCTACTGCCTTGGTGGTGCTGTCGGACGGAAAGACACTGGCTACAGCGGACGCAGGGAACGCCGCCGCGGATTCTTCTCAGCTCGATCCAACAGTGTCAAGAGCCAGAAGGAAACAACCACTACCGCTTAGATGCGACCCGGGCATCAAACAAGCCACATTCTCTTTTAGGAACCTTTGGTCCAAAAAGAAGAGAAAAACAAAACCGATAATGTCGCCCGCGTGTTGACTGTTTAACTGAGCTCCGACGTGTAATTTTCAACCGTGCCTTGTCGACTCCGTACACGAACCTTCTTTACGCGCTGATACTCCCCGAAAGAGGTCTTGCGTTTGTTATGGATCTCTTTCGAATTGCCTTAGCCATGTTTGGTTTTGAAATGATTTCCGCTTTTTTTTTGCCTGTTGTACTACTAATCCACTCACTTGATGCTGCCACGAATTACCTAGTTCCCTACCTACTCACGATCGTTATTACGCCCGATAATCTCTATTATCCCACAATCTATTTCACTTTTTAATGTCATCTCATTTTTCCCTCTCCCCGGACGTTAATGAACTGTTGATGGGTCTCACGGGCCATAATTTCTCTATCTTGGAGTTTCTCTGTTGTCTCTTCCTACCATTCTACCTTAGTGAGTTGTAATATAATGAGCTACGAATCATATCTTTGATGAAAAGTAGCATTTATTACCTGTTGCGTAGTTAAAGGGTCTATGGGATAGTATTATCCAGTGGGAAAATGTAGATATGACCACAGTTCGGTGTTGTAGGTACCCGAGGATTCCGTGCAAAGTCCCAGGGGATTATCGGGTTTGGAAATGGCGACTGCGCCGTGGATCAAAATATGTAGAAAATCATGTTCATTGGTCACTTCAATTGAAAGTCTATAGGAAATGAGAAAACTGTGGACGGAAATAACAAACTGACATGGCATCAAATGTGACTCCAACGAGATGAGGGGAACATAACAAAACCTCTATCAATCATTTATGCATCATGACACCATAAGGGGATCGAATTCTTTTAATATGGAAAAGGAAAAGGAGAGCAAAGGATTTAAGCAGAGCCGTTGATGGCGCCACGGACGGCGGTCTGGCCACCGACCTCGCGGACGGCAATCTGGAGACCAAGGTCAGGGTTAACGTGGACCATAACCTCGACCTTGCCGCCGGCCTTAACACCCTTGACAGCAAGCTCGGCAACAGGCTTCTCGGTCTTCCAAACAATCTCCCGGATATCTTCCTCCTCGTCATCGGAGAAGTCAGAGTCGGAGTCATCAGCGGGCTTCTCCTCCTTGGCCTTGGGCTCAGGCTTGGTAACCTTGATCTCGCGGGCACCCTCGCAGACACGAACCAGGACATCACCACCCTCCTTGGAGACGGAGTACTGGGCAATGCGGCGGGCAGGGAGAGCGGTCTCGGAGGCGATAAGGGGCTGGAAGGTAACATCGGTGGTGGAGGTGAACTCAACACCGATGGCCTTGGTCAGGTGAGGGGTCACAGTGACCATAGGGTGGATAGACTGCTCAATATCTTCATGCTCGAATTCCTGGACCAGAGAAGCCTGGACAGCAGCACCACGGGCAGACAGCTCGGAGGGGTTGATGGCAGTGGTGGAAGTGGAGGGAGCCAGGATGTTGGTGGTCTCGGGGAAGATGTTCTTGGCCAGCTGGGCAATTTTGGGGGTGTGGGAGGCACCACCGGAGAAGATGACCTCGTCGATGTCAAGGACATCAAGCTCGGCCTTCTTGACAACCTGCTGGATTAGGTCGGTGAACTGGGTGAAGACCTTGTTGGAGAGAAGCTCATAGCGGGTACGGTTGACGGTGGCACTGTAGTCAACACCGGCAGCCAGAGACTCAATGCTCAGCTGAGCGTTGGCACTCAGACTCAAAGCCTTGCGAGTGCCCTCACCCTCCAACTTGAGCTTAGCCAGACCACGAGGATCCTTGCGGGGGTCGACCTTGTGCATCTTGAAGAACTCCTTGGAGAAGTGGTCAATGATGACCTGGTCCAGGGAAGCACCGCCCAGCTCGTAGTCGTGAGCAGTAGCCAGAATGGTGTACATGCCACCGCGGCTAGCAACAACGGCCACATCGGAACGAGTACCACCCAAGTCAGCAACAACGACCAGCTTGTCAGTGACAGTGGCCTCGGGGCGAGCATCGTACGCCATAACGGCGGCGACGGGCTCAGCGATGAGCTGAAGGACATCGAGACCAGCCTCCTTGGCGGCGGCAACGAGGGCCTCACGCTGGGCATCGGTGAAGTCGGTGGGAACGGTAATGACAGCGGCGTTAACCTCCTTGCCGAGGTAATCGGAAGCAGACTGCTTCAAGCGACGGAGGTGACGGACGGTAATCTCGGAGACGGTGATGTTGTTGCGGGTCTCGCTGGGAGTGTCACGGATGTTGAAGGCCACAGTCGACTCGCTCTGCTGGGGGTGGGCGGAGGCGTGGCATGGGGTAGGGTCGATGGACTTGAATTCCTTGCCCAGGAAATCACGGAAGTATGCGACAGTGTTGGTAGAGTTTCGGATGAGCTGGGCCTTAGCCTGGGTACCGTGGTACTCCTCGCCCTCGATGTAGGAGAGGATAGAAGGAATTTGTCGGTCTAGAAAAAGGTCAATTCAAGTTCTTTCATCCAGGTAATAATCACAAATGGAGATTTCAAGAACATACCACCCTCCTCGTTGGCAATAACCTCAGCCTTGCCCTCCTATAGACGAAACATTAGTATCGAAGCCCTCGTATGCAATCAAATTTCTTCAACATACCGGTGAGATACGGGCAATTGAGCTGGATGTGTTGCCGAAAGAGATACCGATAGCGAAGCGCTCCGCCTCAGCGGCGACACCGTTTGCATCACCCATATTGATAAAGTGTCAAAGGAGATTTTGAAATTAAATGTATAAGGAAAGAATCCAAGACACACAGGACAGGGTAAGTTCGGGGGGAGTGACCGAAGAAAGAGGTATGTCTCGATGGAGGGGGAGGAACCAAATCGAAAAATTTGAAGATTTTCAGCGGGAAAGTGGCTTGTGCTTATCGATACCGATTGTGGCGGTACAGCCAACCAGAGAGCACTAAAATCTATACAATCCACTACAGAGTTGACAGTTACTACTGTACAGAACATAACTATTAGTCTACTGTTACAATCTCAATACAAACATCGACTACAACACATCTAATTAAATATCTTATATTCTGCGTGTTACAAGTCTGATAAACTCTTATTTAGTAAATGTACAAGGACTCCGCACGTGCGGTACTATGTAATCACGTGCTGATAGGCTGATAAGCAGTTTTCATCTGCAAAATGCATCAAAAGTCATAGCTTTCCCCTCTATAAGGAACTGCGGCCAATTCAACCAAATTACATTTCACGCCTTCGAATACACCTCTGAATACACCTTAGTGATATATTATATCAGCGACATAGAGATCTCACCGACATCATGACAACCCCACTCATCCTGCTACCAGGAGATGAAGTGCCCAGCAATTACCTTCCATCTTCAAAGTCGAATCCTCTCAAGATAGGCCAAGGCCTCCGTCTACTGTCACAGCCCTCCACAAAATCCAAGGAGCCTAACCTTGTTCTTTCAGCGACACAAGCTGGTATTCTGGAAACCGATGCTAGACGCAACACCATTTCACTCCTCTCCTTCCCAAACCGTCGCTACATCCCCACCACCAACGACTTGATCATTGCACAGGTCCACCATTCCAGCGCAGACTTTTTCCATTGCATGATCACCCCACACACTGCCCAGGCTCTCCTGGGCCAATTGTCATTTGAGGGCGCGACAAAGAAAACAAGGCCCATGCTGAAGCAGGGCGACATAGTCTATGCGCGAGTGTTATCTGTGGGAATTGGTGCTGGCGCTGAGGTCGAGCTGACCTGTGTGAACCCGGCGACTGGCAAGGCGAATCCAGGAGGCTTAGGTCCTCTCAACGGAGGCATGCTGTTTGATCTGTCTACGGGCATGGCTGCTAGGCTACTCCGCGCGAGCTCATCTTCTGCCGATGACGATGAGCCTATTGATGGGCTTGTGGTTCTTTCTGAACTTGGAAAGAAGCTTGAAGGCTTTGGAGGATTTGAGCTTGCTGTTGGGCGCAATGGCAAGGTTTGGGTCGATTGCTCGAATGCCGAAGAAAACGCTGTCAAGGTTACGATTGCTATTGGGCGATGCTTGCAAGGGACTGATGAGCACAACTTAAACCCTACGGACCAAAAGAAGCTTGTTAAAAAAACTTTGCGTGATATGAAGCTGCTTTAGGAGCAACTTCCAACCGTGTGGTTTCATTCAAGGAGTCTGGGTTTTGATTTTCTTCCTGGGATACCATGAGCATCATGTACAGTAATCTTCGCATTTCACGAGCCTACAATTTATTCAATGGGAAAATTATCTCAAGTCTTATCTCTTTTTTTGTGTATATTTTTTATCATTGGACGAATTGCTTTCCGGGACCACAAGTATGATGATGGCAAAATAAGCTGTCGAACGGTTTCATGGTTATTTGAACGCATTCAATACCAATAAATCAGCATAGGATCTCTGTAAGGGTACTGTGGATTTAAACTTATTTTAAATTCTATATAAACCCAAACCAAAGCGATAGAATATACTTCCACATCGCCCATGTATCCACCAGAGCAGAACTACCAGATTTACGTAATCCGCATCGAGCTTGCAATCTCCATCGGCAATGAGCCGTTTACCCTGGGAGGTATACTACTCGACATCCTTCCGGTACGCTAAAGTCATACCAATGGATACATAGACAATCATAATGAATCCATTCCATCAGCAGCGGGCTGCTAAGGCCTGGCATCGAGTTGGCCCGGTCTCCTCAGTACCGGAACTCGAGGATGACGAGAACTACCGAATGGCCCCGAAATGCAAAGCCTTCACGATTCCTAAAGATGGCTCTTCAGACCCGCAAGCTCCAGAAGAAGCAGATCTGGACTCATCTCTTGATCTCAAGGATCAGGTACTTGTATTTAAATATAGAGGGAAAGTCCATGCCGTTGATCATGTAAGTGGGCAGACGCTCGAATCTACCGGTAGATATGAAATATGTCAAATTAAGTGGAAGCTGACTGTTATACTTGTATAAGCAATGCCCTCACTCATCCTTCCCACTCTCACAGGGAAAGATCTTCGACATTGAGGACTTTGGCATCAAGCTTAGTGCTGGGTTGACATGTCCCAAACATGATTGGTCTTTTGACCTGTTCACTGGCAAAGGAGATCGAGGAAACTATAGCCTCAAAATTTGGGAAATTCAATTGCGCGAGCCTGCGGAATCAGGCGATGAAACACCTATTAGTGACGACAGGGAAATTTGGGTGAGACGCAAACAAAGAATGGGTTGAAACGATTGTCTCAACCTGCATCGATTTAAGATGCGCATCAATCTTCGGCCCATTACCCGCTTTTATCGTCGGTCCCCCGGGGCATGTACCTATCAGCAGGGGACGGGTGCCCAATGCCCGCCTAAACCCACATGGGAGCCATGCCCCGAAGCACCCTACGACTGCGGAGACCAGCTTATTAACCAGAATCAGACAAAGATCCTGTTTCTGTCTATTGTATATAAAGGAATATAAATGTATATTAGATACTACATACCACAGCCAGCCTCCAACATTCAAAACCGAGACTTCTACTGTAGATCAGCGGGAGTATGCAGGTAAAGGCACCCTGCATCCGGCGCGTTTATACATATTTGCAAGGGCGGTGGGCCACCTTGACAGGCGGTGTACTTTTTCTGCCACTACAACCTAATTTTTGGCGATTCGTTCCTGTGATCCTATCATTTTTACCCTAACAAGACGCGATCATGACGCAGTTAACTTCTCTTCCATCGCAAGAGATGGAGACCCAGAAATCAAAATGTTCGTTATTTGAAAATTGGGATCTCTCACATTGTAAGGCCATATTCTAATACTTTCTAGATGCGCGATCTCCTAGCGCCCAGCCTACCCTAGATGGCGCGGAGAAGAATAAGAAATCTCACAAGTCGAAAAATAGAGATCGATCCTCACCAGTGCCAGAATCAAATGGCTTAGCTCAATCTCCTCGCGAGAAAAAGCGCAAGCGGAAGTCTGAATCGGGCGAAAAGAAACAGAAGAAACATAAGCTCGACAGGACAGAGGAGAGTGAGGGCGAGGGCGACCAGAACAACGAACAACCGATAAGTTCTGAAGAGAATGAGAAACCGGATCTCAAGGCGACAGCTATTTCATCCACGACCCAAAATGATCTACCGGAGACACCAAACTCGCCAGACAACGACCTTGGCCTCAATAAGAAGGGACAACCGAGAAAGGCTCGCGGATCTCGAATCGGTGGGAAAAATAAGACGAGAGTCGGCTTCTACACTAAAGATGAAGTTGAGAAGCTGGAAGGTCATAAGGTCGCATTCTGTAACCTTCACAGTATCACCGATCATAAAGTCTTCGACGCCATGGTACAACATTCTGAAAGAACGGGCATTGAACACAGAAGTGAATATGACTGGCCATGTTCTGCAGATGAATGCACAAAAAACGAATTCTGGGCCGAGATCTATGACCTTATTCCCGATCGAGATCGCCGATCTTTGTATCGCTTTATGCGCAGACATTTCCAAGACTCAACTCAAAAGCCACATGTGTGGACTCCCGAGCAAGATGATGAGCTCATCCAGCTCATGACGCTTCACCCAGGAAAATGGTCGTATGTTGCCAGGCAGATCGGCCGCAGTGATGATGATGTGACGCAGCGTTGGAAAAATCAACTAGAGCACCGCGGGAAAATGAACCGCGGTAAATGGAATGCGGAGGAAGTACAGATGTTACTCGACGTTATTCAGGAAACTTGGAATAAAATTTTCAAAGAACAAGGAAGCGACGCAGGCAAGGACATGTACGAGATGGACGACAGGATTCTCAAGTGGGGTGTTATCAGTGATGCGTTGGGAAATGTACGCTCGCGACAACAATGCGCCGATAAATGGCGAAAAGTCAGAAAGTATGTGGAGTCGTTGCGTGCGGCTGGGAACCCGGATGCACAGTATGATCCTATTGAGGCTATAAACAAAGCTTCGCGATGGAGTTTATCTGCACCTGGAACCCCAAAGAGCACTTGGAATGTTGTTGAAGATGATGACGATGACGACCTACCCGACAGTAAGTTTGATCAAAATGCAAGTGAGCTCGGGACTGCTAGGGGCGGATTTGCACCCTCTACACAGACCCCAGAGCCTAATGCAAAGCCTTTCCCTTCTTCCCCAGGCTCTGGACCTCAATCCGACGCTGGCGACGAACCTACCTCTCCAGCACTCCCCTTTACGAGTAGCTTGCCACAATCCAGCCCAAGCATAGCGAGAAGGGCCGATGAGGATGAAGGTGAAACCAAGGAGCAGAGAAGGGAGAGAAAGGCGCGACGGAAACAGGAGCGCAGGGAGCGCAAAGAACGAAAAAGAGGCGAAGCGGGCTGCTGCTGCTGCGTCAGAGACCTCGGAAGAGTCACAAAAGAGCAGCAAGAAACGCAAACAGTCTCTCGATGCTACTGGAACGGAGGCTGTGACTGATGAAAATGTCGCACCTGGAACGCCTCAGAAAAAGAAAAAGAAGAAGAGTCGCAAGTCAGTTGATGCTAATGCTGATGTTGAGAAGACGCCCAAGGGGTCTTCTAAAAAGTCCAAGAAGCATCGGCAAAGTAATGGGCCTGTCACTCACGACGAGGCTGTTGATATCAAGCTAGAGGGACATGGAACGTTGTCAGATTAGATATCGAGTGTCGCCTTGGATGACGATGTGTATGTATGTAAAGTATGAAACTGAATGTTGCATATAAATATGATTGAAAACAACGGTTCTCAAAGTCCTAAGCATTCCATTCGTAGCGCAACTTGTAGTGCAGCATGAGCCTACTTCAACCTTTGAAAGCACTGTAGACTCTCATTGAATTCTATTTACTATCTGCCGAAACACAGGTTCAAGTTCTCTATTTATTCCACTTTTGCTTCTATAAAAGAAATTCTAATTCAATTCTTACGTTTTAGAAGCTGCTATGACACAGGGCTGACAAGCAAACATAATATACGAAAATAAAAAACAGTCTATAGCTCATCCTTACGCTCTTCATCCTCTGTCTCCTCAATCTCAACAGTCTCTTCCTCACCACTCCGAACAAACTGAATCTGTTCCTCAGCCGCAACCCTCTTCGCCAAAGCAGCAATAGCATCATCATAAACCGTCCACTCAGGAACCTGCCTCCTAGCTCTCTCCAACTTAGGCTCCTTCGTCAACGGGTTATTACAAAGATCAATGGTCTTCGCATTCGCCAAATCCTCATCCGAACACCAAGTCTCACACCACAACCACTCCTGCGGAAGACTATGAATCGGAATATGATGCTGCATATGGTTCGGAAGGTCTTGATCCAAATTACTCAAGCTGTTCGGGTCAGCCGAAAGCATCTGATACTGTCCTCTTAATCTATCACCTGCTGCAAGTGCACGGAACTGGTTCAAATCAACAACGTATAAAGCTGAGATGTGATAGGGTTTTCCGCGGAGATAGGTATTCCAGTACCCTTGCTTCCAGAAACGGAAACCTTCCATTTCTGTCCGGGAGTCTCCCATTGGCGTGAAGCCGTAGGGTGCACCTTGTAGATCGTGCGAGACGAGGTCGTACATGTCTGTTCGGACTATTTGGTCTGCGTCGACGAAGATCACTTTGTCTAGGGAGAGGGGGAAGAGAACGTCTAGGAAAAGCATCTTGTAGCCCCAGATTTCGCGCTGTTTTTCGGTTTGGGAGCGGAGCCAGTGTGGCCATTTGTAGGTGACCATTTCGTAGGAGAAGTTGTATTCGGTGGCGAGGTGGGGGAGGAAGGCGCGGAAGGAGGGTGAGAGGAATTGTTCGATGAACCAGAATTTGACGGTGTGTTTTGTGTGCTTCATTACTGATACCATCATTATGTTTAGCATGCGCTCGTAGAGGTGACCACTTGCTACAGAGAAGATGTTGATGTCGGCGTGTTTTTCTGATTTGGAGCCCACGCCAACGCTGGAGAGGACGCCTGAGGCGAAGTTTAGGCCCTTTGAGACGAGGTTCCTGGTTGAGCCGCCTTGTTGGCCTGTTTCTAGGACGTCGTCTGTTTCGTGGCCGGGCTTGCGAGAGAGGCGGGGGAAGACTGTACGGCCTTGGAATGAGAGGAGAGTTACTTCGTTGTTCTCGTCTCCTGGTTGTGGGCGGTAACCTAAGCCACCGACGCTGTCGAGCTTGAAAAGTTTCTCGCTGCGGCCGGGCTTGAGGTTGATCTGCCACAGTCCTGGTTGCGCTTTGAATTGGAAGTATCCCACGTTTGCCATGATGATGGTGTCGGCAAAGTGTGGGTTCTCTTCTGTGCCTAGCATGAGCTGCACGCCTCGTGGGGGAGATTTCTGGGTGACATCACGAGAGTGGCCTTCGATCAGAATATGCTCCAAGGCATAGATAGCATCCACGTTCGAGCCACTTTTGACTGAGCTCAACTTGATGTTGTCCAAGTCGTGAATAGACTCCTTGGGTGCGACAAGCCATGAGCTTGGCACGTCCATGCCGAGTGTGAGGAGGGCCTCTACCGGTACTCCCTTGAAGGATGCTTGAGGCTGTGACACCTGTCCGTCGCTGGTGAACGAGGGCTCCGAAGTCAGAACATATCGGTAAAACCGTTTCACTGGAAGCTCCTTGAGATCTTCCTTCGGGTTCATGAAAATCTTCAATTGAACACCGGCCAATTCTGATAGAACCTTGATAATGGGAAGCCATCTCTGAGCTGCTTCAGAGGCAGGATCAAGCACAATTGCCACATTTATGGCGGGGTCCTCGGAGTTAGATACGGTAATCACAGAGTGATCTGTTCTCCAATTATCAGATACGTCCAGTCTGTAGTCGGGTGTGTTTTCGAAAAGACCCTCTGGTACGTCCGCAATTGTGGATAGAGATACCAGTGAAGTAAGCTTGGCAAGGTCGAGCGCTGAGGACAGCTTTGCATTCAGCTTGAGAATTTTCGAGGCCATTGCAACCGGACCAATACGCTTGCTATGCTCATAGGTGACTAGCTGAACCAGATCATCTGCACTGATAGCAAGGTCTCCCTGGATAGGGCCGACTACCCGTCCATTGACGACAAGACCCGAGACGCCAGCCTTGAATCCAAGCTTCTCAATCATAGCTCGCTGGTGAGCAAGAGTACGTTGGCTATCCGAGTCAGTAAGATCAGGAAGGTCGTTCAGCGATGCAACAGCCTCAAGGACTTGCGCAGAACCTCCACCCTTCTTGATTATTCCCTGAATTTTGTCAAAGTTTGAAGATTTCTCTGCGTCAGCGAGACCATTGTGCAGTAGGATGAGGTCCACTTCGTCATGCTCTTTGTGGAATTTGAGGGTATCAGCCAACAAGTTTAGACCCAAGTCTGACTCAAAGTCACACACAACGGTGAGTTGAACAGTCTCCAAGACACTCTTGCTGGATCCAATACGGAGCAAATTCGCTGAAACATCTGCATCAGACCCAAAGACACCAGTCAAATCCACAATTTGCACACTCTTCGGATCCTCAGGCATCAAGAATGTGTTTCGGCTTTCAAATGCTGCTGCGAGGAAGAAGCCCGGTAGCCATGCTGTCTCTTCGAAAACACCTTCCATGATGCCCTGTTGAACCAATTTCAAATCTTTCCCAATTTGCATACTCATTTCCTGCATCCAGCTACCTTCGCGGGAAATTGGGATTCCGTTGACGAGGAAATGGGATTCACCGCCACTCAGGCTCAAACGGCGCTGGTAGCTGGCCACACGAGATGCGATGGTGTTGAGATGTTCATTCTTGAATATCTCGTCAAAAGGCAGAATTTGTTTGTCTGCACGTGCCTCGCGATCCTTAGTTACGGTGGCGAAAATAGACTTATCTGGGTGTCCTGCTTTCGACTTGGAAACAGTCTGAATCTCTGCGTGTCAGTATCAGGATCAAATAAACGTATGAATTGCCTATAATGAATCGTACCTCTTCGAGATATTGGACGAAGATTGAGAGTCCATAGGTATCTTGCAGATAGTGTGCAACCTTCAGCTGTGCGATGGACTCAGGAGACAAAGCTTTGGGGACCAAGCCGAATCGCACAGGGATCATGCGTTGAATGAATGTTTGAATTTGTTGAATAACCAGAAGAATGTCATCAGAGTTAGACAGATCGACAGGAACAACAACGTTATGCAGGTCACGAGCGACGGGTGGCAGTTGACCAGGATAGGCATTTTGGATATACTGAATAAATGTCAGAATACGCTTAGCGGATAGAGGAGGTCATTTTTTTCATTTGACTACTTACCGCGTCGAGTTCGCTAGGCATTGCTTGATACCTAGAATCCTTTTCAAGATCATTCATCCAGATGATGACCTCTCCACCCTCCAATTCATCCCGGAAATCATAACGCTGTGCGTCGTCATCTGCATGAGCCTCAGCGAGAAGAGGGTGCGACAAAAGCTTGACAGCATCCTGAGAAGATAGACCAATCTCCTTAAACTTCTCAATCAATTTACGCTCCCGACGAAGATGATCAATAAGAGAGAAAGCATCAATCTGATTCTGATCAATCTGCACGCCATTGATCCACATAACATTAGTACCAGCTGGGAACATTCGTCCCCGGTTAGCTCGAATTTCTTTCTTCAGCGGAACGCTAGCATTATGCGCAGCCACTGTAGATGAATACTTTGGGAAATTTTGAGACAACTTGATCATTGTATCAAGCGGGTTCTCACTATCCAAAATATAAGCAGCGGTATTCCAGCCTAGTCTTGAGACCTCAGACGATGAGAGAGGTCGTAAGTCATCTGGAGAGTCCTCTTTCAATTCTTCCAGTTTGTCGATTGGGGTATCTTGGACGTTTTCAACTTTTTCTTCCGCCTCTCGATCATCAATGACGATGTAGTCTGTTCGCTTTAATGCTAGCTCCACGCCATATCCGGAGACGAACAATGGGCGAGAAACCCAATGCTGGGAAGGCCGGTATCGTACACGGTAGGAAACTTGGCCTTCTTTCACCAGATCCTTTAGTGTATCATGGAAATCTTTAAACATGGGCGAGGAGATATCTGCGTAAAGCACAGCCGGAGGTAAGGACGCATCACCGAGAACTCGATCAAATGGTAATTCCCTAGAATCTCTGGAAAATGATAATCATCTCAAGGTCAGCCACCAATCTTCTTTGTTTCATATTAATATATCCACATACAGCTCGCCTTCAACATCCTGCTGCGCACGCTCCATTGCTGAAGAGCAATATTGTTTCCCGTCTGAGTGAACCCATACCGGACAAGCTGCGTCTTGCGCCGCCATTAATGAATGTTGAACAGAGGAGTTATAAAATTGATAATGCGCCTGGATTCGAGGGGCAGAAGATCGAACTGCAAGCGATAATTTGAACGAGGAGAGCGCTTCAGCAGTACGTAAGTGGCCATCCTCAGAGACAACCTGTAAGAAACGATCATAGAGCTCTTTCTCGGTAGTAGCATCTTCGAAAGCGCCGTCTGCGATTCTATCGAGCAATGGGAAATATGAGGTGGAATTTTCTTCTGCGGCTGATTCTCTGTATAGTAGCACGTATTAGCTTGGCTCTCATTGTTCATTCTTCCTCAACGCCATATCGGTTCGGGGTCATCTGGCTTACAGTAGCTCCACAAGGTATGGCGACGCATCAAATGAAGCTTGTAAGGCCACATTGACCGATGGACTGGCATTGGCTAGCAAGCCTGGCAGCAAGGCACCTATGGCAGCGTACCAACCCCATGAGAGGTGGGCTTTGGAGACCCTCATCCTGCCGCGGTGGTTGTTCTTGGTGAAGGGACAAAACGTGGAAAGTGCGGGGGACTTGGCCCCAGGTACAGAGTTGTAAGATTCTGGGTTTCGGAGACTAGGCTGGAGGCTTAGAAATTGAGAAAAATAATTAACATCACTGCGCGACAACTTGAAAGCCGCTGTCAAACAAAACGCGGAGATACCCTGTGGATCTGGACACTTGGTTACTATCGATAAGCAAGCTACTACGGTTATCGAAGCGGCAACAAGTGCAGTCCGCCGCACCTTACCAAGCAAGCCTCTACTGATCTACTAACTTATATTACAGCCTTGATTTTTCGAAAGTTATCAATCAAATTTCAAATCTATTTCACCCAAAAGTACAAAGCAAAAAACTATATAACACCGATATACGCAATATCTATACAATGTACTATTTCCGAGTCACCTGTGCAACAATCTCCTCCACCTTCTCCCTCGGCACCTCCTGACGCAGAAGCCATCCAAAATACCAAATAGTATCCTCCTGAGACTTAATCGACGCCTTCAACCCAGGCCACATATTAAAATGACCATGCGGCATACCAGGATAGACATCAAACCTAACATCAACCCCACTATCCTCCAAAACCTTCGCATAAATAATCCCATCATCGCGAAGCTCATCCAACCCCGCAACCTGCACATAAGTCCTTGGAATCTCACTAAATGGCACATCCATATTGAACGGTGAAAAATCCTCTGACAAAAAGTCCTGTCTGTACAACGCTTCATAACCACCTGTTTTCTTCGAGTCTGCACCAGGGTTACCAGGTGCATCGATATTTTGTTCTCGGGATTGATATAGGTCCTTATATTTCGATGGAACTGTTTCCTTGCTCATACAAACTGGTATACTAGCCAGGATGCCTGTTATAGGCGAGAAAAGGTTTTCTTTCAAAGATCGATGCGCTGTGATGATTGATAGGTTTTCTCCTGCGGAACCGCCGCCTAGAACGAAGCCTTTGCTTAGATCGGCGGAGAGGGAGGACTCATTCGCTGCTATCCATTTTATGGTGTCCCAGATGTCGTTGGGGGCTGCGGGGAACTTGTGTTCTGGGGCGAGACGGTAGGATGGTTGGATTACTGTTGCGTTGTAGAGGTTTGCGATGGCGCGGGCCCAGATGATTATTTGGATGTTTGTTCCCATTATGAAGGCTCCGCCGAAGATTAGGACGACGACGGGGTTCTTGGAGGAGGGGGTTGAGTTTGCGGGCTTGGTTATGTAGACTTCGTTTGTGCGGCCGTCGCGGATTGGGATGTGAGTGTGAATTCTTGGGTGTTGAATTTGGGACAGGCGTCGAATGTTGTCTTTTCCATTGCTGATACTAATCCGCGTAGTTGCTCGATTGGGAATGAGAAATCCATTTTTGGAGCAGTGTATGCTTTAGAATCTGGGTTGTATTAGAGGTGTTGGAGAATCGTGGTGGTGGTGACGGTGTTACTTACTTCTTCAAGCTCAAGGTCGACAATGGCCAGTTTGAGGACATCCTCTTTTGTGTTGTAATCACTTAGCATGGTGGATGAGAGACTTTGAGTAGTGGTGTCGTTGTCGTTTAAATGGCTCATTCAATTGAGAATGGAAGATGGGACTAGAGTTGAATTATCCATTTTCCATATGGATTTCAACCTTTTATAAGTACTACATCTTTTGAAGATTGAGGTAAGATTCAAAACTCTATGTAGTATGAACCATGCAGGGTCATGACGATTCATTCATGTTCACGATGATCGGTCAAATCGATCGGGGCCGAAAAGTGGATCCATATTCACACATAGTCCAATGAGCACCATCTGTTTTCTGTAGAGTCAGCTAGACATGCCAATAAGCGGATTTAAACGCTAGAAATATACTCCGTACTGCAGATTACATCGCAACGTGGAACTCAAAGAGGATAAGGGCAAACCTTCGGAAAGACCCGCCTTTAAGCGTGGGGCAATGTTGTAGGTGCCAAATATTTCTACTGCGGTATAGATCGGTCGGCGCCAAGAAAACAAGGCAATGGGGCAAATGGAGATGGATGCGCAGATTCGGTTGATTTGGCTTACAGATCAAGCGCGGTGGAAAGTATACAGGTATGTTGTCAGCTAAGGAGTCGATCGATATGCGACATTTCTATGGTAGAGAAGTGGCAGGCGACGAGCCTAGCCGTTGTTAGAGTTACAAGAAGAAGCTACTGTCTAGGTTTTATAGATGGAAGGATCATTTGTTTGTTATTTTTTTATTTCATTCGGGTTCAGACTGAAGCCTGTTCAGTTGAAAGGTAGTTATTTTGAACAGCGTGCTGTTTGCTGTATTATCGTAAAGACATTATTTCGTAATTGAGAATTTTCCACGCGCCAGACGTTTTCCGTCGCCTCCATGCGATGTCCATGCGCCAAGTGACTCCGAGAAAAATTTGAAAGATAGGGGAATAAGGGAAGAATCAGACCCATATGCATCCTGGTAGACCTTTTTGCTTTGTCGAGCGTAACGTAACAGACGCCAAGGTAATGTGCATATTGAAAAAAATTGAATGGGCAACCGGTCAACTGTTGATCCCAAGAATAAAAAAGTTGACGTCGAGTCAAAGGTAAACCAGGCTCACGAGTGTGACTTTACTGGGCCTGAGAGGCCTGGGGGGTTTTGCGTTTGGTGGCCTCGCCAATCAAGCGACGGCGCTTCTGTTCATCAATCTCAAAGAAGGAGCTTTCGGCGTAGCTGTCCTGGCTACTAGGGCGAGTATTCAATGCTGTGGTGGACTTCATTTTCTTCAAGTTCTTGGATTTGTTGTTGAATCCAATGCGGCGAAGTTCACCGACCAGACGCTCGAGGCCGGTGGCCTTGGTCTGGGTTGGGGAGGGGATAGGGAAATGGGGGAGAGGCTTCTCGGAGTCAGCGCCGCTGGTGTCCGTGGTAGACGATCCGAAGCTGATGCCAGAGTCGGCCTTGCGGGTCTTGGAGCGGTTGGGTCCGGCATTTTCCAGATTGGCAGGCTCGTTAACGTAAGTGCATTCTTCGATCATCTCCATGGCGAGATTCAAGTACTTCTCCAAAGATTCGTAAAGCAAAGGCCAGGTGCTTGAGTGGCCCTCGGGAGCACCGGCCGAGATGAAAGAATCCAAGACTCCGGTGCCATGAGTGCTGACGGCGTTGATGTATCGGAAGAAGCCGTCGCGGTGAGACTTGAGGATTCGAAGGGTCAACTGCGGGGTGGGAGTTGGGGTTTTATCCGTGACTGGCGGGAAGAGAGTGTTGAGCATGGCAATGTGGTTGGCCTTCCCCTGGGGCTCGAGAAGCATGTCGTTAATGAGAGTCCAGCGACGGAGACCAACGTAGACCTGGGTGTAGAGAGCCTCGAGGGTGCGGGCCTTGGCATTCATGTTCTGCAACCAAGCCATAACGCCGGGGTACTTCATGCCCAACTCAGAGTGAAGAGGATCCTGAGCGTCTTCACGGTCGATGTTGAGACGCTGGACGGCATTGGCAATCTCCTTCTTCCAACGGCACTCGAGATCCTTCAGGTAGTCCAGAGCGGTCAGTGCCTGGGGGAAGTCAACGCTTTCAAGGTGTTCGGTAAAGCAGCGACGCAAGAATGAACAGAGGAAAGCAGGTGGAAGCGAGCATGGCTGGGACGGAAGACGGGAGATTTGGTGGATTAGCTGGGAGCGAAAGTCGGCAGCAGCGTCGATCGAGTCCTCCGAGTGAGACGATTTGTTAGATTTGGTGGATGTAGTGGAGATTGAGTCGCGGGGAGAGAATGCGGTCTCTGGGGTACGGTTGGCATTGGTACCCTTGGCGGGGTTGCAGTTGATGGTGTACATGGTGCGCAATGGGATTTCATAAGAGCTGGGGTAGCGGAGGCAGTGATCGAAGATCCAAGTCAGGGCACGCCCATTAGGATTATCCAGCTGAAGTTGAGACATAGTGGTCGTGTACACTTGAGATTGGTACAGAAAAAAAAAGACTTTTGTTTATGGGAAGCGAAAAGGTGAATGCGAAGACCGGGCTTGCATAAATAGCAAATCAGTTGTGATCGATGGCTGGGGTTGACAACACAACAGAACACTTGAGGGGCTGTGTGTTTGAGTGTGTGACCTTCAGAGCGCAAGGACACAATCAAAAAAGATTAAAAGGACAAGAAAATAACAAATTGACAGTGTGTAACAACACCATAAATCCGGTGGCGAACAAGAAAAGAAAAAAAGGTGTGGCTGAAGAAAGTGAGTCTAGTTAAATCAAGGACGAGTATCCTTGCAGATCTGATCTAGACGGCAACAAGAGGCGAAATGTCACGGGACCAATGGGGTATCCGAGACAACACGAATGTCAATGAGTGGTTGGTGAAAGAGACACACAAAAACAGGGCGTTCAAAAACACGAGAGCAAAAAAGAAGGGATTGGGTGGAGGAAGAGAATGTGTATGAGTGAGAAAGAGAGAATGTGGGAAATGAAAATGGAGAGGGGGAAAACACAGTTAATATGATGCAGTGGTAGTGTTTAGAAAATGGGGGACCACAAGTCTGGACCGTAAGAAAAGTGGAGAGGACCGACTCGTTTCTCCTCTTCTCTCTTGCTCCTCAAATCTCATCATAGTCACTGCCTCGACCCCGACAGTCTGGTTCCTTGGGTTTCGCCCGTTTCTCAAGCTCCACATCTGCATCCAGCCGGGACCTGCCCCTCTACAGGGAAAGTCAACCGTTGGTCTTCCGCGCTTCCGGCTGGTCCCATCTGCCCCCCCCGAAATGCGAAATGATGCCGCTAAACCGCTTTTCCAGCTCGCTTGTCCTCCGGCCCCGGGGCTCTGGGTGGCCCCAAATCAGATGCATCCCACGGGAGAAACTCCCCAATGGGATTTCTTGCCTTTCGGACAGGCACCGAGGCTGCTCGACACAATTCGAAGAAATATGAGATGTCGATCGGATGCATGATGCAAGACGGATTACTAGGACTACCTATCACCATATGCTGATTTTGGAAATCTATCTATCTCACCAGATGCTTTTTCGGGAAGAGGGAACAGGCTCCGTCAAAGAACTATCCTGGTTTCATGACTCTCCAAGGCTCGCATTTACGTCTCGAGGCTTAAAGTTGTTATCTACGGTGGCCACCAATGGCCGATCGTTACAGTCCATGGCTGAAAAAGAAAAGAAATATTGAATCAAGAAGATCAGAATCAAAATCCAAGTCATAAATTTAGATTTACAATTCCTCCACTCTGATCTACTATCCAACGATATTTACGGAGCCCAGAGGACACGCCAACGGTTTTCGTGAAGCATTCGTCAGTGAGGCAATGGGTGGTCTCTGATTTGCTTCTGATCTGTGGGGTGGACCGCGCAAGTGTCTGGGCCGAGCCTCGCTACTGACGCCACTAACAAAGCCGTTGGAGGATTCATCGAATTTAAGCCAGGGGCAAACTAAAAATCTAAAAATCTCTGACAGGTATACTCCGTACTTTTGACACACAAAGAACCAGAAAAGAAAAAAGATCCATTTGATGTATCTGATGTATCTGAGAATGTTTTTCGAGGCCACCGCAGCCACCACAATAAACAACCACAAAGAGCGAACTCATCCATGGAACGGCAAATGTCATTCCCCGCGCCAATTAGGTCCAACTTGATTGAACAAAACTACTGTACAACCATGGCAAGTCATAAGGAAATTGTGGGTACCCGCGTCGTTTCAGATCCTCTCTCCGATCGTTCATATTTAATTTTGTTTCCTTTGTGGTATCACCAAAAATACTAGATTTTGAAGACTCCTCTCGACATTTCAAATCGTGGTACTTTGGTCCATTAATCTGCAGAAATTACAGGTTAATCGGCTCTAAGCATATCTTCTGATGGCACTCAAAAAACAGGCTCGCAGCGCCCGTAGATCTCCAAGATGACCTTCCCATTTCAATCGCTGTGGAGATCCACTCAGCTCCCCACCGCGAGTCCAGACACGACTTTTCCTTTTTTATTTGTTAATGATCTTCGATTCGTTCATTTGCCCAACTTATTATTATCTTTTCGTCTTATTTTTTTTCGTTCTTTTTATTTTCTGAAATGAGGATAGCCTTGTTAGTGGGTGGATACGTCAGACCCTGTCAACATCACGAGGGTTTCCGGCAATGCGAGCTAATCACCTAGACGGCGATCATGGCATCATGCCCCTGAATTGGGACTGGGATAATTCCCAGCTTCAGGGTTCCTGGGAGAAACATGAGTAGATCGAGTTCGAGTTCATGTTCCAGTTTGAGCTTGTGTCCGATTCCGATTCCGATTTGCATTCGAATTTCAATCTCAGGGGCCCGTGTTATTCACTTTTGGGTCTGTCGGAAATTGCCTTATTACCTACTACCCTCTTGGCCGAGGCTCGTGAAACTGATGAAACTGATTTGATTCCTTAGATGCATGTCTAGCAAACAAGTACGGATACTCCTTGGTACATGGAGTACTCCTTAGGGAGAACCTCCGAGTCAGTAAAACTACCCAGAATTAAGAATTGGATGTGTATCATTTGCGCACTCTTAATTATTGAGCCCAGTATCCACACGTTGACGCCCAATCTACCACATGTGGGTTCCTTTTCCCACGCCTCCCTAATCTTCCCCTTTCGGTCATTTGTCTCTTTACAGTAGCATCTCTTTTGATCACCGGGTCTTACTATCATCCTATTTTCAAGTCTCAATGCAGGCAGTAGATCAGATGATCGACCCCGGGAACAGAACCGTAAAGAGATCACGGCAAACTGGACTGAACTGAACTAATCTAAATTAATCGGCTCTAAGCCTATCGCCAACCAAATGGTGGGATACCCGCATGGGGAATCTGGTTGCAATCATGATCAAAGTCAAATTTTGCCCTGCTGCACAGCGAGTCATTATCCTTGACAGAAAGTTACCTTCTCTGATCTACAGTGCAGTAAGCGAACCAATGTGAGGAAGAGGTCATAAAGTAAAACTTTAACGGATAACGGCTAACGATCCTAATCCCCAAGTAAAGTTCAAATGTTGCCAATCATGTATCCTGCAATCGCCCTGCACATTCAAATTATCCACCTGCTTTATGCAGTATACCGCGGAAATCCTCATGTCTAAATCTAGCAGGGGTTTTAGGTGCAGCTTACATCCATGTACAGTATGGGCGGGGAACGCGTAGTGACTTCATTCGGTCTTGCCTTATGCTTAGCGAGAGGAGAGCCCGCATTCACTATCCCCGTTCGGGATCCGCAGCATACGCAACTCCGTTTCTTTGTTCGCACCCACCTCCTTGAAATGTATGATCGCCCGGACTACTGCACGAACTTAGAAGTTAATTTTAGCCAATTAGGTCTTTTGTAGGTCCACAGAAGTAACCGTCGGCGGAGTTGTATCTCGCTAAGACGACGCGTGCTTAAAGTTTCTATGTTTATGCTTGTGTATGTTCGTTCTATCCCTCCTCCGGGGTGACCCTGGTTCTCGGTACATGTACAAGGCTAGAAAATGGCACCATTTGCCGCGCTAGTGCCAATATTAGGGTATCCCGGTAATTCGGCATGTAGTTAAGCGTGATTGAGTTTATGGATATGGGGAGATAGTCTGTACAAGGCTGCGGTGTGCTTGAACGTGTTCGCACTGGCAAAGGCTCGCGGCAGTTTGACCTCGGAGCTTGATATCGTTTTAATTTCATGCCAATGCTATCCAGCCGGGTTCATCAACAAAACCGGACCGTACGGATTTTGCCAGTACTTTCTATCCCGTGTCAATATTTTCAATTTCATATCAATGTTCTCTGACCGGCTTCATCACAGAAAAAGATCGTCGGGTCTAGGACACTGCTTTTGAGGCTATGTCAATACTCTAAATCTGGGGTTACTAACAAGTCTGGACCGTAATGTTATGTCAATACTTTTGATGCCTATGTTAATGGTTTTTATCCGGGTTCACGATTAAACTCGGACCATAAGCATTTTGTCCATGCTAATTTTGTGCTGTCATTGTTGTTTATGTCATATAACTTAGGCGTAGGATGCAGCAGCTTCTTGAATTACGGTCCGGGTTCCGGTTCCAAGGTTAAGAAAAAGTTAGGTGGGGATCGCTAACTGTGGACAGCTGCACAGTATGGAATGTGCTATGTTAGGTTTTGAAGCTTCAAGTTCAATTTGAGATATATCGATACTAGTGGTAAGTCTGGATCTCAAACGATAGAAAAGTTTTTAACAAAACTCATCGAATTGTATATATACAACGTCCTGATCAACCAGTGATAAATGCAAGTATTTCGCTGATTGTTCAGGTGGTTTCCCAAGGTTGGCATCCTACCGAAATGCCCTAGCTAACTCTAAGATACCCCTGTAGCCATTCAAAGCCCCGAAAGACACGCATTTATCATCTGCCTACCAGAATACTCCCTTTGAAATGTTCATGTTCATGTTTGTGATTTGAAAGATCTAGATTATAGATAAGCGCTGATAAGCAACCCAAAGTACCACCACCTCAAATTCTTTAAGGCAGCACAAAATCGACCCGACACCGCTCGGCAGAAAATAAACGATAAGATCACGCATCACCGCAACTTACAGTATTCCAAAGCACCACACAGATCTCAAGATGGGCAAAGGGCCATTGGAGCGAAAGCTCCAGTTCGAGAAAAAGAATAAAGATCTCGTCAAACTCCCAAACTGTTCGTGACTAGATCACCCCATCAAATCCAACAATACCTGATCTCAAGACTAACCTTTGACCGGACAGACGCGAAAGTGGAAAAACGCCCTATACCCCATCCTCCAGTCGCCTCTCCATATGCAAATGCCACACTCCCAAAGGTTGTCTACGTATCCTCCGGTACACCTTTCATGAGCGCTGTGAAGCGTGTCCAGAAACTTCTTCGTCAAGCTGAGAAGCGCGCTACAGCAAATATCAACCTTGAAGATACCCGGAAAACTGAAAAACAGAAACTTGCAGAGCTGTCTAAAGCTGCGGATAAGCGGGAAGATGTTTTTTTGAAAGCTACCGGGCGCGCGATTGAAAAGGCGCTCAAAGTGGGGAAATGGTTTGAGGAAAAGGAAACTGAATATTCCGTCAAGGTTAATACCGGGAGCGTGTTGGTGGTTGATGATATTGTTGAGGATGAGGATAGGAAAGAAAAGGAGACAGAGAAGAAGCAGACTCAAGAGGGACAACAGCAAATACCCGAGGATGATTCGGTATCCGACAAAGCAGACTCGACGAACAAGAAAGCAGCGGCTAAGAAACGAAAGCGTGAAGCTCCCGCTGAGTCTGAGGAGGCAGAACTTCCTGAGACGCGGACTCGATGGATTAAAATGGTCGAGATTGCTGTGTGTCTTAAGTGATGCTTTCACTCGGTCGGTATGCAAAAACGCAGCTTGCGTTGGTTGTGATACCTTACAAAGTACATGTTGGGAAACTCTATCCCATTCTAAACGTGGCATCAATGTCCCATTCATGATGGCACCTCACAAAACCGGACCTGGTTGTCTACTCAGAGCTTCCTGGCCTAAGGGCAGCTGGTGCAAGACAGGTCGAATCCAAATGCCCTGCTACGGATCGCCTATTTACCAGCTACATCCAAAATGAGCCATATAGCAACCCAGTAGCGGACGCTGCTATCTCCTGTTCTCTCACCAAATCATGGACTACACGATGTGTGGCTTCTCTTCCAAGCTTGTCTTTGAGATTTGCCAAAGAGTATATGCTGCACTCACCCGGTTAGTGGGACTTTCGACCAGTTCTCTATCTTGATAGTCAGAGATATCCATACAAATGAACAAGATTAATTGAGATATAATGAGACTTAGAGCGAGGGAATAAACAGTATCAAGTTTAGAGGACCTCCAAATGACTACAGGTGAATACGCGCGAGAAAATGTGACTATACTATAGTGGGGAGCTGTGTCTACGCGTAAGTTCACTTCGGCCGCACTTCAGCCGATCTTCGAGTCCGTAACATGCCGCCTTTACCATTCCTATGTGGGCTTCGGCGGCAGTAGATAGCTTCGCACAGAACATACATCTCTCCATTCTCGATCCATCCTGGGCTACTCTCCACTGCGTAGGCCTCTCATACAGTCCGCTCGAGTGTGGTGTTTTGGATCGACCCGTACGGCTCATTGCCATCGAGCATTACCTGCCTTTTCACTACGTTACAATAAAGATACCGGCAGTTCACCTGTCTGTCTTCACTCTGGAGAAAGGTATTTTTCAAACAAAAAAAGAGATCCCGATATGTCAGACGACGACTCAAGAAAGCCCCACGGGCTAATAATTTCTGGGTTTCCAGGAATTGGAAAATCTCACCTCGTCCATGAAAGCGAGGGGCTTCAAATCAAGGTTTGCTATCTTGATTCATCGTCCCTCCCAAAAGATACATTAAATGAGCCAAATCAAGCCTGGCCAGACAATTACATCGATGGTATTCGCAAACAGATCAAAAATAACGACATTGTCGTCATTTCGATACATATTGCTGTCCGCGGTAGGTTATTGTCGCTTGAGATACCTTTTAAACTTGTGTATCCCCAGATCCAGCTAAAACAGGAGTATCTGGATCGCTGTAAGCGGTGAGGATGGGGACTCCAAGGTTGAATGCATAGTCAGGTAATGCCAGGGGGGCTTACATGACCCGCTGTGCCCAATCACATATCATAATCGCAGTCTGCTCCAAATTAGGAATATATTTCGCCAGTCTAGGTATAGCCTGGCACTTGAATTTACAATATACCCCTCCTTAAATATAATATTAGATGCAAATAGATGAGCTTCTCTTATTCCACCTGAGTGGGGGCAGAAATAAAGAGATAAATACGATGATCTCGCGTAAAGCAAGATTCCAATTTCTTTTTCCTCAGAAACCCTCAAGTTCTCATACAACAGGCCTTTTATCACCCATTAAACTTGAAATCGCCACTCCACTCTCACTGCTCTTTAGCAACCACAATGTCGACTTCTATCTCAAAGCCTGAAATACTCCTCGTCGCCGGATCATGGCACACCCCAGCCCAATATGCAAAGTTTCGCGCTGTCCTCGAATCTAAGGGCTTCACTGTACACATCCCACGCTTACCAACCATAAGCACCGCTCAACCCCCAACAGCAGACTTAACCACAGACACGGATTTCATCCGTAAATACGTCACCAAGCTCGCTGATGCTGGTCGCCATGTAGTTGTGCTCATGCACTCGACCGGCGGCCAAAGTGGCACCAACGCACTCAAGGGCCTAGGCACCGAAGCTCGTGTGCAAAAAGGTCTCCCTGGTGGTGTGACAAGACTAGTATACATTCTTGAACGGACTTAGAGCAGGGCTGAAGGGGCTTTCTGGAGACCGAGGTTGAACTCCGAAGCTTAGTCCGGCGGAGGCATGACTATGCCATTTTTATCTTTGGCCCATTATTTCATTTTATATTATTTCCCAGAAGTTCGGGATTGAGTTTGTAATTTACCGAGTTGGTCGTCAGTTGCATTTTCTCATTTCCCTGGTCGGGATAAAACTCGGAGTAAGAATGAGGTACTACGTGCCTGATCTATAAAAGAAGGCACCTTCCTCATAGCATTAGAGTCAACGTCCCCATTCATCAAATCATAACCCTCTGGCTACACCCACTACAAATATTTTCAAGGAACATTCTCCATTCTTTGACACATCTACAGCCAATCCAACCTACCGTCAAATTCATCTGGCCGATATCAAGCTCTCATACGAATAAATAAAACAAAAATTTCAATCAATAATCGAGATGAAGAACTCTGGTACCCCCTCACGTCTCTCCAAGGCTGCCTCCAGCAGAATCTCTATCGAGACTACCTCAGATGTCGGGTCCTCCTATTCCAATTTTTCCGCCGCAACAACGATCAAAGGCTCCATTTTGCCGACTAAGACGAAGGGCTCCCTTTTGAAGCTCAAAGCCGAACCTAAATATTCTTTGAGCGACAAGTATTCCGAGCAAAAAGCTGTGCATTACGAGGCTCTGGCTAGCTATTTCAGCATGCGGTGAAGGTTCGAGAAATCGAAATATGGAATTAGGTTCGCAATGCAAATAGCGAGGATTGTTTTAATTTTTATGAAATTACTGTGTCTCTATGATAGTTAAAGTGATTGAAAGTCAATTTATCTTGAAATTGTATAATCGCTTTTTCCGTTGTATTGTAGGCCGACTACTTAGCTTGTCTTAATGATCTGGCATCATTTGAGGCAATGTCAAAAATTTAGCCTCGGCTGAAATATTTGCTCTATAGTGTTTATGGACTCAAAGCGGACTAGAGAACCTTCAATGAGTTTTGGAGGCGTAGGGGCTTTTGCTCCGTAGAGACTTTCCGTATAGCCCCAGCATAATTGCAGCAGGGAGTCCAATACCAAGGCCAATGAAACCAAGAAGACTTCCCGACCAGCCATAACCCAAGGAAGAGTACCTATACAGAAGTTAGGTTCATTCGTGACTAAGGGTCATATTTAAAAGGTAGACTCACATGTAAGGTGCGAACATGGGGAAAGTGAAGCCGGCAAGACACCTTATGGTAGAGACAGCGGCTAGTCCACTTGCCGCATAACGACCATATGTATCGATCACATAGGCATTGACAGATATTGTGCATGCAAGTGCCCCAGCGACAAATATGGAAGTTCCAATGTTCGGCATAATCCAGTGCATCTTTAGTTCAGCCGTCCATCCGTACCAGAACATTCCAGCGCTTAGAAAGAGAGTTGCAGGTATCATGATCGGAATTCGAAATTCGGGGAGGCCTTTGCCTTGATTCCGCTTTGATAGCTTCCGGTATATCCTGTCGTTAATAAGCGTGCAACACTCTGCAGCGATGGCCGACCCAATGGCAATTGAAATGTAGTTTAAGCCCGCAATTTGAATAGACTCCCCATAGACATCAGTCCATAGATCGATGAAGTCAGCGTATAGCATGTATATATTTCCGTAAAGATAGGCATTATAAAGAGCCAGGACCTGAATGATAGGTTGTGTAGCAAGCAGTTTAAAAGGTCGGACTAAGTTTGCAGATAATACTTTGACTCTGCCTTCATCCAGGTAATCAAATTCAGTGTAAAGGTTGCTGGCTCCAGTATCCTGTATTTGCTTCGCTTTCTTGCGGCGGAGTAAAAGTGGAGGGTATGTTTCTTCAAGAAAGAAAAGTCCCGAAATTTGAATAGCAACACTCAAAAGAGAGGATATATAGAAGGTCCATTGCCATTTCAGATTCTGCTCGATAAAGCCGCCAATTATTGCGCCAACTAGCGGGGCAAGAATTGGGGACCAGCTGTAGATTGCGACTGCTTTGCCACGATCCTTCGCTCTGAAAAGATCACTTAACGTGCCACCCCCAATCTTAGGCGAGAAGTTAGACAATAGCTGCGGAGATTGGGATTGAACAACATACTCCAAGGGTAGCGCTCCCACAGAGGCCGGCGATAAAACGCAGTATGATGATAGCTTCTTTCGTGCGGGCCCCACCACAGGCTGCGTTGAAGACAATGTACATGAAATTCCATGTTTGAACGACTCTAACACGACCATATATCTCCGATAATGGGCTTGCCACGAGCGGACCACATGCGAAGCCAAGAAGGAATATCGAAAGAACCATTTGCTCAACTGCAGGTTGGGCAATTCCCAAGTCGGATGCAATTGCAGGTAACGCTGGGGCAACAATTGTTGAAGACAGTGGGCTCATAAATACGAATGAGCTCATAGCGAAGATAGCTTTCCATTTCCTCATGGGCTTCCAGTTTTTCGGGTTCTCAGGATCGTCTTCCCCATCCCAAGTTACCTTTTTGTTAGATGTGGTTAACTAGCAGCATCTGTAGAAAGGAATAGCTTTGAAACTTACAAGACTCTTTCTACCGCTTGGAGAGCCGTCTTCAAGCTCGTCTTTTTTAATCGAATCATCTGATGACATCTGTGTCGGTGGCTCTGTTTGCGAAGATTTACTGGCGTCGTCATTGTTCTTCGGCGTGATGAAGCCCCGTAGAAGTTTTGTCTTCAAACTCATAGTGGACCCTCCAGAGTAGCGACTCACTTGGTATAGAATAGTGTTCAGCAGGGAGGGAGAAAGGCACTATTCAGATAAAACGGACCCTGGAGAGGCTCAAAAACAAACAGTGACGATACGATAGGGAATGTACTTTTTGACTTTGCCACGAGGAAAACTTTGAATAAAGCATGCTGAGGACGAAAATCAGTGAGGAGATTGGTTTATTTGGCTTATGTACAAATATCAGGAGTCAAGTCATTTGTAAAAGAAATCGGATGTAGGAATTGCGTTTCATGAGCCAAAAGTATAGTAGTGGGTACTTCACACCACCAAGTGCAAGAAGGCTCCACCAAATTAATCCGTCAACAACCCCGGGTCGCCCCCAAAGCCCGTAACAAGTCCGTAACAATCCCGCTATGGGCCCGCAAGCCCGTTACAATCCCGGTACAAGTCCGGTACGGCTAACATTACTGAACAAGAAGCCCGGCTTACAATGACCTTCGGCCTGGTAACTGAACTAGAACACCATAGTTTACGAAAACTGCATGTGTGCTTGTTTTCGGGCATCTTTTGAGTCATTCCGTGCTGAAAATTTGCGCAATCAGCTGTCTGTTCGTAAATCCATCTGCAATAGGCCTACTGCGTCATTACACCGTGGTCACGTGCTTTCCCAAGGTGTGGAGCAGGCTCCATGTTGTGCTCTCGCTCTATTCACATTTTTCCATAGTTACACACTTGGCAAATGGTCTTTCGGGGTGCCTTAAAATGCCAATGCCAAGTCGCCGGCGTAATCGCTCTCTAGCGTCTTGCGAGCCATGCCGGAAAGGCAAGATGCGGTGTGATCATGGCCAACCCATCTGTGCCGCATGTAAACGTCGCGGTCTCCACTCTCAATGCTGGTATCATCCAGCACCTCTAACTAAACAACGAACTTTTCGGACGGCAGCTCTTTCAACTCCACCAGAATCAAATGATGTGGCAGAAGGCGAAATTTCGAGCACCGCCAATGGTTATCCTAATACTGCAGAAGCCTTTCCGACCGGCACTCGAAAGCTACTTACCTGGCCATTCATATCAGCCGAGTCTAACGAACCGGTATCACAGGCTCTGGTATCAAATCATCACAGATCCCACACGAAAGTTCACGATGAGTATCTGGCGATTATAGAAGACATTGCTTCCCAACTGAAGTTTCTGCCAGTCATAGAAAAACGACTTCATGAATATTATTCGTTCAGTCAAGTGGCACTTGTGCCCAGGCCGATTATGTCGCAGCTGCTCACATCAATTCGAACTAGTCTCAAGGCTTCAGGATACATAATGGAAGATGGGGTCAACGAGGTTTCTCTTTCCCATACTTCACAACTGGCAAGAGAGCTTCTCCGCTCTTCTTCATCGGAACTTGCCGTTACAGCCAACTTGGACCTAGAGGCCTTCTGTGCATTATTCAGTGGGAAAAATTGCGCTTAGAAACCCTTGGCCTAGTTTACACTATGGCAGCACGCTCATCCCTTTATGTTTCTACTCAAGGGAGCGATGAACACCAAGATGGTGGCTTTATTCAGGAAATGAGTCGGTATAGCAACTTGAGCCTTCGACTAGCTCGTGAGCTTGCACCACAAACAACCGATGTAATCATGTGGCTTGCTCATGAGAACCTGCAACTTATGACACTCCTCGAAGGAGAAGCAAGTAAGTCTAGATATTTTTTGAAAACAAGTAAACCCATACTCACATTGTACAGGTCTAGGAGTTTGGCGACGGGTTGGTGACCTCGCTACGGATCTACTAGCATTAGATTTGAATCGGGAAGCAACATACTCAGCTACGCCATTCTTCGTGGCTGAGTGTCGAAGAAGAAATTTTGCGAGGGCTTATTATCTGGATAAAGCATTTGCGGCGGTTTTTAATCGACCACCTCGAATAATTGCTTGTCACGCCGATTGCAAACTACCATTGGATTTACCAGATGACAACCTTTTTTTGCCACCAGACCAGTTAAAAAATGCCAGATATAGCCTTACGCCAGACGGCTGGAATACAGATGGGAAGCATATTAGTGCAACTTGGCTTCGAATAAGGTACATTTTAGCAGAGTTTTTTGAAGAGATAGTCGAATATCAATTTCGATCGATACAAACTGCCGATGCTATGAAACTTAGGTATGTGATCTTTTATTCTTTTATTTATTGCCAATGTTGAACAGAACTATAGAGATATATCAACCCGCTGCTATCAGACATGGAATGCGTTACCATTCTTTCTCCAATACAGTCAGACCTGCTGGACAACGGATCTCCCGCTCGCATTTTGTCATATGCATGCGAAGGTCTATTTGTTCTATCTTCATATCCATTTTCAGATTTACAGGTTAATTGGCCCTGGCGATGGTAACTCGACTCCCCAACCGGAATTGCTTGAAGTGTCAGCGAATATGTTGGAAACGGTCATACAAATGACGAATTATCGCAAGAGGGCGACATTTTCGCCTCGTGATTTGTCTGGAATTGTACGTTTTCTACCCCGGTGTCGTTTAACCACATGTCTTTTCTTATTAACGATCACAAGCTTCTGTCATACGGCTTGCCATGCGCCATAATTGTTGCAAACGCAATGGAGACCGCCATCCAAGATACATCAAAGGGGATAGAACTTCCGTTGGGCATCAAAGCATCGAACCTCATTCGAAACCTTTCTGTCTTGGTGACTCAACTTGAAAATGTTTCGAGTCCCAGTGAGACAAACCAAGTATTTTGTCTCAAAGCATCTCAAGCTATCTCGCGCAAGCTTGATCGCATCTTAGATCGCTTTAATGGAACAGCCGATTCTGCAATTCCTGAGCCAGTATTGACACCTTTGCTAAGCAGCGGATCGTCTGCGGCAATAGTGGATATTGACACGACTGGATTTGCGGATTTTGATCATTTTGATCTGGCAGATTGGGCAATTGATTTCGATATGAACAGCATAATTGACGAGTGAAATTTTTTTGTACGCAAAAATATACCCTAAGCAAATGAAAAAAATTCAATCTATGTACAATGGCTGATTTACTTGCAGGAAGCCATAATTCTTCATATCTGAACCCGGACATTGACGCGTGAAGTCTTCTAATATTCCAAAAATTTATTTACCACGACAGTGCTCCTGTTTCCTCACTAGAATTGTCGTGAAAAGATCAGCCAAGGCCTCCAAGGCATGGTCGCAGATTTGATAATGAACTATGAGTCGTCCTTGTAAACGACCACGCATAGTCTTTACTCCTGCCTTTTCAGCAAGATCCGCAAAATCCTCTTTATCAATACCAGCTGCATCTAGATCCAGCCAGATCATGTTGGTCTCCGTTGGATGCTGTAGTTTTCCTCCCAAACTCGCCCAAAGCTCAGAGAGTTTTTTTGCCGTCTTTTGACTAGCACGAAGGCGCCCGCCAAGAAAGATCTGTTCAACGGCAACTCTTGCTGGAGCGCTCACAATACCCGCTGCACGGATTCCTCCCCCAAGAAGTTTTCGCATCAACCTAGCACGCTTGATGAAGGTCGAACTTCCTACGATAACCGACCCAATCGGCGCACCCAGCCCTTTTGTGAAGCAAAGAGACACGCTGTCAAATGATGAGGCGTACTCTATCAGACTGCCTGCTCCAGCAGCTACAGCTTCCCACAGGCGAGCACCGTCTAAGTGCATGTGGATGGGAGGATTCTGACTTCGTGCCCAGTTTGAAATTGCAACAATATCTGCTAGGGGCATGATGGTCCCTGAAAGCGTATTTTCTAGACTGATAATCCGCGTTGGACAGTCGTAAACATCTTCCCGGAGGGTGGCGTGACTCTTCACATCCTCGAGAGTAAGGTGATGACCATTGGACGGAATTATGCCTTCTAATAACGCTGCCGACAATGTGGCTGGTCCTCCTGCCTCCATTCCAAGTATATGGCTTCGGCTGTCACAAAGAATGCTGTACGGTGGGGCCGGAAGGGCGGCTCGGAGAGCAACCTGATTACCCATTGTTCCAGACATGACCACAAGGGAATCTTCGTGTCCTGTAAGTCGTGCAATAAATTCTTGAAAGTTGTTTGTTGTAGGGTCTTCCTTCATTACATCGTCTAATAGGCTCGTGTTGATAATAGAGGCAAGCATATCCGCGTTCGGCGAAGTAACATAATCGGAGCGGAAGTCGTACGCCGCTTGACCAGGAGAAGCCCACGCTGTCTGACTCGCATTCAATGCCTTTTCCTCGATGAGGGGGGACTTCTTTTGGTATGCTTGTACATGGAAGCCGTCTGGCGTGGAGGAAGCCAATGTTGGGCCGTCTCGCCTGAGAGACGACATAGCAGGAGACATTGTAACAAAATGGGAAAGAAAATTGAATGCAGATAAAGATGAAGATTTTCTAGGATGATTGAATCAGATGTATGGGTGTGAATTCCCACTTGAAGAAACCTTTTATATTTTTTTCTCATGCGATTCTTACATAACAAAAGTTGGTTGTTTGTCCAGGTGCCTCTATATCACATCGTGATTCGGGGGGCTTTCGCAATCGATGACTAGATTTGCAATATTATTGACTAACAGGCAGATGTCTTTCAGGACCGGGATACCATATTTGGTATTTCTTCAGTGCCTAGGTTGTACCGCTCCAAATATGCCCCTGCTATGCAAGTCGCTGTGTCCAGTCTCCCGTACTAGTCGTCACCAAGAAACCGGGAGAATGTATTTATACCAGACGGAAGCTCTTGCTCTTGAATATCATATACTAAATAATTGAATAAACCTACATTGACCAACTTCTAAATGTCAATTCTCTATGGAAAATGCAATAGAAACATTCAAATGAACTGCATATACAGTATCAAATTCAAGAAATTTTGTACTTTAGAATTTTACGTAACGTACCGAGACCCGGCGTGAAGAACGAAAATCTGGTATTAAAAACAATACCACCTGAGGGGTCAAGTCCGAGAAAGAGTCTTGAATCCTTCAAAGTGATGCCTGATTGCATGTGAAAGTCTAGACAGATGATTGGACCGGAAGGTATCAAACGATGATGTGAGAGCTCGAATTCCCAGCTGCAGATGTAGATCTGTATCCGTTTTGTTTGCCAAATCAAATATTGGGTATTCCCACTCGCTCTAAGTGGTATTCTCCCTTGTTACAACGCTCAAGATACTCATCAGAGATGGACATATATTTCCCCAAATAGGAAAGTTTGATGCTCAAAGACTCATTCAAGTTGTTTTACACTATACACCTCTACTATTAGCTATATTCTAGGACCACGTTGGCGTGTTTAAAGTTTAAAGCCCGGGCCCGAGCCTTGCGCTCCAATGTCAGGGCTTAGTGCTTGCAACCTTGCAATGAGCCGCAATTTTTTTACAGGGGTCTAGACTATTTAGCTCTTTCGTAAATTGTGTCAAGTGGATTCTTTTCCTCACGAAGTCCTATTTTCTGCGCCATTTTTTGGTCATTAAAGATTAACTCCGACGGCCTCCGGGCCTGCAGGTCAGACAAACTAAAGCAAAAGTACACCGTTCATAGTTGGGGCCAGGCGAGTTAAATTAATATTAATATTTTCATTGTTGAGAATATCTAATCTTTATGACATCTTGCTAGCTCAAGGTATAGTAAGGTTTAGTGAATTGGCCATTATTCTGCATGATTGCTTCATCATGCTGTGCGTATATCAAACATCTAATACTGCAGTATGATGTAGGGGGACTTGAGTTGAACAAATTATACCCGAGGTGTAAAATATCATCATAATGCACAATAGTACGCGAGTATCCATGAAGGATGAGAACGTTGCATTGCATGCAAGTTGAATATGGCGAACCTTGGAAGTCAATGAGGCATTGCTTCAGCTTAGCAAGTCACGGCTTATGATGAAGTTCCGGTGGCAAGTGGGACTAATACTTCCGCATTGCGCGATTTTTTCTTCAACCCACTGGATTCAACATGCTTTCCTTGTTCGTATATACCAATTATAGCTTGGCTTTAGATCCGCTCATGGTACTTCTCCGCGATGAGTATGGATCCTCGGGCTCTATAAAGCATCACTAGGTACTGAGCACTTGATCTGGCTTCGGAGCTCGTTAAATTTGATTATATCTTTGACTGCCGAATTATCATGGCGTCTTCAATTCCTCCTCGACTCAATGAGCTAGTCTCATACGTGCGCTCTCGCTCTCCTTATTACAAGTCTCTGTACGCGAATCTACCAACAGACATTGAGAACTTCGAGGCTCTCCCACTGGTTGACAATACCCTTTATTGGAATTCATCTAATAAGGAGCCCAATGGTGTGCTTACAGAGCCTTTGACAGATGCTGTCATTATGCGCAGCGGAGGATCTACCTCGGAACCGAAGACAGTTTACATGACGCGCGGAGAATTCCTAGAGACTTCTCAAATTAATGGCGAGCTCTTCGGTCGTGACTGTGGAATTCTGGCCGGTGACCGTGTTGCCAATCTCTCTTCTCAAGGGGGCATGTACTCGGGGTTCATGACTTACGGTTATACTGTGATGAACTGCTCTCTTCCGGTTGTGAACATGCCTATCAGTGGGAAGGAGTCACCTGCAGCTATTGAAAAGGATATTTCTCAATTTAAGGGCACAGTCATTATTAGCAATGTTTTCATTGCTACGAAGCTCGCAACTTATCTTCGAAGCAAGGAAGCTCAGCTTCCTAGCATCCGGTTGATCCTGTATACCGGCGAGTCTTTTTACAAAGACCTCAGGACTCTTTACAAATCTGCCTTTCCAAATGCTACCATAAGGCCGTTGGCATATGCGTCTGTTGAATGCAAGATTGTGGCATTTCCCCACTATCAACTCAACTATGCCAATGAGGACGGTGATATCAATCCTATCTACGAAGTTTGTAACAGGGCCGTTTATCTTGAGATAATTGCGGACGATGGATCCGTGATCAAAGAAAATGGTGTTCAGGGAAATATCGTGGTGACAAACTTGCTCAAGAGATTGCAACCAACTATCAGATACCCAATTGGAGATGTGGGTGAATGGGTTGATTTCCAGTCCGGTCATTTCAATTTGAAAGGCCGTAGCAACGTGGGATTGAAGATCGGCACAGCTCTACTGGATAGGAGGTTGATAAGGAAGCTTGTTGCTCAGGTAGTGGGTGATGGTGTCGTAGATAGCTTTCAGACGGTAATCCGGAGAAAGGATTCGTATAACATCTTGATTTTCAGGATTGCAGCAGAGGCCCCGTCAGACGCTGCATATATACCGCGGAGGCTTGAAAATGCCATTATTCATGGAAACCCAAGTTGGAGAGCAAATCGGGATGCTGGGCATATTGCACCTGTTGAGGTCGAATGGGTGCAGTTTGAGGATTTGGTGTTTTTGGAGGCAAGTGGGAAGCTTCGGGAGGTTGTTGATGAGAGATTTTAAGGAGCTTTTCGTTTTCTCACCCGCTCATGATCATAGCGACCAGAGGGAAAACATTCTCCTGGACCCATATTAGCCTTGCCCGTCTAGTACACCGCTATACTGTCTATCTGTAATGTATGATCTTCATAGATAGAAAGACAAGTAAGAAGACATGTGGAAACCCATTCTATAACCATAACAATATACCCTCAATACATATAAACATACCAAATCTAATACATACAGACAAGATAGATACATCCAAAACCAACAACATAAACAGAAGAATAAAATTAATTTACAACTCCGCTCAATCAAGTTCAAGTTCAGGCACACAGACCCAGCTACACCCAAATCGCTTAAAGGGTAAAGGACGAAGAGTCTCCCCCGAAGACCGCGGACGCTTCATTCCATTCTCGTGGGGGATAATATCCCACCATTCCAACCACTCTGTCCGAGGAATTATATACTCTTTTTCACAAACTGAACATGATTGTCCACCCGCTGCACGGATCTTCTTCACTTGCTGCATTAGCGGGATCACTAAGGCGGGAAAATCTGCTAGCTCTTCCTCGGTGAGGTGGTCGAGGTCTGGTAGTTTGCAGACAGCTCGGAGGGCAACTTCACGTAGGGACGGAGCGTTTGTGTTCCGTTGTGATTGTATACTGGGGAGTAATGGCTCTTCAACTGCCTTGCCTTCCATGTCTAGTCGTTTTGTTGGACTTGTAGCGACGTGGATGGCTGTCCAGGCATTTGGAGGAGGATCAGATGAATCGTTATATTCGGTGAATCGAGGTGCGTTGAAGAACGGCACAAGGTCACAATCAGGCTCGGAGTCATATTCATCATATTTGTCTTCTCTCTCTCTCAATGCCCAGTACCATTTTGCAACGTCGCAGGTTTCATCGAGGTATGGAAATGGGTTCGGGCGCGCGGTAAGGTGCTTCAAGTCGCCTTTGTCAAGAAGAGAAAGAAGTTCCCAGGGTAAAGAAACTAGACGATTGACCGATACATTTAGGACTTCGAGTGATGTCAATTTTTTGATTGTGGATGGGATCTCGTGGAGCTTGTTGTTTCGCACGCTGAGAACCTTTAGAGCGTTTAACTCGAAGAGTTCGCGGTGCAGTTGGATTAGAGAGTTTCCAGAGAGATATATACTCAGAAAAGGTTGGAGAGATGTATATGCGTTTTCAGTTAATGGGGCCTCTCTCAGGGATGGAAGCTTGGTTAGGTGTTGTAGTGGCTGAAGTAACCCAGATGGGATATTTCGTATATTGAAGTTTCTGGATGGCATTAGTTCAGATCAAAACCGGGCCCACCTTTCAATGAAAACAAAAGAAAACATACCCAAGGTCAACAACATCCTCTCCCTTCTCCAAACAATCATTAACAACAGACCTGGCGAAACGATGCTCCTCCAACTCATTCAGTCCCTTCAAAATCGGCAACGGTAGAACCGATGAGCCCGTCGCACTAACAGAAGCAGAAGCAGAAGACAATGAAGTCCCACTTTCACTCCCAATCCCAATCCCACCAGGTCCAAAACCAATCTTCCCCACCCCCTTGGGATCCAAAACAGTCTTCAACAAATCCTCCCCCCACGGCGAATCCTCAGAAGGCAAAAGCGACTCAGCGCCAGACTCATCACTCCCCATCCAAACACCACTATCCACATTCCTCTTCTCTTTAAAATCAGCCCTCTTCCTCTTCGGATCAACCACCTGCTCTCCCCACCAGGTTCCGCGATACCGCCGCTTTCGTCCTCCGCCCGTCGTCACGCCAGCATGGTAGTTCTCTAGTCCTGACGCGGGGATATCGTCGCTTGAGAATAGGGCTGGGTCACTGGATGGTTGACTGGATCGGTCGTCGAAACGGGAGAAGCGGCGCGTTTTACGGAATGATGAGGCGACTGATGTTGATGTGGATGGTTGTGTTTGTGTTGAGGGGTCTGTGTTTGCGCTTGCGACTCCGCGTGGTGATCTGTGTCGAATGCGCCGGGGTGGAGGGAGGGGGACCTCGGAGTCCATTTCTGGTGGAATTATAAAGGAGATCGCTAGATCATTCCATGTACTTTTGAGGCCTGGGGAATTAGGATGGATTGAATTGAAGTTGGGATTGTGGTTTGGTGGGTTGGAGATGCGACGCGTTGTGGAGCCCCGCGAGCTTGCGATGGTCAACAACGCGCGCGGAGAGTGAAAAGCTATATACTGAGCTTTACTGATCGAGAACTAGAGTAATTTCGGCGAAAAGCGATAGGAAAGAGAAAAGTATTAATTAGATCAGATGAAAAGGGGAAGATGAAATTGAATTGATTTTGGGGTTTATTCGTCATTATAGATAAGATCGATTGCAAGCCCGAATCAGATGCCACGCGTGAGCGCACGGCCGAGTTTATCAGTCGACCCCGGAGGCCACGGCTTGTCATATCCAGATCCACATCCACAGGAATGTTAGATCGGCGTGATCTTCTGATCTTCAATTACGTCAAATCTATATCTACGAAGTACTGTACGTACTTTATGTACTACTGTTTCCATTCAAGGTCTGAGATAAAGTTTGATGAGAGAAAAATAAATGGGTTTCATTTGGTGCTGAGAAAGCTTGAGCTGTAGCTCGGGCGCTGTCGCGCGTCCGCCCTGGGACGCGACAAACACGTCCCTTGCGTAGATCTGGACACTATACATCAAACACAAATATGAACATAGAATCGAACAATAGGGTGTTGAGAAGAAGACTGCGTCAAATCGTGTCCATCGTGTCCACGAGGAAGTCGTTATAAAAAAAGGGGGGGTATTCGAAAAACATAAAGCCGTTTCCTGATGTGATGTGTGTAGTATCTTCATCGAGGTTCTCCAGCGAACCGGCGCATAAAAAGTAAAAAAGTATATCGAAGTAAGAAGAGAAATTATAAATCCCAAATAAAATGTGCGTCGGCTCTGCTGGATACGAACGGCGAAGAATATAGAGGTGGGTAGTGCGTGATGGGTCCAATGAATGATGCGCATGAATATATTTAATGCGCCATGTTGGCGACAAGAATGATACTTTTTGCATGTACGTTCAGTGAGTTCGGTCGCGCATCTGTCCACCTTTCAATGATGGATGCCTAGGTGATTACAGAGCCGCGCCCATAATCATCGCGAAGGATCCAGCGACCAGAGCCGCGGGCATGCCAGCGCCCATGTGGGCGGCGCTACCGCTGGCGGTAGCAGAGGAAGCGGCTGCGGTCTTGGAAGCAGAGGTGGTGAGGGGAGTAGAGGTTGCGGTCACCATCATGCTTGAGCTGGGGGTGGAGCTCGGGGAGGGAGTGACCGAGTGGACTCGCATGAGAGTCTTGGTGATGGTCGTGGTGGAGTACGAGGTTGTCGTATCCGAGTCTGCGACAGCGAACTGGGCAGCTGCCAGGCAGAGGAAACAGGTGAGCAAGGCGGTGATTTGCATTTTTGCTGATTGATGATTTTCAAGTAGAATGTTCAGGATTTGAAAGTGGTTGCGACAGGTTTGTCTTTCTGTTGATGAGGTACTTTGGTCCGGGGATCAGAGTATCAGAGTGATGTTTGAGATTTGGGCTTAAGATGAAGCCGCGAAGTGTTTCAGAGTAATTGGATTGTAGTTTGAGACTTTGGAAGACTGGAGAAAGAGTAAAGATCGTGGGGAGAGCGCGGCTCAGATTGGGCAAGATGGCAGTATAAAGGAGTGTATAACGAGTGACTGGGGTGAATGAATGGGAAGGAAGAGTCTTCAAGGCGCCTACAAAGGGAAAAGGGAGAAGAGAATATGACAGGGTGCGGTATGCGCCCAGTCTAAATACCACGAGTAGTGGCCACTCTGAACCTGGGGAAGGGGGCCAGTAGAGCCCTGTGGCGCTTTCAAAGAATTTTCACTTTGTTTTTTTTTCTTCTTCTTTTATTAATTTCCTCATTTTGATTATTATTGTTTTTTTTTGCAATTTCAGGCTGCTGAACCTGTCGATCCTATTGGATGCAGTTCACACGCGAGTCTGGGACTATCCGAAATAGGGCAGACCAAAATCGAACTATGGAGTCCAATGGAGCCCACGCAATCAAAGAAACCCTAAGATTTGAACTAACGTCGACGCCAAGGGGTCTAGCTCAGGCACACGAACAGGGTCTGCATCGAGAAACCCGCACGGACTCTTGGGTACGAGCGTACATATGCGAGGGAGAATGGTAGCCATGTCAACATTGTACACCGCGTCATAGGGAGCTATTGAATGTAATTTCACTTGTCACCCGGTCATTGGTGATGATCTCAGTAGTAAATCACTTAATTACTTAATTGCCGGTACCTGAATTCAGGATGTGGACACGTCGTGGGCCGAAAGCGCCTGATGCCCCGGTGGTTCCAAGGAAACAACCGGAAGAACATAATAATTCGATTTATTACGGAATCTGTATTTTAGATGGAAAAAGGAGCCCCGAAAGAATTCCGGCCCCTGACCATTTTCCTCATTGTCCTGGTGGTCTAACCCTACTAGGGAAGAAATAAGCAAGTGAGATGGGGGCCCTGATTCCTACTAGCAAAATTGCCCCCGTAATCACGGGCTTTCGGCGTACACACTGTTTGGGGATTGTTTGGGGGTGGTTTTCAGAGACAAAACACTGTAATTTGAAATGACGATTTTCCCTCGGCATCGTGTGCTATTCGGTTGAAAGAAGACTTCCAAATCTCCAGGGCTCAGCGCTACCCGTAACATTACCCAGTGTGACCCCTGGCGTCATGGATGCAGGAACGAATAACACGGATCTCTTCACGGCTGGACAGTTATGATTCGCTCGGGCGCAGTGACCGGATTACCATTGAGTTGCCCTCAGTCACTTTGACTTGTTGCTCCAGGGCTTCAACGGTAACGACTGGATTGGCTGGTCACTGATCTAGCCGAGATTGGCTTCCAAAAAAATCTTTTTTTTTTCTTTTTCCTCTCTTAATTTGCCTCGTTCGGGTACAGACCGAAGTGAACTGATCTGACCCCACGAACCAACACACGCGCAGTTTTTCGAATACGGTCTTGGCTGAGCAAGTGGGGGAATTGGCTCAATGGGGCTCTCAGAGCGACTCAGAGGCTTGTGCCTGACCGGACCCAGGGAACCTCCCGCTCGCAAAATCACTGGATCCACCCGGTTATGATGATCGTCCTTTTCCCCTTCCTACCACGGGAATTTGTGTTGCGATCACCTGGTCTGGGGTGTTCGAAAATTCGACTGATCATCCTGCCCAAAGTTTGACCTTATTTCACCCTATCGTGATCGGATCTTCACCTCCTTACAGAAAGACGTTCGGGTGTTCTGTTTCCGTTCCACTGGGTCGGTTGAATACCGTAATCTCATTCTGTCTCATTGATGCGTTGTCAATCAAAGACAGAAAGAAGCTTTCAATTGGTAGAGGTAATGCAGATCATTGAGTCACTGTGCTTTGTACTCAGACCGCAAGTTGAGGTCGGTTTCCTTTTGGCCCAACTGGCTGTGGGTAGGTACCGGCCGGATGCTTGGTTGAGATTAGGAACCCTTACTACTATGTATAGGGGAACCTGTGCTTTTTTGTGGGCTCTGTATGGCTGGGATCGAGTATCTGGCCCCTCTATTAGTTAGGGTGAGGTTTTTTTGCCGGTATACCGCTTGATTCCCCAGAGTAGGTCTTTTTATTAGTTGAAGTGTAGATATATTAGGTATAGTTTATAGATTTATGTTTCACGTCAGGTTGAGATGAATTGGGCTAGGTATACTTCTAGCTCGAAGATCCCCACGCCGGAAAAAAGCCTATGGTCCCGTAAGGAATGAGGCTATCGTCGACGAATTTCCCTCTCCCCATCTTGTATTGATCTTACACACTTGTATAGCCCTGGAGATCGCGTTACTTACAAGTCACTCTATAAATATAATCAGTCTAAGTTTAGAGCATTCATGATGGCTGATATTCCAGGGGCGAAGTTTCCGCATACCGAGGCAGCCATTTACAACAACTTGGAGGCGAATGATCGGGTTACTCACACCTTCCAGGAGATCATTGAGCCGTTTGAAATTGATCGTTTTCATAAACCAACCATTAAACCCGCAACTGATATATATGTGCTTGTTCACCTCCACAATGGATGCCGAAACCGCGAATATAGGGACATGTTTGTTTGAAGCGAATGCCATAGTTTTGTCTTTGCTGTCTTGACTTCCAACTCACGAATCAGTATATTCGTAGTCATACCGTCAACAACTGGCCTCTAAAGACCCATTAGCGATGGGTAAGACTGAGAGAAGGGATTACAAGTTCAATATACATGGATGTCCATCAAAATCACATCGAAAACGTTCTTTTGCGATGAAAATGCGTCAACGCATGCTTCGCCATTGCTTGTAAAGAAAACTGTATGTCCAGCCATTTCGAGACGTTTCTTGACAACTTTATCATTTATTGGATCATCCTCTGCGACAAGAACGCGTAGTCTGCTGCCAACCGAATCAGTCGAAGGCTGGGAAAGTGGGAAAGTAATTAATGGCAGACAAGTTGTTGGAGCTCCCTGTTACCGCTGAGGATATCCATGATAAATATGAGTCAGTTCTCAGGCTTTGTGACCGGGATGAGGATTTGATAGTTGTACTCGAGGAATGTCGAGAATTGGTTGATCGAACCGAGTCGGCCAAGTCGGAATCTGACACATGATCCTCTGGTATCAATGATTCTCAACCAAATAAGCAATAGAATCGCTATTTGCCTTTGTCCACTTGTATGGGTATGGTTTGTTTGCCGTATCGATGGAAACTATAGACCGAAAGCCGCTGTAGAACGAAACAGAACCTATCGCCCGGGCGGGTTTATACTCGCGGGGCGTGTACAGCTATCCGTTTTTGCTGCGGGAGCTAAGCCTAAAATGAACCCCTATGTTGAGGGTTCAGTATTTTATAACCCAAGGTCTCAACGTGAATTTGTTTACATCCTCATGAGTCGTTTTACGTGTTAACTTTCATTAATTTTGGGTATTAGACAAATTGGTAAAAGAGAGCATATCAAGTAAACGAAGAATTACGCGTCAAAACACATTTCATGTCCGTGTATGGGAATTTGAAGAATGTGGCTGCAGCCTGGTGATATATATTCAAGTTTATCACAACTTGAACCCCCCCCAACCATCTTTCTTTTTACGCATCCTCGCCATGTCCTTTCTTCCCCTCAAAACATATTCTCTTCCCTAATCAACCCTTTCAGAGACATATTCTGAGCATATATTCAAAGTCTGGCTGATATGGCCAACGTTTCGAACCAGAGTCGCTTCCGAAGAGGGCTACGCTCAAGTGCAAGTCAAATATTGCCCACACCAGGCAACGGCCGCTAAATGCCCAACTTGAAGACCCCATACTATTCCACACGATGTAGTATGTCTGCAGTTGAAAAGCTCTTCAGCGTGTTTTTCGTTCTATTACCGCGACAAGTGAGCGTCGGTTACTATTGAGTTCGAAGTGCGATCCGCGATGAAGGGCAAGAGCATACCCCGCCATAAGCCTAGTCCCTGTTGATTCACCCTTTTCGCATTGGGTCTATGATACGATCAACGCAAGAAGAAGTGGGAAGCTGCCAAGCCGTAGTACCAGTATTAGCCCCTTACGTGGCCGCTGGTCGCCGCGGCGTTAACGGACAAGAGAGTATACAACGGAGTTAAAATGCAATCTCCGCCGAGGAGTGTGGTGACCATGAGCGAGTACCTATGGAGACGCCTTATCCGTACTGGATATGCGACACCTAGAAGTGATAAGTAGGCTGGAAACGCAGCTTCTAAGGGCAGCCCCCAACCACATCCACCCCATCCTTTTGCCCGGCTCTACTACTCCAGGTACCCTTTGAGAATGACCACATCGGCCCAAGATCCCTCCCTGCGCGAGACGAATTGGCCTGCTGTGGCTGGCTATGTCTCGACACGCAAGGACACCTATCCGTTCATCGATCCAGCCAAAGCCGACCTGACGGGCAAGTCGGTCTTGATCACGGGCGCCTCCAAGGGTATCGGCAAGGCGACCGCGATCAGCTTCGCCATCGCAGGCTGCTCAAAGATACTGCTGGCCGCTCGTTCGGACCTGGCCGACGTTGAGATAGCCGTCCACGATGCCGCCAAAAAGGCAAACCGACCCCAGCCATTCGTGCACTCTCTGAAGGTGGACGTGACCTCAGAGGACTCCGTGCGAGCGGCTGCAGAGACCGCGGGAGACATACTCAGCGGCAGCCTCGATGTCCTGATAAACAACGCGGGCTACCTGGAAGGGTGGAAGCCCATCGCCGAGTCCCAGCCGAGTGAGTGGTGGCGGACTTGGGAGGTCAACATCAAAGGCACCTATCTCGCCGCCCACTTCTTCGTGCCGCTGCTGCTCAAGTCGCAGACGAAGACGATCATCAACATTAGCAGTGGTGGCGCCCATGTTATGTTTCCCGGTGCGTCGGCCTACCAGACAACTAAGTTCGCTCTCTGCCGCTTCACCGAATTCATGGACCAAGAATACTACCAGCAGGGGTTGATCGCCATCTCGCTCCACCCGGGTGCTGTCAAGACCGAGCTGGCTATGAACATGCCTCCAGATAGGCAAGTCGTCCTGTCCGATACGCCGGAGCTGGCTGCTGACACGCTGGTCTGGCTCGCCCGTGAGCGACGCGACTGGCTAGCTGGTCGATTTGCCTCGGTGAGTTGGGACATGGAGGAGCTGGAGCAGAAGAAGCAGGATGTTCTCCAAAGAAACTTATTCAAGTTCCGTGCATTGATTTAAAATTTTTTTTCGAAGTTTGGGAGACTCTTGCAGCTTCTGATTTGGAAGAACACGCGGGAACCGCAAGGAAGTCTCATCATCTACAGCTACTTACTTTACTGGCGTTCCACACTTTTATCAAAGAGGATGTTGACGCCGCAATATTTAAAATACATCATAGTGGAGAGTATAACGCCACAAACGTAATACAAAGGCCCATAGTATCTACGATGACGTCTCTGGGATTGAACCACGTCGCACAACTAGGCCCTGCAATCGAGGATATCGCCTAGCATAAAGCAGGCATTTTCAAACCCGGAGCACCCGCATTTTCTATCGCACAGGAGGCTAGCCCTACTAAGGTCCTTCGGAAGCATGCCGCTAAGAGAAATACTACTTTGACTTTTATCTTGACTTTAGACTCACTCCCTGTCAACAGAAAGATACTGAGCAGTCCAGTGCAACGACTAAATTGCTCTCTAGCAATTCAGTTAGCTGGAAATTTTCTACAGCTTAAGGATCCCGGATATGAGCTAGATGCCAATAAAGTTTGCAAAGGCATCAATAATTTCTCATAGAATACGAGATTTGAGGTGATAGACGATAGGACCTCACAGTGATTCTTAGATAGTACATATAACGCACTAAATCTTAAGCAAGCTGCTGAGTGGTTCTCGAAAAACATTCACATTGCAAATATGCCAAAGTAAGTAAACTCTTCTCTTGTTTTCCCTCATTTACTCATACATGAAGACAAGATACCGCATTCTCATCTCCAGTCATTTCTCTGAAGAGCACAATAGAGTTAATCTAGTCAAATACCTCACGCATACACTTGCTAAGCACGATACTATTCCAAATCACATAATTTTCACGACTTACCATAAAAGAGAGGACGGAACAACACGAATAGGTGCGCAATGGACACTTGCAGTGACCAAACGTTGAGCTAATCTTTTATCAGACAAAATGTCAAAGGTTCCAGAGATACCCTTTCCAGATCTCTACAGAATTTACTCTTCGGTTTGGAAAGAAATCTATACTCATGCTATAATCTCAATTGAATCAACAATCGAGGCTACCATAACACTCATAGAAAGATCGAGTGTGCAACAAGGTGGCATACAAGCCTTTGTCACTTAAAATTTGCATTTAGTTGGGGGATCTCAATCTGTTACGGCCATAGAGTTCCAGTCGGGTTGAATTTGCTGTCTAGACCATCAATGTCTTTTTCAACAATACTAGTATTGGAAAAAAGTCCTTAAATAATTTAAGATATACTCGACTTACCTATAGTTTGCTTTTTGTGGATATCATAGGCTTCTAGTTTCATAAGCCCCATATCTTCGACATATATGCATCATTTTCAGAGTCAACTTTTTACCTTCTCATCCCCTTCCTGCTTTGCTTAAAAGCCTTTATCCAACATTTTTGCTCTCTATAAATTCTCGCCTAAACGCGTAGAGTCTTAGCTCCACTATTTGTCAATTGAATCCTAGGCGCAGGTCATGAACGTATCGAGATCATAACGCTGTTCTTTGAGCTTAGCCTAGACATGTTCAATATGCTTAAGATCTGGGGAAGAAGGCGACCAATCGTCAAGATTATACCATTCTCCCTCAACCTTTTCGTGACTATATTTTCTCTATGGATAGGAGCACTGTCTTGCATAAGAAAACAATTTGGAACTGGGTGAATGAGGGAAGTTCATACTTCAAAGCCTCCACATAAGATTGAAAATAGTAAACCTTTGGTTTGGCTCATTAATTACGCTCCACCAGTACAATCCCACTATGACCGCCGCGAAAAATGGAACTCCAAACCATTATAGACGATTGTTTGAAACGCCTAAGCCGTCGGCAGCCGTGGGCCAGCAGCGCTATACCCCCTTCATCACTAGCTCTGATTGGCCAATCTACTTTATGCTGACCAGTGGCGTATCGGGGTCAAGCTAATGACCGGAGATTGTATTTCGAAACGCGGTCACCTTTTTGGCTTGGTAGTAAAATCAGGTGATTTTGACGTCTGCCCAGGTGAGATACGTGCTTCTTCAGACACGATTCGGGACTTATTCAGGACAGAGAGGATCTCTGCCTCGGGCCTAAAGTTTCCTTCGAAACCCGTTACGCTAACCGCTTTCTACCATCCACAGCTGTCTAACTTGAAGTCTATCTCCAATATAGTTTTCAACATGGTTTTCAACTATTATAAAAAAGCAACTTGTGTTCAACTATTAGACAAAACCTTGAACAATTGTGTAAAAACAATAAGTGGGCAAAAACTATTTTTAAGTATACCCATTCAGACTCATAACGGTTATAAAACCTCACTACTACTCTAAAACTATAGTTTTGAAACACGTAGATCACAGTGGTAGAAAATACCCGAAGTGGGCCATGTAGTACGGCGAAGTAGTTAACAATTGGGGTATCTCCTGTTCGTTAAAGGCTTGCTTCAAGTCGTTTGCCTATTGGATACATTCCCCTTGATAGGTATTTGGCTTTATAAAACTTCAGTAGACCTCGGGAGCCGCCAAGGATAGTACTGATCAGTTTCAATCGACAAAGATCATTGGATATGCACACTAGTCCGTACTGTTGACTCGCCCCTGGGGACCGATTTAATAAAGAAACAGTGGGAACATTGATTAGAAGTCTGGATTTGTAGAATGTTGTTGAGCCAACGGTGCCAAGGTCAATACTGCGATTGAACGCATAAGGGATACCACTCTCGCAGTCCCAGACAGGACCGGTATATTTACATCACAGGCCGGATACTGTTTGAATTTTCCGCCTGACATTATCATTCAACAATCTTCCAGCCTCCAACACCACCCTGTCATCCCAGGGCTTCGAAATCGCTCAAATACTCTTCATATCGTACAAAATGCATCCCCTTCGATCTGATCATATCGCATGTCCCTCGGAAATCTCCGGCGCGGGAACGGCGAGCTTATTGGCGCACAGGGCGCAGGGGGCTTTGCCGGGGAAGCATCATTGGGGGTCCCTGGGCGCGGAGCCAAAGGTCGTTGTGAGGTCCCTCAGAACGGATCACGCTACCGATGGACATGAAAAGACTGTGAAAGAGTGCCCAAGTTAGGTTGATGTTTTGAAGAACCAGTTTGCATTAATCGGACAAGAAGGTAGGAGCAAGGGGGAGGGGAAAACATCAATGGCACTGCTTACCCAAAAGTCGCGCCTGAACCCAGCATGTACTTGCCCAGAGTTCGCATCACACCATTCGGGCCAGCGCCATATTGGAAGATGGCGACGGTTCCTGTGTCTGGTAAGCTCTCTGACCATGTGATACTCAGCTTGAGATATGGAGCTCAGTCTAACTTACCACCAATGAAACCCATAATGCCACCGACAGCTAAGATAATTGGATGTTGCGTTAGTTTCAAGCTCTAGGTAATAGACATGCGAGGGTTTCGTGGTCGCGTACTAGAACCCATCAAAGCTCCCATTTTCACTATATCATAAGTTAGTTACTTATTCATTTCCATATCAAATTCATCCCGTTGTGGCGCATGGATCTAGAAGCCTTGAATGACTTACTCTTGTCGATTGTTGAAGGGCCTGCGGAAGGACCAGCGACAACAGGCATTTTGGCGAGGGAAAAAGAAATATGGGATTTTTGGAGCGTGATAGACAAAAAAACCGACACCTCAGATTGGTGAAAATCTTTGTAGCAAGGTCCTAAGACGTAACCTGGGCATAAACGTTCGGGAGCTTTTTCAGATGGATGGCATCACTTGTTCTTCTCCGCTCTATGCACGTGACCCCAACGGGGCCACACGTGTGGGTCACGTGGTTCATGCCTGGGGCGTCAACCGTGGAAGGGAGCAGGAGACGCTGGGAGACTCCTCTTGATCCTGGAGTTGTTGTTACTTATGGCCAGCCATCCCCTTTTGAATTCTTTCTTGTTATATTGCTGATAGGGTGGCCTTCAGCCCGTGGCAAGGCGGCAGATCCGTCCTGTGTTTCCCCCATTGTCCTGGGACGGTGTGAAACACTCGGTCGCTGCTCACTTTTCGGCAAGACCTCACACGCCTCCTTGGCCTGGAGCACTGACTCTACTGTTTTGCAAGTGTGTTAAAACTGTTCCGAAACTATCCAGAACGGGTAAGTCTTCCATTCCAATTTGCTTGCCACTGGCCAGCGTGCCAGCCCGCGCCTCACGAGGGACTGGGAGAGGGCCGTTTAATTGTTCGAGTTGACTCGAGGCGCTAACGCGACCGACTTGGAGTAGCCGGCCGAACCAAAAACAACTACCCTGCAACTGTGCTCAAAGTGAGCTCTCGAAATTCAATACGTGACCGGAAAATCTAGAAGTTCTACCGTCATCAAAGCCCGCTCATCTTCCCACCAACTTACCACCTGCGACCGTGACTTCCGCCCCGTGCATTCATCGCGCTGAACCTACTCGTCGGCCTCCTTCTCCATGACTGCGGTAGCATCTCCTCCTAGTGTGGAATCGGGGTCTCGCTTGGGATGGTGCAACACTGGTAACGGAGGACAAGGCACTCTGTCTTCGGTAAACGACGAAGTATCCCGCATGTTAATGCAACGGAAGCCTGTTCAGCGTTCAAACTCCTCATCCTCGTTGGTGTCGACCTCCTCCACGAATACTGTGACTACTTCGCAAGATACCCATGCTGGCCAAAGTTCAAACGGCGAAAATACTTGGTCATCAAAGAAGAAACCTACTCGAAGCCTCTGGCCTAGCTCTAAGTCAGAGCCTGTCGCGGGCGTTACCAACGCGCGATCTCAGGCCGTCCCTGCATTCTCGGCAGGGCCAACAGCAACCTCCACCATGTCTGCAATTCACCAGCCGCAGTCTATAGTGCCATCACAACACATGCTTCAATCACCGCAACAGAATGGCATTCGCCAGCAACCTAATGGACAGTCTGCAGACCCACCGGCCATTCTGGCCCTTGTACCGCTTAATGGAACGTTTGAAAAGAAACAGATAAGCGTTCCCTTTTATCCAGAGGTTCTCCGGATAGGTCGCCAGACGAATGCGAAGACCGTGCCAACCCCTGTAAATGGCTTCTTCGATTCTAAGGTTCTCTCTCGGCAACACGCCGAGATATGGGCTGATAAGACTGGCAAGATTTGGATTCGGGATGTAAAATCATCCAACGGTACCTTTGTGAATAACCAGCGACTATCGCCTGAAAATCGCGAATCCGAGCCCCATGAACTGCGCGAAAACGATACCTTGGAATTGGGAATCGATATAGTTAGCGAGGATCAGAACACCATTGTTCACCATAAAGTCTCGGCCAAAGTCGAGCATGCGGGTTTATATGGGACTACACCCAACATCCTTGATCTTAACTTTGGAGACCTGGACCCTGCTTCCGGGGGTGGTTTACTGCCATCACCCCTGAGCCAGCCTTTGTCGCATCTTAGAGGAAGATCGGGTAGTAATGCGAGCAACCGCAGTGCCCAAAGCGCTGCGAGTACTCAGCTTAATGCCATGCATCAGCAAAGGCAGATGAACTATTGGAACTCCCCTATCTCTGTGGAACAAGTTGTCAAGAGATTAACCGTACGTGGCCTTTCCCATATCCCTAATTACGACAATGGATTGCTAATATGATGATTTCAGGGTGAATTGAAACAAGCAAAACAGCAGTCTCAAGATCTTCGTCAAACCGACGACTTTTTAACAGCTATAATGAAGCCCGGCTATGCTGAGAAAGAAAAAGTCGTGAAACCCACATCCTTTGATAGCAATGGTCCTCGTCAATTGAACGGGCGGCCTAAGATGCCTCGTGTCGACTCTTTCTCCAGATTCTCAGATCCTCCTGCCCCTCCTCCTCAACAACCTCTTCCCGAGAAACCAGATGCTCTTCCGCGCAATGGTTCAGACTCTTTCTCGCCTTTGAAGCGCAGCGATACGGAAAAAACAAAACCGGCTGCTACAAGCTCTCCTGTATCGCGAGACTCGAGCCAGATTTTATCTCTTATAGAGGCACTTTCATCGGCCAAGCGTGAGATCGATACTCAAGGTGCCCGTGTTAAAGAACTCGAAAGCCTATATCTCCTGGAAAAAGCCGCGCGCGAGTCAGCCGAAGAGAAAATAAAGAAGTTGGAAATGATCCCGACGCCCGAAAACGACGAGGCAATTGTCGACGAAGATGACATTGATGAGGAGGCTGGAGCCAAGTCTCAACAAACCAATATTGATTCTGAACATGCCCAACAACCCAATGGCGTCGTTGTAACCCCCGAGGGTCCCACGGATCCCATTGCCGATCAGCCAGTGTCCTCTGTCGAGGTGGATACCACAAAGCTTGAGCGCCGCTTGGAAAGCATGGTACAAGAAATGGAAGAGATGCGGCAACAGATGGCCTTGTTCAAGGAGCGTGCAGAGAAAGCGGAGGTGGAGAATGTTGAGTCGCGTTCTTCTCTGGCGGAGATGATCGAAACACTCCGTCGAGAACGTGCCGAGAAAGCTGCTGCTACGACTTCCGAGTCTAAGCCAGAGCCTCAACACCAGGACAATGATCAATCAAAAGCCAGTGCTACCGACAAGCGTCCCCCCGAGAATGGCGCCGCGAACCCTATCAAGAAGGGTGAATCTCTGCAGAATATAAATTCAGATTCTTCGAGCAAACAGAACGCGGACTCTAGAGCCGCAGCTATGGCTACGGAATGGCGCCAGCGCAACCTTCTGCACGATTCAAGTCCTTATGCGTCCATGTTTGGCGTGGTTCTTATTGGGGTTGGCATAATGGCCTATCTTAATGGGTGGCAAAAGCTGGACAAATAATTGCATTTTTTGGCTGCCTTTTGTCTTCATGTTTTTGACACTAATGATTGTCTGTTCTCTAAAAGTCGGCGCCCCGGAATATCCCAGCATGACTCCTTTTTCTGACGACATGATTCCCCTGTATTTCTGGGCCTGGACCGCAGCCGCGAAGCACCTAGCTGCTTGATTTCCCTCGGGAGCTCGGTTTGGTGCTCCACTTGTGATATTGCATACGTCGCATATTCTTTGTCTTTCTCTCTTGTCTTTCTGTCTTATGGTTTTTAGCCTTATTTAGTTCGCGTCAATTATGATCCTTGACGACGGATGTCCTGATCCTTTTCAAGCCCGTTGGATACTCTTTCCTTTCATCTCTCTAAATCCCTGTCTCCATACTCTGTGTCTCATCGGCCTAGCCTACAGTCTTTCGCCTTTCCTAATTTCTGTTTTGTTTATTACCAGCTTCTTCTTTGGGGTCTAGGTAACTAATCCCTTTTTATCTGTACATGATTGAATTACCAGGGATATGCTCATGACCCCGACTGTTTTTGTAACTCACCGAAGGATTATTTCATTTGGCATTCATGATTTGATTTCCAACACTGACCGCATATTATCCAAAATGGTTTGAAGTAGTTACTACGTAAACTATACATAGTGAAAGCGAACTAGTAAGGCAGCGGTGAATTGCCGATAGATCACAGAGAGTAGTTGAGTTCTCAAATCAAATGTCATTTTTTAACTCGCAAACTATAAGACAAAAAACTACATGAGAAAGGCGACCAACTGAAAAGCACCAAGGGCATAGATTAACAGCTCAATTGCCTCGCTGATCACTCATAGCTTTGTTCTCGTAATCCGAGCTGCGGACTCTGGGGTCAAGCTTGTTCAGAAGATTCGAATTGTGAGGTCCAGAGCTTCGTCTTCTTCCAGAACTAGTTGAGTTGTAACTACTACCACCCGCTGCAGCACCGCCAAAGCCTTGCTGTCCAGTTTGCTGGTTTAGCTCAGAACTTCCCCGATTTTCCATTTGATTGGCCATATTGGAGCCCGTGTTATTTGCGCGGGTGTTGTAGTCATGTGTGCCACCAGGTTGGACATCACCCATCGAGCCGTAGTCGGAAGTGTATTTTTTGGATTGATCCATGGAGTCACCGTATGCTCCTCGATTACCTGTTTAAAGAGAATATTAGCACGAAATACTAACAGGGGCCGGACAATAAATGCTATCTTACCCATTCCCTTGTCCATCTGCTTGGTAGCCTGTGTCTCTCGGCCGCTGGTGTTCAGGTTGCCTGAGCCATAGCCCCCGGAAGTTGTTCCATATGAATCAGCTGCAGTGCTGGCACCATAGTTTCCACTATGGGTATTAGCACCGTAGTTCCTAGAGCCAACATTGGACTGCTTGTAATTGCTTGAATCCCCAAGAGCTCCGTGGGTAGGCTCAGAGTTCAAATTCTTTGCTCCGTAGGCATCAGAGACAATCGGCTTTGAGGTTGAGTGGCTGTTGTCATAGCCTTGGGTCTTGTTGGTTGACATTCCGGTGTTCGCAGAATTGAAAGTGTCATTACCCAGATTGGAAGATCCGTACGCATTGGCAGTGTCTTGTGAATGTTAGTTCCATTGAACTTTGAGGATTTTCAATTTACTAACTGTCCATCTTGTTGGCACCATAGCCAGTGGATCCGTAATTAACGGTCCCCATATTAGACGAATCATAGGTATCTCTGGCGTCTGCAATAGTGATGTGTCAGTGTTGCTTTTGAAATAGGAAGACGCTTAGACTTCAGGGCTGATATTTTGTGTGATGACCAGTGGAGCCTTACCTTTGTAGGGTTCAGTGTCCATGAGCTTCGATTTGTCGTGACCAGCATCGTGAACCTGGGCATTCGAGCTCTTGTTCATGCCCGTATTGTCACTGGAATTGTATGTGTCGCGAGCCTCTGTGATATGTGTAAGTAGCTAGATGCGTGCAAAAAATCCAGAGAAGAGAAATGGAACGAGAATGATAGCCTACCATCCATCCTGCTCGTGGCATTCGAGGATTCCTGAGTTGATCCTTTGTTTCCAGACTCATGATGACCAGTAATGGCATCTTTGACCTTGTGCATCAAGTTCGACATTGTGAGATCGATCAGAATGAGGTACTTTTAACCTAGAATTTGTTGAAGAAATGTTAGGCAAGAGAAATATCTTTTGGAAAACCTGGGGGGATTTATACTTTGGAAGCCTACGGGCCTTCGTGTTAATTGCTTCGCTGCTTCCAGTAATCAATGACGACATTAGATAAGGTGAACAACCCGGCCATGAACCAACGAAAGGAAACTAAGATCTCATTCTCTTCCACATGGATTGTCATGACGTGCCATTGGCATGGGGAAGAAAGGCGGAGTTGTGTGTACCAAGGGACTAAATCGAAGCATTCATCAATGTCATTGGGCCCCACTTATACATGCTCCGGATAGCGAAGGATAATATCGCCACTTGCAACAGAAAAGCGCATGCGGCTTCTAAAGGTATAGTACATATACCACGGTCGGAGTGAGATAAAATATATTAAAGGTCTTGTTGGCGTATCAATAGCTCAACCTTATATGCAGTTTGCAGAGATGAGTTGGTAGTGTGAACCCTCTAAAGAATGGGATACTTTTATTTCAAACGAACTTGAAGCCGGGGTCTCTCTGACTACTCTAGTCATCAATGTCCTCCATTGCTTGCAGAACGCCACCTGCTAAGGCCCCTGGTACTCCATACATAGATTTACTGACACGAGTTCAAACTAGATCATACTATGTAAGACTCTAGATGTAGCGAAGCTTATTATGTCATATTTCAGGGTAGAATTTCCAGTATTTAGTAAGGGAGAAAATTATGTATAGAATTTATGATTGTTTCTTCCCAAAATCTACTCAACTTGGGTGGGTACATGTTAAGAAGTTGGGAGTGGACTAGAATGTCACTATGTTTATACTCGAAGGCATGGGCAGTTTTAGGTGGGGAGGACGGGATAGTATACATCAATTGATAGGAGGAACATTAGCTGGCACTCGGACCCGCAAGCCCCGCGACCCCGGACGATCAGGTGGAAGGATCAGGTGATCCTACGGTTGTTATGCCTCAGGAACCAACCACATGATAATGCCGTCACGCTCTCCTTCTCCACTTGCCCGACGTTCATCACTGCCTCCTCCCATCCCCTATTGAGAATCTCGCTTTCTTTGTCGTCGAGATTGTTGTCTAGGAATACTAACTGTGATCCTTGGTTCTTTTTGATCTGCGGTGCTGCTCATTGTCCCCGATGAGTGGCCGCCTGCTCGCTTGCCGCCAACGGTTGGATTGGTAGAGATTCCGATCCGTCAGCGCTGTCATACAACAGGGTTCCTAGCATTGTCTTTCGACCCCTCGAATACAGATTTTCCTTCACTTCAAACTTATATTCTTTGTTTCTTTCAAATCCCCGCTGTTCAACGATTTGCCGGAGATGCGACCGCCACGCCTCCTTCTGGTTCTCTTCTGCCTAATCTTCTTTCCCATTTTCGTCACCTTCTTTTCCGCGCTTTCATCATCCAATGTAGCCAGTCCTGATACACTCGGCGGCTCGGCGTCCGGATTACACGCGCTATTTTCCTTTAATATACCAACTTCGCTTTTCCCCCCTTCAGCGATTATCAGCTTAACCGATGACAACTCGACTTTCTTCTTAGCCCGCCCCGCCGCCTTCGGCCCGCTGCTGCCAGGAAAAAGCCTTAGTGGCCAGCTTTGGGTGGGAAGTGGATTTGGTGCAGGGGGGTTGGCTGTTGGTGTCGAGGGCGAGTTGGGTTGCTCTGATATTCCCGGCTGGGGCGAAGGGAGCGGCCACAATCAGCCCGAAATCCTCCCCAGGGGCACAGAGCAGAAAACAGGCAAATCAGGAAGTGGTACAGCAAAAGAGGGGAATGTGTTACAGAACTCTCGATCGCCAATACAACCAGATACCCGGCAGAATGAGAAGGGCGATGCTGCAGTTTCCCACTCATCGAGCGACGGCACCGACGACCATCTTCACCATCCCTTGTCGGAATCCAGTGCATCGGAAGTTGGAACATCCCAAAAGACTGGAGACTACGTTCAATCCAAACAGTCTATGCATGCAGACATCCAGTCATTACAAGAAACTGCCGAGATCCAGGGCAAAGTCGCGTTGCTGAGTCGAGGTGGATGCGGATTTCTTGAAAAAGTGAAGTGGGCTCAACGCCGAGGAGCTGTAGCATTGATTGTTGGCGATGACACTCGCGGTGGGAGCTTGGTTACCATGTACGCCCGAGGCGACACGTCCAACGTTACAATCCCTGCCCTGTTCACTTCTCATACAACTGCCCACCTTCTTTCGTCTTTGATACCAGCCCATGCCGCCTCAAGTGTTGGATTAGATGAGACAATGAAGTCTCTTGCAGCAAACTTGGCTGGTCAGTTGAATGCCGATACTCAAAAGGCGACCACGACCACTGCTGCGGCGGTCAGCTCGACCCCCTCGTTTACAAAAGCCTCTACAAGCAAGGAGCGACCAACCGCTGCCGTGAAGTCCGGCGGTGGCTTTTTCCGTACTCTGGGATCTATCTTCGGGATATGCAATAAGTTTGGTGGCTCAAGCATCGAAGATAGCCGGCGTCCGCCCAGCAGTGGTAATATTGACTGGATGACCGGGGATATAACCGAGGCTCAAGTAGAGCGAACCAAAGGCTCGCTAACATTTGGTTCACGGGATCAGGGCAAATCCAATGATGTTCCGGTTGGTAATAAACCTGGGCTTGTCGCAGACAGCTTTGAGGCCGACAGTTTTGTAATTGGGGTTCAGGACTGGAGAGATCCTGATCTGATGCCCCCACGAAGCAGTGATATACTCACACATACTACTTATACGACTGGGAAAGATGCATCCAAGACATTTTCTCCAGAGTTGGATGCAATTTCCTCCAATGCTTTGCAAGGGGGTAGCATTACACCTGGAAGTGGAGAATATCAAAGCATTGACAGGAGTACCGGAAAGTCCCACGATGCGCTAATGAAAGAATCCGAGAAAGACATTCATAAAAACACTCAGAAGTCCGAGTCATCTGGAAAAAGTTGGTTCTCTAGTCATTTTGGTTGGGGTGATGACCCGAAGCCAAATGTCGAACCTTCTACTTCCCCCTCAGTTCAGACTGTTGTCACCAATCAGAAGAATTCTATTGCAGCACCTTCAAGTCGTCCGGCGACCATGTTCGCCGAGCATGAAGGTCTCTGGGTGACCCTGACTCCGACTAGCATGTCGACAAGCCCATTTTTCGACACACTTCTGGTTCTTGTGATCAGCCCGTTGTTGACTCTGACAGTGGTGTATGCCTTGTTGCTGCTCCGATCCCGCATGCGTCGACGCCGCTGGCGCGCTCCGAAGTCCGTTGTAGAACGTCTTCCCGTTCGAACCTACCACACAATCTCGGCTAGTTCTTCATCCTCCAGCTCTCCCCGACCTTGCAGCCCCGGGGCGGCCCTGCCGACATCTCCCCTCCTTAACAGTGAACGTCGACCTAGCACATCTAGACTATCCTGCTCGCGTTCTCAAACCATTGCTGGCGCAATACCGGAAGAGAAGCACACAAATATACAGTCAGGCTCAACTTTATGGCGAAGCAAGTATACTGGAAGACAAGTCGAGTGCGTTGTCTGCCTTGAAGAGTACATTGATGGGCAGAGTCGAGTGATGAGTTTACCGTGTGGTCATGAATTCCACGCAGAATGCATGTAAGTTGAATTGTCAACCGTTGACTAGCACTTGAACGTATGAACTAATGACATCAGCACTCCATGGCTTACTACTCGTCGACGAACCTGCCCTATATGCAAGGGCGACGTCGTTCGCTCGATGGCACATTCGCAGGGCGAGGATAATTATAACCAGAATGAACAAAGTGATGCCCTTGGCAATACAGAAGTAGCGTCTTCAGAAGATGCATCGTCTGCACCTCTTCTCATTGCAGGCATCAACGATGATTCTTCTGATATTGAGAATCACCCCGGCCCTCTTGATGGTCGCTCAACCTCTGCACCCGCACGTCAGTCAAGCTGGAGAAATTTAGCTTCGCTCAGCCTCTCTGCCCTTAGCGGTGATACGATCTGGCACCAAGCACGTGCTGATCGGAACCGTTGATTACTCCACCCTGCTTTCTCGTGTTTCTTCTCTTTCTACCATTCTACTCATCCATGAGTGCAACTCAACCTGATTATTTTGCGCGTGATGTATTAGCGATCGTTTGATTCCCTTATGACTTGTCTCTTTTCTCTCTCTTTTTTTATGTGTGGCGTTTGTATGGGTACGTCTCGGGGTGCTGGGTGGTGTTGTAAAGCATCCGTGAGCAATGTGAAGCGGCTGGGATATACCGCAGGTCGATCGTTTCAACATCTCTTTTCTTCGGTGGACGGAATACCCATGGATATCATGGATTGGAGGTTTTGCTTTTACTTTTCTACCACTAAGGCTATGGGTGGCTGATCATGTTGTCTATCTTGGATTTACTCTGGCTACCCAATGCAAGCATAGATCAGTATCTCCGTCTATAAAAAACCTTCAGAATGTTCCACTACTCTCAGCTTCTCTCCCTATCTACTTATCTATCTCCTCTCCATAGCAATACCGTTAGAGATCTCCCCAAATACTTGCAAAGCATGGTCAGACTGGTCACGAATTAGACCTATTCGAGAGACCATATCAGCCCCCAAAGGAAGAAATCGCTCTTCCTCGCGTCCAGCACCGGCCCCTTCGCCAACAACAACCTCGTAAATGGCCTTTGCAGCCTTTCCCTTATGCCCATTGCCCGCAAATTTTCTGCCTCTGATTGCCTCCATCATCTGCTCCGCAGCTGACCCCCGATAATCATCAGGGACCGGACCCGGCAAAACTGGAGAAACGTTTCCGATATTCGTATTGAGAGTCCCCAGCCACACTGTCAAAGGACGGATATTGAAGGAGGAGACCTCCTTCGCCAGAACACGAGTAGAAGCTATAGAGCACAGTAATGTTAGCGTAACTATCATGAAAAGTAATGAACTCTGAAATCTTACCATCAAGGGCCGCCTTCGCCGCAGCATAAGCGCCCATACTACCATTACCATCCAAGGCAGCCCCAGAACTAATGTTCACGATAACTCCAAATCTTCGCTCTCTCATTCCCGGTAGCACAGCGCGAATAAGTCGCTGCGGGCCAAAGTACAGCGTCTCCATTTGACCGCGCAGCCCCTCGTCCGTGAATTGCTCCAGCAAGCCAAAATGAATCACCCCCGCGTTATTGACTAGTATATCGATAGAGCTTCCGGACTTCGCAAGGGTTTGAAGCAGTGCGCCCGGAGCGCTTGGGTCGTCCACGTCCAGTGCATGCCATTCTCCGCCATGTTTCTGGACTTCGTCGACTAAATTGGGTGTTCGGGCGGGATTGCGCGAAGTGGCGATCACTTTGTCTCCGTTGGCTTGAGCAATACGGGTAAGCTCAAGACCTAGCCCGGAGGAACAACCGGTGATGAGCCAGATTAAGGGACGGTTGGCTTTGGTATAGGTAGACATCGTTGAGTCTCAGTGGTCGGATAAATTTGAATGATGTGTGTAGATTTGGAGTTTAAAGAATCGAATTTTGTCAAATTTAAGCTGGAAAAAGGTGTTGGTGATGGCGTAAAACATCCCGATCTTCTTGACTCTTTCTACCTCTCTCCTTGGAGTCGGTTTCCATGTCGGCTTGTCTGTCTGGTGCTAACTCCGTATAGTTGGAGAACATGGAAATAAGGTGCTCGGGCCCTAAGATTGAAGCGGAGATTGAAGCGGACCTCGTTGGAGTTGACTTGTATGATTCGTTGATATAAGCGGGTCAGCGACGCAAATTCCCTTGGCACCCAGACCTACCCCAAGCCTCCATGTTGAAGCTGGACTTCTCTTTGTACTGTCCGGTCCCTAAATCCGGTTGGGATTGGAGTATCATGATGATCAGTCGGCGGATAGAGACTCTCAATGGGGAGCGCCCATCGGGGGATTGCAGATATTTGATTTTCAACACTTTGGCGTATCATATCGTGTTCAGGAGTTGGGGTCTTGAGATGGCCAAACCGTGAGGTACAGAACCAATGCCTCAACATTGGGAGATCAAGTCGATCAAGCAGATTGAATTAATTCCCCATGAGCTTGCGGCAAATTGCATATACCCCCCGTCGTTCTGTAAGAGCGAGAGCGTATCACATCGCCAAGGGACCCGCTTAGTCGCATATCCGGGTCATCCCTAGCCTGCTTAGAGGCTGATCGTTCGTTTGACTTCAAAGTTTGTTGTTTGCTATCTTGACGGTATCATCAACGACATGATAGAGGCAATCATCTATAACCGACTGATTTATACCCACGGCTTCACGCTGAAAATTCAGGTGCTAAGAATTCAGGTCGATAATCCAGCTTGCCGCTTGAAACCTCTCGCGATCCTTTCTTTCCTTCTTCCCTATCACTGCCCCTCAATTTCTCCATCTGCCCACGTCCTCATAAGCATTTGAGACTGGAAGACAACGTTTGCTAGTGTGTCCATGCAGAGAATATCGTGCACCTTGCCATGTGAATGGCATATGTAGTAGCACCGGGGATGAAGCGTCAGAGACAGCTGGCAGCTTACCTTTGTGTAGCCTGCTCTCTCCCATGCGACGGAGAAGAAAGAATCTCACACGAGTCTTTCAATATTTCTCCGATTAAGTTTCATTGTGAGTAGAAGGGTGCTAGGAACCTTCATAATCCTCGCCCGTGCAGCGTACTGTGTGCATATTTGGTGTGGCAAGAGCGGCGTTACAAAAGATAAAGGGTCAGAAACAGCTGGTGACTCGCTTTTGTGCAATCTGACTTCTCTCTAGTAACGGGGAAAGGAAAAAAGTGAGTATTCCGGGATGTATCCTATAAATCTTGTCGTTGTGGTTAAAATGACGCTAACATTTTTTCATGGATAGCATAATGCAGCCTTCCACATGGATAACACATACAGCAGCACTGGCATACATACGGTGAAGTAAACAACATCAACAAAGGCTAGTGGTTCCCCTTTCAAGTTGTACAACTTGTCTTCTCTCCAGCAGTTCAGAAAAGAATGGTGACTCTTTTATATTGTGCTCGATGAAATTCGTTGTTGCGATCAGACTTTGTTTCGGGCCCTAGAGGTAGAATTGGTTTTGATATGTTAACACAATACCGCCTGGTGTATGTGACTACACCCTACCTATACAAACTAATTTCACTGCAGGGAATTAGAGAGGTACATAATACTAAATATACTGGGTTTTATATGGATATCTTCTATCAAACAAGCATATGCACCAAGCTGACTGGTCTTTAGTGAACCGATCCGAACAACACCAACTGAGTTTCAAGTAGATGCGCCTACGAGAAAACCCCTTTACTAGTCGTGGCGAATCGAGATTGATATTCACTAATAGTGAATGGGTATTGTATTGTATCGCCGTTGTTAGTTATTCACGCCATGAACTAGTTCACGTGGCTTGTTGCCTATTCTGCTTCCTGTGTGTCCCGTTTCGGGTTCTTTGAAAAATAGTGACCCTCATCCTTTCCTATAGTAATAGGCCTTGTTGGCATCACCCGGCCAATACTCTCTAGTACTGAGACTACTATATCTGGATTGATTCCAATATCTAAGATGGGTATAATAGGCTGATATATTTCTATAGCAAATAGATAGCGTTTCAGACTACTACCTTAACATATAAGACTCACATAGACGACAATTGATGTTCCCATAGAGATAGCCATCGATACTAACTATACTAACTGTATGATAAATAGCCCTATAGCCCGATCTAGAACTAGAAGGGTCACCAGATCACGAGTGAATAGAAGCCCGTCGAAAAGTGAGTGCAATTTAGTATTTTCTCGCGTTGAATCTTCTCTCGTTCCCTCACTTCCACAACTCCTTCTCTCATACCCTTCCAAACTACTATTCTTCCTCTCTCCAACGCGTCCGTTTGGTTGTCTCACGATATAACCCACATTTGCGCGTTAAAAAATATGAATCCTCACTCTCACCAGCGGAAACGCCCACCTCCCGGGAATAGGAAGGGACTAAATGCCGTTGTGAATCAGCAGAACACGCCATATGACCAGTTCGACTATCAAGCAACAAACCGGATTCAAAGCCCCCCACCTGTTTACGTTGCAGGGGACTTCGAAGATCGTCCATGTCATGGTCATTCTGCGCAGGAACTCTCTGTGTCAGAAGTATCTCCGTCTGTTGGCGGATGGGGTACTACTCACACCCAACAACCCTCTGACTCGGTGGCCCATCATCCACCCTGGAATTCTATTTGGACACCCGATTATGGGGTGTTGAGCTCGTATCAGATCCCCCCTCGAGAAGTCCAACTTCCTCCCTTGGACCAAGCCCTGGGAGAGGCATGGAGACAACGCGATCCATTCGCTGAAGGCATTGAAGGTATGATCCAAACCTACAAAATCCAGTGCATGAAGTGGCCCCTGTTCTAACCATCACATCAGAAACAATGAGTCCCATGCCAGCTCAAGTGCTGGCTGCAGGACCAAGGAGGGTTCAGAACTATCCTTACGCGACAGGTCCTCAGCCGTACGTGGCACCGGTCTCACGCGTTTCGCGAGAGATTTATCACAATCGTGATAATTCAATGAGAAGGGGCCCGCGAATGATTACTAGCCTTCTACACCCAAATTCCCGCAGAAACCACGTGCCGGAGTCGAGCCATTGTCGCTCGGGTAGCTCTCTTAGCCGTGAATGGATGCAGGATCCTCCTCTGAGGGATTTAGAAGAGCCCCCTCAAAACGTCTCTACTCTCATGGCAGATGCCCCGCTATTTTACCCCGGCCAGATCCAACACGGTCTCTATCCCCTTCCCGCACCCTCCGCTTACGGCAGCCAAGGCCAATGTGGACCTCCCCTGATGGCAGGGGCTTCGTCAGTTTATGGAGCTCAACCCCAGTATGGACCTTCCGTCCTGTCAGGCGCTCTCCCAGCTTACGACGCCCAGTCCTATGATGATTCTCCCCAGGAGAATCGAGTTAGTCAACCAGAAACCCCAAGAAAGTTTGATGGTGGCTATGACTATGACGAATGGGATAAATATAGTGAACGCTCTGCTGACTATTCAGGTGACTATTCGGGTCGCTATTCTGGTGATTATTCGGATCATCATTCGGATAGCTACACAGACGATTCTGTGTATTACTGCCCGGCCAATGTTCGGGCAAGGGGATCAGGCAGCCGAAATGAACACCGACGCCGTCGTAACAATATTTTGTTCACGATGCCTGGAATGCCTACCGGATGTAGTGCTCTTTTGGTAGTCGGCGCCATCCCAGACACTCCCTTTTGGGAATACCCAGGAACTGTGGGCGTCATACGAGCACTGGCCCCTGACGTAGAAACCTCGCGATCGGATTTCCATCAAGGAGAGAGCCAAGCGGAGAGCCTTCGCCGGGCACAAGTGACTGCTAATGATATCCATATTGGAGATCGGAACGCAGAACGCGCTCAACAGATGGAGGCCAGGGAAGCACCCAAGAGTGTTCCCGTGACATGGTAGGTGTGGCTGACTCTTTTTCATCGCATCTTCCGCATCCTACATTTTATGCATGGCGTACATATCTTGATCTTAGACATCATCAATGTCTTTTCCTTTTCCTTTTCTTTTCTTTTTCTCTCGCAGTATTCTTTTCCTATTTCATTCCACGTATTATAATTTTGTGTTCCATTGTTTCTCTATATTTTGAACTTTGGCCAAAACAAACATCATGAAACATAACTGATCTATAGGGTATCATGCAAAGTCTATCGATGCGAGAGAACAACATATCTTCACTCAAGCTCAAGTTGAAATTTGGGATGTGTTCGAATCATCGCCCCATACTTGGCAAACAAAAGAGGTACAAAACACATGACCAGCGCTATAAATGCCAAAAGTGAGTTCCCCCACCCCAACCCAAGAGCATCATACATCGATGGACCAGCCAGCGGTAGTACGGCACCGAACAACGACCGCAGAAACACATTAGCTGCCGTCACTGATGCTGCAAATCGGACGTACGAATCAACCAGATACGCACTAACGGTCGCAAAAACGGCCACGAGACCGAAGCCGAAGATTCCCGTGCCAATTATAGGCATTATCCAGTGGATCTGCTCTTTCGCAGACCAGCCATACCAGAACAGCCCTATTGGAATGGCCCAGCAGCCGTATATCATTGGGGGAAGACGGGACTCGGGTGCGAATCTTCCTTGTGCGGAGTGTCGGGCAGCGATTTGGTTCACTGTTCGGCCGACGATGAGAAGACCGATTGCACAGCCTACCCCGAAGCCGATATAGGCGAGACCTGCTAAACCTTGGTCGAAACCATAATTGTCTTCGAAGACAGAGGTCATGGTAGTAAACAAGAGGTAGAGGTAGCCGTATGTTATGGCGGCGAAGAGGGCCATTAGAAAGACAATTGGCGAAGTAAATAGAAGCTTAATAGGGCGTAAGAGGGCAGAGAGAAAGATATCCCGAGGTGGCCTGGCGCCATGATCGTAGATAGAGAGTAGATTAGGATTACCCGTTTCTTTGCGTAGACGCTCAGCTTTTTGGCGGAGCAAGACTGGTGCATAGGATTCTCGGTAGCATAGCACTGTTCCGATAAGAATGACACCAATCTATAAATCAAAGTCAGATATGATCACCACGTCGACAAGCTTATCATGCAACACATACCGTAATAGAAAGTACCCAGAACACCCATCTCCACCCTTCAGCCATAACGAGGTATCCACCTGCAACAGGTCCAACAACAGGTCCCATATAAGGCCCCATAGCCCAGATAGCCATCACACCAGCTCTCTTCTCCTTATACACCATATCAGCGACTGTCCCCGATCCGATCGTAAGAGGGCAAACACCCGCAATACCGGCTAACAGCCGAAAGACTAGTAACTGGGGCAGATTCTGCGCGACAGCACATGCAATCGTGAAAATGAGTAATAAGACATTGCAGGTATGGTAAAGTGGAACACGGCCATAAAGTTCAGATAGTGGAGCGATTATAAATGGTCCCACGACATAACCCAGGACATAGATTGAGACCAGGAAAGAGGCCATCATGGTGCTGCTTGAGCCGAATTCTTTTAGAATATCCGCTACTCCTGGCGTGAACATTGAAGAGGCGAGGGGTCTGAAGATGCCATGTTAGTTGTGCTGTCGTGAATCGGTATTGCAAACCTAGCCCGGAAGGCTATACGGTGTCTGAGCTCCGGGGCTTGAAGTTTTAGGCATGAATGGGTGGAAGGATGAATGGACATACGTGAGAAAGGTGTTGATCGCCATGAAGATCAGCTGGCGCCATTTTTTATAGGAGGGCCAATTGAATGGGTTCTCGGGATCATCAGGTCCATCCCAGTCCACTAGATTGGGATTTTTCTCTTTTTCGGTCGGTTGAACTGGCGGTGCCTCGATGTCTGATTTTGTAGATTTTGGATATGGAGTCGTTGATGCATTGGCATTGGCAGATGTCTCTGCATCCAGATCCATATCAGGGGTGGGAATGAGATATGGATCCACTGAGGATTTTGAAATTGTTTTTTCCATGGCTCTACCCTTTTTCCCCCGTGGCTGTTCTTTAATTCAAGATACTATTGGGTTTGAGTACAATATACGGGATATCATCGGCGCCTGGGTTGTGTAAATGGTTCAGTTTGAATGCCTAATGGTAATATTATAAATGTATCAAATGGACCCCAATTTCTTTTTTTTCATCTTTTTTTTTATAGATTTTCATTCTAATTCCCCACTTCGTGATTATATGGTGAATCTGGTTGATCGATGCTGATAACCCGGCAAAATCGGCAACTTAGCCCTACTCGGTAAGGTCGATTCGGTTATCGCTTTGTTATCGCCTCTTATCGGCTCTTATCGGGGCTTATCACTAATCAATTTAATGCACTATTTAATGCCAAGATGCCAAGATGCCGAGGCTTATGGCTGTAACCGAATAGCCCCACTTTGAGATTCAATGTATGTCTAAGGCTGCCTGACTTATGTAGCACCTCTTAGGTTCTGGAAGTAAGCAACAAACAAAAGAGAATTTTTAGTCTTGTCATCCGGACACTGGCAGATGAGATCCAAATTCAATATCTCCGTTGGGGTGTTATAATAGCATTAGTGCTACTGGAAACCCTGTGTGGAGCCGGCAGGAAAATGTTGATTTACTGACACCCTAAGGCTTACCTGCATGAAATACGACATTGTGTCGAGCTCTCTAGGCTGATATAGACCTCGCATGGCGAGTTTCAATATGATTTCATACATCACGCCGCCTGCAATAAAGTGTAGAAATTTGGCCCACTCCTGGGATACGTGCAACCTCAGCTTTTACTAGTTGTTGGCACGGGCACTGCCCGTCTACTATGGACTTGAATGGTACGCTTTGCTGAGAAAGAAGAGTTGCGGGATCCATTGACGGCGCCTGACTCCACATGACTGGTAAGGATGGAAGAAAGTTACCCAGTGAGCTACAGCATGACCGGATGCATTCAAAACTGGGCGGCAAGAAGCAGAGAACTCGGTTAAAGGCAGTTGAGGCGGGCTTGGTACTGGGTGTGTTTGCTGACCATATGATGTATACGGTCATTCATGTGCCTTCATTCCTCCCAAAACTATAGAAGGCAGGATCGTTATCGCATAACGCTAGCAAAGCTCGATGATCAGCGTCAGAGGGACATTCGGTCGCCAAATCTGAAAATCCAGGCATCCCAAAATCTGACGATTCGTCAAAATTGTTCCCTAGGATCGTCGGTTCTTCCCAGCTCAAAAATTCAAACAAAGACCCCGCTTCAATATCTTCTCCTTTTTCTTGTACTTGCGTGGCGCCCTCGGCGGCAACTGCCGGCTTTCCCTGACAACCAGCCTCCAGCTTCTCTTCCAATCTCGCACTGGCATCGGCAGCAACTCTATAAACGGCTGAGAAATCTGTAAGGGCCTTCCGCAGTGATTTGATATATGTTTCTCTCTCCGGTGGCATCTGATTTTGATTGTGGGTAGTACCATCCAGGGCAAATGAGACGGCAGTTGCAGCCATCACTGTACTGTATACAAGGGTTAGAGGCGCATTTTCTAACGAGTGATTCGTTTTGTATTGCCGGATTATTGCCAAGATGCTTTCAGCCGAGGCAATGCAGATTTCTCGAGACTGGCTGCGACGAGCGAAGCCGGGCGTAGGACGGATAAAGTGTCGATTTAATGATATCAGTGTACTGTGATATAGGGCACTAGAGTAGTCAAGTCAGCACTAGATTTACTGGCTATTCATATGGAGAATGACAGTCGTACTGCATGGTGGCTATCTGTGGCGACATCTTCTGCGCGTTGGGTGTCCATCGATTCCAGGTCAGGTCCTCAGGGATGCTTGAGTGCCAGCGAAATAATTGCAAGTTCAAAGCTTCAACACTTGCGATTCGACTAGTGACAAGCTTTTTGCGTGGACTCTTGATCATCTTTGGGGAAAACACCAAAGTGATGACCGACTCAATAATCCTAGCTAGCTCGACGAGCTGCACGAAAGCAGATGGATTGTTTATTTCATATTCGATGGACGACGGGATAGAATCTGGCGTCCTCAAATCTCTCAGTTCTTCCGTTGGAGTGGTAGTCCTGTTAGGACTTAGTAGGAGAAGGAGAGCTCTGTTTTCTTTGTTATGGAAGGCCCTACCTTTTAAAATTTGGTGGGTCGACAGCCGTGTCGGTATCATGTAGCATAATCGGACGACCGAAAAACAGACTAATGATTCTAAAATTACATTAGCAATGATATGAAGCTTGTTGAGAGTGAGTGACTTACTTATCTGCAACGTAGCAGCCCCAATATACTCTTCTCTGTGGAAGGAAATCACTCTCTGAGTTGATGGTTCCCCGTTCGCCTGCAAGAAACCTAGGATCTTGATGCAGCCCAAGATCTTGTGCCATTCGACACGCCATGCCTAGTATGAGAATGAATTCGTAAGCCTGTTATTCTACTAGCACCCTTTCCATCATATTCTCACCGGACAGCATCCAACCTTTCGTGTGGTTGGCTGCACCGAGCTCTATAAACGCAAGAGCGAGGAGTGACTGCACCACAGTCAGATGCGGTGTCTCGAGAGAGCTGGCGCTAAGCGTTTCATGGGCACAGTGAGCAAGGGAATCGGCATCTTTCAATGCGGCCGGCTCACCACCTAGCCGAATGCCCAAGGAGCCCAGAGAGTAAAGTAAAGGATAAGACCAGTACTTGTCGCTGTGTTCTTGATTCAGCCAATCATTGGTAAATAGAGACTGGTCGACAAAAATACATTCGGTCCCGAGATAGAAGAAAAACTTTGACAACCCTTCATGGAATCCTACTTCTTGAAAATCAATGTCTGGTGAAAGCGGAGAAGAACCTTGCCATTGTTCGGAAGTTCGATTGGATAAGGAGCGGCCATTATCGGGTATCTTTTCTGTAATGCAATCTTTCTGGTAAATGCTAGTTGGGCCATAGAAGGAGAGATAGCCTAAGCCTGTGTCAATAAATAAAAGGAACGATAATAAAGTAAAGACTTTGAGGAATGCAAAATAAGGGCATAAATGACCAACCTTTGGGTCCTGGCTGCAATGATGTTGTCGAAAGTCGCGAGGATCCGCTGTAGTCGAATATAGGTGTTGCTGGGTTAAAAGACGAAACCGGGGCTGTCTCTTCATTAATCGAAAGGTCATCCAATATTGCCTGTCGCTGCTCTGGCGTGGCTTCCCTCAATTTCCGGAGGATTGTCTCGTAAGAAGCCACCCGCTCCTCCAAGGCGACAAAACGTGCACGACTGACCGGCCGTCTCCTGGCATCGTCGTCTCTAAAACTGCACTCGCTTCCACTGGCAATACAGCTGCGGCAGGGATCCACCCTGGTGCATTTCAGCTGAATGTGAGAGATTAGCATGAGGCCCTGGCAGAAGCAATTTAATAATGATGAGGGCTTACTTTGCGAATCTGACAGCGTCGGCACCTGAAGGTGTTGAGCTCAGCATCCATAGGTTCGTTGGAACTCAAAGTAGCACTTAAAGTAACTTACGATATGCGCATGCGAGGAGGATCCATTGTTTCTCGTTCCTGCGCGACGAAGGACCCAAAATCTTGACGACGTCAGCGCTCGAGAAAGGACGTGAGGGGACAGAGCATTCGTAAATTCATGCATAAACGACGAAATTTCGACTCCGAACAAAGATTTTGGTCCCAGATCACTCTTATTGGTCAAATTGAATTAATGGTGTATTGTGAGGTCGGTCAGCGAGAGATGGCGTGTAGCTTGGCGATTCGGGAGATAGGAGATATGCCGCCCAGCGCCCGAACCTCTAGCCGCATAGCCGCACATGATCATGATGTTGGAAACAAAGAAATCAAAAACAGGAAAAGGACCCACTCTTTAGAGTTACGGAGAATGAGCTCCATCATACATGAACGGGGAACGGACTCCACCAGAGCCATCACTGATGGAAAATGAACTCCATCACGAGTGGATAAGCAGACATATTTCATACATTTCTTTGTCTAATTTGTTCCGCCAGCAAAAGGCCCGCTCAACATGGCCAAATGCGTGTCGAAATTGTTCTTTATATAACCGAGCCGTGGCCATTGTGTTATGGACCTAAAAGCAACCGAAATTGTGCTGATCTGATCTTTCAAAATGCTCACTGCCGAAAAGCTTGTACATGCATCTCAGCTAGATAGTGTGGAGACCGCACGTGGAAAGACTGCCGAAGACTTGGCCACCCACGTCCACGAAGAAACAATTCCATCACCACCTCAGGCTGCATGTCCAACGGAGGACGAGCTCAGAACTCTGAGAAGGGTACCCGGCGATCTTAACTTCAAAGTTTTCACTATTGCCTTGATAGAGCTATGTGAAAGATTCACATATTACGGCACTGGTCAATTATGTATGTCGATCTTCAGCTATCTCGCGACCATTGGACTCATCTAATTTGATAGTGACAAATTTTATCCAACGGCCTCTGCCTTTGGGTTCAACCACCGGAGCCAGCGGTGCCAATGCCCAGTCCGGTGCTCTTGGATTTGGACAGAGAGCGGCCTATGCAATTAACACTTTCAAGCAATTCTTTTTTTACATAACGCCTTTATTCGGCGCTTACTTGGCCGACGTGCGGTGGGGACGCTACAAAACAATTTGCGTTAGTATTGGGCTTGGGATTATTGCCCATATTGTCATTGTTATTGCCGCTCTGCCGCAAGTCATCTTCCTTCCAACTGCATCGCTATCAGTCTTTGTAGTTGGGTTGACTTTGCTTGGCCTCTCGACGGGAGGCGTCAAATCAAATTTGGCTCCTTTGATTGTTGAACAATTACCTGTCACCGGTATCCAAGCCCACGCCCTTGCAACTAGCGAAAGGGTAATCATCGACCCAACGGCTACAGTGAACAGAGTTTATATGCTCTGGTACTTGTTCACAAATATCGGGGCCCTGGTAGGGATTCTCACGATGCCATATGTGGAGAAGTACCGTGGTTTTTGGCTTGCTTGGCTGATTCCTACTCTACTCTATTTGTTGTGCCCCCTTGTCATGATATGGGGTCGTACCAAATATAACCGTTCTCTGCCTGACCCATATGCCCTAGGGAACGCCGTCAGGCTTTTGCTTTTCACACAAAAGGGTCGATGGTCAATCAACCCACTTGAAACATGGAGGCGACTTAGGCAAGGAGATATGTGGGAGTCGGTTATGCCGTCCTCTATTGAGCCCTCAGATCGCCCGACTTGGATGACTTTTGACGACAGGTGGGTGAGAGAGATCAGGCGCGCTACAAAAGCTTGTGGCGTATTCGCATGGTATCCATTATTCTTCCTTTGCTTCAATCAGGTCAACAGCAATCTCGTCTCTCAAGCAGCTACGATGCAACTACACGGTTTGCCGAACGAGTTCATTACTGTTGTCGACCCGATCAGCATCATCGTTGTCGTTCCGATTTTTGACCGATTCTTATTCCCGCTGTTGAGAAATCTCGGGATCAACGTCTCGCCAATTCGGCGCATAACCGCTGCATTTTTTTGTGGTTCAATTGGCATGGTATGGGCAGCTGTTTTGCAGTATTATATCTACAAGAAATCCCCATGCGACTACCAGGCAAATTCTTGCGACGAAGTTTCTTCGATTAATGTTGGGGCGCAAGTTGGAATATATGTCATAATTGCTATAGGAGAGGTTCTTGGAAATACCACCATTCTAGAGTACGCATACACGAAAGCGCCTGAAAACATGCGCTCTCTCGTACAGGCTCTTGGGCTTTTTGCAAGCGCGATAGCTGCCGCATTAGGGCAAGCTCTCGCTCCTTTGAGCAATGATCCGCTGCTCACCTGGGACTACGCTGTTACGGCGATCCTGGCCGCCTTTGGAGGGTGTATGTTTTGGTTTCAGATGAGACAATTAGATTACCAGGAAGATAGTCTCAATGGGTTATCCGATGACCAGGCTGAGAACAAGGCGGATGAGGAGTTTCAGCAACGCCGCTAGGAAAATCTTGAAGCCACCTTGTTGAGTCCCGGAGGTCTGTAATTAGTACTATAAATGAGCTAGGGGCAATGTATTAACACTTCACTCGTTTATGTACATGTATCGGTGACCATTTTAACTAGTCGCACTTTGTATATCTAGAAGTAACGGACTTAGTACAACTCCAAGATACAGTCTATATGGAGCTATGGTTCAATTGTTTCTTACTTGGCCAAAGATTTCAAGGACCCAAGAATGGATCAATTGCGTCTTAGTCCACTTGATCGCGATGCCCACAAATAAGCTTGTTGACAACACATGCAATACTGTACGATTACCGACAAGCTACGATGCATTCAAACGTACATTTCAGAAAGTCTCGATAGAAGAATGCTTTTTCATTGCATATGAATGCACTAATCATTCAAGTCACATAATGAACTCTCAGCTTAGTGTGTCTCGTCAGCTCAAATGTCTACATGGCTGACAGCAACGAAAACAAGTTTGCGTCATATAGATATAAAGGCACATCCCTTGCCTATCATTCTGTTTGAAAAGGTAGCATGGTCCTCTCTCATTCTGATCACTCTTCAAATGCCTTTTCACGCCCTGTCATAGCTGTCATTGTATCCAGCAAGCTCTCCACCGCTTCACAGGATATTTCTGAAGGCTTTGCGTTAGCCATCTCCAAGACAAAATAGAAGTTCAAACTTACGGTAATGTATCACCAGTCGGTCGCGGTGTATAAGTATCCCTTTCTCGCGCCCCTTTTGGATGAACTCTTCAAGACCGAAACTTTTTTGCTCAAAATCCAGCCAGATCATATTTGTTTCAGTTGGGTGCTTCAACTTCCCGCCACATGATATCCAATGATTAGCGACTCTTGCTGCAATCTGATGGGTCCGGCTGAGTTGCTCTCCTTCAAACGTATTCTTAATGGCGACGTACGCGGCTTCCGCCAGGAGCCCGGGTTGTCGGATGCTACCACCAATACTTTGTCGAATCCACCGAGCATGGCGTATGGTAGCTTGATCACCTACTACAAGTGCACCTGCTGGCGCTCCGAGTCCTTTGCTGAAGCATAAGCTAACAGTATCAAAAATAGAGCAATAGTCCTCTAGGGACCCCCGCCCCTGAAGCAACAGCTTCCCATAGTCGCGCTCCATCGAGATGAACACGGATGCCATTCGCATGGGCAAAGTCGCCTATGCGCCGAGCTTCTGCTAAAGGCATGACCATTCCCCGAAGAGTATTCTCCAGTGAGATGACTCGTGTTGGGCAGGCGTGTACTTTCTCTCCATGGCCTAATTTAATAATAGGCAAGATGTCTTCGAGCGTAATATATTTGTCGTTTGCCGGGCGGATCGGTTGAGGAATTGCTCCAGCAAATGCGAAGACACCCCCTGCTTCGTTGGTCAAGCAGTGTGAACGCTCATCACACATAATGCTATACGGGGGCTGATGGAGAAGACAGCGCAGAGAGACCAAATTCCCCATCGTTCCAGATACAACCCAGAGGCCTGTCTCGTGGCCTGCTAGGGATGCCACATATGCTTCAAGCTTTCTTGTGCTGGAATCTGAACGATCGATATCATCGAGAAGGCTAGCGTGAGTGATAGCATTCAGCATTGCTGCCGTTGGGCTTGTGCGGACATCTCCTAAACGCGAATATCATTAATATTCGAGATTACCAGAGTGAAAACATAATCTTACCGCGAAAGTCGTAAGCCGCCAGTCCTGGATTTAGCCATGAATTGGGACCAAGCAGTTCGTCACTTGAGGAACCTACTTGATGTGTGGTCATTCCGACGTGAATTGATGCCTTCTACCAACGGTTTTGTTAGGCAACAAGGAGAACAAATTCTGTAAATTCCATATGAAAATATATGCAAGGAACATCCGTCTCTGGCTTGGATGTTTAGTCTTCAACGGGTCCTCGGGAGTTTAGTGCTGGACTGTCAACTCCGCTATGTGAGTCGGACTGTCAACTCCGTTATTTGCTATGTAAGCCGGACTGCCAGCTCCGCACGCTGCCCAAGCTTCAACTCGCCCAAAGTACCTTCGATCGCCAAAGTGTCAAAGAAAATACGCTGGCGTGAATGTGAAACTTCGTATAAAGACAATCTTGAATCGGGGCCTGACCGGAATAATAGCCACACAGTTTTTACGCTCACAGGTACAACCCTTTTTTCCCTTCTTTTCTTGGAAACGAACTTCGAGTTGTCTACTCCATGATTGATCGGACAAGCTCGCGATATGCTGGCTATGAGCCTGGCTCACCCTATGAAAGTGCCTGTCTAGATGTTGACGAGCTTCACAGTCTTCATTATGAGCAGTATGGGACTCCAGATGGGCTTCCTGGTGAGTCTACTGAACATCTCAGTGCTTGGCCGTCACGGACTTCTAAATACTAATGAGGTTACAGTTGTATTTCTCCATGGTGGACCCGGAGGTCAGATTAGTGTCAATAGCGCCAGATTCTTCAACCCCGACGTGTATAGGGTCGTTCTTTTTGACCAACGAGGATCTGGACGCTCTACCCCGAAAAACGAACTTCGGAATAACACTTCACAACATCTAGTCGGTGACATAGAGAAGCTGCGTATTCATCTTCGCATTGAGAAGTGGCACCTGATCTTCGGCGGCTCGTGGGGTACAACCCTGGGTCTCCTTTACACACAGACTCATCCCGATCGGGTCAAGTCTCTAATCCTCCGAGGAGTTACAACATTGCGAAAAACCGAGCTAGCTCACTCGCGAAGAGGATTGAACGGCGCGGCTCGTGTCTTTCCTGACATGTATGATCGTTTTGTGGGGTTTCTGCCGGAAAATGAGAGGAATGATGTTATTGCTGGATACTATAATAGATTGACGTCTGGGGATTCCAAAATCGCGTGTGCTGCTGCGATGGAGTGGAATCGATGGGATCTCACCTTGACGGCGCTTAGACGCGACACGGAAACCTACCAGAAGCTCGACGATCCTGACTGGTGCTTCACGCACGCGTTATTGGAGGCTCATTATTTCCATAACAATGCCTTCATTGAGGAAGGGCAACTTCTGGCCAACATGGACAAGATGAGCGACATACCTGGTGGGTGAGGCTCGGCTGAACGATCAAAATGCCAGTTGTACTGATGCAATAGAATAGGCGCTATTGTGCAAGGCCGATATGATCTCATCACACCTCCCAAGACAGCGTGGGAGCTGCACAAGACATGGCCACACTCAACAATACACTGGATTGAAGATGCAGGTCATGCTGCCACAGTAAGTATCTTTCATGCGTTTGAACATATATGGCATGCGATTGACTTGTTCAGGAGCCTGGAACTTTCTCAAGGTTAGTGGAAATCTGTGATGATTTTGCTAAGCTCTGATAAATTCTGCTTCGCAATGACCCTACAATGGTCGCTCTTGGAGGCTGAAGGTCCTCAATCTCTTGATTTTCTTCTTGCATGCAATGCCACAAACTCCAAAACTCGAAATTCCACATTCCGATATTTGATCGTGTGTAATGTCAGCAACACTTCATATCTCTACCGAAATACAGGTCTACTGGAATGTGGGTTCATAGCGAAGACTTTTATTGTAACGCTACAAGGTGGAGCACCGTTTGTTAACCGAAAAAGTGTGAAGGCAATATATTATAGTTTTTCTATAAAGGAGCATAGAAATTTGTCTCCAGAATAAACCATTCATAGCTTGACAAATATAACCTTCTGTGATTCATGCTTTGCACGCCTCTACCTTGAATAAAAGAACCATTTGAACAACATTGAATCCGGTATATATGATGACCGCTACCATGAAAATTGCCATCGTGCCTGTTACGCTTCAGTGAGACTTGAATGTCCTGATGGCTACAAGCTCGAGAATGGGGGATTTTTCGGCCCAGCCACCTACTAATCTGGTCTTTTGAAAGTCGGAAAGTGCATATAGAGGTTGGATTTTGACATTTTGCTTCGCTAGTAAATTCAAAGAGTAACTGGCCTACCGAAGACAGTCTTAAGGTTAGACCCCTATTGATCCATTGACTTACCTATAACTTTTCAAACACTAATTTTTAACCTGGGCGCCACCCTATATGATATAATACTGATTGGTATATAGGATCTCATATCCCCGTTGATCTCCGGAACTACAAAGCTTTATTACAACAATATCTGAATAAGGTTTCGGAAATTGGACAGAGTATGATTGAACCAAAACCCGAGTCTGGAAGAACAAATAAAAGGTACAAGAGAGACTAGTACTATCAAGCCGCTTGAAGTACTTCTGATTATGTACAGTATAGTATAGAACTGTATTGAAATACTACTAATCCTATCCAATACCAGTATAATATGCCTCGAATGGTTTGGTTGAATAAATGTATTTCTAACTATTGTGTACTAGATGCAACTTGTTCCAACTATTGTATAAATTCAACCTATTTTAGCTGTTGTAAAAAACCAATGTATTTCTAATTATTGTATTAAATCAACTTTTTTTTAACTGTTGTATAACCTCAACTTGTTTTTAACTATTGTAAATAACTAACCTGTTTTCAACTATTATTAAAAACCAACTTGTATTTAATCATTTGACAAAACCAACAGTTGGATAAAAATAATAGTCCGGCAAAAATAATAGTTGGGTAAACCTATCATGACCCTTGAGCATGGTTATTTTTCAACCGTTGATCTAAAACAATAGTATTAAAAACGACAAACCGCAGTAATAGAAAACACCCATAGTGCGGCCGATGAAGCTGGTGAAGTTTACACTAGATTATTGATCATTCCGGCTCCCCTGGCTCAGTTCATGTATCAGAATGACTACTTTATCTTATTTTGCCCTTGCTCTCCAACGGTGTCTATCTCGAATTGATCGACCCATAGTTCACATATATATACATGTACATACTTCATCGTGCACCTGAATAGCATTCATATATCCAACAGATAAACAGACAAGTACAATCATATACCTAAAGCACAAATGCACCAAGAGCAGCAGCACCAGCAAGCACAAGTGGCAGAGCCGTAGCCATGTTACCCCCAGCCGAAGAGGTCGAGCTAGCCGGTGACACTGATGCGGACGCCGAGCCTGAGCCAGTTGGACTACCCGTAGCAGTCATCGAGGAACCACTCGTCGTCGAACTAGAGGAATTCGAGCTAGAAGAGCCATTGGAATGAATCTTGAAGCCAGGGGAATAACTGAATGTCTCGGCATCATTGGCGAGAGCAAGTTTGATATACCACATCTGGTTATTGGAGCCGGTGATATTTCCGTCCACGTTCCAATCGTACTGCGCTTCTTTGCTGGCGATGCTATCTGTTTGAATTGTTAAAATTATTTAACTCTTGTATAGGTCTGTTCATAGCGCTGCTTACCCTTGATCACAGTTCCCTCATTATCATTTGAGGTTCCCGCTGGCTTTTGGTTGTGTAGCGTAAGTTTGACTGGCTTGTTTGCGGTAGATGTCCATTTGATTGTATATGCACTTCCAGCTTGGATGACTTCTCCTTGTTCTGGTTTGAGAATCGGGTCAAAGACAATGCCTTCACAGAGAACCGCGCCACAGAATATGGCTAACAATGATGCGTAAGAACTGAAGTGCATGTTGAATTGTTACTCGGGGGTCCCGTTCGTATAATTTCTGATTCCTTCTGTCGTCACGGTGTATAGAGATAAACAGGAATGGATAGAAAAGCCAAGATGATTTCTTTAAAGAAAGGGGCACAGCACAAGCTTTAATAAATCATCGTCAGACCGAAGCTTCTTTTTGGCCCAAGGGCCCCTGGAATTAGCCCCGGGCAATTGAAGAACATTATAGGCGTGTCATGGTACGTCAAGCGTGTAGATCAGGACCCTTTCCCCGCTTCCTTAAGGTTCAGCTGGATGTTTTGGGTGCGATCTTCGGTTGTGTTTTGGGTTTGGCTGTCCCGGGGCTTGAGCGCGGGGGACTTAGAATCGGGATACACACGGAGTGCGTCGGGAATATCTAGGCTTCCATAATCGTATTGCACATGCTTACGTAGATCTTGTGCCCAGGTAGTTTACCGAATGGGGTCTCAATTCTCCAAGCTGATGACATACTTGTTTCAGGACAACCTGGAGGCGCGAACTTTGGAACTACAGTGGGCGATCTAGTAGGGCCACGGGGGTCTTTATCATGTGTGATTGGATACAATGCTGACAGCTTGGAATCTATATACCAGGTTCAAGTTGAAATGATATGTACCGAGAACTTGAAAGGTTCACATGAGATATGGATTGTATAAACACATTATTGCGCTATTGGAAGATAATGAACAAGAAAGAAGAAGAAAACCTCATTAGAGGAAATCAGGAAATCTGTAGTAAACCAACTAACGCGATCATAATCGCACAGTATCCATGATGTCTCGTCTCGTATCCAGAAATAGAACCATACCGATCCCCATGTACCAAGGCGGGATATTCAAAGCTGAGAAGAAAAATAAAGCAGAGCAAAAAGGGACAAGAAGAAGAGGGAAGGGGATGAATTTCGTATCACGGGGAAAATGGGAGAGATCGGCAGAAATAAAACGAAATAGAGCAAACAGCTCGCAAGGCTCACAAATCCAGGTCCTTCCTTCATCTAACAAGTCACAAGGTTGACGTGATTATCACCTAATGCTGCGCAGGCGAGCATGGTACGGTGGGGATGGAAGGCTGTGGTGGCGATGGGAGAGGAGCGGTTGTGATGGAGGAAACTTGAGTTGGGCTCAAAGGTGGAAAGGTAGGTTCCATCGACATTGAAGGTCTTAACCTCGTGCTGAGCAGTGCCCCTGTAATAGGTGTTAGCCTAATTGGCCCCGGCGATAGAGAGAATGTCATCTTTGTGATTACTTACATGCTGATGACAGGAGCGTGTTCATGTACGCTCAGAGTTCGGAGGGTGTTATTTGTCGCTTGGATAGTGGACAGAGCACTGTTCATACGAAGATCCCACAGGCGGATCTCGCCGTTGCGACTACCCGAGATAAGTTCACGCAAACCGCCACGTTGCATATGAACGTTGGTAATCCACTGCTTGTGCTCACGCCAGACCTTGACCATCGAAGCGCTAGGCTTGAGTCGCTGGTCGAAGACACGAACGGCACCATCGCCGAAACCAGCAACGAATATGTTACCAGCCACCTGGTCAGAGGTCAAGGAGGTAATACATGAGCCAGATCGGGCAGGGATATCCTATCAGAGGAAACACCAATTAGCATATGCACCATATTTAGTGCAAAGAGAAAAGTGCAGCAGGGAAGTCTTACATTAGTGCAGACTTCAGTCGCTGCATTCCACACCCTGATGACTTTGACATCACCTGCAACCAAAGCCTTCCCTTGGCCTTGTTGCCAGTCAAGGACAAGACCTGCATTTCTGGTGCTAGGGATAAGTTCAGGCAAAGCCCGGAAGGCTGTAACGACCTCGATATCCCTAGAGGATTCATAGTTTCGAAACAGCTTGAGAACACCATCGGAGGATCCAGTCAACAAAAGAGCCTGGTCATCTTCATTGATGTACCGAACTTCGTTGATCTTGGATCCAACTGGATTGCCATTTGAAAATTGGTTGAGGCGCTTGTGGCTCTGCCAATCCCAGATACTGTATAGAGCGTAAGCAAGAACCGAGAAAGGCACGAAACCCAGTATGAATTGTAGAGGGGTAAGTATTGGAGACTTACGCGATGTTGTCCCGGTCATCTGCCACGGCGATGTGATCCTCAAATTGATGGAAGCACATCTTTGAAGGCTGGCTGCTATTTGACAAGGGGGCGATTGAGCTTTCCCATCGACTAGTACCTGCCTTTCCTTTAAGTGGTTGGGTCTCGGCGATGATCTTTTCGTTGCGGCTACGTCTCCAGAGGCGTTCGTTATAGTCGGAACTTCCGGGCTCGTCGGGTTCGTTCGGTTTCATCTGGGGCTCCCGGAAATACTTTTCGATTGTAAGTAAATGTCCATACAATTTGCGGTGCACTTGTTTGATTCCTGGGAAAAAATCCGGCATTACCTCTGTTGACCAGTCCAAGAATCTACTTTTTAGAGGGATAATGGGAATCCCATCCGTGTCTCTGTCTTGGAAGCCGCGTGATGTGGGAGTGGGAGCCAGGTGATAAGCGTTGGCGGGTGCAACATTGTCGTTCACTTCGGGAGGTCGAGTCCATTCAGGCGGAGCACGGCTACGAGGGATCATCGGAGCGCGGCTCTGGGGTGAAGGGGGTGTAGAGCTCTCTGATGACGCATCCCCTGAAGCTCCGAATAAAGAGGCTGCGTAACTTGCTGTACGTCTCAAACCTTGCGCAATGTAGCCTTCTTGTTTGGGGGTAGGGGCTGCGGAGGATGGTGGGTTAGATAATGCCGCTGTCTTTTTCACGTATGAACGTTCGGTGATCTGGAGTTTTTGTGACAAGCGGTAAGTGAGTTCCAATATCTCGAGTCTAATCTTGTCAGCGATAGTCGCCATGGGCGAGTCTAGGAGAGTGAGATGAATATAATCGACAATCATGCCAGCACCCTGAGCGATATCAGGATGAGGATCAACGGAAAGGATTAGAATTTGCTTCCAGACTGTGCCAATGGTGGTATTGTGGGAAAGAGAAGGTGTCTTGTCATCGGAGTCCAAGGGCCCGTCCTGTATTTCTGATTGGGTCATTGGTGATGCATTTTGGAGACGGCGTTGCAAGGCCTGTTTCTCATGCTTGAGGTCCTCATATGCGGCTACAAGGAATTTGTTTTGGTGACGCTTGGCAAACGTTGAGAAGAAGACCAGCAGCTCTTTCCTGACAATGACACTGCCGTCAGCGGACATAGGTAAGACTGCCAAAGCCAAAGCCTCTTCTCTCTGTGCCACCTGATCTGTCAAATCTGGGATTCCGATGAATGTAGTGACAGCATGCAACATAGCCGCGCGGACTTCTGGAACCGGGTCAAAATTCAGATCACAAAGCCTTTCAGTCGCTTGGCATCGAATGCCCATCCATTTGGCCTCTGGAAAATCACACCATAACATACTCAAGCACAGGCAGGACCATTGACGTAGCAGAGGATTTTCGACGTCTCCAAGGTGTCTCAGACACGATTCAAACAATTCACCGGACAGGCAAACATTTTGTCCTTGAGGGTAGTTTTTGCAGAAGATAGAAACTATGAAAGCACACATGGCTCTGTGTTCGCTTGCGTTTCCAACCGGAATGGGCGAAGAGGGATTGAGGATAGAGATGAAATAATGGATACCGTTGTCTTTGAGGAGGTCGTTCTGGACGGTATAGTCCACGGCCATAATTCTCGCCCAGATAAAAACCATAACAGGTTTCAGCTCTTGCGCAGCTGATTGTAGGAGCTTGACCACATACGGGAAGATTCCGATGCTAAGGGCCAGATGAACAGCCCATGGGCCCAAGTCCAGGAACTTGCTAAGCAGAATTAATGCACGCAGGCGATGTGCCTGACTGAGAAGAACTTGTAACACAATGGGTAGTTGGTCTGGCGGGTTCTTCTCTGTGGGCCCAGATGACAGATAAACCTCGAATGCAGTCAATTGTTCGGCGAAGAATGTAGAATGCTGATACTCATATTGCCTACGACCTTCTTCCTGATCGATCAAAGCGGGCAACTGTGCCAAGACCATCTCCACGGCAAGATCCCAGCTCTTCCATAGTGGATGATGGTGGGTCTCAGGAAGCTCAGGAGATGAGATAGGATGGCACTTGTAAGTACGCATGATGCGTTCGCTAAGCAGGAAATTTCGGAAGAGAGCTGCAACCATAAGATCTTGTCGAAAGAGTTTCTTGAAAAGCGAACGACGGAGTGTGTTCCATGCAATGGTGTCGGTGATGGCGGTAAAGATCCAATTCAATTCTCCAAGAGGACTGCGACGATCTTGAAGACGACCTGGAACTCTGAAATCATCAGTGGAGATTTGTGTCCGCAGAGGATTCTGAAGAATGAAGAAACGCAGGGCAATCTCAATGGGGGTCGTCAAGCAACATGTGAAAAGATCAGCTGGAAGATCAGGGTTGGTTGGGAGAGACTCATTTTTCTGGCATGCCGCGAGAAGAATACAATCACCATAGTTCTGAACGATTGCATTAGGGTCTCGTTTCTTGGCTTCGGCATTCTCCTTCTCGTGCTTCTCCACGAATGTGTGGAAGTTTTGCACGATGTTGCCGGCATGCGAAACATCAAAAACGAAAAGACTAGGCCCTGCCAGCCAAGATTGGAGGTCGTAGAGAGGTACAGGGATGTACTGGGTGTAGTTCTTGTTGAAGACCCAGATTTCACCTGACTGGGTTGGTAACGGAACTCCATGGCCGTTGTAATGCAGGAGCACCCGCTCATCCTTGGCATTCCGACGCAAAGAAATGCAGAACTTCTTGGTTTCATCCACTGATGGGTCTAGATATTGCTTGTATCTGGTCCTCAAACTCAGTGTCTCATACTGTTCTTGTAATTTCTTGCCAATCTGCTCCATGATCTTATTCTGACCACCGCCCGTGGTTGAGGTGGGATCTACCCAGCATTCAAGCTTGGACGTTGGATTCGTCTTGACCACATCGGGAGGGTCGACACCGATATTCAAGCAGATTGCTAACGCAGCAGACACTGTCTTCAGCCGATCCTTCATCCTCCAGTCCTGGCTAGGCCAGCTTCCAACGGGGTCTCTTGGTATTCCATTTGTTTCATGCCGCTTCTCGGTAAAGTACATGTAGAAATTCTAGTGAAAGCCCCGGGCGTTAGTTTCGGTACACGAAAGACCTACTCCAGCCATAAAACTTTGCGCAACTTACCGAGTGCAAAATCTTGAGATATTCACTGGATGTGTATTCTTCCTGCCATCCGTGTCGCATTGCGAAGTCTTCCTCTTCGTCTCCGATAGGTTTGTCAAATGTGACACGGCTGGGTCCATAATCACTCTTTGCACGTTTCAACATTGCTGGTCGGTTACTCTCAGACCTCCGAGGAGAAGGCCGCCGTGGCGGCTCCTCGGGTACCAGGCCGACATTCTCACCCGCGGAACTGGTAGGTCGAGCAGGAGTTGCGACTGACGAGTGTTTCTGTTCGACAGTGGTGAAGGAACGATGGTGGCTTGACAACGGTGCTGGAGATCGCTCACGAGCGGGGATGGTAGTTTCTAGGTCGGGCCCGAACGCGACTCGGGCTGATTTATTACTGCGGCGGGGTTCTGTCGACCCATTAGTTGTAGAGGTTTGGATGGATGATTCCATGTCGGCGGTTGGGTCCCTCATGTTGTAATATCAGTCATCGTGTTACATGAAGGGAATGTTGAAAGGTGTGGGGTGGGAGGTGAAGAGCATGAGCAGCTCTGAAACCTCCCAGATGCTGAAATCAGGAAGAATAGCTGTGTGCTCTGCGAAACTTGTATTGGCTCAGAGTTCAAAACAGACCCGAGGTGAAAGACGAACGAAATATTTCGAGAAGCAGCTTTGTTGAGTTACCACTCTCACTGGTGGAGGAGAGGCAGCGATCTAGACGCACACGGTAACGGTGAGGCTCACTTGCTGCTGAACCCGGATTAGCAGTATCCCCGCGCCCCGTTGCTGACTAACCGATAAGCTCTGACGGCATCCGAACTGCAACCCAGACGGGTGTTTATTTAGATGTAGACTGATTGATTCTCCGATGAGGAATTGAAGTAGATTGAACTGAAAATTGGGGTATTTTCTGCCACCATGAACATGTTTCTCCTGATTTGTGGGTTTTACAATCCCAACAATGTACAAGTATTCATGTAGTTAAGCTTTACATGGCGTACGTAGTCTGCTCGGGCGGCGCTTACGATGTCGTATACTTGAGTTTGACCTATTGGAGTAGATCACATAGTTCATTTTCAAATTCCACTGGCCAACCTTCAAGTTCTTCCCGCACTTCACCATCAGTAGCTAGAAACCCCTTCAATTCGATTATTATGTGAGGGTGTAATTATATGTTTTGATTTCCCAAATGAAATCAGAAACCCACTTGATTTTTCCCCCTGCCAAGAGGCCTACCCAGAAACACGTCTCAGACATACGGACGATTAAGATCAGGATAGACATGGCACATCAGCGGGTCTCACTGGAGAAAAACATGCATGGAAGTGCCGAGACTGATGTGTTCGATCGGCATTGTGGCAGTCATCTGAACTCAGGAATGAGCGGGCCATGTTGTACATGGAGTACTAAAAGAATCTCAGAAATGGCTAAGTTTCAAGCCCCTCTCGAACCCAAAGAAACCCACATCCCTTCAAAGGTTCGTCCATCCAGATGTCTGGATGTGTCATGGGCGTGTACAGTCAGCATACCGTAGCCGAGAACAGACGGGGTATTGATCGTCGAATTCTTGTGATAGCGCTCCCTCCTCGGTTTTAATTTGGGGTTACTGGATAGCCAAGATGTCTGTTCTCCCGGGGAAAAGAAACTATGTGCCGTTCATAGCGGAGGATCAAGTAGACTTTCTGGGCTGTAGAGTGAGATCTCACCCCTTAAATTGCTTCCTGCAGGCGTGGAGCCCGTTCACTGGCGATAGGTTCCCTGCACGTTGTGGGGAGTGGATCGCGGGTGGACATTGAGGCGTGCACTACGACAATTGGCTGACCTGTGACACGGTCTAGCACTTGGGAAAAAGCCAGGCCCCGCGGGCTTTAATAATAGCACAGATTCTCGAAAATCTACGCTGTCGGTGGTGTAGATCAAGCATGGGTACGGGAGATGTTTCCATGAGAAAGGGTCATTACTATACACATAGCACTTCGTATACTTTATTTCTCGCATAATCTTGCTGGTATGGAATACCTCAAAATCTCGTCTCAAAAATATTAAACGCCATGGAACGAATAAAATGGCCCCGAATGTGGCTTTGTCTCTTTAAAAGGCTTGTGTTTCTGGTATATGTGCATGAAACAACCTGAACAAACCGAAAACAACAATATTAATAAAATAGGAGGAAAATAATAAAAAACAAATTGAAACTTATCAGACGTTCTTAGATCTCATAGCAATCCAAATCTTTAACTTTCTCTTTTCTTTTACTCTCCATGACGACCGGGGGCTGGGAGACAGGAATGTTGTAGTCTCCCACCAGAGACCGTTGGAGAGTGGCTGCTGCCCCTGAGTATGCAGCGCAGCACCTTGAGCCCGGTTCCCCATACACTAAGACTAGTTCGATTAGACCATCTCCGCCAGGGAAATTGAATCTTCCTCTCTCTCTTTCTGCATCTCTTTTTTCTTGTCTCGCTGCCACCCCTTTTTTGTTCTTCATTTGCTGGACATTTTCTTTTCTTTTTCTTTTTTCTCAGTCAAAACTTGGTCTTGATGTCCAAGTTCGTTAATCGCTAGTGTTGGTGTTTTTACTCGGCATCCCACCCTCCTAACCCCTGGCCCTGTTTTTTTTTCCCGAGCCCAACACTCTCGGTGGATGGGACACCTTTCTATGGTTCCTGGTGGTTCCTGGTTCCGAACTCCACACTTTCTCTGAGAAAACACACTGTGTTCTCTCTCCACTACAGCCGTACCTCTATCCTTAGCGCACACACTTCGAATCACCTCCTCCGAATACGCCGCGGCCTGCATAATCGCTGATACGGGGATCCTCGACGGAGATCACATCGGCGCCGGCGCACCCGATTTTTGGGCGCTGTTTCCCTCTCCTTTTATTTTGCGCCGTGCACGACTGATTACGACTTCGCTTTAACGATGGCTTTTCTGTTTAAATCCAAGAAAAATCAACAGGGGACCGCCCTGCCTTCGGCCACAAGAAACGTCCACACCTCCGAAGGTGCTCCGTCGACCGGCAACCCTCCAATGGCTAATGGTGTCAAGGCTGAGGGGAGCTTCGGACAGACTCCGACCCCTAGTAGCAGTTACAACAACTCATTGCATTCGGCGACGAGCCCAACAAGTCCGGAACCCGTGAGACCCCGACCAAGAGCAGAATCCGAGTCACAGGTAAGGTCCAATTCTCAAAACTCTGGGCCAATGAGTCCTGACTCGAATTCTCGCCAGGCCCAACGCCCGCAACAAACGCCAAATGGCGTGTCCCCGCAGAGCCCCAACTCAACCCTCTATCCCTGGTCGCAACGGCGCCTCAATTTCTCGACTCCACAAGCAACACCATTCCCACGATATGGCGCTGCCATCAATGCGGTGGCCTCGAAAGAGGGCGACATTTACTTGATGGGTGGTCTGATCGATGGCTCCACCGTTAAGGGGGATCTGTGGATGGTTGAAAGCAGTGGTGGTAGCCTGTCATGTTTCCAAATTGCGACGGTTTCTGAAGGCCCGGGGCCTCGAGTTGGCCACGCCAGCTTGCTGGTTGGCAATGCTTTCATCGTTTTTGGTGGTGATACCAAGATTAATGAGAGCGATGCGTTGGATGACACTCTTTACCTGCTCAATACCTGTATGTTTTATCCTTTGGACTGGCCCTTTGGTCTCAGTTTCGGTTTGTATCTGTTTTTCGGTCTAACAAACTGTGTCTCGTCTAGCATCACGACAATGGTCTCGCGCAATCCCCCCTGGTTCTCGGCCCGCTGGACGGTACGGTCATACTCTCAATATCTTGGGCTCCAAACTTTTCGTTTTCGGTGGTCAGGTTGAAGGCTTCTTCTTCAATGATCTGGTGACCTTCGATTTGAATCAACTCCAGAACCCTTCAAACAAGTGGGAAACTCTCGTTCCGAATAGCCACGAAGGCGGTCCCCCCGAGGGACAAATTCCTCCCGCTCGAACCAACCACAGTATGGTCAGCTATAACGACAAATTATATCTTTTTGGAGGAACTAACGGCGTACGTTGGTTCAACGACGTGTGGGCTTATGACCCTCGTGCCGGTTCATGGACAGAGATGGATTGTGTTGGATTTATTCCCACTCCCAGAGAGGGCCATGCATCTGCTTTGGTTAATGATGTGATGTACGTGTTTGGTGGTCGTACCGATGAGGGAGTCGACTTGGGTGATCTTTCTGCCTTCCGTATCTCCACTCGTCGCTGGTATTCTTTCCAAAATATGGGCCCAGCTCCATCTCCCAGATCTGGACACAGTATGACAGCGTTTGGAAAGCAAATCATCGTCATGGCTGGTGAGCCTAGCTCAGCCCCTCGCGATGCTAATGAGCTCAGCATGGCGTATATCCTCGATACATCTAAAATTCGATATCCCAATGATTCGGGTACAGCCGAACGCAGTGCCGTCCCAGGAGGTAGGAATGCCGAAAAGCAGGGTCCTCTCTCTGGGCGAACCTCCCGCGAGGCTCAAAGCGCAACTCCAGACCAGATGCGACGTGGCCCATCTCGTGAGAGTCTGATCCAGAATACAAGCAACAAGCCTGGCGAGTTTGGGTCTAACCCCAACCTTGGACCGGGACCAGGATCTCGACTACCCCGTGCATCTATTGCACAAGCGCCTTCAGGGCCACCCCCTCCCGGGCAAGCGCCATCTCCTGGCCCTCGCAGTAATGGACCCCAGTCCGGCATGAACCCTCGCAGCAAGACCCCCACAAAGATGGAACGTGGTTACACAGGCACTGTTGATGTCCGGGTTGCCAATTCCGAACGAGAAGCCGAGTCCCCTGTTGCTAAAGATCAATTCCAGGACTCCCAGGGTAGTAGCGGGCAACGTACACCAACAGGATCACAAAGGATATCTGCCAAGGCAATGGAAGCCGGAGAAGCAGCCCCCTTAACCACACCTGCCCGTCAACGCTCATTGCGGTCGCAAAGGCAGCGTGGCTCGGTTGATAGCGCAGAAGAATCTGTTCTTGGCCGCCAAACCAGTATCGATGGATCGATTGAGGGCCGAGCCTTTCGCAACTCCAAGACGCTTGGCGAGGAGCCTAGATCGCCAAAATTAACTCCTCATCAGGAGGCCTTGATAAAGGAGTTGGAATCTGCTAAAGCTCGCAATGCCTGGTATGCTTCTGAATTGGCTCTAGCCAGGAAAGGAGGATATGTGCCCAATGCTTCTAGCAGCCCCGCTATCGACGAACGCACAAGTGACTCGCTGAACGACGAGGATCGCCCTCTGGTCGAAGCATTCCTTGGTATGCGAGCCGAGTTGTCCAAGATGCAAGCCACTGTTGATAGGCAAGCTGCCATTGCATCTAAACGCATTGCAGAAGTTGAACATCAACGCGATGTGGCTGTTAGCGAAGCCGCTTACTCGCGAGCTCGACTAGCTGCCCATGGCGGTAGTCAACGTGGAACCCCACAGCCTGAGATTTCTCGTGAAGTTGAGGATGGTGTGGAGAGGCCAACCGACATGGGTCGTCGTCTTGCGTTGGCTCTCGCATCTCAGTCAGAGCTCAAGGCCAGATTGGATGTGATGACCACTGATTTGCAACAGGAGAAACAGGCTAAAGAACTGGCTGAGGATACCAACGAGGCGACTCGCAAACGTCTAGCAGAGTTGGAAATGCAAAGCAACGCTCTTGAGTCAGAGAACCTTCGGGCTGAGCTTCACCGTGCTGAGGCATCCTCCAGAGAAGAAGCCCTGTTACGTGCTGAGGCCGAGGCGACCTTGAGTCAGCTTATTATCGACAAGGAAGAATTACTTCACCAGATTGAAGAATCATCTGGTCGTCTCAAGGACTTCGGTACCAACTTCGGTAGCCTGAAAGAAGCTGTTGCCTCCTCTGCTGCGAAGGTAACTGTTGTTGAAAAACAATTACTGGATGAGAGAGAGCGCCGCGAAGGACTGGAGAGAAAGCTACTCCAACTTCGAACGGAACATGAAGAGCGGACTACTGAAGTGGAGAACATTACCCGCCGTCTACGTGATGCAGAGGAGCTTGCTGATATCCATGCCAAAGAAGCTGAAACTCACAAGATGGCTTTCGTCTCGGGTCTGGAGCGTGCCTCTTCTACTGACTTGGGGGCTTCTATTCGATCTCGCGCTGACCAGCGTGTTGCCGCTTTGGAGGCTCAAATTGAACGATCTAGTACTTTGGCCAAGGCCAACCAGGCTGCGGCTGATTCTGCGGCCGAGAAATTGCGACGGGCTGAAGAACGTATTGCCGGTTTGGAGGCATACCAAGAACAGGCCAGCCGTGAAGGCCTGCAGTTACGCCGCCAGCTACAGACCGCTATGAAAGAAAGCCAAGCAGCTACCGCAGAGAGCAGAGACCTCAAGTCTCAGCTTGATTCTCATCAGCGTGATGCTGGCGCTTTGAACATTCAGCATGCGGCTCTGAAGGATCTCTTGGGTGAACGTGGCATCAACGCTGATACTCGACGATCGCCCCGTCTTGAATCGCCAGGATCCCGCTTTGGTACGCCCGAACAAGGTCGACTACGCGAGTTGGAGCAGCAACTTTCTACCAGCATGAAGGCTCATGATGATCTCAAGAATTCATTTGAATCCCGGGAGCAAGAAGCCGACCGCGCATTCCGTGAGAAGTTGGAGCAACTCGAGAATGATTACCAGTCAGCTGTTCACTACGTTAAGGGCACTGAGAAGATGTTGAAGCGTATGAAGGATGAACTAAGCCGCTACAAGACTCAGAATGCCAAGCTACAGGGTGAATTGGAGGTGGCCCAGAAGGGGCTGGAGAATGCTAGCAGCCAATCCGACAACTTCGCAGAATGGGAGACTGAGCGGGTTCGCCTCGAGAAGTCCATTGTCGACCTGCAGCAGAACACTACAGTGTCTCTCGAGGCCCTAGAAGGCCAGGTTTCACAGCTCAAGGAACAGGTTGCTCGCGCCAATTCTGAGAAAGAAACGTCCCAGGTTGAGCACAGTCGTATCCAAAAGGAATTGTTCTCTATTGCTGAGCGTACTCGTTTCGAACTGGAGCAGCTCAAACAAGAGAACGTGCATCTAGAAACCCGTGCCTCCGATGCAGAACAGAAGGTCAACATGCTTCTAGAGCAGGTCGAGACATCGGTGGGTCACTACCGCCGCCAGTCCCAACACATCCAAGGCGCCAATGGTATTTCCCGCAGCCATAGCAATGCCTCCAGCAACACTGCTGATGGTCGCGGTGGTGGTCGCGCCCGAGCAGACAGCAGTGTTTCACAAGATTCTACATCTTTCCCTGACAACCGTGGCTCAATGGCCCTGGACTCCCTCGCTAATGAGCTCGAGACCCTCCGGAGCCACTGGGAAAGCACCAACCGCAACTATCGCCTTAGTAGCCAGCTGGACCTGGAACGAACCCCGACCAAGGATGACAGTAATGGACCTGCTATGATGAGCGATAGTCTTGCGGAGTGGCGTCGCCGTTTGGATGAAGAAGAGCGGACTGTTACCAACAACAAGCCGAAGACTATGCCCTCCGGCCCTAGTGCAACTAATGTTATCTAAGGCAGCTATTGCTGTCTTGAATTCCTATTCTACGACTATGTGTTCTGAGATATGTTGATCCGCAGTTCTCTGAGCGCTTTTGCAATATGTATTTTGCGAGTTCTCTCGTTGTTTTTCATTTCCCTCTTTCTTTGTAATTTTGCGAAGCATGATCCTTGCATGATGAAAAAGGTTCTGGTCTTGACTTTTGTTTTTTGTTTGTTTTGTTAATTTGTTTGATTAACTACGAGGGACGGGATTCCTTCTTTGTGTCTGGGTTGGCTTTATCCTGTTTGTCTCGACTTTATCTCCTTTATCCCCTCTTGCTAGTCTCTGCGCTTCTGCCCACTCGCTCTTTGTCTCTCTTTTCCTGTCTCTCCTTGCGTGTCTGCTGTGTTCAGCTCTCTCTTCCCTTTTCTTTCTTTTTTTCTCCTTTTATACCCCGGTTCTCCGATGTTTATTGGACTCTGGCTGTACCATTACTAGCGTATCGATGACTTCGCCGTCTACTTAGAGTCAGCAAATCTGAATCATTCTATGAAGATGGATCTATCCTTTCCAAATTGACTAGTTGCATGAAAATGCTGACGGGCGTATTCCGTGTAAGAAAATTAAAAATAAAACAAACAAAAACAAAAAGAAACATCTGTAGCTTGCCGAAATGTGAAATGTGGTTTGACCAGTCAATCACCCCCGCTTGAGGTGCAGGTCGTAGTGGCCCCCAATGTAGCTTTGACACAACTGCAAAGCCACCGGGGCAACCCAGGAACCAAACAAATAAGGGCAACGCGCATTTACCGAGTACAGGTCCGATTGGGGCCAGGCGAGATACTTCTCGTTCTGGAAACCCCGCATAGTCTGTCTGTGCTCATTTGCAGTTACAATTACAGTTGCAGCTCCAAATTAAATCGTAAACTTTGGAAGTCTGGGCTGATATGTACATATACAAAGTAGAGGGGGGTGGGGAGTGTATCATGATATCAAGGGTCTAGATCTGGCAATACCTATCGATTGTCCCGGGTGGCTCTCATATCCGTCCTGTCAATCTTATCATATGCTGGGCCCAATGTCGACGGGTATATAAATAGTACCTTAGCCTTTTCAAGGTTATTTTCTTTTATCCATTTTATAGCTACTTTAGAGTAGGTATTAATAGCACTCTGTCATCTCGGCAAATATATGATAAATAATAATACCATTTAGGAACCGAGATATTCGGAGGGTAGCCTATCACAGCATATTTGCTAACCATATAATCCTGGAGGCTAAAAGGCGAGAATTTCAGGTTTTGGAGCGTCTTTGCCATCTCGTCACCTGCGCATCTGCGGTCTTGGACAGGGCGCGTATAGCAATGGTAATCCGATTCTTACCAAACCCCGAACCACTGAAAACCAACCTCCCAATTATGCAGAATGAGACGCCTTAATACATAATAAAGATCATATATTTATATATTTAGTTATCACGGGTAAAATGCCTCCTGTTTAAATTCACTATTCCATCGCTCTTATATCATTATTTAACTAGTTCTCAATCAACTAAAGCAAGCATAGCATTCATATCCTATTTTAGCCCAATGTAAATTCGCGCAAAAGTGACGGCCCAGGTACTTCGGATAAGCCGTGGAACCCCTACTGCCGCCCGGTATCCTTCAAGTCACTCCGGGGGGGTTCAGCCACCTTAAATTCGCTAGTAAGAAAAAATACGCGCTTCACCGACTTCTCTCGCCCCCCTCACCTTCTTCTCTCCTTTCCTTCCTCTCCTTCACTACAGCATCATTCTTTTCCCCACCGTTATCAAGGGCGCGGTCCTTGATTTCTTTTTCTTTTCTTCCGTCTCCAGCTTCCGTGAGGCCTCGGTTTTGTTCGTCGCTACTATTCCTCTCCATCACCCTCTTCCATCCGGTCGCTCGGCTTACGGTCGGCATTGGACAGACCCTTGAGATCCTTATCTCGCGTTACAGGTATGTATGGCGAAGATTTTCGTTTCACTGTTCTCTGTACACTCGACCTCCAGGGATCTCGATCATCTTTACAAGGACCTGGCTCTACTTTTATTCCCAACTTTCCTTTGTTAGCCTCAAAGACTTGCCTGCCCAACCCCCGTGGTGACCATATCGGCCCAGCCTTGCTCGCCTTAGGCCTGAGGTTGAGATAGTCACACCCTCCACCCCCCAAATATCAATCCCTATTTGCCTAGATCTTTGAAACCATTCATCATATCTCCGTTTTCTTTCCTTTTTTCTTTTTTGATATCATACCCCCTCGTTTCTCATCGACCGTGTCTGACATTATTATAATCTTCATAGTTTTCAACGCCATCTGCACCGCTTTTAGCAGTGCTACTACAATCCATTCAAGATGACGACCATGGTCAGTTCCCAACCTTCCTGATCTTACCGCTGTGTCATCATCACGTCTTCGCCTTTCGTATCGAACTTCCCTTCCCCGGGAACCCGGATTTACGGATATTAGAAGATGTTGAAATATCATCAGTTTCCGACACCCGAACAGTGCTGACATCATACACAGGATTTGCGTGTCGGTAACAAGTACCGCATTGGCCGCAAGATCGGTAGCGGTTCTTTTGGTGATATTTACCTTGGTATGTCTTCGATTTGGATTTGCGGGGGATTATATATTTTACCCCCTATTCAGGTGGAGTTTATGTGTTGGTGCTAATATGAACTTGCAGGAACCAACATCATCTCCGGAGAAGAAATTGCCATTAAGCTGGAGAGCGTCAAGGCCAAGCACCCCCAGCTTGAATATGAAGCTCGTGTCTACAAGTCTCTTGCCGGTGGTGTCGGTATCCCCTTTGTCCGCTGGTTCGGTACTGAGTGTGACTACAATGCTATGGTCATCGATCTTCTGGGCCCTAGTCTGGAGGATCTCTTCAACTTCTGTAACCGCAAGTTCTCGTTGAAGACAGTGCTTCTTCTCGCCGATCAGCTCATTTCCCGTATCGAGTACATCCACGCCAAGTCGTTCATCCACCGCGACATCAAGCCTGACAACTTCCTTATGGGTATCGGTAAGCGTGGAAACCAAGTTAATGTGATTGATTTCGGTCTTGCAAAGAAGTACCGGGACCCCAAGACTCACTTCCACATCCCATACCGTGAGAACAAGAACCTCACTGGTACTGCTCGTTATGCCAGTATTAACACTCACTTGGGTGTTGAGCAGTCTCGTCGTGATGATATGGAGTCTCTCGGTTACGTGATGCTCTACTTCTGCCGTGGATCTTTGCCTTGGCAGGGTCTGAAGGCTGCTACTAAGAAGCAGAAGTACGACCGCATTATGGAGAAGAAGATGACTACCCCCACTGAGGTTTTGTGCCGTGGTTTCCCCAACGAGTTCGCCATCTACTTGAACTACACTCGTTCGCTCCGCTTTGACGACAAGCCCGACTACTCTTACCTTCGCAAGATCTTCCGTGACCTCTTCGTCCGCGAGTCTTTCCAATACGACTATGTCTTTGACTGGACCGTCTACAAGTACCAGAAGAACGCTGCTATGATTGTTGACGCTACCAAGAAGGACAAGGACGATGAACAGGTACGTCGTCAGGGTGCTCCTGCCGCGGGCCCTATTCCTGGTGGTGCTGCCAAGCCTGGCGCCATCTCGGGGCAACGCCGCAAGGTCATTGACCGTGGCACCCTTGACAACACTGCGGACCCCAACCGTGCCGTGGGAGGGAGTGATAGGATGTGAGTACACTGAAACCTGGTTCCGAGTAGGGAACCCCTTCTTTTTTCCCCTCTTAACGTTTGGTGTGTTTCTTATTGTGACGCTGGCGTGGAGGACCCATCAGTTCTGAATCTGACTAATCGCATAGTCTTCGGCGTTAGGCTGCGTTCTGCCTCGAAAGGTGCTGCTTTAGGTGCTTATGGACCTTCTGGTGGCCGTTCGAAGCGGGACGATGGATCGGGGGCTCAGTGGTACTAATTGTGTAGTTTATGCAGGGAGACTGTGGGAAGATGTCTAGATTGCTTTCATTTCTTTTGTTTGTCTCTCCTTCTCGTCTTCCTCCAGTTCTCTCCTGCATGTTCTCACCATCAACCTTTGTCGGCTCAAACCTGGGATACCAACTGTCAACCTGTCGTGGACGCAACGCTGTGCACTCGACTATCGGCCCGCTCGGATTTTCCCTTTTCTTTTCCTCTTGGATCTCCATTCATTCTGCAATCTCTGTCGCCTCTCTTTTACCCCGTTTTCGACCCGCCAGACTTTGTCTACTTGCCTTGAGTCGCATTGGACTACTTCTGGATACTGCGTTCCCCCTCTTTCGGATTTCATTGTGTACCCGCTCAATCGGGACACATCCGATAACACAGTTTCGAAACGTTTTTGATAAGGTGGCTATTTCTATGTCTTCGGTTTATTTTCGGAATCTTTGCGACCCTCAGTTTCAACTTTTCAACAATCTCGCAAACGATCGGACTGCCAAGACTTGAAGGAGATGCAAATGACAAGCTTAAACCCTGGAAGCAGAACGATTTATTGTACCTGTTACTGTAATAGCTTGCATTGGACTTCCTGGCACTCGCATGTGAATGCCCTACCCATTACTTCCCCCCTCATTTGTTGCCTCTACCCAGAATGTCTTTTTTTACTGTACCCCCTACCCTGATGTTTTTATTAATGTGTTTTTTGTGTGACTACGATCGACGACGCGGGGACGAGGAGAAGACTGGATTACATCCGGTCAGCTGTTGTGTTGGATGGAAATGGAGGGTTGACTTTCTTCGAGGAACGTTTTCTTACTGGTTATGTGGAATTATGCTCTGGCACCATTGCAGGATTCTCCACGTCAATGACCTGCCAGTTTCATGTTAGTGAAAGAGTTGGTTCTCGGCTGGTAATTGGCGACGGAAAATGGTTAGGGTCGCTTCCGGGGTGGTTTACGTCGATCGTATGTTGTTTAATGTGTCTAGCCTTGCTTTGCTTCTTTGAAAATTACTGTCCCTTCTACCTACATGAGCTATCCACCTCGCATTTTTTGAGATAAGGCACGGTTTGTCTCCCCATTACCTGGAAAGGGCGTCACAGTTGTTGACTATTGACTACTTGAAACCCTGACAACTCACGACCCCAGGTGCTAGGGAATTTCACGATGCCGCCTAGCTTTCAACATCTATAATCAAATGCTTTACCCCATCTCCTTGCCTACATATATCGTTATGGCTTTTAGTGCCACTTCGGTACAACTCTAGACCCAATGGATGTAGTCGTAACCGTGTGTTAAGTTTGAAGGTGAGATCATCGAGTCGTTTTGCCCCCCCGTTCTGGGCGCTCTATGCACGGACCAGACTCCACATGGTTAAATACATGTTAGATTTAATCTAAGGGACTAGGTTAATGATGTAAAATGGTAGATATTATCCAGAATTTGAAAGTAAACATGTTAAAATGATGGTAGTTGTGCGCTTAAATGGGTAGATGCAGGGAATCCTCTATACCAAAACGTAGAGTCGGTCAGAATCAATCTGGGGTTCACCAGAAAGTTTCCCCCCATGAAACACCAGAAACGCCCGAACTGAAATCTTCCCCGTGCGACCTCATCTCCAGCTCTTCCCCTCCTCATCCCCATATCCCCATAACAAAGACTCCATATTTCTGTCGCTGTCGCTGCAAGATGGATTATTCCAACTATGCCGGCCATCAACCCCAGCCCTACTCGCTGTACGGCCTCCCAACCCCCGACCAACAACCACCGCAGCAATCGGATGATACCCTGCGCGACCCGTTCTCACTGGTATGGTACTGCTCTTTGTGTCTCAGCCTACACAATCACTGCAGACAAAATAATCACTGACATACTTCTCTTTCACTTTTTATCTAGCAGCCGCAGCAGAATGCTTATAATCAGTACTTTCCCGGCCTCGAGGGCTCCTTGCGTCTAGACCCCTCATCTTTTGTCCCGCCACATTCACCGCCGGACTCTTTTACAAAGCACTCTGTTTCAAGCAATGATCCGAATAATCATACAAAGGCTGAATCGGGATTACTTGATGGCGATGAGAATTTATATGGAGATGGTGGTATGGCGAGGAGTAGTAGTGAGGAGAAGGAGTCAATGACACCAGCTCAAACGAAGCGCAAGGCGCAGAACCGTGCAGCGTATGTGCTACCACCCAAACCCTCCTTCCTACATCTTCATAAACATGAATGAAAGAAAGCGGACATTGGAAGAAAAAGGAATATACAGAAAACATAACTAAGCCCGCCTTCTACTTACACAGCCAACGAGCCTTCCGCGAAAGAAAAGAACGCCACGTCAAAGACCTAGAAGACAAAGTAAACTCCCTCGAATCAGCCTCAACATCCCTGCAAGCAGACAACGAGCGCCTAAAGCGCGAACTCGCAAAATTTGCCACAGAAAACGAAATCCTCCGCGCAACCTCCGGCTCCTTAAGGGATCATACCTCCACCTCCCACGCTCTATCTCGTCACGAAGAACCAACTGTAACGGGGCCAATGAAGTACTCCCCTACGGACTTTTATACGAGTTTGATGCCTGAAGGCTCGGGCTGGGGTCCTCCACCGGGGAGTACGTCTAGTGCACCACCTGCTTCGCACCGGGTTACGACTTGTCAGGTTACGGGGGAGAAGTTACTTGATGCGGGTGCTACTTGGGATTTCATTCAGGGGCATGAGTTTTTAAAGAGTGGGCAGGTGGATATTGGGGATGTGGCGGAGAGATTGAAGGGATTGGCGCAGTGCAATGGGCAGGGACCTGCCTTTAAAGAGGGGGAGATTATGAGGGCTATTCAGGCTAGTGTTGCGGAGAGGGATGAGTTGATTTGATTTGATTGATATATATCATTTCATCTTTATCTATACTTGATGAGATTGAATATTGGTCATCTTGATGTTGGTTTGACGTTTCTTTTCTTGATACTTCGATTTGGCGCTTGTGATTTATTTATGGTGTTTGGTGTTGGAATTTGTGACCTGGATCTTGAATTAGCGGGTCAGTGATAATCTCCCTGACTGGGAGGCTTGGATATTGTGATGGCCTGGATTTATTCGCCTTGGGGCCTCTTTATTATATCTATGCATCTCTTTGGACATTCGTTTGTTTTATGTTGCAGATAACGAGCTACTGAGGATATGTCCTTCAACCTACTCGGGAAATATATGAAGTCTGCAACCCTGATCGTGAAAACGTCGCTTGTAGCATTTGGTGAAATCCTTGCTGGAAAGCATACATGCTAGGTAGTAATTCTTTTGATAAGTTCATTGACTAAACGACAAATAGCTGGATGGTGCAGTATGTGCAATAACCACCGTGCCCAGTCTAGCGGCCACTTGCTTCAACCTGCTCCGAATCTTTTGTGCATCAAAGCTTCGGATGGTTTCTAGTCAGCGGCCCTTTTCTTTTGTTGATCGTTTCTTTTTCATTTCATTCAAATGACTTCCAACTAGTCTTGGAAGAAAGGATCGGTGTCGCTTGTTTGAGCGCATTTCATAATAATGTACACACATCAAATCATAACATTTCAGAATGATCACAAAGCTTCAAAATTTGCAATTAATCCCAATCATCATCGTAATCCTCAACGTTCAGTTCATCATCCTTAGAGTTGCGGTAATCATCATCATCATCATCGTGTTTTTTAAGACGAACATCACTCTCCTTCAATGCACCGATGTCAATGAGGAGTTGTTCCAAATCTATTTCGAGCTGTCAGTATCGTTCATATATGTATAACTTGATCCGATCAACAACAACTCACCCTCCAGCCTAGTCCGTGCTCCCTTCAACTCTCTTAAAGTAACCAATTGTTTCCGGATCTCGGTATCCTTGTAGACAAGGATGGTTGGTGTGTTTCGCTCCGGATATCCCTCAATGCACATGTCGGCGCGGATCTCGCAGAACTTGATGTCGCCGAATTTGGTAGCGAGTTGTCTCCATAGCTCGGTTAGGACTCGGGACTCGACGTTCGCGCCTTGGGCAGTAAGGTTCACGAGGACGAAGGCCTCTTTTGAGGCTTCTGTTACTTCTCGGCCGTAGTCGACTTTTTGGAGGGGGTAGACTTGGTTGAAGTTGCTGGTTTGTTGGAGAGTGGAGAGTTCGGCGAGACGTTTTTGACTGTAGTGGTCAGTATGTGGCAGAGAATTATGAGTTCTATTTTCACATACCGATATTGTTGAAGAAAGCCCTCGTCTTCTTCGTCTTCAAGTGCGTCCAGCTCGTCCAGATCTTTATCCTCGAGACGGTTGTCGTACGCCTTGCGCTCGGCTTCAATTAACGCTTCTTGGATCAATGGTTCTGGATCTTGGGGCTTCTCAGGGATAATTCCATGTTGGCGGAGAATATCGTTCCTATATCATGTATCAAAAATATTAGACATCATGCATGAATAGCTAGCTCCTCGAGAGCGGGGTGCGGGCTTGTTGGCGGTGGTGGGAGTATACCATTCAGTATCCTCGTTGGGATTGACTTCGACCTGCATGGTGAAGAAATATCAATCAGGATAATTTTAATACCCTTTCTCGTCTTTGAAAGACTCAATGTAAAAGAGTTGTTAAGGAAATACGATGGTGGAACAGGCAGAGCGTATCGTTCTTGATGACGATGCCACCTGTTTGCAGTGTTTGTTGCCGTCAGCCAAACACACGGAAGGCCACTATTCAACTTTACTCCATAAACAAGTGATCGTGGAGCTCGAGGTTGCGATTCCCCATTACCACCTCAACTCCTTTCTCTCCCCCTCTTTTTCTCTGCATATCTGTCTCTTGCTTTCAGGGGTGAAAGCTATGCAGTAGCTGCCTACACCGCTCTCACCTGCTGCACCTGTCTCCTCCCAACCTTGAACCCTACACCCGGAGTCTCCATCGATCGCGAAACACTCTCCGCTGGTGCCAACCCAGCACCCGGGCAAAATGAGCTACATGAAGAAAGATGAAGACGCTGATCAGGTCATGATCAAGCTTGATCGGACCTCTGTGTTCCAAGATGGTACGGTAGTCCGCAATGACAATGGCAAACGGCCACAAACCCCCTGGCCGTTGCAGCACTCCGCTTGAACCTAAAGGCAATGGACTAACACACTATTTCCCATAGCTCGACTTTTCAACTCCTCTCCGATCTCGCCGCGAACATGCCGTACATTATTGACCAAGATTGCTGTCCTCATCTTCACTGGGGAGCAGTTCCCCACAAACGAAGCCACCACGCTCTTCTTCGGTATCTCGAAGTTGTTCCAGAACAAGGACCCCTCATTGCGACAGATGGTTTATCTCATTTTGAAGGAACTGGCCAACACCGCCGAGGATGTTATCATGTCGACTAGTATCATCATGAAGGATACCGCGGTCGGAAGCGATGTCCTGTACCGAGCCAACGCCATCCGAGCCCTTTGCCGTATCATTGATGGATCCACCGTCCAGGGTATCGAACGTCTCATCAAGACCGCCATTGTCGACAAGACTCCCTCCGTCTCCTCCGCTGCTTTGGTCTCCTCTTACCACCTTCTCCCGATCGCCCGGGATGTTGTCCGCAGATGGCAAAGCGAAACACAAGAAGCAGCTTCTTCTGGAAAGCAGTCTTCTGGCTTCCTGGGCTTTTCTTCCAGCTCCCAGTCCCACGCTATCTCCCAGACCAATTTCATGACCCAGTACCACGCAATTGGTCTTCTGTACCAGATGCGTTCTCACGACCGCATGGCATTGGTCAAGATGGTTCAGCAATACGGCGCAGCTGGCGTGGTAAAGAGCCCAGCTGCTTTGGTCTTGCTTGTTCGTCTGGCTGCTAAGCTGGCGGAAGAGGACACTGGTCTCCGGAAACCCATGATGCAAATGTTGGATGGCTGGCTCCGCCACAAGCACGAAATGGTCAACTTCGAGGCTGCCAAGGCTATTTGCGATATGCGCGATGTTACCGACGGCGAGGCTTCGCAGGCTGTGCACGTCTTGCAATTGTTCCTGTCTTCTCCTCGATCTATCACGAAGTTCACTGCTATTCGCATTCTCCACAACTTTGCTTCGTTCAAGCCGCAAGTTGTCAATGTGTGCAACCCAGATATCGAGGGACTCATTTCTAACTCTAATCGCTCTATCGCTACATTCGCCATCACTACTCTGCTGAAGACCGGTAATGAGGCTAGTGTTGATCGTCTCATGAAGCAAATCTCCGGCTTCATGGCTGATATCACCGATGAGTTCAAGATTACTATTGTCGAGGCTATTCGCACTTTGTGTCTGAAGTTCCCTAGCAAACAGGCTGGCATGCTGGTGTTCTTGAGTGGTATCCTGCGTGATGAGGGTGGCTATGAGTTTAAGCGCACTGTCGTCGAGAGCATGTTTGATCTGATCAAGTTTGTTCCTGACAGCAAGGAAGATGGTAAGTTTACATTGTTTGTCGGGAAATGAGGATTTCTACTTCGGTTACTAATTATTATGACAGCTCTTGCTCATCTTTGCGAGTTCATCGAGGACTGCGAGTTCACTAAGCTTTCTGTTCGTATCCTGCACCTGTTGGGTGTTGAAGGCCCTAAGACATCGCACCCTACGAAGTACATCCGCTACATCTATAACCGTGTTGTTCTGGAAAATGCTATTGTCCGTGCCGCTGCTGTCACTGCTCTGGCCAAATTTGGCGTTGGTCAGAAGGACCCCGAGGTCAAGTCTAGTGTCCACGTTCTCCTTACCCGCTGTCTTGACGATACCGACGATGAAGTGCGCGACCGTGCTGCTCTCAACCTCCGATTGATGGGTGCCGAAGACGACACGGCCGGTGCATTTATTAAGAACGGTAGGCAACCTATTCAAAGCTGTTTTCACCCGTTGTCCTTTACTAATCATTTTAGATTCTATGTACTCACTTTCCACCTTTGAGCACCAGCTTGTTATGTACGTGACTTCAAATGATAAGGAGACATTCGCTGCTGCTTTTGATGTTGCTTCTGTGCCCGTTGTCTCTCACGAGCAGGCCTTGGCCGAGGAACGGACCAAAAAGCTCACCACTGCTACGCCTACCCTCAAGGCTCCATCTACTGGCCCTCCCAAGAGCGCCTCAAATGGTGTCGCCGAGGCAGCCACCGCGGCAGCTACTCAGAAATACGCCGAAAAACTCATGCAGATCCCCGATATCAAGGAGTACGGTACTTTGCTCAAGTCATCCGCGCCTGTTGAGCTTTCGGAGAGTGTGACTGAGTACGTCGTCTCTGCTGTCAAGCACATCTTCAAGGAGAACATCGTCGTACAGTACGATATTAAGAACACACTGCCCGATACTGTTCTCGAAAACGTGACTGTTATCACTGCGCCATCAGAGGAAGACGTGTTGGAGGACGACTTTATTATCCCTGCCCCCAAGATCACTCCTAACGAGCCGGGAATCGTCTATGTTGCTTTCAAGAAGTTGGGCGGCGAGCAGGATATTCCCGTCAGCTCCTTCACCAACATTCTAAAGTTCACTAGCAAGGAAATTGATCCAACTACTGGCGAGCCGGAAGACGAGGGATACGATGACGAGTACCAAGTGGAGGACCTCGAGCTCACTGGCAGCGACTATGTCATCCCAGCATTTGCAGGCAGCTTCGACCACATTTGGGAGCAGACTGGTGCCAATGGCGAGGAGGATAGTTCCACTCTACAACTTACAAACATGAAGGGCATTACCGGTAAGCTTTCACCTGATCCACCTAACACCATTCAGATTATACTAACTATATCTTTCAGATGCCACCGAGCAACTTATTTCCTCCCTGTCCCTCCAACCCTTGGAAGGCACAGACGTTGCCCTCAACAGCAGCACACACACCCTCAAGCTCTTCGGCAAGACCGTCAACGGAGGCAGAGTCGCCGCCCTCATCAGGATGGCTTACTCAAGCAAGAGCGGCGTCACAACGAAGATTACAGTCCGGGCAGAGGAGGAGGGTGTTGCTGCCGCCGTGCTGTCAACTGTTACTTAATGTCTTTAACTTATTTCCCTTTTTTCTTCTCTTATAGCAAATTGTAGTAGACATGAGGAACTTTGGTTTTCTTTTTTTCATTGTCATCGCTCCCGCCACATCTTTCCACTACCTATTGACGTGAAGCCTGTTTCTCCTTTGCTTTTATCTGTCCCGTCCCCTTCTCTCTGACTATGCTTCTGGTATCATTTCTAGTCTTGATGTGGTCTATGAAGTTCACTGCAAAATTGGAGGGTTCTTTTCATTTCATTTTGTTGCTGTTGCTGTCAAGCCTGTTTTTGATCTGTGCGTGTTTCATTTGGGTGTCTCTTTAGATCGAGATGGTCTGTATGAAAAGCTGTTTTATTTTGTGTTTCCAAAATATTATATAAAATTAACCGAAACCGCAAAGATCTCGTAGTCTTCTTATCTTCTACGCACTTCCAAGGTTGAGTACCTAGCTGCCACAGTTTCGAGATGCATGTCGAGGATCATGCCTGTCGTAGCCCTGCACGGGACGATGCAGTCATACTGATAAATCCATATAGAACTTCACGGGCGTAGTAATGTAAAGTTCTCGACGATTTGTGAATTAAAGATTAAGCAAATTTATGCTCTTGTCATTGAAAAATTATCAGTAAAACTAAGTTGGGGGTATCTGTACAAGGCTAATTCCGATATGCTAACTTGGGTATTATGAAAGAAAACCCCTTTCACTCCAAGTCTAAATATGGGTGTCCAATCATGAACCCCATGTCATCGTTCCATTCATCCAGCTCCTCATCGCTGACATCGTCAAGGTTACACATGACAATTTCGTCGAGTTCCTCCTCGGAAATCTTGAGGGTTTCGAAGAATTTGGGTGCAATCTTCAGGAGCCATAGCCCGCTCAATGCACCATCGTTCAAAGACTTCAAAAGATCATCTCTAAAATTTGAAGTGTTGAGGAAGTCGGACACACGATCTCCAAAGCACACCGATTTTAACTCTCCAGGGGGTGGAAAGCCGGCGCCGAGAAGGAGAAAGTAATCAGCAAGGTCTGCTGGGATGTCGAGGTCCGTGAGACAGTCGAACTCAAATAGACCAGCAGAAGAATCGAGATCTTCATCTTCGTAAGTGCCGAATCTACAATTCGAGCTAATCGACAACATAGAAACGTTTGCCTGAAGAATCTCGTTGGATAGAATACTTCTGAGGAGTCTATCCGATAGGTTTGAGCACTGGGAGATTATGAGGCAGCGTAGCTTTGGTGGCCAGCTGAAGGTTTGCATCACACTTGCGTCAAGATGCCCCCCAATAGCCAAAGAGCCCAGAGAAGGAGGCCATGGATCAGAAGTGGGTAGGGTCCGCGTGATAGTCATTCGGGTAGGCAACCTGAGAGAACATAGATTTCGGAGGTTTCTGATGGTCTTTTTCAGTTGTATGAAGCTCATAGAGGAGTCGCCAATTTGTGTCAGGTCAAGGGATCTAAGCTGGTGGCACTTGGCAAGTGATGCTAGGCAGTTGATACTTATTATCAGTTAGCTTGTATTCTTTCGTATGGTGCAAGGGTTAAGTAGAACGGATGAAGGCAAGAAAGAGCTGGTCATGACTTATTGACTTACGAAAAAGACACTCGAGGCGCCTCAAACGTTGTCAGATTTGGACTAGCCTTCTTGAGGAGTCGAGAGGTCTTGCTGTTGGAACTTTGATGAACCAATTTTTTTAAATCGAGATTATGAATCAGGGAGCCTAGGTCCATTTTCATGCCGCTTTTTTTCTCTTTTGAAGAGGGACATATCGTCCGAGTGAACTTTTCGAAGCTGTTACCGGTCCACAAGATAGGGCTTTGGTACAGTTTCTCGATTCCAACTGAATACCATTGGCGATTTACCAGACAAAAGTTGTATAGAACAGATTGCCTTTGTCTCCGGCTCCAGCGCATCGCGGTACCATTCACCCAGTTGGCAATTTCCATTACCACCTCCGTGGGTAGATAACCATCATGAGAAGACATAACGATCGAAGTTGGAGGTCAAAGCTGGTGGCGGGAAGTTGTACTTGTGATTGCCCGTCGATTGAGGAGGCGGAGGATGACAATACCACAAGTAAGAGGACGATGGTTGACAACGGTTAATTGTTAACTGCTCACAGATCCAGCAGAAGATCGACAAACATAATGGAGATAAGTCTGTGGGAGATTGTGAACAAAGGAATGACAAGTGACAACTCTTAAAGATGTGAGTAGAAAGATAAGTTGGAGATGCGGAAGATAAAATTGGAGAACCGGAGAAATGACAATGTGGGGCTGAGTGAGTTGGGGATGATATCACTCATCGCCGGCTTCCCCCCCCTTTCATCCTCTCCAACTATCAGACAACTACAACACAATGAGACCCCAGATTGCTTCGCGGTCATTGGGCTTACTACAGCGCCCGACCACGCTGCCTTGGAATACCAGCCGGCGTGCCATTCAAACAGCCAGCTCGTCCCGCATCCCCAACTTCGCGTTTGCATTTGAGTGAGTAGCAATAATGTATGCATCCAACGACAGCTTGGTTTACTAAGTCTAACACCGAGTCTAGTATCGACGGCGTCCTTCTAAGAGCTTCCAAACCAATCCCCGGTGCCGCCGACTCCTTGGCCCTTCTAAAGAGCCAGGGTATTCCCTTTATCCTCCTCACCAATGGCGGCGGTAAACATGAGACTGAACGCGTGGCTGAGATTAGCGAGAAGCTAAACGTGTCCCTGGACGCATCGGATATTGTACAAAGCCATTCGCCCTTTGCAGAGCTTGTCAAAGGACCCGATGAGACTAGCGCGTTAGAGCATAAATGTGTCTTGGTTGCTGGCGGTGACGGGGACAACTGTCGCCGTGTAGCTGAACAGTAAGTGGAACACGGCTTAAGCTAATCCCGCGCCAATGCAATGCGTTTCGTCTGGTTTTAACAAATGATTTTCAGATATGGATTTAGGAACGTGGTGACACCGGGCGATATCTTCATGGCGAATCCCTCTATTTGGCCATTTTCAAAGAACTTCTCAGAGTACTACAAAAAATTTGCCCGACCCCTTCCGAAACCCGTTGATCCTACAGATCCAACGAAGGGTTTAAAGATTGATGCCGTCTTTGTTTTTAACGATCCCAGAGATTGGGGTCTAGACGCCCAGGTCATTATGGATATCTTACTTTCAAGAGGAGGCCATGTGGGAACCCTGTCTGAAAAGAACGGCCGGTCGGATCTTCCAAATCACGGATACCAGCAGGATAGCCAACCTCATCTTTACTTCTCTAACCCAGATCTCTATTGGGCCGCAGCGTATCCCTTACCCCGTCTTGGACAGGGTGGCTTCCGCGAGGCATTAGAGGGTGTTTGGGCTGCAACTACCGGCGGACCAAGCAAGGGGATTGAACTGAAAAAGACAGTGATTGGAAAACCTTACCAGGGCACTTATGAATTTGCGGAGCGACAGCTACTTCGGAATCGGGCTAAGAATTTCAAAGGTGTATCTGATCTTCCGCCGCTAGAACATGTTTACATGGTTGGCGACAATCCTGAGTCAGATATCTTGGGTGCAAATTCTTACCGAAGTGGAAATGGGAGCAAGTGGCAATCTATCCTAGTGCGCACTGGTGTATATCCAGGTGGTGAGCCTGCTTGGACTCCTACTACTATCGCGGACGACGTACAGAAGGGTGTACAGTGGGCGCTGCAGACCTCTAAGTGGTCTTCCTAGTTTCTTTTTTTCATTTTGTAAATGCATAATTGCATAAATGACACCACAAGCATAGATATGTACATATATTGGAGATTATTATCAACTGTTAGTTTTGGCAAGCGACTTGAATAGCAATTGGTACGATCATCTGTTGTAAACTTAGTTAACTTAACTTATATTGTTGATTCCTCAATTTCAAGGCATCCATGCATTTATCGAGACCTGCTGGATACACCCTAACTTTACTACTTACACCCAGGCTAATCCATTTTGGGAATTCTGCCGTATTTGTATTATCGGTTGGTATTAAGGCGGTGTAATTTAGAATGGCGGTCAGGTGAGGCGGTGGACGCCGGACACACCAAACCTCACCAAAACATATCAAAAAAGACGTCTATTGCGGAGCGCCTGGATAATTCCATTTTTTGATTAATTTCAATTATATCTTAATATGTGATTAATAAATAGTATATATTTACTAATCCAAAAATATTTTAAAAAATGAGCTAAAATAGTATTGTTATGGTGAATCAAACTAGGGGTAAAAATATGTAAAGTTACTATATAAAGGTAAATAATAGGGAAATGGCAAAGTATGGTAAGGTGTAGTGAGCATATAACCTACCGTTTACAGAAATATTAAGAGAAGCTGATTGGCTGCTGAGACCCCATAGTACCCTCAGGAATATATATTTTTATTACTCCTGTTACTATATCAATATTTTAAGTAATAACACTATTTTAAATATATATTTAGATACCTCCCCCTCGCTAAAATAAATTTTTTTTTAGAGTATTATTATTTCCTATCTTCTCTACTATATCTGGAAGTTTAAAGTAATTTGGATATTATTATATCGCTTGAAACTAATGAATCTCTCGCAACCAATCCTAGGTCTTCTATTACCCCTCCTCCTATATTCTGTGATGATTTTCCTACTACTACCGATACAATTCCTAACGAGAAAGCTTAATTTCTTAAAGGAGTATTAGTTAATACCTCCTTAGATATTAAGCCAAGTTTCTCTCTATTTCAGCTACTTCCGCCCTGGAAACTTGAGTATTCTTTACCAGATGAAGCTCAAATAGAGATAAATCGATTTACAGCTACCCAAGGCTATGCTATTGTATTAAAATAGTTAAATACCTATCGGGGGGTAAAAGTTTAAGTTACCTATTAATACTAGCTAGGTGGTGAATATCGTGATAACTAGGAACTGGGAATTAATGCAGAAAAATGTAGGAAATACCGTATATAGAAATATAATTGCCCTTTCTAAGTTGTTCTTCGTTTAGATGGAGATATATGGATATTGGATATTCAAAACAGTAGCCATAATTATCTACTATTACTAGTAATCAATATTCCCTACCTTCGCCAAATAGTAGTAAAAAAAAGATGTTTAGCTATTGAACAAGCTATCCAGGATGGTCTTTGGTCTTACTAGATTATAGATCGACTCCGGTAGGAAGGTAACAACGTTATTATAAAGGATATCTACAATATTAAGCTAGTGTTTAATAAAGAACAACTTAGCAGCTACTCTTCTATTCAAGTACTTCTCTAAGATCTCCTAAACTCAGGGGATTAGTATATCCGTTATAAATGTAATGAAGATCATATCTTACTTACTTTATTCGCCATTTACTAGACTTCTATTGGATTCTTATGTCTTTACCCATATATTCTTTGGATGGATACAATATTTAAAACTAATAAGTTTAAAATACCATTACTTGATATTATGGGAATAATATCAACAAATTAGACATTTTCTGCCAGTTTCTGCTTTATAGTAAACTCTACTACTGAATTATTTTGCTGGGTATTACAGCAATTACAATTAGTTTTAGCGGTGGAATTAATACCGGAGCCGTTAACTGTGTTTACAGACAAGGAGCTTGTAATTCTTAGTGCGATAGAAATGGTTTTTATACTTAACCATATGCTGTGTCTATAGTATATCAATAAGTATTTCCTTACCCATATATGTACTCCCATTCGGCAGTATCTTGAATAGGAGATCAAAGAAGCTGTAAAAAAACAGGAAATTCTGCCTTTAAAAAATGGTTGTATATAGTAGGAGAAGCTTTGTTGATAGGGTAAAATGAAGTAGCTCTAGTATAAAGTTGTTACTACTTTAACTCCTCAAGATTATAAACAAAAATGGCTGGAATTTCAGTAAACTTACTATCATAAGATCTTTGTTAAGCTAATTTATTATATCTAGAAGGAATGGCTTAATCTTATAAATGCGAAGATGTTCTTATACTATTATATATATAATTATCTTTATCTCGGTGAGGTTACAATATCTTGGAATAAGTCGGTACACTGGGTATTTAAGTGTGATTAATAGGTAATTCTCCTATAATTATTAAGGAATTCTCTACTAATATTTAGATAGGGAACCTTAACTACACTCCTTGGAGCTTTTGAGATCTTTGAACGGACAATTTAGCGTCAATATATTGATATTTAATATTAATTATATGATCAGATACTTAGACAATTCACAGATCATAGATTCCATACATTTTTACTACTAAACATTATACAGAAAGTTTCAATTCTAGCCATTTGTTGTCTAGAGAAAGAAATCAAAAAATATCTTCCTTTCTATACCGAAAAACCTTAAATTCCTATATTTTGTATATATAGCAAAGGTAGCGGTATTCTATGTATCTACTAAATAAACTAATATTATACTAAGTGAAAACCACTACCTCTTTATCTCTTCTATCTATAGTAGCAGCTTTAGGCTACTGGGTCACTGTAATTCCACCCAGATCTTCTTTTTGTATAGGAACTAAGAATACGGGATGATCGGAGGAAATAGATATTGCTAGGGTTATATACAGCACCATATAGCTCACAGGGCTTATAGCTACTATCACAGGCTTCGGATTTGCTCCGGTAAGCCCCCTGAGCCCCTGGAGCCTTAGGGGGGTCACAGGGGCGAATCCCAAGCTTATAGGAGTAGTTGGATACCGTTAAAGATGCCGTAGATTGTGAGTTTTATAAGCAATGGTCACAACAAGGCTTACAACAACCACCAACTCAGCAATCTCAGAGGAGGCCGCCAATATATAGAAATTGCGGCGTGGAGGGGCATAAAAGGCCTGGGTGTCCGCAGATTAACAGATTTGCTAGTTAATTCGGCTGAAAATGCATTTGCCGGTGTTTTTAAAATCAGCCTCTGTTTCCTCTTTAGGTTAGCTTGGAATAAGTCAACTTGCTAGCATAATAAATGTCGTTAAATCATTAATAAAATGGATGCATTTTACATGGAGATTTTAAGTGTGTGTGTTTGATTCCAGACCGTACTCATGCTGCCGGCAGAATTACAGATGCCTTCGTGCCTTAGGTTGTATTACAAATACGGCGGTGAGGGATATTGGGGTGTAAGTAGCAAAGTTAGGGTGTATCCAGCAGGTCTCCATTTATCTATAGTATCATGTGACCTGCCACCCCTCTTAGGGCTTAGGGCCGAAAATCACCTGCGGCGGGGTGACTCAAAGTATTGACTCAAGAGCTGTTGTGACGACATATCAAACCATCATTAAGGTATGAAAGGGCCCACATCCCAGTGACATATTTTCAAGGTTGCCGATCAACTTATCTGACGTTTTCCGACAGCATCATGGCGGAATCCGAGTTGCCCACCCGTCCCAAGCCCGAGGAGACCCCCGCAGCTGCCCCCGCCGCGGAGGGCGAGACCAAGAACGCTGCGAAGAACGCTGCTAAGAAGGCCGCGAAGGAGAAGGCAAAGGCTGACAAGGCTGCCGCACGCGCTGCACAGGAGCAGGCCCAGGCCGCCGCAAAAGAAGCCAATGACACCGCTAAACACCTGTACGGTCCTCTTCCCGAAGCCGAGGACGTCACCCCCTCCACACGATTCAGCCAGCTCTCGGAAGATTCTTATGAGAAGGAGATCACCGTTGTCGCGCGTGTCGATAATGCTCGTGTCCAGAGTGCCAAGCTGGCGTTCCTGATGCTGCGTCAACAGGGCCAAAAGGTGCAGGCCGTCATTGCTCTCAATGAGCCCATCTCGCGCCAGATGATCAAATACACCGGTGGACTGAACGTCAACTCCATCGTCCGCATCACTGGTCTTGTCAAGAAGCCCGAGATTCCTATCTCATCTGCGACTATCCAGAACCTCGAGCTTCACATTCGCAAGGTGTACATGATCTCCGAGGCTGCTCAGATGCTTCCCATGCAGGTCAAGGATGCAGAGCGTCCCCCTCCCACCGAGGAGAAGGAGAATGAGGTTGATGAGTCCGGTGCCCCTATAGTCACTCTCAAGACTCGTCTCGACAACCGTGTTTTGGATCTGCAGACCGAGACCAGCCAGGCCATTACATGGATCTCCAGCGGTGTCAGCGAGCTTTTCGCTGAGTACATGATCAAGAGCGGCTCTCGTTGGATCTTCACCCCCAAGCTGGTCAACTCCGCCACTGAAGGTGGTAGCAACGTCTTCGAAGTCAAGTACTTCAAGCGCAATGGCTACTTGGCCCAGAGCCCTCAGCTGTACAAGCAGATGTGTATCGCCGGTGACATGGAGAACGTCTTCGAGATCGCTCCCGTGTTCCGTGCCGAGGACAGCAACACTCACCGTCACTTGACTGAGGTATGATCATTAGCACTGAAATGGACAACAGAATTGCATACTGACTTCTCTCTAGTTCTCCGGTCTCGATTTCGAAAAGACATTCGACCACCACTACCACGAGGTTCTTGGATTTGCTGAGGACCTGCTTGTCTTCATCCTTACCCAGCTTAAGGAGCGCTACTCCGCCCAGATCGCCACAATTCAGAAGTCCTACCCCAAGGCCGGTGACTTCAAGCTCCCCAAGAATGGCAAGGCCCTGCGTCTGAACTACATGGATGGTGTTGCGCTGCTGAAGGAGGCTGGCGTTGACATGTCCGAGCAAGAGCGCTTCGAGAACGACTTCAGCACTGCTATGGAGAAGCAGCTTGGCCAGATCATCCGCGACAAGTACGACACTGACTTCTATGTCCTGGATAAGTTCCCCATGGCTGTGCGTCCATTCTACACCAAAGCCGATCCCAAGGATGCCCGCTTCTCCAACTCATATGACTTCTTCATGCGTGGTGAGGAGATCATGTCCGGTGCCCAGCGTATTCACAACATTGATGAGCTCGAGGCTTCCATGCGCTCCAAGGGTCTCGACCCTACTCAGGAGGGCTTCGAGGATTACCTCAATGCTTTCCGTCAAGGATGTCCTCCTCACGCTGGTGGTGGTCTGGGTCTGAACCGTATTGTGATGTTCTTCCTGGGTCTGCCTAATGTACGACTTGCGTCCCTGTTCCCTCGTGACCCTCAGCGTCTGCGACCATAGAGGCAGCGCTATATTTGTGTAGATAGTGTTGAAAAAGAAAATGCATTCAATGCGACGGTTATCGCAATTTTTATTACCGAGCTATATCCACGAATTATATCCGGTTTATTTGCAGTAACGGGCTTTTTGTCCCGGTCGCAACTATTTGCCCCGGTCGCAAGTCTGAAAAGGCCCAGGTGGGGTGGACTCTCGCTTGTGACGACGTCTGAAGGTATGGAAACTCGTGGATAATGGAAAGGAAGCCCTAACATTTTGATAGAGAGTCAGCCATATTCAATTGATCGATATGGGCGAGGTATCATTGCATTGCATTGCAAATGGCCTCACTGAGTTGACATGAATCACAAGAATACCAATTTGAGTGGTAAATCAAAAATAAACACCCAATCTCACTGTTTCACTTTGTCGCTCATAATCTGGGTGTAGATGCATGTGAATATCAACTCAGAAAAATGCGTCAAGACCGCCTGAAAAAAAATCATCAATCATCCAATATTCCAAATAGCAAAAACTCACCCCAGGGGGGACCCTGAGGCTACAAAACCCGAAGGTTTATATGAGAGGTGTACTGAAGGCCGTTGGTGTACTAAGCCGACTTTTCCTGTTCCCTCCCGGGAAGGCACAAGGCACTCAGGTGTATCTCTCCAACCTTTGTAAGTGATAGTTGCCTATCACAGAAGGTCGAACGGGTCTCGCTTGAACGCTGTAACGGTAAACCGCTACGCCACTCACCCGCGTTAAAATATACATGGTCGAATTTGATATTTATTGACACCCCCAACGCTCTTTTAGGCATGTGGAGAGCTATGTGGGGCTGATTTTTTTCTCCACTTGATGTCAAATTATGCGGGAAGGTCCGGGGTATGCTGTGAAAGGACTTTTCGCGCGAAAATCATTGGTGGGTGGGTGAATTGGGGGTGATTGGTGTTTCACAGCGTTAAGTCGGTGCCTTGGGCTGTGAAGCTATTCCCGCCTTGAACCGGTTACTGCGGGCAGCGCCGGTGAGGTCTTTTGATCTCACTTTTTTTGAGGAATTGTATTTTTTTTGATCGGAAATGTTTTAGATGATGATGAAGTCGTTTTTTAGGGTGTATTTTCTCGAGAATCGAGTTTGTATTGGGCAAAAATTCCTTGTTCAAGTTAGGGCTCGCTGCACAGCAATATATCCTATATATATTTGTATGGAGTAGCTCCACAGCTCGAGTCAACTTTCTGTACAACTCTTCCGAACTCTTAAGAATCGCGAATTTAAGTGATCCAATTGAAAGCCCAATGTGTTGCAACTTATTTCCAATCGTCGAAATAGCCATACAAAGATGTTGCCCTAAGACAATTCTAGAATCCATCACAGTCTTCCCTACTGCGCCCATATAAGTCCAGCGATTCCCCATACAAAACCAAGCTTCAGTCAGTTAGTGCAGACAAAAATGCCCGAAAAAGCGGAAAATTTAGCCTGAATAACCGCCGATCCCGTCTGAAGTCCTCTTCAGCCAAAAGTCACCCCCAAAGGCTATACAGCACCTGGGCATCGCTAAAGAGTCGAAATGCGAGAAAACAAATGCATGAGATTGGGCTCGAGCCGGACTTGAACCGCGAGTCTGTCCGTATAGGGAAATTTGTTTATTTGGTGTTTCGTGAGGCAATTGCCAATTGTGAATTTTGTAGAAATGTCTCTAACCCGGCAACGGGAGGTTGAACCGTGGATTCACTATTTACTCCGGGTTTCTCGGTATACCCTTTTTGGCCTGGTACTTGTCCCATATGGCGACAGTTGTTTAGCTGCATACATAAGGAAATGCAGATCAATTTCGCGAGGTAATTTGAAAGGTGGAGTCATGTCAATTCGGATATCCTTGGCGAACTGTCGAGTGCCAATTACAATCCTGTAACTATCTTGAGATCGCTCCAGAAAATGTGTTTATGACTTTCACCCGCGATATTCAAATTAATCTCCCATCTCTGTACTTGGTTATTTTTGATGCAATACGTCTTGAAATCGGGAGAAATATCTTGAACGTTTTCAGAAAGACGCCGGTCTTCGGAAAATAGGCCCGTAGGACGAAGGACCAATTGGAATTTCTTTCCAATGTGCATGATATTCGATTCTTCCCCTGTCATTATGAAGAGTGGATCTTCAAGCTCCCTGAAAGCCTGTCCAAGGTTCAGGTTGGTTTCATTCCAGTACATGGTGGCTTCGGAGGACTTCGAGATTTTCCTAGGCACAGAAAGAGCTGTTCGACTTCTAATAAACATTTCCGCACTCTCAAGTTGGAAGTTCTGTGGGGTGTCATGCAAGTTAACACTCGTGTTTTCAGGCCTCTTCTTTATTTCTAATTGAACGGGGATTGGGTCCGAATCATTGAGTTGAATGACAGTTGGAATTGCGAGAGACACAGTATATTGACACTTAGGCACAATTGACGGATTCCAGAATCGTTGCATCTTCTGCGTCAATGATAAAGACATGTTTTCCATTCTTGGTAAGAGTCGATAGCTTTGAATGATATTCGACTGGTGCAATGTATTTGTCATATGGCGATTACTCGCTACCTCCGGTGGATTCCGCAGACTAACTCGATGAATAGCTCTGAAAGACTCAGGTCGACCTTTACTTTTGTAATTCAGGTGCGCGATGAGAAAATACTCCACGAATCCTCGAGTATTTGTAGCTGTGTCAGCGGCGAAGAAAGTTCCTGGGAGAACTTGATACTCTCGATTGGCCTTGTCGAGAGGAAGAAAGCTTGCTTCGGGTCGGTGTCCTTCTGTACATGATTGTACGGGATTAAGAGGGATGTTGACGGAGAATTGCCAGGTAAGAGTCTCATTGCTGTCTTCGGCTAGATGCATGGGTCCTTTGTATAGGACCCTTTGGGCGGGATCCAATAAGTTCCAGTAATCATGGTAAGATGGGTTTTTAGATTTTTTAAAGAGCTCGATCTGAGCGGAGCCTCTTAATGATATTGTTATTGTCGCTTCTGGAGTGACAATTGGAGTCTTGCGTACTAGGTTGCCGGTTATGGTGTCGCCTGCTGTGAATAGCCAGTCTGGAGGTGCAGCAAGGTCGAAGTTGAATTGATCAGTTCCAAAATCTGACCTTGGAGGCATGTTTGGTAGATGTCATGAGGAGAAGGTATGGCCATGACTTATGTGGCCGGGGTACAAGCTGTTGGGCAGATCAGTCTAGTCCAATGCAGCTCAGGGGAGATGGGGATGGGGCCGTCAAATTGGGGCCAAGAATGACTCGTGCTGTTTGTTTCCGAGTGTGTTTCCCTGGGATTCACCCATGAATGCTTCAATCGAGGAGACAATATTTTCGCTCAATGCCATAACAGAAAACTGGCAGTCAATCCATACCAATTCAAGTGGTTTTATTGTCGCCAAGGGTTGTTCGGGTTGCATAGCTGTAGCTGAACATACAAGACCTTGTGGGGCTTCGGGCTTGTGGGTCTTTGCGGTGGATAACGGGGTCTATAAATAAATAAATAGTACATAGGAATCAGTCAAACTGAACAGTATCGGTTGATTTGCATGACTATTTTCACAACTTTTAGTACTGTCGATGACTTCATCTTGGAATGTGTCTTGGTCAGAATATTCCGAATGCTAGCGTCGACATTTTTAGTGGGTCATCAACTCTTGACGATGGGGCTTTTGTAAGTCTCATATAGCAGCCAAAACAAAAAGAAACGAAAAAAGGGAAAGTGAAAGCGAAAGAGAAAGAAAGGAAAAAGCACCGGGGGGTTTCGAACCCTCGAACTTTTAACTTGTTGAATCCAAATGGATTGGATTCTGCCCAAAAAGCATGCCGCTTTCCACCCATTGTGAGAAGACATTATCACTCCATGGGGGGAGGAGTAACCTACCCTCGTCCCTGGGGGCAGCAGAAAAAGCTGAATTAGTACGCCAACGGTCAGCGGCGGAAAATCTTCCAGAATACCTTTGGGTTTAGATGTGCTCAACTACCACACCACATCAGCTTTTTTGAGAGATGGTTCCGATGCTATTATTCTGATCAAAATGATCAAGTCTCAAACTATTAAAAATAACAGAGAATTTGAGAGCTTTAACAAATTCTAAATCGAGGAAAAGAGTACTAACGTTTACTCTCTATTATATCGCTATTTACCATAAGCTATACTTAAATAAAGAAGCAAGTCAAAATACCATTCAAAAGACAATTCAAAAGTACCTATAGGATACCTTTTTTGTGAAGTGGTTAGGGTGAAGAGGATGAGCGGAGGTAGTACATCACAGTGGGCTCTAGGTACCGCTATTCGCGGGCGAAGGGAGTGTAGCGTTGGATGGCGTCTTGAGTAGTTGTGTCGGGCCCTAGGACCCAATTCTCCCTGGTGGCCTGGCGTTGCTTCCAGCGAGGCTGGCCTACGCAGCAGTAGTTAGCCACACCCTACTCCGGTAGTGGCAGTGGCACTCACCTGCGTGTCTCGTCTTCCAAAAACGTGACAGACTTGAGGTTCTACGGTAGAACAAGCCTAGCAATTCTTTCCTGAGATGCGCATAACCTCCAATCTCGCCGTAGTTGAGAGTACGCTAGAGCTCACACTCGAGGATCTTGGGGATGACAGCATAACGGCGCGGGCTGGGTCTAGGAAGACCCGAGTCACCACTATCTCAGACAACGATAGGTACGCGTCCAATAACCTATAGGACGGCTTCAGACAGCTTGCGATATCCACCACCGACTACTGTACGCAGATTCAACCAATCATATTTTTCAGCCGCATGCTGATACCCGCAGAATATTACTACTTATTGGGCGACGGAGTTGAAGGGGCGTTCAAGTGACGTCAGGCCACGTTCTCTAAGTCGTCCGGCTTAGGTACGGATCAACTGATGCTCGCGGACGTGGGCCACTCTAGCGCGGCCTCTCACTGCGCTTAATGCTTATTGTAACATACTCTGGGGCGTGAGGTTTACTCGGTGAGCAGAAAGCGTGGAAAGGGGTAGCCAAGATTTGCCAGACATTATCCGATATACTGTATGGCTCTGTGGTGGATCCCCGATAAGGCACGATAAGCATGGATAAGCTATGCTAACTGCCGTCAAGCTCCATTCTTTTTCAACATCGCGATGCCCAACAAACGAAAAGCATCCATGGCTCCCCCCTCTTACAAAAGGCCCCGCATCTCATATGAGGACGAAGAAGATCAGTCTTCTTCTGTGACACCTTACGAGAAGCCTGTCAACCACCCACTCTATGGCCAGAAGAACGCGTTCCCAGGTCTGGACGATGGGGGCGACGAACTCTGCTACGGCGACGCAGATGATGGGCTAGAATACCTACGCATGGTTAGGTGAGTTTTGTGATTTTTTCCCGAAATCCTTGGTCGATGTTTATCACCTGCTAAACATCGCCAAGTGATCCCCATCGTTTTGGTTTTCCTGTGCGCCGTGGAACATTATCTAACCTTGCTGCATGAGCTTCTAGATCCGAGGCGAGTGCATTACCGTCGCTATTTAGCGCACAGAGCTCAAAAGGAGATAACGATTCAAAACCCTCAACGACTACAACTATCACCGAAACAAAAGCTCCATCCTTTCCGCCCGGATTCTTCGATAAGGAAGAGGCATTCGTCGCCCCGGTTGAGCACACTAAAACGACGGTCGCTACATCGCAAGAACTATACCCCGAAGCACAATCTGCATACTATAACCTCCTTCGACATCGATTCCTTCTCCTCCGATCTACCCTAAAATGTTCCCCTCCAGCTGCTGTCATCGTGGCTCTTGATGACGCCCACCCGATCAGTCTCCCACGCAGAGTCGAGGCTGCGCGTAAGGAATGGCGACGACTTGTCATGTCCGTGGAGCCACAAATGGCGCAGTTAGCCTGTATGGACATGGACAGTGTGTTTGGTGTTCTGCAAATAATGGCGCGCATGATGTCCGACGTGCTGCGAAGTGGAGACGCCGAGAAGATTCGACGCATCGGTGCATGGGCCTGGGGCCTGCTAGGAAAGTGTCGGGAAATTGGCGAATTATCTACAGCAGAGGTCGGAGACATCCGCGACCTCGGGAAACGGGCTGCGAAGATTTTGCAAAAAATCCGGGAAGCGGATGATACCATGCAGATGGAAGATGAGGAACTGCCTGGCTCAGAATCCGGGGAAGAAGAACAGCCCCAGGAGGAAGTTTCAGCAGGAGGAGATGAACCTGAAGGCCAGACGACGCAGACGGAGATTGAGAGCGGCAATGACGCAAATATGGCTGATGCAGTAGACGAGACTGCCGAGTTGGAGGCGGCTAAGGCGCGACTTCAAGCCAAGATGCAAGATAGCGGGGACAGTGAAGTCGATACAGACAGTGATTCTGTAGCGAAACAGACTCGTGCTATGCTTGATATGGTCATCATGGTGGTTGGTGAGTTTTATGGTCAACGCGACCTTTTAGACTCGCGGGATGTGTGGACTGTTTCAGTTTGATATATCCAGCTTTGAGAGAAATAAGATACCCCCATTGGAAATATACCAATCCAACTTCTTTATACTTGCATACATTCGGATTTTCTGGCAACTACCGCTACCTCGAACGGCGTTAGTCCGAGATCTGGAAAACTGAGCTCCGAGAATGAAGATTGGCGAAAACAAGGCTCATAGTCTGGCCAGTCAACCCGCGGTCCAAGCCATATGATCAACTCGACGGCATTATCACCATATGTATCCATATATCTTGAAATCAGCTTAGGATCTCGCGGGTAGACAAACATCCACGCTGTGGCATGTTGAGCAAAAGAATACAAGCCCCATGTCCCGGGCACAACATGCATGTCTTCTTCGGCTATGTAACGGTTGACGGATGAGCTTACTTCCACGCCGTGGACAGAGACATCTTCATCGCTGTGAGAAACTAGACCTTCTAGTAGGCCTTGTCCACTGCCAATGGACAATGTGAATGCCGGCTTCTTGGGTAGGATGGAGATTAGAGATGTAATGAATGTTCTGGAAATGGCTAGGCAACAGTCGGGAAATCGTGTGGGTGATGACGATAATTCACTGATCATCTGGGTTACATCCATTTTGTCCAGTTGATGTATGCCTGAATCGAGGATTCAGATGCATAGGAAAGATGAAAGATGCAGATGCAAATTTGCTGATATTGATCAGCTGCTTTCCGTATATAGTATAGCGGTAAATGTGGTACGTGTCTTTCTCCAGGCCGCTCTATACTGTAAAATATAAAAACATGTTGTATGGTGCTTCGGTTATCGTGGGAGATGTCTATTTCTGCTGCTAAAAAAAGCAGTGTAGCAATTAAAAGTGCTCAAAATATTCTTTATAGCTAAAACATGTACCAAAAGGTCTATTTTGACGGGTTCATGATCTAGAGTGTTGCGTGTCGGTACCCCCAGGCACAGGACCAGATCTTGGGACCAAAATACGGTATTACAGTTACCACGTCAGGCTCAATCTAGACTAAACCGATTCCGGTTCTTGCGTCATGCGAGCTACTCACGCTATCTTTAATGCTTATCAACTGTTGATCGCTTTCTCCTCTCAACTTTCCTCTTGACAACTCTTCACCATGGCCCCAACAGTCGAAATTGCTATACCTACAACATCCCTCTCACAAAATACCCCTCAACACACCCTCTACCACATAACTCTCCGTCTTCCGCTACGGTCCTTTGCCGTCACCAAGCGTTACTCCGACTTCTCTGCATTTCACGCAACGCTGATCAGCCAAACCAATGCCCAACCCCCAGCTTCCCTCCCCGCAAAATCCTGGTTCACCAATACAGTCTCCAACGAGCGCCTACGCGAAGAGCGACGACTAGGTCTTCAAGATTATCTCCAAGCTATAAATGAATCTCCGGACGCCCGATGGCGCTCCTCTCCAGCGTGGCGTGCATTCCTGAATCTCCCCACCGCGGCAGTCTCTGCAGCATCAACAACCAGCAGCATCTCCTCTAGGCTCCACGCGACCATAACAGACCCCGGAAATGGGGTTAACTCCGCCATCAACGACCCCACGCTTTGGCTTGACTTCTTCCGTAACATGAAATCTCATCTCCACGATGCTCGACTGGCTCTTTCACGCCGCGACCAAGAAACAGTGCCCCAGAAACAGCATGAGAGCTCTGCGCAAGCAAAAAGTAACCTTGTCCGTGCGACTTCTATGATATCTACACTGGAAGAAGGTCTTGTGAATCTTAGTGGTCGGGGGCAGTCGTCTAAAAAGGATTCCGCTGCACCTTCTCTCGGAGAAGGCGAGTTACGCCGTAGAAAAGATTTGCTTATTAATGCACGGAAAGAGAAAGATGGACTGGAGAATTTGTTACATGCTATGGCGGCGAAGAGCCAGCTTGATAATGCCGTCGCCTCGGTTAAAGATAAGGATGCGCTTTTGAAGGTTGGGAGTGCTTCGGCGGCAGAGAATGGGCGTCGCGCGCCGGCAAAGTCAGGCAGAGTGCTCGGGAAGGAGACGGAGCGGACTCGTGAACTTGATAATCAGGGCGTACTGCAGTTGCAGAAGCAAGTTATGCAAGAGCAGGATGCAGGCGTTGAAGAATTGATGAAGGTTATTATTCGACAGAAAGAGCTGGGAATTGCTATCCATGATGAGTTGGAGGTGCAGAATGAGTTGTTGAAGTTGGCGGATGAAGATACGGACCGGTCGGTTTCCCTTCTATCGTTTGAGGTATATGCATGTCTTGTGTTTTTACTAACTTTTATCTTAGTTTGCAAGCAAAGCTCGACATTGGCAAGAAGCGCATTGGGAAGATTTCTTGAAGAGGCTTTTCTTCTTACGATATACATATTTGGCATTTCATGCATTTCATTCTCAGTTGAGCGTTACTTGGCACGTGGATTATACTTTATTCTTGATTCCCAGCACGGGCGACGGTTTTTATCTCTTTCAGATAGATTAACTTCACTATCTATTTATCTTCGAAGCAAAAAAGAACTCCCATAGATGATCTTGTAGATGAAATAACAAATTCGCTCATAGTAGGAATCGCGATAGAAAGGCAGAAAAATAATGGATGAAAGGCCGAAAGGCCGACGGCATTTAAGATGGAACAAGGAACTTCGTAATCAAGTCAGTACAACTTCGATACTAAAAGGCTTATCTCAAAGAGATATCAACTTACTGCAGCTGCCTCGTCCGCTAAAACCTCCGACCTCTCTGATATATCCTGATCGATAAGTCCCAGCTTACCCTTTCGAATAAGCCACCAAAGCTCCTTTCGATCCCCACCGAGCTTCTCGCCTAGGATCTTCTCTTTTAGATCTCGCACAAGCTCATTGTACAAGGCAGGCTCTTCATATTCCACCAACTCCTCTCGCATAGTCCCCAGTCCCTCGACAACGCGCTCATAGTTTGCATCGCCTAGACTGTGCTTGATCTGGTTCTCAATGATATCGCTCATCTGCTTGGCAGCATCGTCTATAGTCTCGACATTATCAGCACGAGAGAGAAACTGTTTGAACTCTGGAATTGCGTTTTCGGGCGAGATTTTGGCTCGCTTAGGTTCAAGGTTGAGGAGGGCATCGACGTCCAGACCGGAGAGTGGCTTCTCGGCTTCACGGTTGCGTTTGCGGCCTTTGGTTTTGGGTGGGACTAATTATCTTGGGTTAAATTTTTCTTTCTTTCTTTGGTATTGATTTATGTTTTGTAGTTTTCTCACCTTTCTTGACATCCGCTGCAGCGATAAGGTTCTCTAGTTTTTGTTTTGACTTGTTCACTAGATCTTCCTCCGGGTGGGAGAATCTAGTGAGCGTTGCAGATGGTTCCTGGATAGGATCTTCGGGGTGCACTGCTCGCCATTTTATTGCCGACTGAATACGGTGTAGTACCGGGGAGTAGGAGAAGTCGATTGGTAATTCGTCCATGGTGTCTCTGGTAGATTTGATCAGCTACTTTTTCCAAGTTTATCAATGATATTAGTTCGGCTCACCCGTCGTCGTCTTTGATATTCAGCTCCATGCTATCCACAAACTGGTCCATGCTCTCTTGTAGACTGGCGGTTGGAAGATTGCGATGCTCGGTGACAATTTTGCCTGATACGGTGGCAACCTTGTCTAGACTTGGAAATCGGTATGTTCGCAGATCCTCTGTATATGGCAGCGGGGCTTCCAAAAGACATTCAAAATCGTGTGCCATGTAGGGCGCCAGAAGCACAAGAATTGGCGGCTTGGCTTCCTTAATCACTAGCCGAGCCACTGCGTAGTCCTCTGCCTCATAAAGTGCATGGATTAAAGAGGACAACGCAAGGGAGCCTTTTTTGTTTCCTTTGGATGCGGTGATAAAGCTGACTTGGGAGATTTGTAAATAGCGATCGTACTGTATGATAGAATTAGTATAAGGGAGGGATATCTCGGTTATTAAATAGACATACTTTGTTTTGGTCAATGAAGCCAATGATATCCAGGCCGGCGTAGGTAGTCAGTGAGGTGATATTCTCATCTGCTTCACTGATATGCACAGCCGTCCGTCCATACTCATAGCCCTTTGCTAAATCATCGCGCTCAACATCTACCTTGCCCCCTGGGGCTGACTCGTCGTCAATCTGATATGTTCGCGACATTCGAACGCTAGTCATTGAATCGGCTTGACCGGCTTCTTGTGTGGCTGAAGGGCCGCCATCTTGACCGGCCTTTGTGCCAGATTGCGGAACGAATGAACTTGCCGAGGGAGGTTTGGCGACGGAAGTTTTGTAGCAGCGCTCAACTGGAATTCGTAACGCTGTTTCGTATTTCCCTGGGTCACCAAGAGTGAGGAATCCTTTGAATGTGGGAACAATCCTAACGTCTTTGGTTTCAGGAATGTCCACATTCGCAACAGCATTCTCCAAGGTCGCGAAGGTTCCGCCGGGACAATCGCTGGCGAGATCACGAAGAAATTTTTCATTAAGTGCCTATACGATTAGCATGAGGGTGGTACAACGTCGAATCTTTTGGTTTGGACATACCTTTCTTTCATCCTTGTCTTCTTCTTTTACTCCCCATTCAACATCATCGAAATCAGGACCACTGGGCCGAGTTAGTAAAATTAAGAAAGACACAAATTATCAAACATCATACAAAATGAATAACTCAATATTATCTTCTTTCATCTTGTCTTTGATGTCATTCACGTTGTCCGGGTCAATTAAACCGGTGCCATTGGTAATCAGCACGATTTTGCGCTTGTACTTGAGTTTCCGGCAATGGGTGCTGATCATATGGATGGCCAAAACCAGAGCAGAAATAGCTGGTGATTATATGTCAGTTGAGATAATCTTGAACGGAATTGGGCCTGCCTTGCGTACCATCTCCCTTGTAAGTATGGCTTGGCTGAATTGCATTTTGCAGTTTTCGAATATCAGGCATGAGAAATCTATACACCATGTTAGCTTGGTCAATTCGTCAAGATTAGAAAGCCCAGCAGTCACATACTGTTTGAGAGGAGAAATTACTGAAATGTTGGCGAAACTGTCTTCATCTTGAAGCTCATTCGATGTGTCTAGCAATCGACACGTTAGATTCTCTGGATGTGCCGGGAAATTGAATTGACATGTTACCATCAGCCCGCAGGGCAATAACTCCGACATTGGCCGTTTTCCGACCGGTAGAAACCTATTGAGAGCTATTAGCTTCGAACATTTCTTTGATTGCGAGTCACATACGGTGGTGGTGATTTTGTCCCAGACATATTGCATGGCCCATTCGAGATCTGTTATGGAGCGACCATGGCGTTTTTCTCCCATAGACCTCGCGACATCCACGATGTAGACTGTAGCCTCTTTGTCTGCCATTTTGAAGATGAAAAAGAATGTAGGTCTGAGGAGAAGATTCAGCTAGGTAGAAGTACAGCAAGTAGAACAGGCAGACGCGTGATATTTCCTTTTTAGTCTAGCGCCGAACGCGAGCACATGACATCACCTTATTGCCGTGGTATTTGTAGGTTGTGCGTGTGCGGGAAGTAAATAGTGGATATAGGTGCGTGGATATAAATATGAGCAAGGATATTTCCGTGGAAATATACATCACATTACTCATGGAGCTAGCTCCTCAGCTTTCCCCTACGTCCTGCCATATAAACTCTGGTACTACATCTTCCATCTGTATATATATACTACTGTTAGACGCCGAGCAACAGCAATATGAACGACCCCCGACCTTACCACTTCATTGGGTACGTTCTCAGTCTCAGACGCCCAAACGGAAAAGAAGATCTGTTCAAACTGAAAATTGCTAACACATTTGCAATAGCTACGGGACTCTCTTGGGAACCCAGTTCTTCCAGGTGAGCTCAGCTTTCAAAGAAGAATTAGTTTAGGATGATACATACGGAGCCTTGACCAACTAACGTCAGACTAGTCCTTCATAGCCGGACCGGTCGCATTCCGCGCCTTGCCGCGGCCGCAGTTTGCTTCTTTGCAATCTGCCATCTTTCCCGTCTACTTCTCTCTACAGACTGCGCTTCCCGTGGCTATAGCCTTGACTGCTAGCAAGGGCGGACAGGCACTTGGTATCTCGGGCCTTGTAGCACCGGAGAACCGCTACAGCACCCTAGTGCCCCTTGCTACCATTGCCGTCACAGGTCTAATCAACAATGTCTTTTTGCGCCCACTCACCATCAAGATTATGCGCGAGAGGAAGCACCAGGGTATGTATTTCAAATATATGAGCATAAAACTGATCTCCAAATGTCTGACTTCTTTAGAAACCCGCGATGGCAAGAAGAGCTATGACCCTGCACCACACTCGAAGGAGATGGTCGCCTTGAACAAGCGTTTCGGCCGTGTCCATGGTATTTCAGCATTGATCAACCTGGCTGCTTTTGCTGCTACACTTTACTATGGTGCTGTCCTTAGCAAGAGACTTGACTAAGAAAAGGAGGCGATTGGGTCATACCTGCGTCTGCATTTTGGAAGTAAATACGCATCTGCATCTCGAGATGTGTTTTGAAATTGGCAAACATTTTAAGATTTCAATTACGAAGGACTATGGCGTCCAGAGGGACACACTCTTCGCCATATATGACCTTGACGGCCTAGTAAAGCAGCATCTGTACTGCAAACTCTGAATAGATACATCGTAGAGAAAGAAGTAGAAAAACAAGTCAAAGGAGAAATGGAAAGACAGGTAGAAAACTATTTTTATAGATGTTTTAAAGATATTTCTTAGAATAGTAAGATTGAAAATCAATTTGCCAAAACTACCTAGTACTTTATCTTCCAAGCTTAACCGTCCAAGGTTGGTTAAGAGTATCATGCACATGTGGAGTGTCCCTATATTACAAATATTGTAGTTTAGTACTGCTTATCAAATTCCGGAAACACACCCAATGGACACAATCCAAGTGTCACTAAATCTACTTTGATGCCGTATCGCCGACCTCTGCAAGACGTTCAGCGCCCTGATAGAACTTAGGCAACGGCTCCAGCTTTTGGCGGAGGATCCAGACACGGAAGTGCCATATAGAATTTCTAATCTGGTATGCTGCATGCTTTCTCGTAGAAACAGAGAAAACTTGGTCCAATTCCTCTAGGGTCAGTGCTAAGTAATCAAAATGGTTAGTATATAGCTATGCAGCTGGAGAAGATGGTAACTCACATTTTGTCTCCGGAACAAAAAGTAGAATTAGGAACCAGCCAATGATACACCAAGCTGCATACCATGCAAACGCTCCTTGGGGTTTAAAGGTATCAAGAAGATGAGGCCACGTGAAGGATAAAATGAAGTTAAAGCACCAAGTTGTTGCTGTTGCCCACGACATGCCTACCTCTCGAACGTGCAGAGGAAATGCTTCAGCAGAGTAGGTAAACGGGACAGGTCCTTCACCTGGAGAATAGAAGACTTCGAAAAGATACATTCCTGTCGTTACCATTGCAATCCTCTTGTGGCCGTCGTTAGGATTAATCCAAAAGGAGAAACCCGTCCAGAGCAGACAGATGGCTAGGAAAGGAAATGTGAATAGTAACAGATTTCGGCGGCCCCAAGTATCGATGGTGAAGACGGCGGGTAGCGCAAAGACCCAATTAAGAATTCCAGTGCCCATAGATGCTAGAAGTGCGTCGGACATGCTGTATCCAGAATCCAGAAAAATAGTGGTAGAGTAATAGGCAATCACGTTGACACCACAGAACTGCTGCATGAACATCACGATCCAGCTGGCTAGAGTAGCACGACGGTTGCGTGGAATAGTGAAGAGTTCCATGAACATGCTAAAGAAGTTTTTGCCCTTGTTAATCTCCCGCTCGAGCTCTACACCAACGTAGGCATAGTAAAGGTCTCGTGCGGCCTGAAGATCTGTAGGTCGGAGAATCTTGAAATTGATATATGCCTTATTAATCTTGTCTTGCTGGATGAGCCATCTGGGCGACTCGGGGCAAATATAGACCTGAGCACAGACGATCAATGGAAGAACAACCGTAGATCCTAGCATGAGACGCCAATTGAGGTCATTCCCGACGTTCATGAATGCAACACCCATGATATTACCAAGCATGATCCCAAATGCTGTCCACATCTGCCACATCATGACTAGCGCACCACGAATGGGGGCTGGAGAGCACTCGGCTGCGTAAATTGGAACAGTTGTGGACTTTGAACCAATGCCAAGTCCCAGCACAAACCGAGCGATGAATAGGTTTACCCATGAGTTGGCAACACCTTCCCATACCGATGCGATGGCCGCAATTAAACAAGAGATGAATATAGTACCGCGCCGAGCAAAGTATCGGTTTAAGGGCTCAGTAAGCCAGCAGCCAAGGATTGCACAGGCTAAATATGGTGCACCGACGACTAGACCAGTAAGATTGTCACTGTTTTCAATGCCAAATCGCTGGTTTGAACCTGTTAGCATGATAACAAGCGATATAGTCTAGCATGGTTCTCAACTACCTTGAGATAAAAAGCTTGAGCACCGTTATTGACCGTCTCGTCCATTCCCTGCACAGCAGCAGCCAAAGAGCACATAACTAGCAAAGGAGATTAGTTGTGACACAGGGAAGCGGTTCATTTAGACCTACTTGCGAGCCAATATAACTGCCATGGCTGATGCCACTTGTGCGTATGCTCCCGAACAAGAGCCTCCCTCTCATGCTCATTCAGCTCGGGCAATTGTGTTGCGGTCTCAGGATTTTGTGAGATCAATGCGCCCTTCTTAAAAGTTTCGAGATCATCTAGGAGGTCGAACTTCCTGCAGAATGCCTCGACATCTGCAAATAGCTGATCACGAGGGATATCGGCCAAAGGGTTCTGAAAAACGGCATTCAATTGATTCGGGTCCCGGGACTCAAGGTCGACATGTCCACTGTCTCTTTTCTCTTTATGCTCATATGATGGTGGGTTGTCAGTCTTACCATTGGAATCCTCGCCGGAGTCCATAATTTCTCCTTCTTTCATTGTGTTCATTGTGAAGATTGACCTGTGCCTAGGATTGTTTCTTGAAATTTAAACAGTGGAAGAAATAGATAGTAGCGGGTAGAGAATCGCCCATCCGAAGTATGAGGGGAAAGGTCATACTACAAGAAAAGTGGGCTCTGGGGATAAAGTCCTTTTAATTTCATGATTGTCATTATGGACTAGGACAAAGCTGACATCTTACATTGAGCCAAAGCATGTTTTTTTTCATTAATTTCCCCTTTTATCAGTGAGTTATCGCAACACGGCCCGCGAATGGTAGTCTGGCAAACTTGCTCCAGATCCTAGTCCTGGAGTGTGGGGTCTCCCCGTCATCCAACGTGACCCAAAATGCATTTTTACTCGATCCTGCTTTCTCACCTCAGACTATATGTCCCACTCAAGGAGTCAAAGACTTGAAAGAGATCCAGCATATCTTTCAGAGCCATGGCTAGAAGGACGTGCGCGTTGTCATCGGGTACATTCAAATGCGGAGGTTGCCCATGGGGGTGGGTCACCACGCGAAAGCACACCAATGACATCGAAGACGCGGGGAAGCGTTGCAGACTCCTGTTATTCCACGAAAACCCTGGCCAAGCCTCAACCAGTCAGAGACAAGCAATACAAGCAATTAAAAAGTAACTAGTCCAGCTAGGAAAAGGATCCAGGAAACGATCATCAGCGGAGCGACCTATCATGCTACTGAGAACCCTGCATTACGTCACGAAAGCAGAAATTCGACAAAACCGCGGAGTGAAGGCCCTCTCAGATGTTGAAGTTGAGTCATGTCACCTTTGAGGTTTGGACCTTACCGCCATAGGACTTTCGCGCCGCTGACGAGCGGGCTGACTCCTTCGTCCAACTATCTCGAACGCCCAACGGTAACATCATATCTTGGTTCCGCCAAGAGCCGCCTCAGTACATAGACCTTCGCGTGGCTTACGGCAGTGACTTTCCGAAACGCCTCCCGCTGATTTGTGGATTTGGCCCCTCCTAGGTTACCCATACTGAGTCAAGCACGCGACGACTCAGAAGCAGGAGAGGATACCGACCGGCGAGAAATCCGAACCGGTTTGCTACACCAATCAAAAACCGTTTGACCTTGCATTCCCGGTTCGATGTTCGGCCGAAACCCGAAGAGGTGCTTTGTTGCGCTCTGGCGGTCTAAGTGTATCTTGCCGTGTCAAGTTGCAGAGGCCCTTGCCTACTTCGATCGGCCACTCCTAAGCGAGAAGGATCCCTAGTGCAGCCAGACTGTGGTCGCTGCTTTCAAAGTAAAACTCATAGAGAACGGGGATCCTGAGACATGTGCCTATTAAGAAGCTATCTGACAATAGCTATCTAATAAACTTTTTGCTCTCCCAAATACCTTACAGCCAATACAAATCGGATATAGGGGACAAATCTCCGGCGCAGTCTTTTAAAACGCAATGAGGTGGTTGCAAGCCCATATTTTCTACCACTTAAGAAGAACTTGAAGGACCATGCTATTTATGTGTTGTATTAGATGCTTTTAGACCTGAAACAATATTCAAACATTGACAAAGGACTCTTCCAAGGTTCTAAGCAACGTCCGTCCGGATAGAGCGCATATGCAACGAAGAAGCCATACGAGAGGCATTAAATGAAGGTAAAATGTGGAAAGAGCTTTGAATCTAGAGCCTATATTTTAAGCTATGTAAGTAGTACGGCATCCCTGAGTTTGATGTACCTAATCCTGATAGTTTGGCAAAACAATGACTCGCAATTACCCGGCTCGGAAAGATACAGCAATTTTTAGTGTAGACAATGGCAATAGGTGAAGATAACACCACAATACAAATTCGTAGCGCCCATTCAATTCAAAATTCATGTTTGATCACCCTTTGTTGGGCTACTAAGTTCATAAATAGCTGTCCATGGGTCTAAGGACATGAGATCCTAACCACGTCTATTTAACCTCCTTTGAACTTCAACCTTGGGACTTTAAGCGCCGTCATTATGAATTGGACACTACCTATCATCGTTTTCGTGTTAAGCAATCTCTGGGGACTCTATAGTGGAGTCCCATATACGGCAATTCAACCATCTCGTTCACTTTTTGATCGTACAATCGGGTCTTTTTATCTTGCCACTACCGTCCGCGCAATCGGGGAGACAGCAGAGTACTTCGGGGAAACAGGGAGCCATCTCCCCGTCGGAACAGAATGGACAACGTGCAATATCCCAATCAATTCAAACGCTACTCCAACGATGCCTCCGGTAGGAATTGATCCAAATGCCACAGTGAACCCTCGTGCCCTGCCCTTAAGATGCTGCCCTGCACCCGGCAATTGGATTGATCGTCTAATCAGTTGGCTAAGACAGAATACCCTGCCCACAAGAGAGCGCTCTGCACCCAGAAATTGGATTGATCGTCTAACCAGTTGGCTGAGACAGAATCAAAAAAGGGACAACCCACATGGTGCGGGTAGCGGTGACACAAAATTAGTTATCGTAGTCATAGCCGGTGCCATACTTTTCGTCGCTCTTGCTGAGACCAATCGGGGACAGGGAATCATCCGAGAGGGAATTGCAGATCTCATACAGAAACAAAGGAACGACATGGATGACGTTCAGGTTGTACTTGAGGATGTATTGCGTATGTCTCGTGCTATTCGAGGCGCGACCGCAAATATACAACGCGTGGCCCACGGCGAGCTCCAGCCAATACACGAAGAACTTCGAGGCCTTCGAGAGCTCCCCGGGGCATTCGGTCAACTTTTCCACACGTTAAGTGAAGGTATTCATTCAGAGTTCGCTGGAATCTCGGCAAACGTGGAAAGATTGATGCACGATGAATGCAGCAAGATCAACAATCGCCTAGATACGATACAGGCGGAGCTGAGACGAGCCTCGGCACAGGAAGGAATGCCTGTCCAGCAACACGCACGAATGTCTGAAGTTGCAGAATATACAGAAAATGTCAAATTTTGGAAGGAAACCTGGACCGAAGTCAAGGAAGAGGTTAAACGAACGGCAGAAGGGTTCAAAAGTAATATGAACGACATGCGGCTGAATGTAACAGAGCTGCAGGCGATCATCGATTCACTTCACCGGCAATTCTCGAGACTGCCGGAGACGATGGCACACGAACTGGCCAAAAATTTCAATGCCGCATTGAAGAAGCATGAGTTCAAAACCAGAAGTGAAATCGCGGAACCCAATGGTTCTAAACGATCCAATTCGATGCCATCAAATATCCCCCGAGATGAAAAGATCATAGATAACTATTGGAACGAAGAGTGTATACTCGATTCTTTGGATGTTATAGATCCGGAGGTTGATGCCCTTGAGCCACAGAATCTAGCAAATAGGGAATTTGAATCAGACCATGCAGAGTCAGAGCACCAAAAGGCCGAGATATTGAGCTTCGACCACGGCGGTTCACAGATGGAGCAAGGAGTGGAGGGTCAAGCATCTAATGGGAATTGAAGCTGAAGGTGTTGGAGGAGCTAGTTGTGCATTCTTTATGGTCAAATAAATTAGAGATGGGGTATCATGATTCAGTATTAATTCGTCATGCCGTCATTCGTAAAAAATGAATCGGATTTCTTTCCCATAGCTATTCTCACGGTATCATAAGGAATGACTGTAAGGAGGAATATGCGTAGAAGCCGATGGTGATCACGAACCGGCGTCTTCGACGAGATATTTTCGACATGCCGTTTTTAACATATCAATCCGCCTCTGAGTATGAATAAAGACCTCCCGGTACATATCAAGACTCTGCTGCACTACCTCTTGTCGAGTCTTCGTGCCTGCGCAGATCTCAAGCATTCGTAGTTCCATCTCCTTTCGTAGAAACGGTTTGCTCAAAGAAATACTATTCGGGAGGCCTGAAACAACGTTGTCGTATCCTTCAACAAGCGCAATTCCCAGCCGAGTTGGTATGAGCTCTTCAACCGAAGTTCGTCCGCTTCCTCGTTTATTAGTCACGACGTATTCACGATCTTTGATCTTGGCGATATGCTCTGCCATGGTTGCGTCAGTGCCAATACCATTGGCATCCATAAGACCAATAAGCTCTGGTTCCGTCAAATAGTTCGGTGCAGTAGTCTTGCCCTCGAATATGTTCGCCTCGGTAGGCTGGAAGGTCTCTCCCCTCTCAAAGGTTGGGAGTTCTTGACTGCTCTCCCACTTGTCATAGACGTAGACGTCGAGATAGTTTCTTTCAAGCACAATGAGGCCATTGGCATGGAACAACTCTTCTCCATATTGTATCTCAATGTCAGTGCCTTGTCCCTTGGCATCATCTGAGCAACAAGCGAGGAATCTTCGAGCCACAAACTCATACACCTTTTTCTCGTTGGCGCTTAGTTGGTTTGGTGAGACCCAAGCTACTGGATGAATGGGCGGGTGGGCCTTGTCATTATTGCGACCCCATCGGGGAGTCCGGAATTTCCCATCGATAAGCCTTTAGAATAGTTAAAGTCAGTTCTCTTTATCAGTTCACGGGTATTGGAAACCTACTCTCGAGCATATTGACCCCACGAGTTGTCTGGGAACTGTTTCTCCACCAGCTTCTTGAGGTCAATGGCCTTGTCAAACTGATCTGTCTCCGTTCGCGGATAGCTGATGTATCCCTTTGTATAAAGGGCTTCGGCAATCTTCATGATAGTTTGACTGTCCATGCGAAGAAATCGACTGCCCATCATCTGGAGGTCGACTGTAGTCAAGGGTAATGGTCGCCATTTACTCTTCGGCTTTTGAACAACTTTGACAACTTTAGCTTCCTTCGCAATTAGACAGCGCTCCAACATCATTGTAACTGCTGCGCGGTCAAATAGATGAACACGCTTCCATAAGAAATTAACCTTCTTCCCTTCGCGCTGAAGCATGACTTTGATACCCCAGAAGGTCTCAGGTTTGAAGTTCTTTACTCGTAGGTATCGATCGACCACAAATCCCAGCGTAGGGAACTGGCATGACCCTGGGAAGAGTCAGCGATTTTTCACATTTTCTTTTTCATATGACAGAAAATGCCTACCATAGCTAATAACCTTCTCTTTCAAAACTTCGGCCACAGCTTGGAGTTGCAGGGTTTGTAGCCGAGTGAATGCCGCACCGATGCGAAGATCAAGTTCAATTCTGGCCGCCACAGCATTGGCTTGATACTCATCAAGGTCGACTGGTCCACGTGCAGCCTGTAGGACGTGGCTAAGACAGGGTTAGTGGCTTGTGACACTTATACTTGGGAACAATACAACCTACGCTCTTTCAGTATTGCTGAACTTGGCTCTCTTGATCTCTATGCGAGCATTGCCCTTTTTCGCCTGGTTTCGGACTTCGGAGCCAATGTGTTCCCCCTCTCGATCACAATCTGTCCAGATAAACAAGGCTTTGCTGTACCTGGCTTGAGTTTGAATATTTTCTGCGATCGGCAGCTTGTCCTATAATGGGAAATTTAGTCACAAGTTCCAGCGGAACGCGTCGAGTTCTCTTACTTTATCAATGTCTTCTTGAACAGGAGCTTCAAATAAAGCGCCTGGAGGACAAGACATCCAACCCTTGTACTGACGGTCAAAATCCAATCCTGTGAGGTGACCGATCACGCTAGTCATGGTGACACTGCAGCTCCCCCAGGGGCCGCCAAAATTGAAGTCAAACTCATAGTTTTTCACATATTGGTTGCCACGTATTGAATGCTAGATGCTGGCCTCAGTCGCTAATCGTCACTCATCCAGTTCTCTGAGACACTTACCGTCTGGAAAGACCCTCCGGACAGATGTGTGGCCACAGCCCGAGCTATGGCAGGTTTCTCTGCCACGCATAATATCTTTCTCGCCATGTGGAGTCCAACAAACACGATTGGATAAGACCATCCACTGCAAGTCAACGTGGCATACTGGGCGGAATTGATGCAAATAATTTGGGACGCGAGGAACTGATGCCTGAGGACGGCGCGCTCGTGGGATTGTTGCCTGAGGCACCAGGCCTATGCCCGATGAGGTAATACAAACATAAACCTTCGTTGGCCTGATCTCAACTGTTGTTTGTTTCTCTCCGAAGTACCATTCTCGTCAAACTTGATTTGGTATTTGCTCCAATACCTGGGACGATGGCGAACCTCCCACTTCCAAATGTCCAGTCTTTGGTCGACTGCACTTCTTTTCAGCAAACCGTGCTCCCCTACCTCGCGCAGCTGCAATGGCTCCCCGCTAGCTTGCGCGAAGCGGGCTGGGAACTGGAGAACCTCAAGGCTGTTTATCTGGCTACCAACCCCTTAGTCTCTGCGCTTGCATTTGGCTCGGTTATCGCAGGCCTTTGCTTCGTCTTTGCAGAGATCAACCGAAACTTTTCCCAGATCGACCGCTTGTGGTCTATCTTGCCTGCGCTATACAATGTCCACTTCGCCGTTTGGGCGCGCTTAGCTGGAATTCGTACACAGACTCTGGATAGCATCGCTATGATCGCGGTTCTGTGGAGTGTATGTACTTTCTATATGAATGCGCTTTGGTTTACGATGTCGCTAACATTATATCTTCTCATCAGGCTCGTTTGACCTTCAACTACTGGCGCCGAGGGGGCTACTCGGTCGGATCGGAAGATTACCGTTGGAAGATTGTGCGCTCTAAGGTTAACAACACATTTCTGTTCACTATCTTCGATTTCACCTTCATCGCGTGCATTCAGTCCTTAATTCTTCTGCTCCTCGCTGCACCTTCATACGTCTTCGTGATCGCAGCGAACAGCCAGGGCCCCGAGGTTTTCGAGCTGACCGACTTGGCCTTCTCTCGTGCGGCTTTCTTCTTCATTATTATCGAATTCTTCGCCGACCAGCAACAGTACAATTTCCAAACTGCCAAGCATGAATATCAGACAAATGCGCGCATCCCTGAGCGCTTCAAGGAGCAATTCACACCGGAGGACTTGGAGCGCGGCTTCGTGGTTAGCGGACTCTGGTCGTGGTCTCGCCACCCCAACTTTGTTGCGGAGCAAGCTATCTGGTTGATCATGTACACTTGGAGCGCATACCGTACCGGAAACTACCTCCAGTGGACTGGTCTCGGTGTCGCAGGATTGCTCGCAATCTTCCAGGGTAGCACGCGCCTGACCGAGTCTATAACTGCCGCCAAGTACCCCGAGTACAGTGAGTACCAGGCTCGCGTTGGTCGGTTCTTCCCTCGGTTCTCCGCTGAGGCCCCGAAGACCAAGAGCAAGAGCAAGAAGAAGGCTGCTCGGATCGATGACGCGGAGCCTGTTGTGGAGATTGTCGAGGGAAAGAAGAACAAATAGGTGGTGGCGGTGTTGTATTTTCTTTCGAGCATATCTGTAATCGATATACCATTGGACGGACCTTTGAAATTGCTTTATGTCTACTAGCTTGTTTTATACTAATTTATTGTCTATGTACTTTGTTGATTTATTGTCCTTGTGAACTTCTCTTTCGCATTGTTTAGTGATGAACCTTGTTAAATGACGCGGGTATAACGGCATCAAAACAGGATGGGGCATCAATGTGGATCTTGGGGTAATACGAGATACCCGCTTTGGGACGCGCTGAGAGATTTCGAGGATATTAAGTTCGCCACAAATCCTCATGTGCGAACTCTATACTTCTGTCTCATTTATATACCTCCCTCGAGTACGTAAATCCCCTTTCAGGACTTCAGAGCAACTTGAAATAAACACTGAACCTTTTTCTATAGATACGATCTTAGTAGACAAAGAAAGCTACATTGCCTCCAGGACTTCCACAATGTCAAAAGCACCAAAGAATAGCAAAGAGGTCCCCTCTTGCTTCACCGATACCCATGGAATAGTCACTTCAACGATGAATGACCTACCCGGATACAAAGTCAAGAAAGTTCTCGGCACTATCTACGGAATTACTGTCCGAACTCGCAATTGGGGCGCCGATTTAGGCGCCGTCGTCCGATCAGCGGTTGGAGGGGAGATCCGCTTCTTTACGAACTTAATGTATACTTCTCGTGAAGAAGCTATGGAGCGGCTTGTGGGCGAATGTATGAGCCGAGGAGGAAACGCAATCATTGCAGTTCGATTCGATGTCGCGAGTTTCGGGGCTTGTTCGCAAATATGTGCGTATGGAACAGCTTGCTTGGTGGAGAAGATTGAAGACGAATAATTCTCAGGTTTAATTAATGACTTCTGTGCCTGAATGACAGTTTCCTCAGTAGGAATGGTAATATAGCAGACTGTTCAATGTACTTTTATTATAGTGATTTATGATGACAACTAGGTCTACTAAGTCAGTGACCACAGGAAGAGGGGCTGGATCCTTGCGGGGTGCTAAGGGGTGCCCCTCACTTCAAGTTTGCTACATTTTAGAAAAGTAAACTCTTGTCCCTCTCAAATCATATTCGCTCTGGGTGATTGAAGAGCATCGGGTTCAAATATGGAGTTCCCCGGAATAACATATGGAAGTTCCCACTTTTTTTTACTCTGAAAAACGGCGAGAAACTCCCCAGCATCGGACTTGGAACGTTTCAGAGCAATGAAGATCCTTCAAAAGTGAAGAGCGCAGTGAAATTAAGCCTGGAACTAGGATACAGACATATCGACTGTGCTAGTGCATATGGGAATGAGAAAGAGGTTGGTGAAGCAATCAAGGAAAGTGGTGTCCCTCGACATGAGATTTTCGTGACAACGAAGCTGTAAGTGTGAGCAAATCAAAGTAACCCAGAATTATATGGGGATTATTGAGACATTGTAACTTAGACTAAAATCTCACAGTGCTCAGACTTGGCATAAACCTGTCGATGTTCAAAAAGCTCTAGAACTGTCACTGGGGACTCTACAGATGGAATATGGTAATATCTCACAGTGTTTCGAAAAGGGCGTGAACTAACATCGAAGTTGCAGTTGACCTATTCTTAATGCACTGTATCTCACTTTACCTAAATATTCGCACTCACTGAGTATCTGCATAGAATAATTTGTTAATATCAAAGTTCCCCATGCCTATCTTGCAGGCGAAAAGAAACAAACCATCAGACACCCAAGTGGCAATGGAAAGGTAAAGTTCCCTGAAACAGCATAAAATAAATCACTTTACTGCTCATATTCAGCCATATAGTATGATTCTCAGAGCTGACGTATAATTTAGCCCGTAATAGACTACGTTCTTTCTAGAGATTACCCCGAGACTTGGAAGGCAATGGAAAAGCTAGTCGACTTGGGCATGGCCCGCTCAATTGGTGCGTCTATCCCATGTTCCTAGGCTATTTAGCTCCTCAGAAAATTCCAGAGCGTATTATGATGCCAATTTTCATTGTCCCCAATGCAGGTCTCTCTAATTTCAATATTATCGAAACAAAAAGGATTCTTGAGATTGCAAGAATCCCCCCATCCGTGAACCAGAGGGAAATTCATCCGTAAGCAACTTCTCTAATTGCTTATATCCCAACCTTCTAACCTTTGCATGAATAGATATTTCCCCCAGCAGGAACTGTTTAAATTCTCCTCCGATTATAGTATTCTTCTCATGGCTCACCAGCCACTTGGGGGTCGACCACTCGATGTTGTTCGCGGAAATCCAGACACGCCCCTCCCAACTGAAGATCCAAAGGCATGTACATTTATCGTCCACTTTATCGAGTCCTTTACCGAACCCAGTATGAGGGGTGATTTGAATGGGGAATCTGACTCTGAACAGATTAAAAATATTGCTACTAGATATGATGTCTCAACAGCACAGGTAAATTGAATTTCAAGGTTTTGACTTAAACTAGGTCTGCCTCTCTTGAACTGTGCAAAGAGGAATTCCAGCAGTACCAAAATCCAGCCAGGCTACTCATATGACACAAAACATCCATCTCAAGAGACTACGCGAAGGAGATCTTCGCCTCATTGACCAATTATCATCTCAGCGACTCGGAGGCCCTGCCAGGTTCCTCGACCCCAGCCGACATCTAGGCGTTGATATATTTGACGAGCAGAATGATCAGCCAGCCGACAATCATGCTCCGTGGGATTGAGGTAGTGTCACAGACGACTCTCAGTGATCGGACTTTCAATACTGAAAGGTTTATTTAATGCCCCATTATGTGCCTCATGGTTGTCCCTCGTCCATGGCCTAGATAGGTCACGTTCCAAGGAACTCGTGATATTTTTAGCTTCAATCCTCCATCGTCTCTTTGAACACAATACCAGTGGGACTTCAAGTTGTTGAGTAGATCGCAGTAGAAATTTCTATCCCGTCGATTCAAAATGTAACTTCCCCAATTTACTGTGCTCTATTAATCTCGACATGGGTTTCTTTCTAATTTTTTTCTAATTTATTTGTTTTCATTAACCCACCTTTTATCACCACGAGTCGATGCCCGTTTACAAACGCGAGGTATGAGCCGGGTCTTCGGTGAGATGACTCCACCGATTTCACAAGAGCGCATCTGATCTCGCCTCCTGTCGTGCGCCACTCACTCAACGCAAAGAAATGGTGCCTGATATCGGGCTGGGATATACGTTGCCAACTGCCTTGTATCCCAATACTTTTATTGGTCGCTGTAGACTGCAAAGCTGTGCTACATATCCATAAATCCGCATCAATATAAACTAAAGACGTGCCAATAATGCTCAGTACGGATTATATATTGGGTCCAATAGCTTTGAGATTTGCATCGGATGAGGGTAGAATGGATGCCTTCGGTGCATATGGGTCAAAGGCCGCAGCTGGCCACTTATACAAGCGCACGGCTGCCGATGAAATTGATCGAAAAAGCTCAATCACCATTCCAGGTCTCACGTGGTAGGTTGACATCACAGATGAGCGCCCTGTTTTGGGAAACCGAAATGAGGAGACGCCCTGCGAAGTTTGCGGTGTTTCAGGAGGAGTTGAAGGTCTCTCTAACGCGATACCATCTGGAACAGTCAAGTCTTCAAAGTCAACCCAATTGAAGACCCGTGCCGTATCTTTAGCTACGACCACGAACTATTCTGGATTGCTGGGATGTTGGAAGGTCGACTGCGCAAAACTGCTATCTTTATCTTTCCCGTGAGAAATTGCTTCCGTAGCTGATTGAGGCAATGTATTTATGTTGTTCAGCTGGGGATGATCGGTCCACGCGATTACATTGCCTGTTGATAAGTCCCACAGCTCGTTGAGATTGCACCCGCTGACATGAAGACGATCAGCTGCATGGTTCATAAGCAAGCTTTCAACCGCTCAGCTAAAACGACGATCAATGACAACGAATTTCAACGTGACCTTTTGCCCGGGTTGCCGAGATGAACCAGCAAGGTAAGATGGGGACACGGATAGTTCGCCCGTTATCACTCTCCCAGAATCGTCCGCTGATACGATCATATTACGCGAATCAGCATATGCGACTGCCAAAATGGAGAACCCCACTGCATTTTGCTTTAATTCCCCGATCTCATTCCCGTCTGCAGTAAAAAAAAGAGTCACAGTACCGCCTCTCTTTCCTGCGATAATTGTCTGGCCGTCTCCAGACGTAACCAATGAGCTAGTAATTTCTGACTCCTCTGGGTCATCAAATATTCCAGGGATCGCTTTGGAAGCTTTGGTTCTGCCACTAAAACCGTCCAAATATCCGGAGCCTTTGATCAAGGCAGTAGCATCGCGGATACTGCTTAGCTCATTATCAGTCCTCACGAGGGCTGTCGGCACCCAAATGTGACATTTTTGGTCGCGGATGTCAACGAATCGTAATCCATCAGAATTAAATGCAAGACCACGAATTGGTTCATAATCAACGCTGATCTGGTAGATGGAGGTCAAAACTGGATTTCCGTCATGGCGATAATCGAAGTCAAAAACTTCAATGACCCCGTCGTTACTGCCTGTTGCTAGGCTACGTCCATCAGCCGAGCATGCAAAGCAGTTTGCGAACTGATCTGGTAATGTAAATACCAAGAGCATTTTTGTATAGTCAAATAGACATAACCTGCCGTCATTAAATGACACAACTAGGACAGTGATTTCGGGATTTGGATTGAAGACCATGCCATCTATTCCGTTGTTGGCTTTAACTGTGCACTGGCCCTGTAGAACTGAATCTGATGCATTCCAGATTAGCACCGGATGATTACGGTACCCAATAGCAAGTAACACATCATCTGTAGTTGTCAAGAATGCCACAACCATGGGTGGTTGCTTTGGAATCGTAAAGTTTGTATAATTGTAGTCGTCTTCATCAATTTTCCAGGACATTGAATGTTGCTCGTCTGAATCAAGGGTCCTGTGAACCGTTAGCTCTTGTGTTCCACAAATTTGCAATGAGAAGATATCATACCATTTGATAATTTTATTAGACCGCAATGCACATACAAGCTCGTTTTCCCCCAGGAATGAAATTTCAAGAGCTATTGATGGCAAGCGAAGTAAAAAAATCTTTTCTCCAGATTTTGGTTCCCAAACAATAACATTTTTACTGTCACAGGAAGCCAGTTATTGGTCATCATGACTAAACTTAAGACTTTTGACTCTTTCAAAAGTGGGAAGAGTGATCAAAAGTCGGAGAAAGCTTGAGTCGTAGAGCAAGATCTTCCCAGTAGAAAACCCAATCGCAAAATATTTTTCGCCATGACCAACAGCAGTTATCCGATCATGAGCGAAGTCGATGCGACTCAAGCAGTCATCCCAAGTGCCCGCCGGGAGGCCTTTTACGGCGAGGTGAGAGGATTTCGTGAATGTTTTCGAAATGATGGGATCTGGGGGACAGAGCGGAGGGATTAATGTGTAAATTGAGTTTGGGTGTGCTAGCAATTGAGTGCGAAACTTAGCAGCTACCCTGATCAGATCAGTCACCCAGTCTTCGATGATATGGAACGATGGGTCAGTTGGAGGAACGTACTTTGCTCTTCGACCCAGATATATCCGCAGATTCATTCCAGATTTTGTGATGTTGCTTAGGTCGTTACAACCGGCAATGTATTCGATCCATGAAAGCACACTGTTGCCTTTGAGAAAAGTGCTGATTTCGCCCATCAAATCATCCTCTCTTAAGGAGCACGAGTGGATATGCTCTGAGAAGAACTTGCACGCGTAGTCAACCAGCGAGGTATCGTGTGGCATTGAATTCGTGCGACTAGCAAACCTCGGGAGCTTTTCTCTTAAGTGAGAGGGCCGTTCATCTGATTTAATTGGAACGGCAGATAGGTAACGTAAAAGTGAAGACCCAATATGGGTGTGGCTCTGCTTTTTCTCAAAGCTAAGCTCAGAGTACGCATTCTTGGCGCGGAGGAATTCTCGTGCCGTTTCGTGAATGATGTGAATGCGGTCGGATTGGTCAATAAAAACGAGCTGTCCACATATGGACGGGACTGCCTTGGCCAAGTTCTGCAATGTTTGATTGAGATCCAACTTGACAGCACAGCGTAATTCATCAAGTGTTAATGGACGACACGCAGTGACGACCCAGGTCAAAATTGATTTGGCTAGAGGCATCATGCTCTTTTTCATCTCAATTGAGTTCACCATCTTGAGATATAGATCATTGAGACCTTCGGGGACTTCTGACAGAAACTGATCCATGGCCTCTTCAGTCCACACATTCTCAAATTCTTGCAGGATAAGACGAACCCAGAGAAAGGACCCTGATGACTTATTGAGAATCTTATCGCACATTTCTTCTCGAGAATCATCACTCTCTAGACGATCCAGCTCTGTGAGCTTTGTGGTTAGGAATAACCGAATATCGTCAAGCGTGTCAGTGTTTGACAAAGATTCCCTCCAGGAACAACTTCGCCCACAATAATCCATCATTGTTTATGTCCCAGGTAACCGCCTCCTCTTCTAGTTGCAATAGTTTATCTCTCACGAGATCATCTTGCATGGCCATTTGATAGGCCAGAGATCTAAAGCAATCACTGAGCGTAGATTTATTTGCTTTTGAATGCTCGAAGAAGAAGTAGCTACAACAGGCCGAGGTTTTGAGATGAGCGATGACATGGCTTGAGAGGATAGACTTCCCCGCTGCTGGCCTTCCAGTCAGCCATAAAATCATTGGGGAGTTTCCCGACACCCATAGTTTGAAGGTTATCTTTTCAGTAAACCACTGGCAGGTACCTGGCTCTTTCAAATCTTGACACATCACAAGATTGCTATCAAAATCGTTGGCAACTTCTAGAAAGGAGGACAGTCGAGCGCTAGCTTCGCTCAGTGTAAGACCCTCAAATTGGGGTATTTTAGAATCAAGGACACAGCTAGACGATTCAATGTCGAAAAATGCATCTTTAATCTCGTCTATCGCAGTGTATAGAGCATTTCGTAATAGCTTGTAGTTTGACTCATTCTTGCTGGTGAATCTATTCTTGCTGGTGAATCTGCATGAATTCCGATGGTCGGCATTCATGGCCTCGATGCGTTCTTCATCATAACCCAATATTGCAGACTCTTTCGCTACAATTAACTTACTGAATATTCCAACTTCAACAGGAAGTGTTTCATAGAACGTCCATAAAGAAAGATTTCTCGCCACATGGCGGAATCTATCATTGATCGAAGCCATGATAGATGAATTGCGCTTCAAGTCTTTCACAAAAGGCTTGTCTTTACCCCAGGTAACGATCAGCAACTTTTCTATGATCTTTACCATGTCGGATCCCGTATGCGGAGTGCCTAGAAAAAAATTTCCATATATTCGTTCACCCAGCTCCTTACATGAAGGATCTTAACGAGTGATGAGGTAGGCTTCTTTGGCGACGCAGCCGCCCATGCTGTGACTAACGAGCAGAATACGGGATTTATCTCGCCATATCAGCGGGTCATTTCTGAGTCCGCCTACTAGCGATTGTGCGAAGCCATGAATATCCAATATGCTCTGTTGTCTCTTTCCCCAATCTGCTTTATAGCCGAAGGCGTGAAATCGCACGCTGTCGAAGGCATTGTCGTTTGGTAACCAAGCTTTCGGCCAAAAATTGTTGGGATCGTTCAAAACAGTCCATGTCTTGACTTTTGACACTGCCTCCACCAAGGCCGTGAATAAAAACGATGTCGACAAGAGCACTCGTAGGTGGTGGGTCGTTGAGTGTCACTATACCCAACGGGCCCGTGTTCTCCTCCGCTTTCGCCCCTGGCGAGGATAACACCTTTGCCAGGAATTTTTTGCGTGTCTATGAGTGGAAAATTGTGTTAGCAGATAAGTGTCATATCTATTCTGTTGCCAAAATCACAAACGAATCGGGTTAGAAAGCTCGAACTTACCGGCTCCATGCGTACATGAATGAAACCTCAAAAGGTTGCCTGGAAGAAAGGATGGGTTGCTGGACCTGAAGCGGCTCACATTTTTTGAATTGTGTTATGCAGGATCAAAGTGGGTGGCTCCCAGGTCTTTCAAATCGACGCGCCACGTCAGTCCACTACCCATGCCAGGCTGATGCACAAATCCATATCAGTGAAACATGGAACACTGTGTGCCTACTCACACGAGTCACACCTGCCTACTTGGGGCGAGCGGCCACATCATCTTAGTTATTGGTCAGACCCGGGACGGATCATGGGTCGAGACAGGGAACAGTGCAGATGTATCTTCAACCAGTGCGAGCCGTATGCGTGTAAGATACTTTCTACTGCAGATTCCAAATCTGTTGACCGTATTCCGTGCTCATAATACGTCGACCTCAGGGAATGTTCGATAGGTAATACTCCGCACAGGCCGAAGGAAGCTCACCCCCGCTCTTATCCCGAGTGAAAAATAATTGCGGCTCAATTGGTTTTCGCCACTGGTATTATGAGCCAAGAAGGTTATCCCTGGATTGGTTTTATTTCCCGAGTTATCAACGCATAATGTGTCAATTTAGATTTAAGCAGTGTAGCTCGAAGCACTGCCAGTCCCTAAATCTTGCCCATGTGCCTTTGTGTTTGCCGCCGCAACATACAGCTAGCGGGTATTAAAGTGCGTTTATCCTAAGTGGGTGGAAGATGTTGCAATTTGAGCAAATGAACGTGTATTCAGTACCAGTGTTACAGGATGGGGGTAATTTAAATGCTTTAACCCATTTGTCTCTCTAAGATTGAGATGTTGCAGCTTGCAGGGCACTAGTCAAGTCGACATGGAAAAATGGTCGGTTCACAGCTTCTACAACAGCTCTAGATCGCCGAGTCACTTTAGGAGATCTATCACCAGCAACTTGTATGTCGCCGTCATCTGTAGTTGACTTGTCATCCGAATCCCGCTTCATGGCAAGTGTACTAGCAGGTTCTTTCTGTAGACCGATCTCCAGGTCGTCTGCAAGTGCTGTGTTTTTGACAACAGAAGCGTCTCCATCAATTTCCGCGACACTAAAAATCGCTTTCCATTCGCCGTCTCTCGAAATTGCGGGTGTGGGAACGCCGAAGCCTGCTGCAGCCAAAGCACGCTTTGTCCATCGGTTGTGCAGGTGGGCGAAATGCCACTCGACCCTCTCGGGGGCCGCATAACGATCGAGCTGATTACGAACATCAATCAATGTCTGAACACAGCTCACATCGACGTTATTAACGGAAGCACAATCTAGGATGATTGCCTTGAGAGTCGGGCGGGCGTTTCGAGTGTCTTCGTCCTCGACCTTTTGTCCGCCAGGGGTGGGGTCATTCCACGGTCGATCGCCTAGATTGGCATCCAGAGACATATCAGTCTTGCGGGTATTCTTGAAAATATGATCCACAAGATAATCGGTGTAATGATTTGCGTTTGGATAATTGAAACCCTCCGAGAGGCGATATATGAAAACGCCGGGCGCGGGGTGCTGAATCTTGATATTGGGGTTGGTTCCGTCGGTCCGTGAAATGGGAAGATAGGCCATTCTGGTTCCAGAAATATGCTCATAGTATGCGTTCTTTGTCAAATCATCTCCAACAATAGATTCTAGCTCCACCTGCCCCATGAAGTGACCTTTGGCTTTGGTCAGTCTGAACAGAAGAACTGCCAGAGAAATGCAGATGGTGCAATAAATTCCGATTTCAATCGAAGTGAAGATGATAACTATCACACCAGACAGGAATATCATACAATCAATAGGCGATACGAGCCAGAATTGATAGGCCGTCGATGGAGGCGTGACGAGATCGCCGACCGCGTGGATAATCACAGCGGATAGAGAGGACTTTGGGATATACCAGAACAAAGCTGGTAAGGCATAAATAGCAAGAAGGACCACGACAGACGTGATGACACCGGCAAATGGGGTACGAACTCCACATTTTGCTTTGATTGCGGTGCGAGAAAAAGAGCCGGTGGCAGGGAACCCTCCTAGGAAAGGGCTGAGTAGATTGGAGATCCCAATCGCGATGAATTCCTGAGAGGGGTTAATTGTATAGTTATTGACTCGGCCAAATGATTTGGATATCGCGATATGTTCGATGAGCAATACGATGACGGCAGCAGGAATCTCGTTTGCGAATGCACTGATAATATCAGAGTCGATCTTGGGAACCCCAGCGTGTTTGAATCCCCGAGGAACATTTCCAAGGACTTTGAAAGCAGGATGACCTCGTCGATTAATGTTTACAGCAGCACTGATCATTGTATAGAAAAGAACCACGAAAGCTGTGCGCAGAGTGGAGAGGAAGAAGAAAGTCTTCGCTCGGTGAGGGTATTTTCTCCGGCCATAGTTGCAAGCTGCACGGATTGCATATAGCATAGCCAGTGCTGTGAGGCCCATTGCCGCATCCATTCGAGTAGACGGGAGATATTTTAGAGTATTAATTATCACTTTGTAGGTTGCACCACGAGTCGAGAAATGTGCCTTTTGACCAAGAACCGTCTTCACTTGGCCAACGCATACATTTATTGCAGACCCGGTCATGAAAGCGGTGATGGCAGGTAGGGGGATGAAATCGACGATGAAACCGAGACGAAGAAAGCCGAGGGCTGTCACAATTCCTCCGAGGATAATTGCAAGAGCTGATGCGATAACCGGGCCTTCGAGGTTGGGGTGCTTTGCTTGCACTCTGAGGATTATCGTACCCATCAATGTTGACATCACTGCGACGGGCTGATTCAAGTTAATAATATTCTTGGAGAATTATATTAGTTAAAGCAATGAGACTTACTCCGATGGTGATGTCTTTTGATGTTGCAAAGAACCAATAGATCAAGACTCCCATGAAGGATGAGTACAGGCCGTATTCCGGTGGCAGATCAGCCAGTTCAGCATAGGCCATGCCCTGGGGAACGACCACGGCACCGACAGTGATGCCTAAATCCTGGTTAGCCATTTGAATTGTTTTGACTAGGGGCCAGCACTACTACTGACCTGCAACCAAGTCACCAATAAGCCACTGGACATTGTAGAATTGGACCCAGCTCAAGAAAGGGAAAAGTCCATAGATATACTGAGTAACCTGTTCACCAGTCGGAGTAATATCTCGGATCCAGTCCCCTGCAGTAGGATCTGGGTCAACATAGGTGTGAACTCCATCTGGTTCGTTCACTTGGTAATGACTCGGGTTCAAATCAATCCGCAAGATCTTAGCCAGAGCATGCCCCACTCTCGTCAAGGTAGAGCCAGACATTTTGAAATATGACTCTTGCGCAAAGAAGAAGAAAAGAAATGCAAAATCGAGGCCAAAAAGAACAATTGAAAGCCACGGTGGCACGAGGCCGGTGAATTTCAGATCTCACGTAGTTTTATACAGTGCGTGGTCCAGAGGTGATACCGACCAATATGCCATATTTAGCGCGATGTCGTGATTTTAGAGCTAGAGTACAAATTATGCAAATAAGGAAAGCCGCTGTTTCTGTTGAGACTAATTTCATGTTGCGTCGTGTTCGAGTCAAAGGACATTATATGCGATCAAACCTTCTTTAAAGTATTCCCACTGTGAAAGTAGTCAATATTCCGCATTTTAAGTGGAAGATTTACCTTCAGTGCTATGAATATGATGTTTTATTCGCAGAAATACCATATGGCTCAGTGCAAGTGGATTGCTGCAATAAATTCCAGCGGTCAATGAGTAGTTTAGGTCACGGCAGGTCATGGACCCACTCGGGAACATGGACGGGTAGGGCTGAACAGGGACGGCACAGGGCTGAGACGGGAGATTGCCCCCGTGGTATCCCGTAGTGCCTCGCAGGAGCGTTTTTCTTTCCACCTCAGCACACCCTCAAGTTTTGCATCCAAGGTAATTGTTGTTCTAAGAGCGGGCATCTTCTTGATCCAAGCTCTTTGTACATTCGCTGCAAAAGAAATATGGACTCAGATGCACGAATCTGGATTTAAGCCCGAAGAGTGGGACAGACTCATGCCAGGAGGGTGCTACTAGTGCGAGTACCCACACAAAGCTAGTACTAAGGCTAAAGAGGTAGTAATGCTGATGCCTAAAATCAAACACGGGCCTTCTGCGGTTGTATTACATGTTTGAAGTGTAAAGTCAAACCTCTCGCCAAGGGCCTTCGAATTCCGTCATCATGGACATATTTGCAGCAACCACGGAAGGTTTTAGCTGTTGGTTTTTCAAAACAAACCAACTTCAAGTTGAATAATGTGTAACGCGCTTTTAAATCTGGAGCCTCTTTGCCTTTTCTCTTTCAGAGGCAGCGGTTAAAAGAAGCGAATTACCCTTGTACTTCACAGCCGTGCAATCAAGACCATAGGTATCTATCAAATGAAGGATTTTGGCAGAATTGCCAAGGCAACCGTGAACTAAAGTCCTGTCTTCATAGTCGCGCGTGTCGATAGAGGTGCCGAGGTCGGCGAAGGTCTGAGGGATCTCAGAATCCCATGTCAAACAATCGATTTCCATGAGGAACTTGAATATGGGCGTTCGGCCCTGAGAATCTCGTGCTTCGAGGTCTGCACCTGCTTCGATCAGCTTGGCGACGATTTTAGGATCGTGTTTTCTTTTTATACTGTGTAGTAAAGTCTCCCCTTTATTAATATGAAGGTTTAGATCGGCCCCAGCTTATAATATCGCATCAAGCAAGGGAAGCTGGAGAAGTGCGACTTGGCGATTCAATAAACCATGAAGCACAGTGTTGCCATCCGTGTCTCTGATATTAACGTCGGGCTTGTATTCCAGAAATTCAAGAATTGTCTCATCGAAGTCATTAACTCGATAGGGCAGTGGCGTACTTCCAGTACTTCGATCAACTTTGTTTATATCAACAAGACCCGTGTCTACTATCAATGGTAGCAGTTTGGGGTCTAATTGACCTTTGATGTGAAGTACTGATCTTCCATAATCAGTTTCGGCATTTGGGATCAGCACCCGCATCTAATAGCAGCTTGGCGACCTTGGCATTTCTTTGGCAGGCGTAAATCAACGCGGGGGAACCATCTGGAGATTTTTATTTCAGTATCGGCACCAGCCAGTATCGGCACCAGCTTCTAGTAAAACTGTGACACATCCTGATAATATTCGAAACCTTCTGGGCATGCGACTCTCGCAGCCCAAACATGCCAAGTGTAAAGGAGTATAGCCTCTTTTGAGCGGTTCAGCCGTTGTTTTGAAATTATCTCTCACTGAAGGGTTACAAAGAGCATTCGGATCGGCACCCGCTCGAAGCAAGACCTCGACTGTTTCCTGGTCTCCGGAGTCGACGGCCCTGAGGAGAGGAATTGCTCCGTATAATTTGGCATTCACATCAATTTCAACGCATGAGTTCTGAAGGATCAATTGTACGACTTTTGCTTGATCGATTTCTGTTGCCCATAAGAGGGCCCGATGGTCAATCTTGGTACCATTTAGATATGGAAAGAACTCGGTCACTGATTGAACATGCCCACTCATACAAGCACGTCTGAGTGGGTTGTCAGTAACGCATCTGATTGGTTTGGCAAAAAAATTTGAAATAAAAGAATCAAGAAAGGTTCTTCTTTGCTTGTCAATGGTTTCGTATGGATGAGAACCAAAAAAAAAGCAAGAGCCTCACTACTTCAACGTGGTTATGGCTAGCAGCTGCAAATAGTGGGTTAAATCCGTGTTCACGTATGCCATCCCGCTCCGCTTCACGAGATATTAGAATCTGAGCAATATCTACATGGCCACTCACTGCGGCGTAATAGAGAGGTGATTCTCCATTCGCAGCTCTGAAATTTGCGCTGATCTCTCCTTTTCAAGTAAACGCATGACATATTGGATGAGTCTAGCTTGCGCAGTGATATGAAGGGGAGTTAGGCCTGAAATTTTCTGATCAGACTGATCCCAATAAATAGCTGACCAGGCCGTGAACGCCTGTTCGTCTCCGAAGAAATGATCCATTCCTTGGTGGAGTGAGGATAAACCTACCCCTCCTGTGCTGCACGGCGAGCATGTACATCCCAGTTTGTGGCTGCGTATTCTAAGAATTGGAATTGGAGGCTAGGCTGGATTTTCCGAGTCTTCTTCTCCGTAGTGTCCCTATTCTCCCTCTTCCCCGAATCAAGTTTGGTTTTTTCCAAGCAACCAGCTTGGAGATAATCCAATCATGCGGTGGCAAGTCGGTGGTAGGTCGAATCCATTTGAAGCACCGGATAGGTTGCTTTATTTGACTCGCTCGTACGAGCTATTCCTTTGAGGAATTCGGCAAAGGAGTGGTGAACCACTGAGACTGTTTAGTCAGGAAGTATCTCTAACAACGGACCGCAAGCAGCCCGGATCTGGTCCTTGGTATACTTCAAACTGCGGATTCAAGTGGATCATAGACAGCCTTAGCTATTTCAGCGCTCTCCAAGAGGCGTAGAGTGCGGGTAGCGGGAGTGACAAATTGGAGTACCAGCAATTGTAGTTCATCGGGTACGGCTGAACGCCTCGCATGTTCGTGTAGAAGGTCGCTGTACATTACATTGAGATCATCTGGTAAGGCATGAAGAGTCTTGTGGACATCTGCGCCCGATTCCACGAATGCATGCATGGAAAGTCTAGCATATAAAAAGAGACTATTTGCACGACCAGAAATAGCTTCCGTTATGATACTCCAGTGCTTGGGAGGAATGGAGGAATGCCGTAGTCTATAATGCACATATGTTGCAATGCCACTGTCTACAATTTATTCTTCCAAGCGAATGAATGGAGTGGAGAATGGTCGTAAGGGTGCTTCAACAGCATCAACCGGACGAGATGTGATCAAGACTTTGACATTGGAGGGCTTCCATCGACCGAGGTCCCCCAAAACGCATATGAATTCATCATTGCCTTAATCCATCTCATCCAAAGCATCCATCACGCAGTATGCCTTCGGAAAGGTAGAAAGTGCGAACTTGAGATCTTTCCACAGGTCTCTAGGGGATAGGCTGTCGAGTGAACGGCGTTGGTCTAAGTATTCGGTCTTCAACTTCGTTTGTAAGGGCGGGCTTAGGGAAGGATCTGGCATAGCCAGTCTCGTAACGCTGAGACAAGTTGATGATTGGCAGCAATAATCTGCCGAAAGAAGAAATAGAGAACTGGGACTTTCTTTTAGCGTAGCTGATCAATGATGGAAGCAGCCATCACGGACTTTCCTGACCCGGGGATTCCTTTTATTAATACAACACCATCCCCATCGCCTTGAAGCCACTGTTGATAAATATTTGTAGATGTGAGCCACTGCCCAGTCCCCACGAGGTGGGATGCAAGGTGCCTTGTAAATTTCTGATCTTTCAAGGTCATAGGGAGTAGGCTGCAGCCATTTTTTGATCTTCATGAGATCCTCTTCTGGTAAAGGAAGGATATTGTCTTCATTAAAATCGCGAATATCTTTGTCATTGATCATAACCATATCATCAACAATGTGCTGGTATTCCTGGTCGCCATATTGGCTGATAACTTGAGGAAGGTGATTCAAATTCCTTCTCAAATTATGTCAAGTGCCGACCAAGGCTGTGACCTTTCTCCACCCTTCGGTCGCGTAGTAGCCTCAGACTAGAGGTGGAGGTGGGACAAGCTAGGCCATAAGAAAGAAAGAGAGATTGTTGTTGTTGATATGGGTGCCTGAGGTTACCATCATCTGGTATCCTTTCTTCCATAGTACGGGGGGACAATAACTATCTTGAATAATCTAAAAGAGACCAATATCTTTTTGATTGAACAAATTCCATGTTTAGTAATACACAGACCTCGCGATATAACTTGAAGTCGAAAGAAGCAAGGAATGAAAAATTGAAAAATTGAAAAGTAAAAATCTTCACATTGAGTTGCGATACGGTAGATTTGAAGAGGTTATAGGATATGAGGGAAGAAAAAGGAGTACTGAGAGGGGAGTAAAAGTGAACAAAAGGAAAAGAGATAATAAGAAAAATGCAAGTCCATAAATACAAAATAAAAGATGACAGAGAGGCTGGGGTGGTATCACACTCCTTGCAAGATTTGAGAAAATAGGCCGTCCCAGAATGCAGTCCAATCGGTACACAAAATAACATCTATTTCAGGCTGTCAATCAAGGGATGGGAGTCTGATCCCGGCCATCTTTGCCTAAGGTTTCTTCGGGATTCGGCTTAGGCTCTGGAGGGGCGAAGGTAGCTCCACCCTTGCCGTCGAAGTACTTGGCGAACTCAGCAGATTCCGGATAGGGGCGGGGACCTAGAAGGCGGATCATGTCGTCGCGGCCAAGAACCTCCTTGGACAGAAGCTCTTCGGCAACGATACCGACTTCATGCTTCTTCTCGGTGAGGAGGTCGTGGCACTTCTTGTGAGCCTCGTCGACGATGCGGCGCACTTCAATATCGATGTTGCGGGCAGTGTCTTCGGAGAATGGCTTCTGGATCTGTTGTCCAGAGTCGTCCTCGTAGTAGATGTAGCCGATTTTCTTTGACATACCGAACTTGGTAACCATGGCGGTAGCCAGACGAGTAACCTTGTTGAAGTCATCGCTTGCACCGCTGGTCACGGTGTCGAAGTGAAGCTCCTCGCTGACACGACCACCCAGAGTCATAGCCATACGATCCATGATCTGGTTGGTGTTCATCAGATAAGTGTCTCCGTTAGCGGGAAGGTACTGGGCATAACCCAGTGCACCTTGTCCACGGGGAATGATCGAGACCTTCAGCAGGGGATCGGCCCACCGGAAGTACCAACCACAGATAGCGTGGCCAGCCTCGTGGTAGGCAACGGTGCGCTTCTCCTCAGGAGACAAAACAAGTGACTTCTTTTCCAGACCACCGATGACACGCTCAATGGCCGACTCGAAGTGTTTCATCACAACCTTTTCGGCATTTTCGCGAGCAGCTATAAATAATATTAGCATAGAACTTTTTTTATAAAAAAAACAAACAGTAGAGTGTGTCTATTTCACTCACCAACAAGAGCTGCCTCGTTGACGCAGTTCGCAATGTCAGCGCCAGCAAAACCGGGGGTAAGAGCAGCAAGTCGGCCTTCTAGGTAGTCCATGTTCTCGTCGGTGACGATCTTCTTCAAGTGAACACGGAAGATCTGCTTGCGGCCATCCATGGTAGGTCGGTCAATACCAATGTGTCGGTCGAATCGACCAGGACGCATCAGGGCCTTATCAAGAACATCAGGTCGGTTGGTACCGGCTAGAACGACAACCTGCTCGGAAGTGTTGAAACCGTCCATCTCAGTAAGAATCTGGTTCAGGGTACTTTCACGCTCATCATTGCCGCCGCCATAGTTTTGCTTAGCTCGGGATTTACCAATAGCATCGATTTCATCAATGAAAATGATGCAAGGAGTGTTCTTTCGGGCGTTGGCGAACAGGTCACGGACACGAGAAGGACCGACACCAACGAACATTTCGACGAACTCGGAACCGCTCACACTGAAGAAAGGCACACCGGATTCACCAGCGGTAGCCTTGGCCAGCAGGGTCTTACCAGTACCAGGGGGACCAGAGAGAATAGCACCACGGGGAATCTTAGCACCAAGCCTCTGGAACCGCTCGGGCTGCTGCAAGAAGCTAACAAATTCCATGATCTCGACCTTAGCCTCGTCCATACCAGCAACATCAGAGAACTTGATCTTAATATCAGACTCGTGGTTGAACTTCTTAGCACGACTCTTGCCGATTCCGAAGATTCCACTTTGACCACCGGCACCACCGCCAGCGCGACGGGAGAACCAGTAAATACCAGCAAACAAGAGAAGAGTAGGAGCGAAAGACAAGAGGGCACTGCCCCATGGAACTTCATCAACGTAGGCAACTGGGATCCTCTCGTGAGCCGGGATGCCCAGTTGGTTCTGAGCCTGCTCCAGCTTCATCTCGAAGCTATCAACAGACCCAATGCTGAAGTATACATGGGAAACGGGTTGACCAGTAGCGTTTGCATCGGCGTAGGTTGAGGACACAGCTTCGCGGTCTACATCGACGCGGACTCGGCTGTGGTTGAGCACGGTCAACTTCTCAACGAAGCCCTTGTCGAGGTAGTTCGCACGGAATTCCTGCCAGGTGATTTCCCGACCACCACTTTCACCAGGAAAGAAGCTTCGGTAGATATAGTAGGTAACAAGTGAGGTGACGAGAAAAGAAGCGGGATCGAATCGGAACTCAAAAACTTTAGCATTGGGAGGAATGCCCTTCTTCTTTTTCTGTTGGTCATTCTTGTTCTTATCTTCCTGCTTCCCGGACTCTTCCTTGCCCTTCTCAGACTCGGATTCCTCCTTGTTCTTTTCCGTTTCCTGCTCTTTGGGGTCCTTCGGGGATTTACTGCTGAAGAGGTCGTTGACTTCCTTTGTCGCGTCCTTCTTGGCTTGATCATTCGTATACCTAAGTAAGAACCGGATCATCTTAAGATAATCCATCAATGACGCATCACGATGGTTGTCAATGAAAGCCTTCGCATCGGCCGGTATCCCATCCCGCATCAATTGTTTCCGCATTTCATGCAGAGCCTCATGTTGTGATTCGGGAAGACGGCCCTCCACATGCTTTACAAAGTCGTCTAGGTTTTTCTGGTCTTGTTCATTGAGGATCGACTCCGGCTTCTTCGGCTCTTCCTTGCGCTCGCTCTGCTCCTGCTTGGGGTCATTTGGCGGGATGTTCTGGAACTTGGATCCATTTGTAGTGAATGTTCGGGCGTGTGTAGATGTGATGAAAGATGGAAGCCGCGACGAGGACACCCGTGAAGTCACCGGAAGTGTGCGACTGATGGGTTCCGCGGCTCTCCTCGAGAATCGAGCAAGATTGCCTGGCCTTCGGAGGAAGGTGGCCATGGTCGAGGAAAGGGGAGCCCAGAGGGCTATGAGGGCGGGTGAAGGGGTGATCAATCGAGGTCCGGCGGAGTGGACACGCTCGCAATGTATCGGAGGATTGGACGTTGCGGTGGGAAGCTCATGATGAGCTGCGGCCAGTTTCGGCTTCGGTTTTTCTGCCGTTCCGATGCTGAGTCATTGATTTGGGCGGTGCCTTAACTGACAAGATACTGTGACGTTGGAAGGCATTCTCCGGCTTTATTTCAACAATCCATACATATATGTTAGAAGTTCTCTGAATTTCCAAGCTATCATGATTAAACCACAATTATTTCTTGTGGTTTCTATGCTACATGTTAACAGTATCGGAGTCGTGGTATATCACGCTCGGGATGATCTGCATACTTCTCCCGCTACCTTCTTCCATACGATTCTTCCAGTCTCTTCTGTTCTTAAACCAAGTTTATATTTGTCTGATAGGTATCCCAGTGTAATATATAAGTCATTTCGAATATTTGATTTATCAAGATTGATATGAAAATGACAATCTTTGTGCAAAAGGTCCTCTGCGAGGAGTCGGCTGTTATTGGAGGCCGGCTTATATGTAGCACAATTCGTAACGTCCATTCCTGCGCTTATGCTGCAGAAATAAAATATGAGAAGAGTTATCCGATATACATGTAAGAGGAGATGGTAGAAACAAGTCGCAAATAGTGGAGGGGTGATAACGCCAAGTCCCATGAAGCAGCCTATAAAGAACGTGGATAATCAATCAAGCCACCTCGCTTTCGTAAACGCCGTATCAATGTCTAGGCAAAGAATTCAAAAAACTGACACACTTTTTTATTTTGTCTTGGTATGAAGAGTCGAAATGTGTGATCTCATTATTGCGAAGGTGGTTGGCCATGAGGGCCCGCTCCAGCTTCAAAAACGGGGAAATTGGTAGACATGTCCGCCCAGTCCCATTCAATTGTCATTGGCATCTGCCATAGATCTTGCGGGACGAATGGCTGCTGGAAGGGACTTATTTGAGGGCTTGTAGGTCCAAATCCTTGTTCGCCGAATGGAACATTGCCCATTTGTTCGGGACTAAGCATATCTGTGAAATCCTGGCCAAGACCAGGCATACCATGGACATTACTTGGAAGCTCACCAGTATTGGATGGCATGGGAGGAGGGTTTGTGCCAAATTCCTTTGCTGTCATGGGGGAAGAGTTGGCAGCGGAAGGATCGTTGGCAAACATTGATGGTGAGAAAGGTGTGGAGGTGGGAGGTCCTTGGAATCGAGTGGATGGAGAGGGAGCTGATTGTTTGTTGGGTTCTTCCCGCTGTTGTTGGGAGGAACCAGTATCATCAGGTGCGTTCTTCCTCTTCTTCCGAGCCTGGGATTCTTTTTCGGATTTGTCAAGAACGACCTTGGCGATCCGCTCGAATTCTCCGCAGAGCGAAAGCATACGCTTGATGCTACCGTTTGATTCGTCAGAGACTAGGGTAGATAGGAAATTTACCACCACATTCATCAACTTGACATCAGATCGAGCACGAGCATCAGTAGGATTTTGAAGAATATTGGCAAAGAGAGTGACAAGAGCCGATACTGGATAGTATAGTATTAACCAAACACAAGCGAAGTCGCCCTGTGGAATGTATTTGATCAGATTTATCGAAGCTCGGGCCGCTGTGACGCAAAGAACAGCTGAAAGGAAAACCCTCGGGTTCAGTGGTCGTGCATTCAATCCTTGAATAGCATAGTTTGATAGTCGGCTGGTCCAATAACCATGGTGTACAGACATGCGGTGGATCGTCGTCAAGCAATTGTAATATGCGAAATGCAGGACCACGACATGTAAGATAAGTGGGCCATGAGTAGCTTGAATCTCATATTCTGGGCGGAAGTCAACTGGAATATTATCTTTCCAATCCTCAAGCTCCTTGTCAAGCTCGCCGATGGTGTTCAGTAATTCACCGTCAGATTGTCGAGATGCCTTGGCGGAGTAAAGCCTTTTGTAAACTCTGCTTTCAATGGTTGCAAATTCGCAGAAAGCTCTGAAAAGGTTGAATTTGCCTTTTCCATCATCATACGGAACAGCGCCGACGTTGTCTGGTGGGTCCTCACTCGGAAGCTCCACATTCATATCGTCATCATCCTGGACTGGTGGTCGCCCAGATCGTAGACAAATATCCTTATCAAGGCAGTACGCAATCCAGAAAACTCTCTTCCGTTGCTCTACTTCCACTGGGTTCAAACCGAAACCGGAGCCACGCTTATGCAATCCAATACTGTGTGAAAGTCGAATGGCTGCTGCAACTAGGAAGAAAGCGGGCTGCGGGTTCGGTGTACCCTGCAGAAAGAGAGACATACCAAGAAGTGCTTGAACACTCAAAAGATCGGTGTTGCGCATTGTCAATTCTGTCAAAACACCCATGGCGTTCTTCAAGTACAGCCAAGCTTTCTTGTCCTCTTCTTGCGGTACCAAATTGCTCATCACACGGAGTCGATGGGAAATGGCTAGCACCACGTTGATACTCGCCCACCACCCAGACCCTTCATATGGATCGCGAGAGTATTGTTTGTCCACTAGGTGCATAAACGTCGCTTCGTGAAACAACGGAAACATGCAATTGAAATTTTCGAAGAAGTCTTTGAACAAGGAAAGGGCTTCCTCTTTTGGCGGTAACGGCTTGAAGACCCTTCTGGCAAAGATGTCACTAAATATTTCCGGCTTCCAGTACATCCATTTATTATCGTCAACGTAGGCGGACGAGATCATTTCTTGAAACGAAGTGTCGCCTGTTTTCTCGTTCACCCATTGAATTCCTTTTGGAGAAAATATAGAAAACCCGGAAGAAGAGCCTGCGATAGAAGTATGTAAGCTAAATCTGTCTCCGAGCACACCGATATAGTTTTGTAACAAGACAAAAAGGACATACCGATATACCGTGTCTCGCCACAGTTGTTCGTCACCAATGAACACATCATATCCGACAAGGCCTCGACCTCTGTCTCGGACTGCTTTTGTGACTCCGGAGAGGTTGCGGCAGTATGTGGGCTGGAGTGCGAATCCATGCGCGGTGTGGTATTGTGAGAGGTTGTGGCTTGCTGGGTTGCACTCGGGGCTGAGAACGTGCTGTCATTTCTCGCCGCCGTGTTCAGGGCACTCGTGCGGTCCGCCAGTCGTTTTTCCAGCGTACCAAGGTCTGTCTTGCCATTGTCGTCTTCGGATAAAAGCCCAGATAGTCGCAGTAGCGATTCCATGCGACCTAGGCGATTCTCCAAGCCTTCGATGTACTTGGCTCTGCGGTTCACGTCAGCTTGGGGCAAATCTCAAGGTTGAAGGAATTGAATTCAACATGAAGTCAATTCATTCTTCCAACTTTATCTTTGGCGACCTACCCTTTGGGGGGATTCCTCTTTTTCTCCACCTGTGTGAAAATGCAATCGGTCTTATAGTTGATGCAATGTGAGCATTTTGGCATTTTTCCGTCGCACTTGATCTTCTTTTTCCGGCACATGTCGCAGGCCTATCGACGAGAGGTCAGTGGTCGGTATTCGGATATGTTGAATGGATTCTTCGTAAAATTCAAGGCTGCGTACCCTAGCAATTCGTCGCCGCTTTGCGTCGTTGGACTCATCCCCCATGCCCAATGCGGAGTCGTCGGCATACATAGATCCCCCAGGGACAGACATTCCTGATCCATCATTGGTGTATCCGCCATAAAGTTGTTGTTGTTGTTGATTCATCATGCTCATGTCAAAGCCCATGCCATCACCATCCCCCAGGCCGTCCATTTTGTCTTGTCTTCGGGAGCTCCGCGGGGTGGAGTCAGAGGCGAGGGCGGTGTTAACTAAGGCGATTGCTGCGGGGTCCTTTTCTCGACCGTCTCGGAAGACGTGCTTTTAGCCGGAGCTTCCCCTGAAGTTGAAATATGGGGGAACACGCTGTTGGAAAATGGATGACGCATTCAGAGGTGCAAGGCTCGGGGACCCAAGGACGGAAATTGGCGCAAGAAAAATGCTTTTTTTTTGGCGCGGCAGAAAGCAGAACCGTTAGGATTAAGTACGAGATGATCCCCGCAAATTGGTAGAAGAAGAAAGAACTAGTAAGATCGAATGTATTCAGAAGCAATAGATTCGATCATGAGCTATTCTTCACGCTAAGACACAAGAGGAGAGAAGAGTGGCCTTTGCTGCCTTGCAAATCTACAAATGAGAACCACACGGAGTCCCTTAACACCGATCCCGGTTCTTGCCCTTTCTGTGTGGCGGTGCGGTGAGGCGGCATCGTCCGTTATTTTCGTCCGGCGCCCCGGGACTCGGGATATATACTCCTCCCATTTGCTAGTTAAATTGATATTTCATCCTGCTCGGACTCTGTGGAAACGAATCCGCTTACAAAGGTCTATCCAATCCCTCTTTTTATATGTGTTTGAAGCGTATTTGAGGGATCGGGGAGATTCCGATCTAGTGGGGTGATACAACCTCCAGACTTAAACTTTCTGCAGCAAGATTTCTTGCGACCGCGTGTTGTAGTCCAATAAGGTGAGATCGGCAGTCTGACGAGGAATGAAGCAGGTTGTATCCGAATCAGATTGAAGTCTGCATTTACTGTATTGGGATTTTTTCACATATATACATGGGGAAGGGTCCATATACATAACAGCATGAACTAGTATCCCGGAAGTCCATTTCAACTCCGATATCCCCGGACTTAGTATAGAGCTATCAATCTAATCAATTTGGGCATGAACATGTGAACTCTGCATATGGAATACATGTGTCTACATGAAATTCCAAGCAGATATATAATCCTTGTCCTTGTATTTTATCCATACCGATTCCTATGTGGCCATCTCACTTCCACGCACGTGAGGATAGAGGGTTTGGATACGGCAAGTAGATCTCAAGATTATAATGTACATTTCGATAAGAGGAGTGGGGATCTCATAAGAGTATATCACAGGTGTGCATAAAATACAAACAGATCTACAGAAACTAGCCAAGGCCGGTCTGATCTGATAAAGAAGTAAATGAAGAATAGAAACGCCACGCTATGCACCTAACATACAATCTCTCGAACTCATAGCCCAACACTGCGGATCGAGTAGTTTTCTGATCAAATACGATCGATTCAAACGGAGTGTAATCGTCTTAGGTGTGTTTGTCGAGGAATTCTTTGGCTTCGTTGATTTTGGTCGCCAAGTAAGGACTGCCACCACGATCGGGGTGGTTGAGGAGCATGAGCTGGCGGTGCTTCTTGCGCACCTTGTCCTTGTTCAAAGTTCGCTCACTATAATATCATCTGTCAGTTCCGTCCGAATGCGCATCAAGGGCCGATGTAAGAGGAACGTACGGAAGTTCGAGGATAAGGGAGGCTTCCTTGCGGTTCATACGTTGCTCGAATCCACTATAATCAAACAATTGAAATCAGACGATGACGAGGTAATATAATGATGATTTCACACGAACCCCTTGTAGAAAGCCTTTCCAGCGGCATTAACGGCACCCTGAGAGCGGCGGTAGGCGACCAGACCGGCACGGCCCTGAAGAAAAAACAGTCAGAACCTCTGTTATGCTATTGCGAATCATTCGTTTCGAGTCATCTGGGTCTTACCAGGAAGGCAGCAGTGGCCACGCCAAGGCCAACAGCAAGAGTCGAGGCCATTTCGTCAAGAGATGTTCACGGTGTGGGGGATGGAAGTCGAGTTGCGGAATTGAAGGGAAGGCGACTTGAAGGCCTCGGGAAGAAGTGTAGATTAAAAGTCAGCGCGCGATCGCCCGATTAGGCTTAGCGCAGTAACATCTACGCCGCCAAAGCCTTCAAAAAAAAAGTTCTGCCGCATATCACAAATTATCCTCCAAACACATCCTCCACCAACCACAACCATGCGGTAAGTTTGAGAGATAACGCTGGTCTTTGCTCGAAAATACAAGAAAAGAAAAGTCAAGTGAAACTAACAATTCAATCTATAGTGTGGAGACCTGCCATTTCTGCTCTCGCCCCGCTTTCCCGAGCAAGGGTATCACATTTGTTCGCAATGATGCCCGAGCATTCCGTTTCTGTCGCTCAAAATGCCATAAGAATTTCAAGATGAAGCGTCAGCCCCGCAAGTTGAAGTGGACTAAGAGCCACCGTGCCGCCCGCGGCAAGGAGATGATTGTCGACTCGTCCCTGGTCCTCTCCCAGTTCGCCAAGAAGCGCAACGTCCCCGTCAAGTACGACCGCAACCTGGTTGCCGCTACTGTCACTGCTATGCAACGTGTGGAGGAGATCCGTTCACGCCGCGAGCGTGTTTTCACCAAGCGTCGTCTGGCTGGCAAGGCTGCTCGCGACCGCCAACGCGAGGCAGACCGCAAGGTCGTTGCCTCCGGCGAGCATCTTATTCGCAAGGAGCTCCGCGATCGCGAGGCCAACCAGCCCATGGTCCTGGATTACAACAAGGCTGCCAACCGTGTTCATGGAGAGGATCTGCTCAAGCAGAAGAAGAAGACTCGCATGTTGGTGGATGGTGGTGCCGAGGAGGAGATGCAGCTCGACGATTAAATTTTTTTTGCCTAGTTTTTTTTTCCTTTGAATTTTTTAATGTTCTTGCTTTTGGGTCTCCTCGGTTTCATTTGTCATGCTTCGACCGCTACGATACGATCTCCCGGAGTTGGGCTTGCATTTTCATTGTTGTCACGGTGTTTTCCCCTCAAAAGCTACCTATCGATATCACCTGATTTACATACATTCCACATATTAGCAGCATGGAAGTAAATTTCAATCCTGAATATAAGGAACTTTATATTAGTATCATATTACTGGGCAAAAATATAGCAAGGACTGGTTAGAGAGTTGTAAGGATCGCCCGGCTATCAAATTATTGGATTGGCCTCTTTTCTATCTCTATCGATCTCCGGTGAGTACTACATCAGTCACTAGGAAATTCGCAAAGAAGCACAAGCAGATTAGAGGAACTAGAGTAATGAAAACGATTCGAAAGCCAGCCATCTTTGCATCTAATACATTAGGGGATGCCGTTATACCGTTAACGGAATAGCCTTCAGATGGCTTGGATGATGTCCCATTGTATAAAGCCGACTGCATAACAGCCTGTTGCGTCGCAGTAGAGATCGCAATACCAAAAACAGAACCCAGCGATCGCAATAGATTACGAGTAGATGTAGCCACTGCCCGATCTTTGGTTTTTGCGAGAGCTTGTACAGCTACCAAGCCTGTATAAGTCAACAATAAGAATGTTTCTGCATGGTTTCTGTGAAATCATTATTACCTGGTTGATGAGTAAAGCCAACGCCAGCGCCTTCGATAGCAAGTACTACTACGTAAACGATGATATGAGTATGCCTGTGAAACAGCAGGCGTAGCCCTGCTCCAAAGGACCACAGAAAGAGCCCCGTTCGTAGCACCGGTGTGAATCTGCTTATCATCAGTAGGGAACATCAACTGAAAGATAGTTTTGGCGAACCTAGCACATCGACTCATCAAAGGTCCAGATATCGCACCCGCGATACTTTGCGCTAACACATAGGGTAATGTTAAAATTGCACTTTTGAGTGGGGAAAACCCTAGCACTTGCTGATAGAATAGAGGCATGAAGTACTGGGTTGATTGCCAAACATAGTCGTGGAGTGCCCCAGATACTAACATCACTGCCAATGACCTTTTTTTGAATAAAGTCAAGGGGATGATGGGAAGTATTGCGAATAGTCCCTCAACTAAAATGAATGATACAATCGAAATGGATCCCAGAATCAAGAAGGTAATGACCAAGCCGCTATCCCAAGGCCATGAAATGCCCCCAGAGCTGATTGGGATCTGATTGGAGCAATTTTGTTAGTTGAGCCATATTAGAGCGAAGAATATTCCGATGAAATATCATGATGTATAGTGATTATGATATGATGAACGCAGTACACATACCAAGAGAAAAACAATCCCCGTTATGGAGAGAAAACTCCCAAGCCAATCAATTTGCTGAGTCTTTCTACGCCAACTCCCCGTTACTTGATTCAATGGCATGAAAATCAAAAGACAAAATACACATATCAAAGCAAGAATAGACGGGACCCAAAAGGCCCATCGCCATCCATCAGGTCCTTTCTGTATAAGACTGGCTGCGACAAAAGGCCCAGTAACAGCTCCTCCACCGATTGCAATACTCACAAATCCCTGGTATTTCCCTCGATCTTTTAAACTGACCAAGTCACTGATTATGATCGAGACAAGGGAACTTGTTCCCCCTGTCCCAATTCCACTGATGGAACGACTAACATATAGCCAGGTTGGGGTTTTAGCTAGCCCCGAAAGCAAATCACCAATCATGATACAAGCAATAGATAGAAGTAATACTGGCTTTCGTCCGGATATATCAGATATACGACCGTATAGAGGTTGAAATGCCGTAACTCCGAGGAGAAAGGCAGTTCCTGCCCAGGTGATAGTTGTTTCTGCGGATAAGGCATTGGAAATTGTGGGTAGAGCTGCTGTTGCTGCATTCATGTCTAGGTATGATATGAAGTAGCAAATACAAAGACATAAATATGAAGCTGCCAAACAAGACCAGGGGAGTCTTATTGTTTGGTCGTCCAGGTGCGTGAGCCTCTCTGGAGAAGGAGAACTATGTTTCCCTTCTTCGATCGTGATGTCTGAACTCGCCATTAGATGAATTTGGGTCGATAGGGCTGGAAGGCTGTAAGTACAGAGATCAAATGTTCTTTTTGAAGACATTGAAGAGACATCCAATAGCTATCGAGGTCGAAGATGTCAAGTTAAGCACCCCCTGAACAGATTGGTCCACTGCAACGTCGTGATAGAGCAAGCTCCATGCGTGACACCTTAAATGATCACATCATAGCTCCAGATTTGATCCCAAAGCTTGAGTAACTGTAATCTCTACTACTGGGGCTCTTCACAAACTTAAAGTAGTCTGTTTAACTAAATTCGTGTATGTCAAACTGGTTTCACTAGGATTCTAGCCCCGCATTTTGGCATATTCGTGGGATGTTGCAGATATCAAGTACCACAACAATATCAATGTAAACCATTAACTCTATCAGCCCAGATGTGCTGTTAGGTCCTATTTGTGAACTTAGTATGTTTTCTACTATCAGTTTGCGTAGGTATGAGACGGCTCCAAGCGGCAAGGTAGCATTTGTTTCTTGAAATAATCGACCGAGTGCAGTGAACACAATACAGTCTATGAGGCAACAACGACGAGATTGCTACAGTTGTTGAGATAAGGTGTGACACGCCCATTGGTAAACTTTGAAGCTTGCAAAGACCTAGATCTATCGCTAGCGCTACAATCGAAAAGCGAACTATTGGTGATTTATGGTAGATCGCAAATGGAAGAGCTGCTAGTCAGTGGTGTACTATTATTTGATAATGAAATTTTAAAGACCTTGTAAGTATTGGTTCAATGTGGAGATCGTTAATGATTATCTTTGACTATGAGATTAAACTGTGATATCTGAAAGAAAATTCTCATTTTCGAAAGATCCTAGAGGAATGAGCCTCAGCTATAGGGCTTTGCTACCTCGACGGCATTGATGCCCAGTAACTGCTTCACGGTGATAATATATTCGTCAGCCTCGCACCCAGATTCAGTTCCCATCGCCAGTTCCTCAACGGTTTTTCTCATATTTTCTATGGCGCTCTTCTGCGCAGCAACTAAGAATCGCTTGGCCTCCTCGTTCTTTCCATCCTCAAAGTCTCTTTCGAGCAGAATCCGTAGAAGACAGCCGTAGTTCTTAGCATCAAGGCAAGCTTTTGCTTTCTCATCATTGGAGAATAGCTCCGGATTCGCAGCAAGAAAGCTCTGCACAATGGGTTCAATTGCTTGGACTTTTGCCCGCATCAAATGATTTGCATAGATAATGATATTCGCGCCAGCATCGATAAGGGTCTGGCGGGATGTGGTGCAGTAAGTAGTCGGTACAATTACCAAAGGCGTGGTTTTGTCAACCAGCCGAACATTTCTGAGAAAGCCCAGTACCTCTGAAGCATTCTTGCTTTTGCTGTGGATCATAATGGCATCGGCGCCTGCTTCTGTGTAGATATCAGCCCGCTTTAGTGCATCATCGAGGGCTCTCTGGACAGAAGCAGCTTCCTCCATTAGATCATCTTTCTCAATGCGTAAGTTGAAGGACTCGATCCGAGCGGTAACCATGAAGTCACTGTCACTGGGACCATAGATATCGACGGGTCCCTGTTTGAAGGCCTTAATCTTCTTGGCAAACTCATAGGGATCGGCTTGAGACTGGGGTTCAGCTGCGGATAGAAGGGAATTGACTTTCGTTCCTGGAGCCGTCAATTCCTTGTCCTCGATTATGATCATGGAGACTCCTTCACGAATCAGAAAGGCTTTCAAGGCTAGAGCGTCCACGATTTTTCCACCGCTATCAGCATCAAATGCAGCACACAGAGCATTTTCGTTCCTGGAGTAAGGTAGCTTCATGCTCGAGCGATGTAGGGGAGATATGAGTTCGGTATCTGGGATTCCGAGGTAGGTCGTTTGAGTTAGGCCACTGATCCATACACCTTCGAAGGATGGCTCATCTTCTCCTGTATTTCGAATAACTTCCGTGGAGAATGGATCGTGGGTTTCGATTAGGCGAATGACGCCGTTGTGTTGCTTGAGAGCGGATCGCACTGACATCGACATCGTGTAGAATTCTTGGTGGTGATGTTGCTTGGGGCTTCACGTATGTGAGTAAGTTGCCGGTGGATAATAGTAGTCAGAGAAGCTCTTGGGATGATAGCTTGCGAAGATGGGAGTGGATGATTTTTCGAAAAGATTGTTGGTGGGAGTTGGAAAGTGAGAGAAATGCCTGGGTGGTAATGCGCAGTCTCTAGGAAGAGATAACTGATTAGGGAAAATCCAGACCCTCAAACCAGGGAAAACCCTACTATAAATGAGTCAATTATTTTGTCTGCTCAACTTGAAGCTTTATCGTTGCATCACATGTTGTTTTTACCAATATCTTAGCTTGTTGATATGTACTCGATTGATGCTATGACTTCTCCTTCTCCTATACTACTTAAATCTACACGCGAGGTGATATAAACTAATTCGCAAAGCTGCTTCAAAAGAACAGCAGAACTCAACACTTCACGCATGGCAAAAATACTCTATAGACTGAACATAAAGGTGTAAACTTCCTGTCATCGGTCTTTACGTCACGTGCAAATATACTTCTGTTGGTTTCCAATGTAACCACGGCACTTCTTCGTTGTGTTGAAATTTAAATCGTTTAGTGCTTTCAGTTGCTGTGTAGCATATCTTTGTAACTGAAAGGTGTCGAATTCTGTAGATGGAGTGTGTCCGGGAGATGTGCTGCCTAGGACCTGATATGTTATGGCAGTTGTGACATTCCAAAGTTCCAGAGAGTTCGACAACGTTGGAGTGCGCACCCGGTGTCTGCTGCCTGTTTGGGTTGGATATTTCTCTGAAATAACAATTAAACCAGTGTTTGTTTTGTGCTGTGAATTGACTCGAAATTTGCTCATTCACTCGCACCTCACTTCTTACACCTCCCTTCTTCTTGCCTCCCAACACCAACACCATCTTCACTACACTTCAAGAACATTGAAAACACACCTTAACAACTTTCCAAGAGTCTCACAGGACTCAAAGATTGCCACAGAAATGGACCCCATCGAAGACGACTATTCACCCAAATATGAACTTCCACCCAACATAATCGCCGCAAACCCATCCTACTTCTCAAACATCGATGACATCCCACTTGACCCCCATTACGCCCTCAAAGAAGAGTTCGCAGCCGACCCTGCCTCCACGAAGGTAATCCTAGGATCAGGTATCTACCGAGACGGCGACGGACTCCCATGGCCCCTACCCACAGTCATAAAAGTAAGTCTACCTCTCATCAATCTCACAGCACAATACAATCTACCCGAATACCCTACTAACAGCATCGCCGCCAGATTGAAAAGCAAATCGCCGCAGCAGAAGACACCGATCGCTACGATTACCTCCCCATCCCAGGGTATGCCCCATTCTACAACAAAGCACGAGATATCTTGTTTGGGTACCGAAAAGATGTATCAAACCCCATTATCTCCGTACAAACAGTCGGCGGAACAGGTGCGAACTTCCTTGGTGCTCGTTTCTTAGCTGAATCACTCAAACCATCGGCTGTATGGCTATCTGATCCTAGCTGGGTGAATCATGCCAATATCTGGACTTCGGTGGGAGTCAAGGTGAAATATTATCCTTATTGGGATGCGATGAACAAATGTCTCGATTTTGAGAATATGCTTAAGATGCTGGAGACTAAAGCTAAATCTGGAGATGTGATTGTTCTTCATGCTTGTGCTCACAATCCAACTGGTGTTGATCCAAAGAGAAAGCAGTGGAAGAGGATTGCTGAGGTTTGCAAGGATGGGAAATTGTTTCCTTTCTTCGATTGTGCATAGTAAGTTGCTTGACTTGATTTTACTTTGCGAGCATCTCATTCCTTCTTTCTTGCCTGCTTGCTATTGCTATTGCTATTGTGTTGAAATGGAACTCGGAAACTAACAATGAATAACACAGCCAAGGCTTCGCCTCAGGAGATCTCGACCACGACGCCTGGGCCCTGATTCACTTCTCATCTCGGATGGAACTAGCCGCCGCCCAATCATTCTCAAAGAACATGGGCCTCTACGGTGAACGTGTCGGCGTCTTCCACATTCTCGTGAAATCACCTACCGAAGAAGCAAAAGTGAAAGGTCACCTTCTCAATCTGCAACGGGGACAGATCTCCCAGCCACCACGACGAGGAGCGAAAATAGTCACTGAGATTCTGGATGATAGGGCATGGTTCCAATGGTGGTTGAGAGATGTTCGTCAGATGAGTTTTCGAATGAAGGATCAGCGGGAGAAGTTGCATAGGGAGTTGATTGAGCTGGGTACGCCAGGGTACTGGGGACATATTCTTACTCAGGTGAGGCCTTTCTTTATCTTTATCTTTGGGGTTTGTGAGCTAACTGGGTGGTTGCTTGGTTGGTTAGATCGGGATGTTTTCGTACACTGGTCTTAGTGCGGAGCAGGTGGAGAGCATGAAGACCGAAAGTCATGTTTACATCTTGAAATCGGGAAGATTGTCGATTCCGGGTTGTAAGTTCAAGTTTGAGCCTGGGACGGGTTCTTCTATTTGTTAGCATGGAGAGGACTAAGTAACTAGTTATAGTGAACAATTCGAATGTCAAACACGTTGCTCAAGCAATCGATAAGGCTGTGAGAATGGTGCCTCAGCCTGGCTCTGAAGCAAGTTCTTGATTAATTATTTGCATCACTGAACTGAGTTGAGTTGAGTTGAGTATGGGTATCATGATGCGATGATCATGGGCCGAGGGACTAGGGGTTTTGAACCAGCACTCTTTGCAACTTTAGATGCCGCTGGTTCAAGTTTATGTTAGAATTTCTCGTGGGATGGGAAGGCCACCATGATGAATATTTTCGATAGTTTTACTAGTATTCTTACCCCCAATGAAATGAAGGCTCGTTACAGCCTCTTGATTTATTGCGGTTATTTATATTTCAGCTTGAGTTGGTTGTATGGATATGTATTCTGCGGGTTTTGGGTAAGAGGTAGATTGATGGGCTTCGGGCATAGTTGCTGTACTAATCAGTAGAATCAATGAGTATGCACATGTGCGATTGAAGCTGTTCTTGTATTTTATCATTACTGTTTATAGCGGCGTCCATTGGACAGTCTACTTGGCACATAATTGATTTCATAAGTTATATTCATAACGTCCCGTCCAGGATCATTGAGTACACATGGGAGAAGAAGAGCGTGAGAGAGCGTGGAGCGTGGGGACAACGAAAGTATAGAAGAGAGCGGACGAGGGCCAAGAGGATAGATAGGTGTAGGTGGTATGGATATATGTTATGTTCGTGGCGAAACAGGAGAGAAGAGAATAGGAACGGGAACGGGCGTAGACGTAACTAGGAAGAACAGAGACAAACAGATAGGTATAGGATGGGATATGGGATATGGGATATGATATGCGCCGGCCAGATTAAGGACCATTTGTAATGTTTCCAGAGAAAAAGGAAAAGTAGAAAACGATCAGACAAGAAGGCATAGAGCAGAACAGAACAGAACAGGAACAGAACAGAGGGCCAAGGAAACATGATACATGGGATCCTCGAAGAATTGTAAAGGTAAGGTCCCGAAATATTTAGAAGACATACTGTGCGGAGGAAATACGATACATTTACCGAATTCGAGGTCGAGTGTTTGTCCAATGTTTAGGTTGAAAACGAAAACGAGACTGAAAACGGTATGCATGTATTTACTTCATTATGCAGCATGCACGTTAAGATTGTAAATAATTTCCCAAACAAAAAACGCTCAAGCGCGTGCATTGCGTCGTGAAAATGGCCAATGGTAACTCAATGAACTCAATGAGGTACTAGTGACCTGATGGTGCCCAGAATAGAGAGGATAGGACAGGACAGACAGGATTGGAAGGGAATGAATCCAATTATTCTTCCATGCGTCCAAAAACACCGTCATCATCATCATCTGCTGGAGCCGTGCGGCTGCCAAAGTCCACGTCTGCATTGCGACTGTGACGACGAGGTTCAGAAACCTTGGGGTCACGTCGGGGTCCGCGCTCATCTGACACTTTGTATGACAGTGATGGGTTGACCGAGACAGAGAGGAACATGTCGGCGTTGGACTCTCGACGGTAGGCTTCGTTCATAGGACCTGACTGGCCGAGAACGGAGCCCTGGTTGCTGGGGTGGCTGCTGGAGTCCAGGTAACGAGCTGGCAGTGGAGGAACAGGGGGGACATCCGGGGTAAGAGAGACTGGCCCTGTGCGGGGAGTACCGAAGTTGCACAGGCCGATCGCGGCGGCAAGCTCAGCCTCGTCATCCTCGTGCAGTCGGGTGTCAGCAGTTGATGGACGGGTGTCAATGCTGGACTGGCGGAAGTGGGAGAAGGCAGGAGAGTGGAGCGGGGCGCTGTCGTTGTAGGAGCTCGAGGGGATCGACTGGTAGGATCGGGAGAAGGCGGAGGCGTTGCTAACGCTTGGTCGCTTGGTCCAGTTGGTTGGCATCCCGGACATCTCGAAATCGTCGTCTTCTTCCTCGTCCATCGGGGGTGGGGTGGTTTCAGCGGAGCTCATGCCATCGCGAACATCGGAGGAGGCATCTGGGGATGCGGAGGAGACTTCGGAGTCGGCTTCAGGGTTCTCGGGATCGACTTCGTTCATAGTAACCAGTACGGTGGCAGCCTCCAACAACTGCACCTGCTGGTGCTTGGAGATGAGTAGCTTCGAAGTAACAGCCCATGCAGGGTTATGTTCCCACCTAAGACGCCACGAAAACAAGAAATCGTCAACCGAATGTCACCGACAAGGAGGAGTGATAGGTAGAGATAAAATAAAAAATACAAAAAAGGTGATAAATCATGAGATGCGTAAAAGGGGAGAGGGAAATGACGGGGAGTTGAATGACCACGAGGGCGACCTGCACAGAGCCGACATGGCGCATGCTCCCGAACGAGCAAGAAGAAAACGGCCGGGCGACATGGGGGATACACACATATGCTTGGACAAGCAGCTGCCATGCTTATACCCTTTTCCGCAGCGTTCACAGCGGAGTTCAGCTGGGAGACGTTTTCCATCGACAGATTTGAATTGAGCACCTTCGCTAGTGCGACGGTTACGGTTCTTGGGGGCTTTGCTGTCATCCTCGGAGCCACTTGGGGAACCTTTCCGAGCGACCGGAGGTTCCTGGCTGGGGCTGTTTACACTTCGCGACAAGTATGAACTGAAACCCGATGTGGCCCCGACAGAAGTGGATTCCAGACCCTTGCGGCCCCCAAGGCTACGACGATGAGTGCCCATGGGTAGAGAGGAAGCGGCCTCGCCATCCTTCATCGAAGCGGCGACTGCGGCGGCGGCATTGGCGGCAGCGGTGGTGACACTCTTTCGGCGGGTCACGCGGTGATTCGAATTAACGGCACCCAGAGAGATCGAGTGAGAGTGTTGTCGCTGGCCTGGGTTGGGAAGCGGACGCGAGAGAGACAATTCCTGTGCGGGCCAGAAGACCACATCGTTAGTATGAGAACAACTAACGACTTTCACACTCTCTCCACCCCCTCTTCTCTCTGTCTGCCCCAAGTTTCCGAGGAACGTTCACTCCCTCTCCATCTCCTTGTTTTCTGGGGTGTTGTCGGGCTGCATGATTGATCATACCTTGAAAGAGGCCATGGTGAAGGACTTTCTGGCAATCGATAGATTTTTTGAAAGTCCTTACAGTTGAGAATCGGGCTCAATTCCGGGTGGAAATTGGTAGAAGGACGCGGAGTGGCTTTCGGGAGTGGTGGGACTAATGAGTCAATAGCGGGAGTAGTTGCGTACGTGGTCGGGAGTGATGTAGGGGGGAAGTGAAGAAGAAAAAGTTCAAATGAGAGGGAACTATTGAAGGAAAGAGAAGTAGGTAAATGTAGAGAGTAAAGAAGCAAGGATGAGGAGAGAGAGAAGGAAGAGACCCAAAAAAAAAAAAAAAAAAAAAAAGAGGAGAAAGGAAGGAGAAACTGGTACAAGGCATCCGGTATGGTGTGGCCCACCAAAATCGCTCATTGCGCTTTGCGGGGGCTTTTCCCTTTGAGCATGCGGGGGGCGATCTTCGTAACACTCGGAGAACCTAGGATTGGGTGTTATTTATTATGGATTTGATTTATTGGGGTTCTTTTTACGTATTATTGTATCTTTCTATTCCCCTTCCATTGTGACTTGTATGTTGAGCTGTCTATGCTGCTTCTTTTAAAGAATGTCTATAACATTTGTGTGCGTTCGCAAGGCCCTGGGGGATGATGCGATAACCATGGCTCCACTTCGCTTCTGCGATGCCGGACCATACACTCCTCAATGTGACGGGACACCGCGCAACATCAATTTACATCCACAACAGCTAGATTCTAAGATCATTTTACCCCAATGAATCCGGGAGGGCAGGAGAGTCAAGTCCTAGGTAGGGTTATATTGCTGGGCTAGCTAGGCATGGTCCATCCCCTGTGCCCCCTTTCTCTTGGACGACCCGGGCGTACAGGGCAAAGTTCAGGGTCTCCCGGCTTTGGGATAGCCTAGATACACACCCATGGATCGTCCGACTAGGCAGAGAAGAATGGGGAAAGGTGCCCCCAAAAAACAAGGACAATAGCTTCTTTATACTTGCTTTCTGTTCTATTATTACACAGTAATTTCTTGGAATGGAATGACTTGTAATGGAATGAATTCTGGGAACATCTGTTGCCTGACGATCACCCGCCAGGATCACAGGAACAATGAATAAGGAAGTGGTTTCCCGACAAAACAGAACTACTACGCTCTGACAACTCCGCTTCATGTCACTCGGTACCTCGTGGTTTCAGCCTGTAGAGGGGGCGATGGCAAGTTCTGTTAGGTACAATGGTACATTAGTACTTGGGCAAAGGCGCGCACGAACAGACCTGATCACCTGCAGGTAGATAGACCGGTCTAGGACATGACCTAAGTGGAGCCCATGATGTCACAAATGGATGAGAACCGGGCAGTGGAACAAAGTGGAATTAAAGTGGACACGGGGCAACACACGGGTATCTCAAGTGGGAAGAAGTCTTTGGGAGAGCTGTGTGCACCTGATAGGAGAAGTCACGGGATCAGGTGATCAAGCAATGTATGTACTTGGTACACACTACATAGATTTGATATAGAGTCCCTTATTTAGAGTATGTACTCAGTACTTAGCTTTTACAGTCCTACACACTAGCCAATTACAGACTTGAGGTGACTGGGGAAATTTCCAAGGTTGGAAACCAATGTTCTGAATCTACATTCGGTATATCAGATAAAAATAAAAAAGTTATCCACCTTGGTGTTGGGCAGCCCGATAACTGATAACCAATATAGAGAACACAGATAGTAGAATTGTAGATAGTCACACAGATCAATGATTAATCATGTTTGGTAAAATTAACACCTAATTATACTCCTCAATTAGCTCCTTTCCAAATCCTGCACCTGCTCGGAGATATCCTGAATCAAATCGCTCTATTTAATTCCACGCCAGGGCCCATCGACGATCAGATCCCCTCGTCGCATCAGCCCGCGCACTAGCGCTGCCGAGGAGGATCTTTACCCCGACTGTTCAAGCTCGAGATAAATTTAATATTAATAATAATAAATAATAAATACCACCTAATCTGCCCTGCTGGTCCAGATCCAGCCACAGGCACGCACACAGATACACACAGACTCCAGGGCTAATTATTACTTGCCCACGGCCCTTACTAGTACATACATATAGTAGGCAGTAGGCATGCAATGTTACTGTACTGTATTGGCCCCTTCACTTACCATGGAAACAAGACATTCTGGCACATTCTCCTCGGCATTCCATTCCTGAGAAACATGGGTTCCTGCGGCTGACAGCCCTGAAGGGAGACGTGGCTGATGCCGATCTCTAGCTCAGCTCTGCAGAAAAGAATAAAAGAGGGAAAGAAAGGCAAAAGCAAAAATAATAATCCAAGCTTTTTCAAATTCTTTACAGAACAGAAATATTTAAATCGGATCGAAACTATTGATTTATCTTAAACTAAAAATAAATAACAATGAAATCATATGAAACTCCTCCATGTCTCGCATTGCGTCTTATTGTCAATTCAAGCCCCAATTCCCCACTGTGACGCAATACAAACAATGCAAACGCTTTTTTGGTGATTTTGTGCTTCACCGATCCGACAATTGCACTACGATGAAAGGTACAACTCAATTGCCTTTGCCTTTCAGGTAAGGAAAGGAACATCTAGACCGGCCTAGCCAGTCTTTACTCATAAGAAAAACTGGAAACAAAAAAAAAGCAGTCAAAGATCCGGATACAAAGCAAAGTCACCACCATGCTTCATTCCCGATTACGCCCATTGCCCCGCCGCAATCACACCTCTGCAAGAATCCCTGCACTAGCGCCAACACCAGACAGAGACCAAGACTCAAAGCCTGAAACAGAAGAAGAGGAAGATGAAAGCTCCGACGACGCAGAAGACCTCTTCGGTGCATTCCTCCCACATCTCTTCCCAGATGATGCACCCTCGTTCCACGGTGATCCAGGCAAACACCTCCTCTACTCCTCACCGCGCTATGGGGAGCTAGAAATCATGGTCCCCTCCTACCCGGAGAACAACAAGAGCACTGATTCAAGCTCCGCTGTTACCGGGCAGGGAAACGGGAATGGGAATGGGAAAAATAATGCCGAAGAGGGACGGAAGCTTTTTGCGCATTTCTTATGGAGCTCTGGGATGGTTGTTGCGGAGGGTGTTGAGCTTGCTGCTTGTGATTCGAAGGATGATTTGAATGATCCGGAGTATTTTGTTGATGATGATGCTTTGCAAGAAGCGAAAGAGATATGGAGTGTACGGGGTGAAGATGTACTGGAGCTTGGTGCAGGTATGTATGATTTGGGTCTGTATACGGTGTACAGATCTATACTTCAACTTCAAGTTTGAGTACATTGAATTCTAACCATATTAGGCGCTGGTCTCTCATCTTTAATATGTGCTCTATCCAACGCATGCTCCGTCACGATAACAGACCATCCATCCTCACCTGCCCTAAAAGGCGCAATTCAGTTCAACATATCTCATAACCTCCGCAACATCGAATCAAATACAAACACAAAAACCTATACAAAATCTACCGATATCTCTATCCACCCGCACGAATGGGGGAATCTCTCCGATACCTTCGCAGCTGAAAACAAAGGAAAATTCACACGCATCATCGCAGCAGATTGCTACTGGATGCTGTCTCAGCATGAGAATCTCTGTACGAGTATGGATTGGTTCCTTGCGCCGAAGGGAAAGGTATGGGTTGTTTCAAGCTTTCATACTGGTCGTGCTGTTGTTTCAAGCTTTTTTGATACGGCTGATGAGTTTGGGTTTGTGGTTGAGAGGATTTGGGAGAGGGACGTGGTTGAGAAGGATGCTGATGGGAGGGAGAGGAGAAGGGAGTGGTGGGCTTGTGGTGCTGAGGGGGCGCTTGAGAGGAAGAGGTGGTGTGTTGTTGCTGTTTTGAAGAGGAGGGAGGTGTGAATTACGATCGTTATGATTTGTTTGATGATGGTTATGGTTATGATTATGGATCTGTTGCATTGCGTTGCATTGCATACTAATGAGCTTATGGTTATGATTATGATGATGACGATGAGATGTTTTCATGGATCTTTCTACTCAATCTCAGGTAGCTTAAGAAATGAATATTATGATACTGCAAGGCAAGGTATAGCTGCCAAGATGCTTGCCCTAACTTATTATATCAACCATACTAGAGCAGTTCCAGTATACCTTTATACACAACTCAACCAAAATAAATACTATGAAGAACTCGAAACAACCCTCTGAAAACACACCGTACAAACACCCTGTCCCTCAGCCCCCCCAAATCTAAACCGCGGATACTCAACCCGTCCCCAAACACCCAACTTATCACCATCACCATCAACAGAAGTGAACCACTTGACAAGCTCCTCCTCCGTCCAATTACAGCTCGTAACAATTAGATATCCTCCGTTTCGAAGTAAACGCCGTACAATAGACGGGTACCGTTCACAAACATTGGTTTCTTTCGCGTTGTCCGCGAGTGAGATTGCATCGAATGTTCCTTTGTCGAGAACTATATCAAAGCCTCCTTCTTTATAGGGGAACCAGGGGAGTTTTCCTTCTTCTTCGGGTGATTTTGAGAGTGCGACTGGGGATCCATTTGGTGATAGTGTAGCAGTTGAGGAGAGAATGTCCCATTCTTCGAATTGAATTGGGGAGGTTTCAGATTCGGATCCTTCCCCTTGTACTTCTTGGTCCTCGTCTCCTTCCTCGGAAGACTCATCCTCCTCATCCTCACTCCCAGAATGATAAGCAGAATGTCCCCTCGTACGCTGTAACTCCCTCGCTAACTCCACAGATTGTGCAGAGTAATCAACTCCAACCATCCTCCCGGTATATCCACCCCTCTTCTGGAGAAGGGCTAACATGCTTCCATTCCCCGTTCCAAGATCGAGGATGCTTGCTTTTGACGTTTTGCTTTTTGGGCTTCTAGCCTTGTTGGTTTTGCTGCGAGCTGAAAGCGGGAATGAAGAGCATGTTAAGAAACGGAGGACCTTTTCGGGGGCGTTGTGTTCGGAGAACCATGATGTGCCGGGGTCGTCTTCGTCGTTTACGGAGTCGTCTGAGTCGGAGTCTGCATCTGCATCTGAATCGGCTGCGGTTGTGTTTGCATCTTGGGTTGGTTTTTCAGTGGAGATGTGTGCTAGTGTGCGGGCGTAATAGGTTTCCCAGCTGTAGGTAGGATTGGTTAGTTGAATTGAGGAGGAGGGTGATTTTTATGTATGGGTTTAGGTATCATGATGTGCTTTGGTGGGGTGGAGGGGTAGATGGGGTTGGGTTGTGTTAAGTTGATTCGAATGGGTTGTGTTTGGAGGGTCGAAGGGAGAGACATACTAGTCTTTTGAACCTAGTTCACTAGGTGAGAGGTATGTTGGATGTTCTTCGGCCATTTTATAGGTTTCTTGCCCAAGTGAGTGGTGGTTGTTGGAGAAAATTTGCGGGAGTGCGGAGTTTGTCTTATCTGAGATCTGTATCTGATTACCTCCGCCCTACAGTGTTTATACTAAGACAACCAATCGTCTTTCCAATAGTTTTTCCAAACATCGGTCTATTTCTCTCGTAATACCTTTACTAAGGTAATTCGAAAGGCTTAGATGATATTATACCTAAGTAGAGATTTGCCAGTGTATAATAGTTAGTGGACTTATAATTATTTATAAAATTTTAGACTACTTTAATGTAATGGATAGGCTGCTGCTACATGGTTACAAGAGAAGAAGATTAAGCTCGAAGCTGTCCATTTCTATTGACTGCGCACAGGGGGTATTTGTCGTTCCTTCAATCCGCCCATATCCAGTATACCATCTCGGTCCACGGATAGACGGACCATAAAACAAAAAGAAATCAGATAAAGAAAAAGAAAAAGAAACGAAAGCTTGCCAGTCGACAAGGTGAGAACGAAAAGAAAAGAAAACAAGAAAGGAAATAGGTAATGTAGCGAAAGGTGCTTGTTTGGTGGCCAACCAAATCGATGTAGATAACAAAAATAAAAGGCCGAGTCATCCTCCTCACTAATATTACAGTTACCGGGTTCCGGGAGAGAGTAGTCTCGGGTGACCCTAGTATTCGCATTTGCATTTTTCATTCGACGCTGGAAATGGACAAATGAAGTACAAGCAGAAGCAAGAACAAGGAAATGTGTGGTATGATGGGAAGTAATAAATAGTGATAGTAATAGCGATAGGTGGTGTTGGCGTGAAGCCAGATGATGAGGTGGTATGGAAACGAAATGGAAATGTAATGTTGAAAAGCGATGAGCGACAGCAAAGCCCGCTTTGGTCATGGAATCATCAGCCCAGTCAGGTAAGGGGTATGAGAGACTGGGCAAAAAAAATGGTTGAAAAGAAGGCGTGGTAAAGACGCCTGGCAGTGAAAGAATGATCCCATAGGAGTATGAAAGACATGCAAAATGTCGGGTCGTAGAAATCGTTTAAGGCCCCTCGCCCCTTTTTCGTTGACGTTATGGTCAAGGTCAAGCTTAAGCAAGAGGAAGGGAGGGGGGCCAGGCAATAAAATTACAGGAACTCGTCGATGTTCCTCATGATCATGCGATCGCCCCCAGCTGGTGGTGGAGGGGATCTCGGATCGGCTGTTTCCTTGGTATGGTTTACCGTGCTTGCGACGTCTGCTACGTGAGCGATTCCGCGAGATGGTGGAGGTATAGGTGGCGGAGAGAGAAAGGTTGATGTTCGAGGGGAAAATAACCCAGCTCCGATCTCTGGGGCATCGCGGACGAATACGTTTCTTTGAACGAGTGGATCACAGCTACTCACGCTGCGTGGAATACCCCGAGGACGCCCCGAAGCAAGTCCCACAGATTGGAACTTTTGTCTGAATGGCAAAGGACGTGGTGAGAGGCTGCGTTTTGGTGATCTATTCCCGTTGTCACTGGTTTTAGGACGAGCGGGACTCGAAGACGGAATGGACAGACAGCCCATTGAAGGAGCTTGTGAAAGGCCGCGAAAAGGTGGTCGGGGGGTCTCGTCTCGAGTGGCTCGCTCTTCCCGTGTTAATTGTGGTTCAGAGCATCGTCGACCACTTTGGACAAACCATTCACGAGGAGCAGGTCTTGACGGTGATCCACGCATCAAGTGGCCTCGGAAATCTGTGAGCTGGTAAATCAGACTCATGTTAGGTCCAACCCACTGGCTTCGTCCCTTGACCATTTCGTACATGGAGTTGAAGTCCAGGTGGCGGTTCTTGTACAGACCATACGCAATAACGAGTGATGCGGATCGACTGGCGCCGAGCTGGCAGTGAACAAGAACCTTCTTACCCTCGGAAATACGCTGGTCGATAAGCTCGCAGAGTGGTAGCAAATCGTCCAGGATTTCAGAGTTGTGGTCCCACGCAACGTGGAGATACTCTGGTATCGTGGCAGATTTAGGAGTGGGGGTAGTCGGGGTCGCAGATTCAGACTCTGAGGGTAGGAATTCGAAGGCGGATTTGAAAGATACTTCAGACATGGCGGTTTGGGGGTCTTCGATGGAAAATCGCTTAGAGGCCATGGAGGCGTTTCGCCAGGTGCTCATTACAGTGTCGTTTTTCTCGGTTTGGTCTTTGTTGAAAGGGTTACGAACTTCTTTGGCGACATTAATCACGGTATCGAATTCCGATGCCTCCTCTGCGGTCGGTTCCAGATATAGATATACGCCTTCGTCGTGAATTCGAATAGGTCCCTCAGGATAACCTCGTTCCTTCTTTTTTGTCGATTCACGAGAGTCAAGGTGATCATCCTCTTCCTCTAAGCCGGGGAGAACGCGGGTAGAAAACGTTGTGCCCTCATCGGCAATTGATGCGAGGGAAGAAGAAGCGTCTTCGGAAAAGCGACGGAGGCCGTTATGCGATGGTGGAGGAGGCAGCGACATACCACCTCGGGGAGCAAATCCAGGCGATGCAAATGAGGCGAGTGAAGGTGATGATTCTGCATGTCGTAGAGATTGGCGTCCCAGAGTCAGAGTTGGAGTTGGCGGAACAATTTCCGATCCAGAGAAAGATTGTTTGAATGAAGGAGTCTGGATCGTTAGGCCTGCGGGACGACGTCGGTTGCTCTTCTGGGGGATCTGGATTGGAGATAGCGGGGCAGAAAGGTGATGTGACGAGGATGTCTCCACTAATGACGCTGTAGCGATGGGAGGTCTGGAGTTTGTTGGCGGGGGCATTCGCAAGGATAAATTCTTTGAATTGCGCGCGCGACGCCCGGGAGAAGGCGGACGCGCCGTTTTCGGGGTAGGCAATAACCGTGAACTGTCGGACATTGTTGGCCTCGTAGCTACTTCCAGGGCGCGGGCAGGAGGCGTGAATTTCGGATATGACAGGGGCATGGCCGAGGGAGACTCTGGAGATGAACTGGGCGAGATATCCCCACCGGAGGGTGAGTCGAATGGTGAGATCGTGGTTGTTGGAGAGGATTCAGTGGAGGCGGATGCTGATGAGGAGACGCTTTCGCGATGGGTTGGATGGAGACGTCTCGAAGAAGAATTGATCGGGAAATGAGGCGAAGGGTGCAAGTGACAGGATGTTTCTTCCTCGAATCGGGGTTGTAGACCACCATATACGGACATGAACGAAGGGAACGAGTCCGGGAAGGACGGAGGACTGGTTTGCACCGGCATGGCTTGACCCCAGTGGATATTTTGAAAGGCGGTTGTATAGTCCCCACCAGATGATGATTTGTAGGGAGAAGGAGAGACAGAAGGTTGGCACGGATGCACAGGAAGAAGCTAGGACATTCGGATGTTTTGCTACCGGCGCAAAAGAATCTTATTGGAGGTTAGTTTTGCTGTTCGTTTGAGGGAGTTCGCGGAGATCTAGGGTGGCGGGTGCGATAAATGCAAGGGCCGAAACCAATGATCGGCAAGCCAGTACGAAACACAATGTGCAAGCACGAGTCATATTGCAGGAGATGAAACAATAGACAAAGAAGAAGGAAAGGTATTACATGATTGAGATGTATAATGGATTGGAAAGGGAGGAAGAAAAGGGAAAGTTGATCACATACCAAAACTCACAGCCCAGATACTTCGATGAGGGATGTATAGTGTGCCGGAGGAGAAAGAAGAAGAGGCAGCGTTGATTGTTTTCTCCCTTCCCTTCTGAGTTTATAAAAAAGCCGGTAAATTTTGAAGGTGAAAATCGAAGGAATGACCGGAAAGCAAGCGAATCGAACGAGGTTAAGGTTAAAGATAGAGGGGTTTTTGCGAGTCGGGGGATTCGGGGCCAAAAGGATGTTGATGTTCGATGTTCCTCCGGGGAACAGGGAAATGATGAAAGGAGAGAGAGAGAAGGCGGTAAAAGGTGTGTATAGTTTGTATAGAGGGAGACGAAGAGGGGGGAGTATGGAGAGGAATAAAGGAATAAAGGAATCAAGAATCAAAATCCAGAGAAGCAGGTAACTTGGACCCTTACATGTTTTTAATGGGAAATTGGGGAATGGGAACTAAGTTAATGGAGTCGCTGATACATGTTACAGAAGTCGAGATGTCCGATTTCAGGCCCACACTGTAATTATTACGGTGGGGAAGACTGCTCGACACAATACCAGGTACTGTAACTGAGGCCTCTTAGCTAGGTAACTCTCAGTACTATAAAGCTCTAATTTTAGCCGCCGGGGGCGTTGGCCAGTATCTGCCTGGTACCGGGCCTGTACTGCGTCGGCGCCAAATCCACGCAAATGAGAGGCCCTTCCCCCCTCCCCGAGGTGATTAAGCTGCGTAACAGGCATGAAGGTCCACTAGGACAGCCTATTAAAGAGAAATAAATAAAATAAAATAAAATGTTCATTTTCTCGTTTGGCTACTATGTATAGAATATGAGGGGTGCAATAAAACACGAGAAACGCTGAGAGATCCCCCAGCACTGTAGCCTCTACTGTACTCTGTGTACTCTGTTATGTTTCTGCGAGGCGAACACAGGATTTATTTTTATTTGATTTTCATTTTTTATTCCTTTTACCACTTAGAAAAATAGAAATGGCCGGTCCCACTCATACCCACTTCCACAGCCGAGCCTTCTGAGCCTTGGGGGAAAGCATTCGTGTTTCTCACATGTTATTACATGCGAAGCAGGAGGATTGGCCTACCATTGGACCAAATTCCTTCCGATCTAGTACACTCGGGAGGGAAGTAAGTGGAGTTTTCTTTCTTCTAGTGGCAAGTCGAGAAAATTCTAAAAAATTACAGTCACAAATTACTGTACAGCAGTCACCAAAGAAACACACACACAAACACCACGGACGGGATGGCCAGTGGAGATAACTGCGCGTTGACTGGGTTGACTGGATGGACTGGGAGGCGCAGGGCTATGTGATTCGAGAAATTCCAAATTCGGTCCTATCCGACCCGTCCCTGCGAGTAGGATGTGCACGGTTCTCTGTTCGCAGTGGCCGAGTCAACACGGCACACCGGGTGAACGGTGGGAACAGGAGGATGAGAACCATGGACGAGGTCAGGAATACGGAGTACTTATACTCTCAGCTTGAATATTCAGCCTTGAACATTCAGCCCCTACTACTAGACATCGAGCTTTGGGGGTATAGCCGTGGACTGAATAGTATACTAGGTGCTGTAAGTACTCCAAGTTGACTTCAAAGATAAAAATAGTCTCGTCTTTCGTATTAAGTCCCTGCTGTACATGTATGTGCAGATAAGATACAGGTTTTCCCTCCCATGCATAATCAAATCATACACTAACTGGATTCATGTTCGATTTCTTGCCGATTCCATCATCTGAAACCCCGGAGGCAAATGGATTCAATGGATCTCGCTCCATCCTGAAACACACCAATCCCGCACTAGTAGGCACTAGTGCCCCCTTGGTGGAGCCAACATCAACCTATCATAGCCTTCAAATCTATTTTTTACCATGAACAGAATTGATCTTCGTTTCCAATATCGTGCTTCAGCTGCACTTGTTCTCCTCCACAATTGGATTTTCACCCATCATGACCTCATGAGTGCTTCCTGGACTTACTGTACACGGAGTACACTATGGACAGATCTACGCAGTGGTAAGAATGTATATTATTTAAGAAAGGAAAAAGAACTGCACATCTTGCACATCATCAATAGTCTGTTTACAGTAAAGTCTGAAAATGAAAATCGGCGGATCCTCTCGAAACAAAGAACAAAAAGAAGAACAAAGAGTCTGATCGGCGGGGGGTTTTCCACGTGGAATGGTAGAATGATGGTTTGAAGGCTGGTGTGTTCCAAGGATTCAGGTGGATTCGTGGTCCTGTCCTGTCTTGGGGTTTTGGTCTTGGGGCTGGGGATTTATACACTATCCCCAGTTCATCGATAGTGTCTTGTGTCTTGTCCTTGTTCTGATTCTTGTCCACTCCCTCGTTACTTAGGGTTCCGACAAAGGAGCAGGAAGAGGGTTACTGTTCTCCGTGCCTATCTCGTCTAGTCCACGATTCCAAGATTAATGGCCCCCATAACCAAGATCTGCGAATTGAAAGGAAAATAATAAAATAATAGTAAAAAGCACAGTCCTGCTCTCTATCTCACCGCATTTCACTTATGTGGAGTGAGTGTCTAACTGTACTCCGTGCATTCGTACACTCCCTATGTAATTCTAATTCAATCCTGAATCCTCCCAGCCGTCCCAATATTCTTTCCCGTCGTTTCAGACAAATTGTATCAGCTACATCCAATAGCCATGTACGGGGTAAATTGCACCAGTTCCTGATGAACAGTACCTGTTTCAAATCCAAATCCAAATTAATTCTATTCTAAAAATAACTTGAAATCTTACCTTTGTACGGAGTCTACGCATAGTTCTATCTGCATTACCCCCTACCGACACGGCGGCTGACGTTTACGTTGTTTCTTGGCTCTGTTTCGTGTCTGTTTCGACCTCCTCACCTACTCCTCGTTTACCCCTGTTCCTGTTTGGCCAGCCAATATACAGTACTTCTTCTATATTGTTTATTATTGTTTATTGGTTCTTGACAGCCGCCGACGGGAGAAATGTTGTTCTAGATCTTCGTTCACCGGCCAACCAGGGTTGATGCCGCGAGTATAGTATATTAATAGTTTTGTATCACATTGATGCTCGGCTATACAGTCTTGGTGCTTAAAGGTTGTCGCCGTGACTGTGACTGTGACTGTGACTGTGATCTGGTACGTATTGTACATTAGTAGCCCCGCATCATGGAGATCAGCTGCACATTGTATGTAGTATGTATCCCTCGCAGTGTATGTAAATCATGTAAATCTATACTTGGTACATCGAGGCTCCAGTTCCAGTTGGAAGGTTCCAAGTTCCACCTTCGTCGCGGACACGGTGTTCAACTTGAAGTTTGTTTCAGCACACGAGGACTTGACTATTTCGACTCAGACTCAGACTCAGCCATGGTAGATCCAATCCTTAATGTTATTACCGAAACTTGAATGGTTAAAGCTGTCTGCTTCGTGTCTTGACTGTTTACGGAGTCATGTCGTGATAGGTTCTGAAACTGCTAACTGCTCTAAGGCTTGCCACTCACGCCTCAAGGAACCCTAGTTTATTTACTTGCGCCACTATGGAGCCGAGCCACTTTTTATCTTCAGCTATGTACAGTAAATGCCCACTCTAAGTATTGATGAGCTGAAGTTAACATACTCGTCTGCTTACTATTACCAATATAGGTCTTGCCTACACAGTTAGATCTACAGTATATACCTGTTCAGTCTGAGTTTTCCAAGGTTAGAACTACATGATTAACAGAACTTGAAGCATCGTGTTCTCGGGGATATACCACAATCTCCGAGTTATACATTCAATAGAACCATGGAAGAGTACCCGGTGTTTCTCCTGCCCCAGTGACAGCGGATAACTCGGAGATTATAGTGAGATCTTGACTTGGAACTTGAACCAAGCAGTTGATTTTACTGGATCTACCATGATTCCCCAGGACAAGTCGTCAGCCACGTGGAAAAGAAACCCACCACGACAGACTAGAGTGTGTACCAGAGACAGAAATCTGAGCTAAGAATCAATCGTATCCTGTTTATCCACTGCAGGGCTGTTTTTTTTTTTTTTTTTCTGGTAGAAGATGGGACTCGGAGTAATCGGACTGGTTCCATATTTATGAGGTTGACCATGGCTCGAACGGTGGTGGTTCCATGGATCTTTTATTTATTTGTTGTGGGTAATTAACGGAAATTAAAGGGAATGAGAGGGTTTTGATCTTGGAGATGGAAAAGGTTGAATCTAACGGGGAATCTTAGTTATTACTAGCTTAGTTTGAGTGTGGTGTGTTGATGTTGGATGTGAATTAAAGTTGGTGTCATCTACATAGAGCCTGAGCCCTGTACCTACATAGTAGTAGTATCTCCAGTATTATCTTCACGAGACTACATCCACATACTATATCCATGACTGTAGTATCATCTATACACACAAATCCAAACAGTCACTTTCATTATTAATGATAATAACCAAACCATCCAGGATTCACGCCCAACCCAAACGGGCCTCGCCCGTAATCAAATTTTCCCAGCCACGATGATTTCCATCTGCACTGGCTCCATTTTATGCGAAAGTGGACTAAAACACCCAAATAACCTTGAAACCATAAGAAGCTCACTAGAATTCCGTCGAATCTGACAGGTCGATTCTCCCATCTCGTGCTGTTTATCCTTGTACTTGCATCGCAGTGATCCACGATGCATATTCGGTGACTTCAAGGAAACTTGAACCTTGTGGAAGCAGCGGTGACCAGGTGACCGTGACCGTGACCATGACTTTGTTGTCCGGCAAGGAAAGAGTCACTTGGTGCGCCAGTCTTGATTATCCCAATCTTTCAAGTCTCGACTACCTCGACACTAGACCATCCTCTCTGCACAAACCCGTTAAACCTATCGAGCCCGTCGCGCCCGGCAGGCCTAAAGGCTCCACCGCAACCACCCGTGAAACGCCTGCTCCTGACACTCTGACCCCCAGGGGACTCAACCGGTCCCGTCGATCCGTCCCAAGCTTCCTCCCCAGCCTCCAGGATCATTCAGCTTTGAATCGTCATTCGGCTCCAGTTGCGATCGAAGATTTCCCTTCAAACCCCAATGTCGCCGAGCGACGAATCCAAGATCCCAGCTCCGCGCTCCGCCCTGATGTAAACGGCATCATGCCATCGAGCGTGGCATACTCCGAAACTCGAACGCTGCCCAGCGGGCATCGTCGTAGCTTGAACGCTGCCCCTCGCTTTACCTCTGAGTCGAATGTGAAGATGGACGAGCCTCGTCCTAGAAATGATGATATCTTCTTGAACATCGCAAAGACTGATACTGACCGTCGAGAATCGCTGGGTCGGTCGGACTTTAGACGTGTAAGTCTCCCCTCCCTCTCCCACGACGTAACATGGTCGCAATCTTTTTCAGGAGACCATGGCGCACTACCCGTGGGACAAACTTTGAAATCGAACGATTCTCGGAGCTCCTGGGTGATAAACAAGGGAAATATTGAAGCAAGCTAACAATCTCTCTTTCATGAACAGTCGCGATTAGGTTACTCCAGTGGAAGTTTACGGTCGCCAGCCACTCGCGAACAGAATGAATCAACCCCTTCCCCAGATCATCGCCCCAATAATGTTGAAAGCCCCTTGCTTTCCTCACAAAATGACTCTCCTACAATCCCATATAGCTCTACCCCTTATTCTCCAGCGGCTTCGGCTCACCCTCTCGATGATCCAAATCGCTTCCGCTACTCCAGCTTGACGTCAGGTGCGCGATCTACAATTGGCGCTCCTCGCAGCCGACTCAGTCGCGCCAGCCCTGAGACATCGCCGCGCTCGCCTGCCATAAACGGAGAACATCGTGAGCGACGAGCCTCTTTACATGAATCGCGCTTACATCGAAATTCCGGTCTCTCTACCGTCAGGGGAAGTCGACAACCTTCAACTTCAGAAGTTACCGAGCGCGCCCACGGTGACGGAGAGAAGTCACGACTAGACGGAACTGAATCTACACTATCCACTACTGCGCCGTCGACTGTCTGGGACGAATTAGATGATCTGAAATCGCGCATTCGCAAACTAGAGTTGACAGGGAAACTACCCCCGTCCTCTCAAGCGGCCATTTCAGGCGCAGCTAACGAAAGGCCTCGGACTGCTGCTACAACCATGACTGCTATGTCTACTTCACCTCGACACCACCGCAAAGTGAGCAGTCCATCTACGGAGGCGGAAAACGCTGCACAGAATCCCGTGCACCCTCTTCTGCAGTCAGCATTGGCCAAGGCAAAGTCGGTCTTGAGTAGTGACGTGTACTCGGCGCTAGAGGCGACGATCACAGATGCATTGGCTCTTTCCACAATATTGGGCGTCAGTACAGCTCCGTCAGGCACCGTCTCTGTGGTGAATGGAGGGTACAGTTCGTCGTCCGAGCGTCATGCTCGCCGCAAGGCCGATAGTGTGTGTCGTAGTCTCACTGAGCTCTGTCTATCTTTGACAGATGAGGAGCTCAGAAGAAGTCGATTTTCTTCAAGCCAGGGTCCGTCATCACAATTCCAGCGATCGACAAATGGCAAGAGTGATGCTGATTCGCTAGCGCCAGCACCAACACCTTCATACCAGCGAGCTACAAGCCACGAGCCTGAAGCATCTGAGCTACGCCATAGCACCAATCGTATTCCGAGTCGCCTCGAAGCGCGCAGAGCATCTCTAGCCAATCCTAGTCCCGGGTCTACCATTGAATCTATATCGGCCCAATCACCGAACCTACCTACCCCTCCAAGCCGTCTTCACCGCATCTCCACATCAATGCGTAGTCGCAGGGTACCTACCGAAGAAGACGGCGCCGAGACCCCGAATCCAAATAGTCGCGCCCTCTCACGAGCCATGACGGAAATAGGCACACCAAGCCCTGCGCAAAGTGTCTCGCCTCGACAAAGGGTCTCCAGGGGCCATTCAGTATCTGTATCTCGTTCTATCTCCGGCGTCCAGCAAGACCAGGGACTAGGCATAACTCCTCGCTCACCACAATACCCTCCATCAACTCCTCAAGTATCAGCCTCACAACCTCGAACACCCTCCACACTATCCCAGACTGGGATCCCATTTCGGCGAAGCTACATGACACCAGCCGTTTACTCCCCTGCAACCTCAAGATCCAATATCCAAGCTGGATCACGCCGCTACGGTCTTTCCCCTGGTCTATCAAATACCACGACAACGCCCAATTCCAATTCTGGACCGGGACCGGAGGAAAATTCCCGTTCCTCCCGACTGGAACCCTCTCAAACTCGCATCAGTGCCCCATCCAACAAAACAGTCACAAGCTACACTCCTATCCAACAACAACGTCTCCGAACAAATAGTCTAGGCAGTCGGAGATTTGCACTAAGACGTCGTTCTGCTGTTAACCCCGACGATACAGTGAATCTAGACGATAGCATTGATTGATACCCTCTATTGCATCTTGTTGATTCTCCAAAGAAAACAAAACAAAACAAAACCAAGCCAAAGCCGAGCCAAGCCATGGCGCCTGCATCTTTTTATCTTTAGCAGCGACCTCGCATGATACGGAGATTATATTATCTTCTCTGTCCGGCGTTATTGTTTATTTCAGTGGACGCTTGCATTGCTTATCTTGCTACATGCATGAAAGTCGGAGTCTTGCATTGCATTGTTCCACATCTACGTCACGTCACGTCTGTCTGCATTATGGATTTCTTCTGTTTTATCTCCCATACCTCATATGAAGATGGGTTATTGAAACGCCATTTCTTTTCTTTTCTTTTCTCTTCATTTTATTTATTTTCCTTACTATTTTCTCTACTGTCACTGCTATTTTTTCCTTGAGTCTCTTTTTTTTGTGCTAATGACCGTGGGTTTCATTGTACAAAAGTCATATCGGCGTCTCTTTATTTTTGTACATTGTTTAGCACGAGCACGGACACGAACAAGTATGAGTGGTACTAGTGCTGGTATTTCTTGTGTTTAGACGCGATTTTATGATACTGGATGTGCTTATATGGTATGATACGAGTTTCGAGATGAATGAATGAGACTTGAATTTTATTTATTTTGTTTTATATGACCTGTCTGTATATGATTCAATTGTTTAGTATGGACCTACCCAGTATGTTCTTCGACTCGGACTCGGGCTGTATGTAGCCCAGGCAATACCAGTGGATCTATAGATTATGTATCCAAGTATATGCATGGGTTACCAAAGACTGGATTCGCCCATAATTGCATTTACAGGTACAACTATAGGTACAACTACAGTTCAATCCAATCTGCCACTAGATATCTTTACAAGAGAATAAATTGACCATATCATACCTATCCACTAGGTAGAAGTATCGTCTGAGTATTTAGTTAACTCCGATAAGTGACATGTCCACGTCACATTGTCGACCGTAAGATATCTCAGGAAGAAATAACAGGTAAGGTAGCAAACGGAGATAAACATAGAAGAGGCGGGTACGGGTAGAAGACGATTAGGAGCAGGTGAAGATTAAATTGATTTTTTTTCAGGGTTTCGGAGAGGTTTCGACGCGGAGATGTTAATGAGAATGGGAATGGAATGGGAATGAAAGGAAAAGGAAAAGTGGATAGAGAATGGAGGTGGAGGTGGAAATTAGGACATGAGGAAAGAAAGGGAAAGAGAAAAAGAGGGCGGTCAAGTAGGTGGGACGAATTTGTCCAGATTGGTTGAGATGGATCTTTAGAGGAGACAGAGGTAAAGACCGGGATGAGAAACAAAGACATGCGCGATCGTCGAAGATGATTGATGGTGGGTTTGGATTGGGATTGGAGGATGATTGATTGCAATTGCAATTCCAAGTCCAATTGCGAGATATGCAGGATCAGGATCAGGAGATTACATTGCAATCATTCCATTCCAATTCCAACTCGAAAGGTCGAAACCACAGAACTCGAAATCGAAATCAAAAAATGAGATCGTATCTAGCAGAGCCATCCATCGCAGCAAACTTTTTGCTTCTGGTAGAATAGAAGTGACGTGGAAGGAGGTTGGAAGCAGGATGTCGCAGGAGAATAAACGGGAATTAAGAAGAGGAAACAAAACAAAACAAAACGCACGCGCTTGCACATGACCGCCGCTGATCATGACCGACAGTCTCTGAAGTCATTAGGTTCAAAGAAACAAAAGGAACCAAGGCGAAATGCAGTGGCAGTTCCATTTAGTCTCCCTGTCAGATTGCATGACGCAGGAGACTTTTTTTCTTTCAAATCTTTTGATGAGTTTACTCCTGAGGCAGCTGGCTGCGGCGAGTTTTCTCGGCTTCGAGGTTCTCGTACAGGAGATACAGAGCCTTCTCGTTAGCCTGAGCACTGCCCATGATGGTAAACATGCGCTCGCCAGTCTCATCATGAGGAGCCTTAGCGATCGAGATACGGGCTCCGGAGCTTCGACGAATCTCAGTGATCTTGGACCCGGCGCGGCCGATAATGCAACCAACCATGTCAGCGGGGATGCTGATGTTTTGAGTTTGAATCTCCTCGCCGTCCTCTGTGACAAGTGGGTATCCACGGTTACCAGCGTCAGAGCTGGATCGACGGTAGCCACTGTTGTCACTGAAGTCGGCGCCGTTGCCAGTACGGTTGTAGCGGTTGTTATAGCTGCTGCTGCCACCACTGACGGAGTCCCGGTTGTTGCTGCCTCCACCGTTGTTGCTGAGAGGTTGAGTACCGACTGATGCGCGCACGGCAGGGTTATAAAGAACGGTTCCGGTACCGCGTTGCCAGTCGTCGATAAGGCACTTTCCGATCTCCCACACGGCCTTCTCGATACCCTCGGGGTTACCCTGCACCTCCACAATGCGCTCTGTAGACTGGGGGAGCATTTCCTTCTGAGCAACCATTCGAACACCGGAGGCATCTTGGATGTGCTTAATCTTCAGGCCCTGTCGTCCGATAATGGTACCCATCTGGTTGTGGGAAATGAGCAGACGCACGGCTGGAAAATCATAGCAATTAGCTTCATGTCTTCATATGTTGTAGGCACCACAGGTGTGTATTTTAAAGTAAGACTTTGAACATAAAGAGAGAGAAAAAGAGTGGCCTTCTTCTCCCCTCCGTTACATGAATTTCTTCATATAGAACAAATCCAGTACCCCAGATAGAGCGCGAAAAAAGAGAATTCAAGTACTTACGGTGGGTCCCATTGTTGGAGACAATACCGCCCATTCCCATCTGTGGAGCACCGTCCAACAGACCCTTAGCCACGATCGCATAAGCTTGAGCAGTGCCTTGAAGAGGACCAGTCACGGTCAGGACTCGGTCGTGCACGCCGGGAACAACCTTGCTCACACCAGCCTTTACGCCAGTCTCGTCGCGCAAATCAGCAACATTCTTGCCAGCCTTGCCGATGATGACACCAGCCTCCTTGGATGACACGATAGCACGGAGAGTAAGCATAGACTGCGCATACTCCTCTTCACTCTTGGGAGTGGCGTCGACGTCACCCTCAGGAATAGCATCGTTGTAGGCGTCAGTCATAGGCTCCTCGACCACAGTCTGGTGAACTTCAGTAACATCCATGGCGTCCATTATTGCGGCAGCGACAGGTCAAAAAAACTTTTGAAGGTTTAATCGGTTGGGAGGATAAAATGAGGGAGGGTCCGGCGGAAGTCACACGGTCGCGGCGGAGAAGCTGGAGGGGAATTTGACTAAAGTGACACCGTGATTAGACTTTGTGAGGTCAAAGAAAAAGTAAGTGGGGATCACGAGATCTCTCGCGCGATCGTTTTGGATCTTTCATATTGGTCTTGGATCATCTGGGATCAGTTGGGGAATATGGATGGGCTACGTACCGATGAGGGTCCGAGATCGAAGTGGAGAAATCAGCGGAGGGGAAGTCGTATGAGTAGAGGGGGGCTGAGAGAGGGCGTAACGGAAAGGTGATAGGGAAGGGAGGAAAGTAGAGGGAAAGGGAAGAGATAGAGGAGAGGAACGAAAAGAGAAGAGGTGGAGAGGGGGAGTTGGAGAGATTGGAGGGGGATGTCGTTGAAAGAGTTAAAAGAGGGAATGTTGTGAGTTTAGCGGAGACACACCAGTTGGCCCGCTCTTATTCTGCTCTTGCCTAAAGAGCAACCTTCAAGTTGGATACATCACTTCTACTTTACAACTTTTACCTCCAGTTTATATAATGGGAGTTAGGTTAAATTTCTTATAGACAAAGACTTTTTCTCTAGTCAACTGATTTGGTATTATTCACTAGTCTTCACTACCTATTGTTCCTAACTTGTTCATTCACTGCCTGTCCTACCATAATAGGGACCTAGGATCCTCTATGGAGAATGTAAAACTAAGAAGCATCAAACTATACATATTTTATTGACTGGGTACCTAGCATCTAACAAGGGTTGTCTCTACCTTAAGGATAGATACAGACACGGCTTTTACATTTGCCGAGTAACCCATGGCTTGATATACTACCTAGACTAGGTATACTAATGCCAGCTGTAACAGGCTCCAACCCCATGAATTATTTCCCTTTCGTCCAAAGACAGCTGTATTGTTATAGAATACTAGCTGAGCTCATTATTCCGAATGTGCAACCTCACATCATCAGGCTTGGTGCGGGGATCCTGCATCTAAGGCAAAGCTGAACATCATGATTGCCTACCAAACGACACAATAAGCCAATTATTTCATCCCATCCCATTTATGAATGACTTTGCTCTATCTAGTTTAATTGCCTAGGTTGACTACTACCTAAGCAGTGACCTATTTTCATGGATAATCTAAAAAAATAACATCATAGACCCTGACAATGACTTCATGACGACACCAATGGATCCACATTCATTGCCTTCTATCTACTTAGCACTGACACCCTAGCACTGTCCTGGGTATACCCTCAAAACACTCAACTCCTACCATGCCTCTCTATTCTTGTAAAACTGCCTACTGGTCAGGCAAGAAAATGACCTTTTGCACCTTCATAGCATTGAACAGCTCATAGGCCTCCACAGCCTGCGAGAGCGGCATCATCTTCTGAGTCATGAATCTAATTGAAAATTTAGCAACGACTCTTCAATCTCTTCAGAATTACGGGTAGAATATACATACCCAAGCTTATGCTGGTTCTTCTTCAAAACCTCCAGCGCTTTAGGAGCAACCGATCGCACCGGGCATCGACCCATCTGCACAGTAAGGTTCTTGTTGTAGGCATCATTACCATCCCAAGGAATCTGCAAAAATCAAAGCCGTAATTAGCACTGTTAAGTAAAATAAAAGCATGAATGCCACTCTCGTTTAGGTTTAAACCGACCTCGGCATTATGAACTCCCACACTACTGATAGTTCCCCAAGGCCTCAACAAATCATACGCAGTTCGCAGCGCAGGACTCAATCCCACAACCTCAATCACAGCATCGGCGCCACGACCTCCAGTAAGCTCTAGAACACGCTTATCCAGACCTTCACGATCTGTCATGAAGTTCCAAGGCTCGGCACCAAGGGACTTAGCCAGTTCCAGTCTGGAGGGAACGGAGTCAACAGCAAGAATATGCTTAGGCTTGAACTCCAATGCGTTGATAAGTGCACAGAGACCGACAGGTCCACAACCGATCAGAACAACGGTTTGCTCGGCGATTTGCTCGGGTGTTGAGTTCTTAAATGCGTTGTTAGCGGCGAAGTAGCCTGTTGGGAAGATGTCGCCCATCAGCACGAGGTATTTCTCGTCAAGGCCCTCTGGCGCTTTCATGGCGGAGCCTTCGGCATTGGGGATACGGATCTAGGAGGATTAGAATATGCTTGGTCTTGATCTTGGTTATAAGTCTTTTCAGGGTAAAGAATATGAGCTTACATATTCAGCTTGGCCACCGTTCAGAACCTCACAGCCGAAGAGAGTGCTCTTCTCACAGCGCGAGGAAAATCCTTGCTTGCAGTAAAAGCAAGTACCACTGTTGGTGTTGGTATTATTAGAGATTTTTATACTTAGATCAACGTTCAGCACGTAAAATGTAACATACCAGGACGTCGTGAAGGAGCTAACGATTCGATCACCCTTCTTAAATCCCTTCACAGCACTACCAAGCTCAACAACCTCACCCATGAACTCGTGGCCCATGATGAAACCCGGTGGAGCAGGCTCAACACCACGATAAGTGTGCAAATCACTATAGTATAATTTAGCAAACCGTTACATAACCATCTAGGTATACCTGGGCATACCCCGCTATCAGATCTGATTGATACAGCTGAAAACTTACCTGCCGCAGAGAGCCGTATAAACAACCTTAATCACCACATCCTCTGGATCCTGCACTGTAGGGATAGCCACCTGCTCAACGGCAACCTTGTACGGCTCGTGGAATACCACCGCCTGCATGGTACCGGTACCTGATGTAGACATTTTGCTGCGTCGGAGGAATGCCGAAGTAAAATATCTTATCTGGTATAAGTACCTAGGAGTGTGTCTAGCTCTGAGCTTTCGGCCTGGTTGAGGACACAAGGTATGTCTGAACTGGTTAAAATAGACTTTGAAACACGATTGATTCGGACTTGAATACTGACGATTGATCCGGGGATTTGGAGTTTCCGGGTGGTCTTTGTCACAGAAATTGCAGTGAGGAATTAATTTGCGGGTCCTTTCGCGGCTTTCTGTGCGGGTGGTGGGTCTTGTGTCTTTTTGTAGGGCGTGATGAATTTGCCTTTCTCCCCGCGGAGGTGGGCCGGATACATTCGGATTTCCATGAGTCGATGATGATGTGAGGATTGGTAGCTGAAGTACCTATAATCTCTATTGAAAGAGATTGTTTATGCTGTCTTGCAGCTAAATGGTGTGATGAGCGCCATACATTGATCTACTGGGGTTCTATCGTCGCCTGTTTATAGACTTGAGTTGAGAAGTAGATTCATATTCCAAGTAAAATGGATGAGGTAAAAAAGCTAGAACTAGAATGCAATAGCGCATGGCTAGATGCAGAACCAAGCACCACATTGCGCCCGAGCCTTGCCTGCAGAAGCTCATTCTGAATTGAAGAAGCAAAGAAGCAAAGAAACCAAGAAGCCCGCTTGCAGTGTACAGTACGTGATCCGTAACGCCCAGGAACACCAAGGTGAAGAAATGTTTAAAGGAACGCAAACGAAAGACAAAACAAACTGGCTGTGGAAATCAGTCTGGTGGCAAAAGATGCGGTTGGTTGAAATCAAGGACATCGCTGGTAATTCGTTCGCAAAGCAGGAAGATGGGAGAGGGAGACTATAGCCATAGCCATAGCCATGGTCACAGCCATAGTCTTAGAGTGATTGCTCCATAATTTTCTAGGGCATGAACTTCATAAATTGTCACAGTGCAAAGTACGCTCAGCATACGATGCAGAGTAGTTCTTCCTCCAAGATGAACTTTCCTTCCTTGTATTTCTCTGTCGCTTCGTATGCCTTGTCATATTTCCATCCTACCGTTTCTTTGCATTGGCGGCAGGCGATGTCGCGTACGATATGTCGGCCCGTAGTCATGTTGCGTTCCACTGCTTCGGATTGAGTGACATTGACCACTGTGTTGAAGAGGTATGCTTTGCCGTGTTGGCCGCGGAAGTTCTATGAAGGAATGAGGGTCAGTATTTGGTTGGTGTTGTGACGGGTATCACTGATGACTTACACGGCTGATCATGTCATTATAATCTGAGAGGTGGGTTTTACAAGTCTTGCAGCCGAAGATCTTGTTTGAGGTTAAGTAGATGTTGTATGTGAGACCCATCGTGGCTGTGTCTTGTCCTAGGATCGGGGGTTGCTGGTTGCTGGTTGGCGGTTGCTAGTTTCGAAGATGTAAGGGAGAATATAAATCGATTAAAGTGATCAGTAGAGCCTAAGGCAGCAGCGTTTCTTTGAACAAGTCTCGTGCTCGTTCTTAAACACTTTGGGTTTGGGCAGAGACAAAGCCCATAGTACGTAGCCAGGTGGGCAGGCAACTTCGGCCAACGGTACTCGGTGTTCGGTCGGGATTGCCCCGCCCTAAGCTTATAACAAACGGGCTGAGCCCTGTTTCTATGGGTTTTATTGCGTTTTTATGCTCGATTCTTGCAAATCAGTCAGTCTCCTGACTCGAGAGAGCTCGAGAAGGCCGAGGAGGGGAAAGGGCGGTGCCTCTCGGGTTGACGGGTTGCTGACGATAAGGTCTCCGCACGATAAGGGAGATCGGAAGGTTGAGGAAATGGGGAGGTTAAGAGATGGAGAGGTTCTGCTTTATAGCTAATGTATGAATTCAAGGACTGAGGCTTGGAGGAGGAAGAAATCTCCGAATCAGTATGAGTTCAAACGGAGGTTAGAACAAGGACAGGGTTCTGGTCCAAGGCTAACGATCATCTTAGACCGGAAGCACCCCGCACATGATTTGCATCACCTGTTTACGGACTCGGAGCTTAAAGTACCTTAAGGCGACCCAGTGTCCACACATGAGTAAGATAAGATGCGAGTAATCTGGTAAGCAGAATTAACTCAGCTTATTTACCTTTATACAGGCCTTCATTTGGAGATAAAGGATATCGACATGGGAAATAAAAAAGAATCAAACATAAAATAAAACCAGTATCTATTTTGGGTAATGACAATGAAACTCCCTATACAAAAGCGCCAGTCAAATGTGCTCCTCGCATGCTCGTCCACATTACACAGTCGAGACGGAGCCTCGAACAAAAGACTCTTCTACCTATTTGTTTCACTCATAATCCTTGACATATTTTCCAGGTAACTCAACATCCCACAAAGGTCGTTCAACAACCGCGACCTCCAAACCATCTCCTGTCTCCTCGCCATCCAAGGCATTGAGGGGCACAATTCCAAGAATGTCACGGTATTTGTACGTGTGCCACCACCGCCGTGGGGGTTGGTTCGAGGCACCATTAACCACTACCATCTGGTTATTCGGTGTATCACCCTGTCCATTAACGGGAGCTGATTTGCCCTTCTGAACCGTTCCGTTCTCGGCAGCTGCTGCTCCGTCTCCACGACGGAGACGAGCAAGGGTTGCCTCATTACCAGCCGCAGAGGCCTCGTCATATTCGTAAGACTCGTCATCTTCACCGGGAACACGGGGGCGCTCTTGATCCAGCGAGATCCACTCGCCTTGGGACTCGTCGCTGCCGACGATCTTTCGGACTTTGGTTCCAAGATGGATATCCATCTGCGAACGAGGGATTCGATCACCAGCGCCGGTGTTAGACTTCTTGCGGTCTTTCTCTTCCTCGTCGAGGAGGTCGCGCTTGCGTTTTGAGGCTTGGACAAGTTGGCCGGAGGCCTTGTTCTCGGCTTCGGCCTCTTCGGGCGCAGGAAAGTCTTGAGATAGGTCAAACATCCACAACCAGGATGTACCGTATAGCCAGAGACGATCCCGGCTCTCGGAGACATCCCATAGACAACCCATGGCACGGTCTTTCACGCCTCGGAACTCTGCAGGGAGATAAGCCTTGGGATTGCGGCGGGACCAGTCAGAGAGCTTGCCGCTCAGAGCCTCGAACTCAATGAGTTGATGCTCGCTAGTCAGAACCATGAGTCTATCTTCGCCATTTGAGGCTATTTGGCTGGCACCGTTGGTAAGTGCCTTTGATGGTGTGCTTTGGGGACGGAAGGATAGAAGTGTGATTCCAGACTTCATACGAGGGATCGGGGACTCGGAAGCAGTCATGCTCCAGCGCTCTCCTTCAATCACAACTTCCTCGTCTTCATCGTCGGATGATTCGTCATCAGAGCCAGCAGCTCCATTACTCTTAGATTGGCCATTGGTCTTAGACTCGGTCGCAGCATCCAGTGCCCAGGTGTCAATGCATCCAGACAGATCTCCCGTGGCCACGATTTTGCTGTCTTCGGAGAAGACAATGGTTCGGATAGCCCTTTCGTAACCTCCCAATGTACCGTGGGAAACCTTCTCGTGACGTACATGGCGCGATGCGCGCTTAAGACGCGCAAGATGCGGTAATACCTGAGGCTTCTCGGTGGTTGTAGAGGTGGGCTGGATTCTAGCCATGTAGACATCGCTGTTGGGCCGGATGACAGAGAGCCAGCGGCTATCAGGGGAGATTTTCACAAGACGCGCACCATCTGTGGATAGAACCTTTGGCACATCGACTTTCTGGATACGAAGACTTCCCTTTTCGTCGCCCTTGCGACGACGGACAGAGAACATCTTCACGTCCGAGACAGTCGCGACAATAAGGATCTTTCCATCGGAAGATAGCGCGGCAGAGGTGATGTTTTCTTCACCCTATTTAGATAAGAAAGTTAGTCTCAGTCAACCTTCTGGCTTGGAATATGAGGTCTTACCTGAACCATGACCTTGCCAACAAGTCTATGCCTTTGGCCATCAAGGTTCTCGTGCACTGATGTAGGGCCCCGGGACACACGCCATAAGCTAATTTCTCTATCCCAGAAGCTCATGACCAGACGGGAAGCGGGAGACGAGGTAAGTTGGGGAATTTGTGGCAGGTTGGAAAGCTTGCGGTGGTGTTCCTTTCCGAATTCACGAAGCGGCAAAACAACAGGGGTCGCATCGGGACCTATAGAAAAAGGTAATTAGCACTTAAACTTAACTTTATGAACAGGGATAGAAGTAGAAGACATACCTCCAGAGACGGCGATACTAATATCCTTAGTCTCGTAAACAGCAAAAGTCTTAACATCATGTGAATGGTATCGTCGATGCATAAGCTCTGCCCATCGAGACTTCTTATCACCCTTCTCACCATCCTGCTTGCGGTAGACAACAGTTCTCTGATCCGCACCACCACTAATCACAGTCTCCCCATTAGAACTAACAGCCACATCCAACACATCAGCCAAATGGCTCTGAATCCTCTGAATAAGAGAATAGTTCTTAGCATCCCAGAACCGAATTTCACCCGCAGAGTCTCCAGAAACAATAGTCCCATCTGGAAGACACTTGACCGACCAAACGAGCATTTCCTTCGGGCCCCCCGCAGGACCCTTACCCAGCGAAATCGTCCTCAACTGCTGTCCACTCCGAATATCAAACAATCGAATAGAACTATCCGCATAACCCGCAACAATAGTATGACGATTCTGAAAGGTCACGCTAAGCACGCGAGCACGTTTAGTAGAAGGACGCATCAAGCGCAGAAACTTCAGATCATTATCTGCAGTAGAAAGAATAACAATTGATCCATCCGCACATCCAGCAGCAAGGTGTTGGCCTGTATACTCTCCCTCAGCGGGAGGGAGGAATTTTCCATCTTTCCCTCTTTTCGTAGGCACCCAGCGTGGCTGAGCAGCAAGACACCAGATTTCACCATAATTCCCACTTGAGTGACGGAGTGGACGGCCTTGTTCAATATCCCACTCTGTAACAGCGGCAGAGTACCCAATGCTAAAGAGACGGAGTTGGCCTGGTAGCTTGGAGCCGTCGGGTCCGTCATCGGCGGGATCAAGAGTCCATGTTAACCCTTCAATGCTGCGGTCTCTACCTCCTCGAAGGACGGATTCCTGGAACCAGGCACCGCGCATGGGATTCCATATCTCAATGTCGCCGTTTGCTCGACCGATTGCGAGTCGAAGGGTAGGCACGCCTCGTCCGGCTAGATCGGCGGATGGTGGGTGGGAGAAGGCAAGCGAGTTAATTGCTTGTGGGTTGTAAGACACGAATCGACAGCGGTGGATATCCATGGCTAGCTGAGTGTGGACTGAAATCTTTCAGTCTAAGCTGCGGACTTTTGGTGATTAGAGATAGATGGATGGATGGATAAAATGTGAGTGCGAAAGATTGATATGTTTGCGGGGTCAGGATTCAATGTTGATTTATTCCTTCTCGGGCTGCGATGCGAGCCCTTACGCACTCATCTCGAATGTAATCTGGGGAATAACGTGGTGTCGAGCTGGTCGTCGGGTGCGCGATCACTTTTTTTTTCTGTAGATAAATTTTAGCGGGCCGGAATATCTTGGCGGAGAGCATGGAGCTCACGTGATATAAATATTTTACCTGTTTATTCAGGCGGTACTGTGGATCTAGTTAACTAACAGCATATACAACAAAGACGCCTGTGCAGCCGAGATGCGCCATCGACGAGCAAAGGCTCGTTTCTTGGTATGACTCCAGCGGTCAGGATCTAATACAAGGTCGATTTCTGTTATTTAAAGATTATTTGTGGTTATGGAACATGGCTACACACGCCCAATAATATTTTATAGCATATCATAGCATATCTCCACTTATTAACAGGCCATAGCAGGAGGTTAAGATGGGTTTCTTCAGTGAACTTATGCCTATCTATAATTGTTAGTGCTGTAACTGAGTCATACCATCTAGCGTCGGATCCAAAAGACCACTGTGACAACTGTTCACAGTTGTCATGCTCAACACCATACTAGTTATAGGTTATGATAGCGCACGATTAGTCATTTCCCGTGGTCGACCATCCACGCTGTAACACTACTCAAGGGGGAAAAGACTTTGTTTTATGTCAAGAGATTGGCAAGTCAACTTAGTATAAGATGACTGGAATAGATAGTTTTGCCCACACCAGCGCCGGCCCCTCCAATATAGCATACTCAAGCCTCAAATTTATGATGGGGCGAGAGGGAGTGACACAGTTGCCTATCGAACGGCAGTGTAGTATAGCTACATGGAGGAGGCTCCGGTCGGATATGTTTGCATGTTTGGACGTTTGTTCGATTTGACCTACTCTCGGGTACAGACTGATCACGGATTGGTCTGAGAGTGGGCATCTATCTATATATATATATAGCAGAGCTTCCCTCTCTCTTCCTCTTTTCTTTAACGTGGTTATTAGTTGTTTTTGCACCCTATCACAATTCCACGACTACTAATGATTTAAGGACCTATAGTATGTATCACTACTAGTATCAGTAGTACTCCGAAGTTATTATCAAGTCCAGTCCAAGGCTACACGAATAAGAATATCCTACGTAGATCTCGGGTGACTGAGAGGATATCGGTATATCTACTTTCTTACGTTTTGATATGAAAGGAATTTGGTTTAGTTCCACAGAATCTGATTTTATTCGTGCCATGTGGTAATCTCGAATCCACACAGAAAGGGAACAGCAAGCACCGACCCAGTACTCAATCTTCAAAGGAAGAGAGGACAAAGAGAAGGGCCATGTAAAGCTAGATACATAAAGATAGGGGGCAACAGATAGATAGTGTCAATCTTAGATCGCGGATGCCTTAGGTCCCCGTAGACAACAATATTTGTTTTTGCGATTTTCTCTCTTTTTTTGCTTTTTTTGTGGCCTGTGACCTATCGACAAGTTCCACTGACAATAAGTTAAGTCATCAAGGCCAGCTATAAGTTAATATAGCCGGCCTGGTGTGATGATTTAACTTTGTTTCGTCAAGAGAGCCGCACAATATAGTCCACCTGTGTTGGTCACGGAAGCGACCGTGACCTCAAGGCGAAAGGCTAGACACATTAAAGGCGTTTTTTCTGAGGGGTTGTGGGATGTGACAGGGGTTGTGTTGGTGGAGCAGCCATGCTGCGGAAAGATCGTCGAGGGTAGGTAGATGCAAATGCGCAGCACTGGGCGCGCAGATGGAGAATGAGTCGAGGGACTTGACTTGTTTTACCAAGGGTCCACGACGAGAAGCGAAAATTGTGATGAGGGGAGGGATGAGGCAGGGGAGATGACAAATGCAGACAATAAAATATCAAATGGTAAACAGAAAGGCTCGCTCGTGCAATGCTATGTGGATAAAGGTAACAAAATCAAAAATGCAGATGTGTCACCCGTATATTGGTGGATGAAGAAAAATGAAGGGTATGCAATTTTTGGAACAAGAAGGTGGAAAAAAGGGCTGGTCTCGACTCCGGTTCTGGGACCGAAGCCGAATGCAAAGCGTGTTGTAGAATCGAATGAGGTGGAGTGATCATGGGGCGCGACAAGGAGCAAGCGCATCAAGGGATTATGGTTGTTATTAGCCTTGGTGAACCAGCGCAAAAGCGAATGCTCTTTTGTAAATCATCTATGAGGATGAGATGGAGAAAAAAGAAAACAAGCGCCGAAGAATTATGTGCAAAACTTTTTGGTTACATCACACCTGCATAAGCCGGGTCGACCACCATCTGAGTTTGCGGTGGGTACTGCTGCATGTACATGGTCTCTTGCTGGTAAGCATCGGTGCTCATGTGTTGCATCTCAGATGAGGGCGCTGGTGACGGCGAGCAGGCAATTGGATGGGAGGCGTGGTTGAAGATTTGCCCTTGTGCGAAAGCCACATTTTCGGGTGTAATTGGCGGGGTCATGTATCCGTGGGGCACGGTCAGCTGAGTCGACTTCTGAGGAGTAGCAAGGCCCATTTCCCCGTTGTATGGCTTGGACTCCACAGGAGTCTCGACCGGAGGGGTGGAACGAGCATAAACAGGGTTGACCAGAGAAGCTTGACGGCTGAGGAAGTGTTCGAGGATCTTAGACACCCGGGAGTAGTGAGCAGAGGCGTACTTTCGGGCAACGACAGTGGAAGGCTGGTGAAGCTGCTGAGAGAGACCGACTAGCGTCATCGAGTCATACTGGGAGGCCCAGTGAGTGTGACGAGGCTGAGGTCGGTTCAGAATGCAGCGAGACAGCGCCAGGGCAGCCCGGGCAAGCTCTGACGACGGCTTTGACACGAAGTCACGGTGGAAGAGGGCAATCTCTAGAATGTAGAGTGCCATGTGTTCCACCTCAGGGTCGTAAGGCTCATCCAGGACGGCGACCTGGAGGAAGCTGTCCACCGTTGGGTGCCCAATGGTCCAGCCAAGGGTCTGCAGAACGTGCCACTCCATTTGGATGAACATGTCATCGTCATAGAGGGAGCAGCACATTGACTTGAGCTCCTTGACGGTGGGTACCCGGTCCTTCTTGTCATTGTACTTCGCAGCAATGAGGAGTGCCGCACAGCCAACCAGCTGGTAGTGACGCTTGTATACCACACGCTTGGAGCAATAACGATCCAAGAGGTTGATGGCGAGGAACAATGTCGACGGCAGCAGTTGGAATGCAGTGTGTGCCTCAATGAGGAAGTCGAGAAGGTAAGGCCGCATGAACCATTGGATCTCGGTTTGGATATCAATCGATTCGACGTCCGGTAGCGTTTGACCCTGTAGAACGAAAGGTGTTAGAAACGTGATCAAAAGGCAAACAAGGGACCGACACCACAACTACTTACATCCATCTCCAGCATGTGAGCCAGGACATCGTCCCGGAACTCATCGCTGGTTAGTCTGGACAGTTGATCCGCGATGGCATATTGCCGCTCACGAGCCACGAGCTTGTCGTGCTCCTGTTTGGCTTGCCTCTCGGCACGCACACGGTAGTCATCTTCGATGAAAAAGGTATCACACGGCTGGTAGCCGGACCGAGGACGCATATAATCCATGATTGCAAGAAATACTCGGGGTTGATGGAAGGTTGAACGACGGGGCGAGACTTGATTAGCTTTGCTGAATACCGAAAGAGTTGAGTCTGAAGAGGCGATTTTTCTTTTCTCAGACAACGACGGAGATTAAGAGAATGACAGTCGTCAGATTAGACGCGAATTCAAATGAATGACTGGATGGTAGTTGGAAACGATTAAGGAGTGGACCAGCGATCAAGACGATAGTCGAGGATGCTGGAAAGAAGACAAGCCGGAAAGCCGGGAGGAAATCTTCAAGGATTGAAAGCTGTTGGTGGGCGGAAATTAAATATTAGCGGGATTGCTCGTGTGTGTAGCGACGGTACGGTGATTAGATCAGATTAAAGATTATAAAGGGTAATAAAAAAAGGAAAGACGACGCGTAGTGAGGGACCCGGTATCGAAGGAAAGACGAAGGTGAGAAATCAAGAGGATTGAAGTGAGAAGTAGAGCAGCATTTGATATCAAGCAGTCACAGGGCGATAAACTCCTTCGGAGAATACTAACCCAGAGGGCACAATGCAACCCTTACCGTGACAGCGACACTGGCATCTAGGCTAGGCAAGCATGCAGGAATGATCCGATGAATTAAGATTCTGTAGGATACCAGTTCAAGAGATGAAAGCACGAGTTAACGTGTTCACCCCTAGGCCAGTGGGACTGCGGAATGTGGAGGGTACAGGTGATGACCCTATGTAGGGGGGGAGGATTGAGATCGTCAGGGGAGGGGGGAGAGAACGGCAAGAATGATATCCGAACATACACTTCACGAGTTAACGTGTTCAAGATGAACCTCGAGGCCGATTTGAAAAAAGGAAGAAGTAATTAGAGTGAGGAATGATTGTTCAATGACTTGAAGAGAGTGAAAAGCTTCATCCAGTGGATCAAACTAAGTCAAATCTCAAGTAAAATTCAGACCGAACCTAGAATTCCGAGGTTAGTTTTAATTTCCATGACAGCGACAGCAAGTTTGATTGGCAAGTATGTGTAGTATGTGTTGCCCAGGTTTCCCAGTTTGTCCTTGATGTTGGTATGTGTCCAGTCCAACCCTAAGATAGGATTTTCATGATCGCCCCTTAACTTGACCCTGCACTTTGGCAGGAAAGGGAGGTTCAAGTGGGATAACATGAGCCTGACAGCCATCAGGGGAATTGATAGACGCTAGAGGATTGCATTCCACAACCATTGTCCATTTCAATCTCCTCTTCCCCTGATATGAACCCGGATTCCCTCAAGTCCTGTCCACTGCCTTGAATTTATGACCATGTCCACATACCCGACACCTGGCTACCCTTTCGTCGTGACTCGACAGTAGAGATTGGAGATGCTCTAAAACACAACCTGATATACCAGGCTGTGCGGTCGTGGATCGGAACTTGATATCATTTTTCACCATGATAATTCACATCCAACCCCACGACCCCCCTAAATTCTCTATTTTGGTCTCAAGCGAAATTGTGTGTTTGTGCCATCTCAACTATCTCCTCTGCATCAAAGCGAGGTATTCAATCGAAGGTGTTTCTCTATTCCGAGCATTTCGAGGGTTTCGACAATTGGGACCCTGGACAACCATACTTGCACCAAACTTTTTTTTCCTTGTTCTCCACTCACCCAAACTAACAAGTTCCAAAATTAATCAAAGTACCGAAAACGCAGGTTTTCGTATCATCCGAAGTAAAATCGAATGAAGTCCCTACGCTGTTCGCTCGTCTAGCCGGTAGGAGCTGGAACAGGTTGGAATCGTCGAAGTCCGGAGGATCAGGAGGGCACCGGGGGACGGATCAGACGAAAGGGTCGCCGTTTGAGTTAACAAACGTCGAATATGGGAGGATCGTCGGAGTGCGAGGAGGGGATTCGACTCGACAGGAGTGTCAGTGCAAACAGGTTGAAGTGTTCAGAAACGAAACTCAACCCGGACGACCAGACTCCGTTACTCTCCACTGATTGGCAAGGGGAGGGGGGAGGAAAGGGAAGAAACGAAGAAAAGGGTATAGAAGAAGAGAAGGGGAGGGAGAGGGAGTACAAGGAGGAGGAATTTGAAGTTCTCTCTCCAGGCGGGTGTGGGAAAGAAAAGAAGAAGAGAGAGAGAGAGCTGAGACAAGAAGACGGAGATCGAGCTAGCTGTGCGGTACGGTCATGACGAGGTTTGGGTGGAGGCTGAACTGGTGGTAATACGGCGTTACTGTACCTGTACTGGGTACTAGGTACTGGGTAAGGAGGCGGGGGTCAATTTCGGCTCTGGGCTTCACACGGCTGCAAGGACGATGCACAGTGCGTACGGAAGAAAGTGAGTGGTTTGAAACCGTCTTGAAGCATGGTACCAGTTGCAGATGATTTATTATTCTACTGATTTTGAGGTTTTTATTTTTATTTTCAATTTTTTTTTAAGATATACATTATGGCTCCATAGATTTAATATTGTAGCAGACCATCCCGTATTAAATTAACCACGGTTTACGCCGGCCTCCACTCCAGCCCTTATGGCTGTACCAGTATGGAACAATATGGAATTTCTAGAACTCCAGATGCTTCAATGTGATATACCTTTTTGTCTATAATAGATCATTCAGATAATAATTTATTATATTTCCAATACTTCTGACTCGAAATCCCTCCATCTCAATAAAAGGAGCAACTCAGGAGAGTGCGGCCTGAGCCCCCTGAGTGGCCCTTGCTCGCGTGGGAAACCGGGTCCATTACGCCCTCCGTTCACGATGTATCTACTTGTGATACTGCGACAACCTGGCACTGGGGAACAAACTCTGTTTCCCGATCACTAGTTGGACCATTGAAGGTAGATTGATAGCTATTTCATCTGAAATCAAGTCTAAGAAAGTATAAGCGCTCACGTCTTGATGTGTTTTGGACTGTAATCAAATGAAGCCGCGACCCAGTCATTTTTCTTTCGCTGCCCCAGTTAATTTGTATACACTAAGAATCGCTTCTCGGAATTAGCAAAAAGCAAGATTCATGATTCTCGAAAATCACCCAATTCGGTAGGGACTCCAGTGGGAACTTATTAAATTATTTTTATCATTTTATAATTTTATCTCCCGTCTTTGCTGGTGTTTAGCTTGGATTACTCCGTACTGACAATGTCAGCCTTAATTAATTTACACTTTGTTAATGTTTAATGTCCGCTCTCTCCTTGACTTTGGTCCCTTGGATCGCCAAGTTTGGTACAAACTAAAATTATAGTAAATCAAATAGTTGAGCTCTGGCTCAGGAGAAGTAGATCATACTCTGTTGTTAGGGCCAAAGACGACCACTGATTCAAACTTCAAACCTAACACTCTACACAGAAACCCCTGCAGCCAGCTTACAATGCTACAAGGATTAAGATTTTTCTTTCTTCTACAGCATCTGCTTCTCCTTGAAACTACGAAACATTGTCGCCTCTGGAACCACAACGTAGAAGTTAAAAATACTGGGGACGCCGCGCGACCAATTCCGGCCCCAATTTGCTCCTGATCGACTCCGTACCGCGTATCAATCCCATTCATTCGTTGGCTGCTCATATACTCTTCCCCCCTTGGACTAGCTAGCGCTGCGTTGGCGGGAATCGTTCACCACTCTGGGCCTTTTCTGATACGGTCGCGTTCCAGGGTCTCCTGCGGCCTACGCTCCCTGACTGGCTCAATTGCCAAGGATTACCTTGTCATTGACTTCATCCCAAGTCCCAAGCCCCCTCCCCGTCGCCGCCGCCTCTGTTCGCCCTCAGCTGGACTGTGGATACTGTATGTCCGCTTAGCTGCTTCTTCCAATCCAATCGCTGGTCCAGATGTTCTCCTCGGTCCCCGAGCCTCCTTTCTCTTGCAGGGATGCTTTCATCTCGCCTGCTTTCCATGTGGGGGACGGATTCCCTCGCCAAAACAGAAGCAGGTTCTAAGGCGGATACCTAGGGAACCACCGGCCCACGTTCCCCGATCCAATTTTGATGGAACTTGATTCCATTGGAAGCCTGTTCTCCTGCAAACGCGTTTCCGACCAATCTTTATAACTAACTGTACTCCTTAGTGCATGGCATAATTGCTGTACACTCCCTTATTCGTAGTTCGTCAATGCATCTACCCCCCGGCTTCTTTTCCTTCCCCCTCCCTGTACGGAGTAATGTACAATCTCTATGGCGTTGCACACGCAACTCGACACTATGTGGGACTATTGCTCCGTCTCTGCCGCCTGTGAAACTTCCCCCATCGAACATGATTTGTCCCCAGCTTCGCACCCTAAGATAAGGTTTCCAATGGCGAGATGGTCGGGTCAACTCATTGAATTCTAGTATTGTACATTATCGCCCCCTTCCACTTCCCACTTCCCACTTCCCACCTGGACTCGATTTGATTTGATTCGTGCCTCAAGGCACGTCAGGTCTCATATCATCTTCCAAAGGGGCTAGCCACAACCCCTCAAAAAGGATAATTCTCCATCTCCGTAAATTCCCCAGCCAATAGAAACAATATCCTATCGCTTCTAATCATGATCAAGCACATTATGTTTACAATCCATAGGATAAGCGGGGGTCCCCTTGCTTCGTCCCTTACCAAGCGCCTGCCTCCAAGGCTCAAGGCTATGGGCACAAAGGGTTAAACTTCAGCCACTCGTGAATTTATCGCTGGTTCCACTGGTAGGTAGGTTCAAGGAGAATAGATACGATACAGCCGTTAACGTTATGTGACTTGGCCGTTTTCGCAATTGTATTCTGGAGTCATTCCGACCGAGACAAACCTAACTTCCTTCAACTCGTCTCAACTCAATTCAATTCGATCTTTCGTATCCAGTAGATCTTGCCGTGGTTCGTACTTTGTAACTAATTTCTAAACATTCACTAAATTGCCTATCGCCTCGCCCTGTACTGTACATATGCAACTCGTTACTCAAAACCGCCCAGGCACGTAGATCCAACGCGCGTGTGCGATTCTTGGCAGTTTGAACTATTCGGCATTTTGGTCCTTGACACAATCTGCAATCTGCAATCTGCACTGGCGAACGGGGAATATTAGCCTCGTGGGCGCTTGGAGCCAAGCTAATACTGTAGTAATAGAAAGTACCTTGGGAAGGGCAACCTGTCTGTCTGTATCACTCATCCGCATTAATAGTAAGTAAGGGACATCCCAATATAGATACCCAATGAATGATAGACATAGTTGAAATGTAGAGGCTGATCGCAAACATGTTCGGTCCTTTGCAGACTAGCATTTATGTATTTTCCGGTCCTAAAGAAGTCATTGGTATGTCAGAGACCCAGTCTTGATTCTTGAATAACTGCACTTCAGTAGCAACGCCATACCTACTTGATCATTTTCTTCCCTTTTCTCCGGACTAATCAGCTAATGGTAACCCGCTATTGTATACAAGCTGATTGATTGCTGTAGGTACTCCGTACTTATGCCTGACCCACTTCTAATCTGCCATTCCAATGGAATGCGCCATTTGATCCCTAAATTATGAAATTGCGTGTCGTGTCGTGTCGCTACTCCTTAATGCAGCTGTGTATGAGCCCTTCCCTCGAAGAGACAGCACTATGCAACGCGTCGCCGATCAAGTTTCAACCATGTTGAGACCTTCGGACCGACAAGGGTTAACTTGTTTCGTTTAAGTGCCTCAATTTTATTTTATTTTTATTCTTACTAGTATTTCTTTTTTAGGTATCGCGCTGAACAACCAAAATAGCATAGCTAATATAGGCACGGAGTTCCAAAAGTACCAGACATTATTTAACTCGTGTTAATTATGAACGGCCCGGGGAAATGCATTGCGGAAAGGAGGTGTCCCTGAACTTAAACGTGTACATGTATGTAGGTATCTTTCTAAATGAAGGCACAGTGGAGCGTTCAAAGTACCATTAATTAGCAGTAATACTAGATTGTTAATAGTAATAGTAAAATTAACATTATTATCGAAAGTAAGGCTATCAGGATCCTGTCCCACCACCGTGACCGTCTGGTCACAAATTCCAGCTTATAGGTGCGGTACTTCTTCATTCTAGAGGGGTAGGACAGCTTGACACCACTGACTCTCGATCCAAACCATTGGATGAGATGCTGTCTTTGTAAAATGGTCTGTTCTATCTACTCCATAAAGGGGGCTACAGATACCGTACAGCACGAAGTACGGAGTACAGAAAGGTCGCAGGCAACGAAAAGGGGGTGTGATAGAGTCAGTACGGACGCCTAGATGGGGCCGTAACTGGGCGTAGTGGCTTCGTATGCAGGTCGGCGCTATGCTATGGGGCACTACAGATTATCCATGCAGAGTTGAGTTCGTAGGATCTTGATGTGTACTCAGTTCCTTCGGAGCGAAAGGCTCGTACCCATGGCGACATGTCGGATGGCTTGGAAACTAGTAAGGACGCTGACACATGTTCCGATGCGTTCACCCGGTTTTCTTCTTACGGGGTCGGGGTCAAGCTACTAGCAGAGACCGCCTCAGGCCTGGGCTTCAGGGGCGGAAAGACATGAAAATGAAAGGTGGAGGATCGCTTTCCATCATCGGCCTGGTTACGGAGTGCATATGTTTCGCTTCTATTTTCAGTTTTCTTTTTTAAGGGAATTATTTTTGGGGGTTTCTTGCAGAATTACATATGTAGCTCTTGTTTGAGATGGTTTCAACTGCCGACTTTTTGCGCAAGTTAAGGCGCGCGCATAGCGCTGGGCGGGATTTAGATCGTCGGTCTGGAACCACTAAGTACTTACAGTATGGCCCCGAATTTTCTATCGGCGAGAACAGAGTGACAAAGTCACAGCAAGATTTGATTGAATTGCGAAGTGATGAATTTCTACTACATATAGTAGATAGTAGATGAGCGTCACATACAGACATTCCACCCCCTACAGTAATTGAAGTTATAACAATCTTGTAAGGTACTTTTTTTTGAAAGGGGATGATCATCCTCTTCTCCGCATATCGGGCGTCAGGCACATCATGGGATGAAACTTAATTCAACAAAGCCTCCGAATGATGCACTTCCATCGAAGGGGCGTTTTACCTACTGTACTGAGTACGGATAATCTCTGTATCAACCGTTGATTCGATTAGTGTTGAGTTGGTTTCTCCGCTTGCTGCAAGATCCCATCCAAGGGTAGAGAGAGACGTGATATAGATTCGTTGCTCCTTGCGTGTAGTGGATCGGGAGTACCCAGCACATTGGTTTGAACTTTGTTATAACAAATAATTCCCCTTTGCTTCTTGGTTGATTGGACTTGCATTGAACACATCTTTGGCGTTTGTCTTGGGTGTAGTTTGCAAGGGAGAATGTATTGTTCTATGAAGTGTATCATTTGGGAAATCGTTCGTTGTGTTGGTGCAGATTTTCGGATTCTTGCATCGATCTGATCTACCGCATGCAGGGTTGTTTGCAATGCAATGTTGCGAGACTTTTTCAAGGAACCGTTGCCATTGATTGCCACTGTATGATTTAATTTTCTGCATGATATAGATGACTTTTTCGGTGGGATTTGTTGATGGACTAAATGGACTAAATGGACACATAATAAAGTTGGTGCAGAACCTTGGAATCATGATATACCTACATGCATGTACATATCGAGGTTTATTCATCTCGTATGCATTTCAATATGCGGATTCTGGGAAATTGCATCGATACCTACACCGTTCCAACAGATCCCTGTCTAATACCTTAGTATCAGGCATATCACATCAGACATACCTAGGTACAGAGGAACCTTGTATAGTACTAGAAAGGCGATTAAATAAACAGGTATTGTACTGAGTACATCGGTGTCTCTTATTAACAACCGGAACCTTGGAAACCCTCTTCGTTTTTCCACGTATATACCTAGACAGCTCCACAATGTGAATAACGGTTATCCAGCAGGGCCGTTCCGGACATAGAAACCATGGTCAAGACCAACAAACTGAAACCCGAGTGAAAAACTCGGGTTTTTGGCAGGTATCTCGTCCGTACGTACCTACATACGTACACAGTAGTAATTGATTAAGCGGAAAGGGTTTTATTGCTGTTGTCTCCGCTCTGTTTTTTTGACGGCTTTTCACTCCACTTGTTTTGTGGTTTTGACATGAAAAACGGAGTGGCAAGCTCGGAAGAAGCGGGTACCGTACGCACAAACGCTGAGGTCGGGTTTCCGGCTTCTGCGGCGTACGTTCCGACTTGACGTACCACATACAGTAGCTAGAGAATGGCAGTGCCTTGATCTGAGAAGCTGGCCAAAATGAGTGATTAAGCTCCTCAAGCGATCGATATAAATAGACTCTATTTCAAACGGCTATATGATCGATCCTGTAAGTAATGTCCAAAAACTACCTCTTAGACTTGGGAATTTGTATCTATATTATGATGTTTGATTTTACTTCACTTACCCTCTTTCTTCCGATCGTATTGAACAATTCAACATCATTCCTTGACCGGTGAAAATTTTTTCTGTCTTGACGCCCCTCTGCGGAGTGTTTGCATGATGAAGTTTTTTTTGTTTCCTACACCGCGTACATAGTGGAAACCAACACCCCACCCCACGTTCAATCTTTCCAATTCGAGACTTCCTTAAATCCAGAGTGGTTCTGGGGTCGTGGACAAGGTGCATCAAGTTTGCATCACGTTTAAGCTAGCAGCAGCAAGTAATTTTGAAATCTTGGAAGTCGCCTCGACCAGGATTCATCCTTGTTGATCGGGTATGCAGTAGTTGCCTTCACGGCGATCGCTATCTACGGCCGACCACTTGCTTTTTCTGTATAACGGAGAGCCAACGGACACGAAAGTCAATTTTACACGTCAAAGTTGGTGGGAGCTATTGGCAAAACTTTTCGCGTGGACTCCACTGCGAATAAGAATGGTGCTAATTAGCAACGCGAATCCAATGGTCAAGACAATATGTCCCTTTTGGGCAAGGCCCCGGTTTACAGTGGATGGGGCTGGAGAGGCTCAACCATGGAATTAGGGTATTTTTGACCTCCCCTGTTCCCCGCCCCTTTTCTTTGCATATCTCGAATGTTTGATCAGTCGATACGGTATAGACCGATCTTTTAGAGGCTGTGATTGCTGGCTACAATGGCGTGTAGTAGGGGTAACCTTGAACTGTATGTTTAAGGGGTGCTTTTTTCTAAACTTGATTTCTCCCTGCTCCATGGCAAGACCAGCCCGATTAAAAGAGAAAGGTAATCGGAGCAGTAAGGCTATTCAGTACGCCGCTAGTCCTGTCATGGTTTAGAGTAAGAAACATAGTGGAGATTACCCGTCGTGTAATGAGCAGAGTATCCACTTCGGAAGTTTCTGTGTAGTACAGATTACTTAAATGCAAAAACCCTCGTCCGAAAAGGGATAAATTGACTGGAGATGTATGAAGTAATGAAGAGGGCTTAGTAGTGGAGTACCGCGAAATTTGGTTAGAGATATCGCGTTTTGTATCTTTCCCACGCAGACCTCCCCTGCATGTACAAGGATAACGCAGTAACAAGCTTGAATTCAAGGCCGCCCCATATACTTTCTATCTACGGTTTAGTGGCTCTGCGACCTCGGCTTGGACCAAATCTATGCCGTCATTGCCAGTTCGCGTCCCACAGTTGGAGCTTAGTGCTCCGTGGCAACTTTATGGCAGTAAACTGTCTATTCAATAAAAAATTGATGTTAAGAGGGACAGACATCGCTCAAAGATAATCATTTTCAGACATCTCCAATTATAGAATAATTTTGTGCTTACGACTCGCACAAATGATATTCTGACCAACACATGAATCAGCGGCTCGGCCATTGTCCGTAAACAAGGGGGCCTTGATTTTCATCTTGGCGCGAATCCCTGCTACCACTCCTACGCGTGCTGATTCGACCATCGCGTTAAGACTCGACATTGCGTTTATATTAATGCCGATCCGGATAATTTCCCCTCTTCGGTATCGATGAACTCCAAGAAATCTTAACTCTGGATGTCTTAGTCTTTCCAGCCTCTCTTTGTCACTTATTCGGGCTAGACCTGGGTTACCACGGCAGGATGATAGATTAACTGGCATCTATTCCGGATTCTAAGTTCACTAACTCGCGCCTGAGCCAAGGCACTATTCCTTCAGATCACAGCTTAAAGCACGCGATCAGATGTGATTCCGTGGCTTAATTTATACGCGTTCGATCGACAAGGTCGTGAGAATGGAACGCTAGTATATCGTATCCTATCTTGTGTGCTGAAGACTCACCGGCGACATCCTACCCAGTATGGCGGGGTGTTCGGATGCGAGCTCAGATCTCATGAGATCGTGGTCCAGCTCAGCCTGAAATGTGGATCAAGCAATTTAACTCCGATCAAGGCATTCCTTATACGAGGTGTCTCTGGAATTGAGTTCAACCCGCGCCGAACAGCGCCTCTCGTGCGATCAGTGACAGAACACAATGGGCATAACATATCGACTGGATTAAAGCGTTCATAGCATGCCAAATCCAAAGCTTAGTGCTTATCGAATGGGTGCTCGGTGGCGAGCTGGTGAGTCTTGGAGCAGCGTCCGAGCCCGGCTGACGGGGGGTTGAAGGATCACCCCGCAGCAACCGACACCAAATCAAATCTCCTCAATCCAGCTTTGTCCACGGCCACCATCGCTTCAACATCCCTGTCAATGTGACGACATAGCTCGGGTTTGAGCTAATACCTTGTACTCTATATTCTTTTTATCGGTGGATGACTAACCCCCCATGCAAGCGACTTCAATGGACACGACGCTCCGAGGTTTGTCTCTGTTTCTCCTGCAAGTCTCCAACGAACGGACCAATCACACTAGGAGGGTTATCCCGTCAGCTTGCTTATGCCTTGGCCAATTCCTGCTACCCGCCGATCTCTGGCAAGGAAGATCGGACGTGGGCTACCTGCAGTACAGTACCAAGTTATGGTCGGTCCTATCAGAGGGTTTGATCGACTCGACTACTCTAGAATCTGATACATAAGAAATGCATGGCCGAGGGTGATCAGCCACAGTCTGTCAATGCACGAATGGGGTTGCTTCTGACGTGGCAACCCCCCTCTCCTGTGGATAAGGTCGGCATACAATTGAAGCAACCCTAATATGGAACCATCAGGCCGGTCGCAAATAACACTACGGGATTGGTGGTTAGCCACACTTCTGGTGGTAGCTTTAAGCGTCCACCTGAGCATGTCGCATAAACTATTTGCATGATTGACAGTAGTCGCTGCCAAATTCCTTACTCCTGGCATGACAGGACGCCCCTCCGTCATATTGGCCAGCCAGCCCACAATAGCTTTCATATTAACACAGATACCCCTGTCGATATTATCGGCGCCCAATATATGGCTTTGTCGCCCAACTTGGAGTATCGGATTTGCGCTCAGGTATCCAATAGTGTCGCTGAATGGCCCTCCTAGTCTGAATGTCCGGCAGCGATGATGAACGACGCGGTGTTGAGATCCGCAAGCCCTCGGTATTCATAGAAGCTAATTCATATCAGTTCCGGACACTGTCTACCAACCAAATTATCTGGATTCCTGGTTCTGGCTTTTATCTCAAGTCTTCATGAACTACGGAAGGGTCCGCTACCTATCGATCTTGCCACATGTTAAGCCTACTGTTTTCTGGAATACAGGAATTAAACCGTTTTGAACGTACTAAGGACTAGAATTAGAATACCTGTATTGCGACTGCTGTTGCTCAAAATGTCAGTTAGTTTGAATGACTATCTATGTCTCGATATTGCGCGTAGACACAAGAACACGGTAACAATAATGCCATGCTTTCATTCCCTACAACGGTCATCAGTTCTAATAGTCGTAATAGATCTCATTAAAGTTGATTGAAAAGACTGTTATGCCTAGTTGTGATTTCGCCTCGCCAGTCTCTAATTCAGATATCCCGAAGATATGGCCATACCGGAAGCCATTGCATCGAAGACACCACATCTGGAAAATGGCACAGCTGCTCTAAGAGAATAGGAACATAAAATTGCTCTTTATTAGTCGACGAGTATCTGTCGTCTTTGACAAACATTCTGATATGCTTAAACAGTGACAGCAATATTTTTCAGGACCTCGTACCATTGGATGTTCTCCATATCATACGGAGCAAGAACCATTATAATGATACCACCAGTCGAAATTGCCCAAGCGTGAATAGGAAGGCTTTTTGTTCTTGCCTTCATCGAACGAGTTGGTGATATTTGGTCTGGAAGAATGAACTGAGATTTCCCCTAGGCTCAGTTATCAAATCGATCTGTTATGTTGTAGCAAAATGAACCAAGACCACTGAATCTTCTGTTGTCAATTGTCCACAGAAAATAAATTCAACGACTGAGTTGCTTTGGTTATTTAACCTACTCTCGAGGTCAAACCTTCAACAAGAGCCTTGCTGGGCTGAAAAGAAACGACAGCTGCTAGTGGCAAATGTGATTTCACCTACGAACGGAATGTTTGATGCGAATGATACTAGGGATACCATCTCTTCATAGTATAATCTATGACAGTATCAAGTCAATCTTCTTAATATACCCGTCCAAACTGTCTGCGGTTTTTCTAGAGGACAATTGCGTGAAGAAACTACGCCCAGCAAACTCAAATCCGGCTGACTTGAAGCAAAGAAGTAGTGATTGAGGACGGTCTGTGAGGTTAAAAGTGCAATGTGACACAGATGACATATACATTATGGAGGGTATCAGGAGAGACTCCCTCGGGTTGAGTATACCAAGACTTCGCTATGGGGCTATTAATTCACTGTATAGCTCTACATGTTTCTCTATAATTATTCAACAACGTTCACCTTTTTTATCACTGCATACCATATTGGAAGGATTCCTACTTTTGCACGAGACATCATAGTAGTATTAGAGTAACTACAGGTAAACATCATATATCTTATAAGAAATATAATTCCATGAATGCCCATCTGTAGCTGAAACCTCATAGCAAAGTTGGGCAAATATATCGATATACCACATGCAGGGCCGTAGGCATGTCAAACTTGAACTCAGCAATAGAATTCGAGTCAAAGTTAATAATCAGAGTCATCCAGAGAGACACAGACAATGCAAAGCGCAAACGGAGTCACAACTATCTTCAGAACAACCTTGACCCCTTCGAACACTACCAGTCCAGCGGCTCCAGCCATCACAAATGGAGCCAGAACAACCACCACAGCTGTTTTTGCCCCAACCTTCAATACCTTGATCAATTTTTTCTTCAGTCTTTGTCTTCTCTCATGTCGCTTATCTTGCATCTGTCGCACAGTCGCCGAGATAGGCTCACTTGCTGGTGGATGCGCCTCGGCATTGTTCCGTAGATGCGTCCAAGTGGATACGGAAGAGGAAGCTTGGATATGCCCCATATTTGCTGGATTAGGCGCAGTCGCTAATGGATGCGCCTCGGCATCGTTCTCTGGAGGCGTTGATGTGGATACGTAGGGGGGAGGTCGAACATACAGAATAGGATCTCGAGTGCGTTCAGCGTAGGTTGGAGGAGGGTTGTCTTGTTGATCTAGCATTTTCAAATTTTTATGCTGTCTTATTTTATTTTCTTCCCCCTTTCCCTTCTTTTTTGTGATAAATGGATGGATGTGATGAAAAAATATGGATAGCGTACAGAGGTGAGAAGATAGATCGAGGATTTATCCTCATATATATCTACTCAATAATTCATGAGACCAAAATATCCGTTTGGCCTTGCCATAGCCTTGTTAGCTGGTTTGTTGTTATAAAAGAAAATACTGAGGCTTAGACGTTTCGAGTCCTGAATTTTCATTGTCGCTTTGTCGACGCGCCGCTTTGTTGTCTTATAGACCGGCGTGTGAGCTATTTCAGGCCACTAGGCGCAAGAGATGATCTAAAGCATTAGATTGGTCTTCACGGTTGGGTAGGTACTTCAACTTTCAATAGGAAGCATGTTCTTTGTATACTAGGCTTGTTATAGGTGAATCATTTGCATCAGTTGGAGACAAAGAGTATAGTTGGGCTTTGGCGACACTTGTCATTGTTGCTTTGTGGAAAACATAGCCCTCTTAGGCTCAGACTAGAGCCTTTATTAAAATGTTGTATTTGATAAACTTGAAAGAACTTGATTAGGTCGCGAACTCATATATAGAGTTCATAATATTGGTGCTTGTATTTTATGAATATGATATTTTTGCGAATAAACTCCAGACAAAGGTGAAACAAAGAACTCCAGAGGTACAATAGATCTGGATATAAAGATAAATCATGCTAAGCCGTGATCATCTGATTTAAAATCTTCTGCCACAACCTTTCATCAATAGTATAGCAGGGCAGGTAATGATCAAGAGGGCAACCGTGCCTCCCTGCCCTACCACATGTTTTACCTTCGCAGCTCCAGCCTTCATCTTTGAAATGACTTTCTTCTTGAACTTTTTCTTTTTCTCTTGTTGGTGTTGCTGCTTAGATAGCCTTGCGATTATTTTCGAGATATCTGATTCTGAAAAGGTTTCGACGGGAAGTGGCCCGATAGGGTGTGGTAGGCAACGTGTTAGACTGTAGGAGAGACTGGTGAAACTGGAATTTCGGGTACTTTCAGTACTGGCTGATAGGTATTCTTGTGAGATTGCCATTTTGATTTGGGATGTTCAAATGTTGTTTTTGGATAAATGATAATGGGGAATGTTGTGGAGAGGATATGTGTGGTGGGTATCTTGAAGCGCTCACTGTGTGGGTTTCATGCTAATGTTTATCAAGTAATATATCACTTGTTAAATATGGCAGATCTTTGAATTTAGATATGGCTTAATCTCCTTGAATTTATATAGAGACTGAGTCTGAGATGTTCCGAGTTTATTGTTATTAATGTTTTCTTTCATGTATGTGGCTCTGCCCTTTGTTCAATGCTTTGTTATTAGACTATTACAAGTTATTCAGGGGTAGTAAACTAAACAGATAGCTCAAAAGTTCTAGACTATACTGAATACTTAGTCTAGCTTTCTTTGTTTAATTTTTTATTGAAGTTTATCTCCACCCAGGGCTGGATCGTAGGCGTTCCACATATCGATCTTTAATAGCTTATGAGGCTCACGGATTATACAGAGGCACTTCAGCGCCACAAGGGCTTCGCGTTAGTTGTATAATATCGGGTTTCAGTATGATTGGAGGCAAAATCGAAATATATCACGACATTCTCTTCGCCTAAGGTTTCCTTCCTAGACCATGCCCCTGGCTCACAAGTAGGCATCTGAAACGGCGTCCCACCACAGCCGTAACTGGAAACCTCTGCTGCGAGGCATCACTAAACTTCAGGGTAGCCTCTGTAAAGTTTCACCGATCTGGTAAGCACTTTGGTACGTCGGAAGGCTTTTCCTGGTCTGGGAGTTCAACGAAAGTCAATAACTTGTCAGTCGCGACCCTTTCCGGAGGTAACGATCGTCTCTTTCATAATCGTAGTAAGGTCTGCTTAACCTGAAATATAAGTTTTAAGAAAAAGAAGAATGTAAATGAACCTCAACAGCTACAAGCGGGGAAGGAACAGCAAGCAGCTACTTGATTTTTGTTGCGAATGGACGACTTCCGATAACCGAGGTTCCGTGACCCAGCATAATTGTTTTGTCTAATCTAAAAGCCGTTTTCCTTGGATTTAATGTTAGGCTTTCCCTCGCCAAGCGTGTGAAGTAATGGTTGTGAAGAGATTCCAGCAAATCCTGGACCGTAACAGCAGGGCCAATGTTGTCGTCGACAAAGCTTATGGCGGTCACTATGGCTGGCTTAGGTCTAGGTTTGGGCATTGGGATGATTCTGTTGGCCACTCAGCGCTATAAACTTGTATATAAGGTTATACTTATCCACAAGGAATTATAGTTAAGGTAAAAGCTTATCCATAAGGGATTATACAAATCCACGAGAGATTATAATAATCTATAGGAACTTGTGGTTTAGGCTATACTAACCCGATAACACTGGGATATGAGATGATAGATTGGAAGAGTAGGAAATGCCAGAGATGTGATCTATTGTACACTTTTGTTTCTGGCATATCCTTGTCCCGAAATAACAACACACACACACCTTCAAATAAGATGCCGCTGCGCTGCAATATACAATTGTTACCAGATAATATTACGCGTCGATTGGAGCAACCCGAAGGCTGGCCCCTATACTTGTACTAGTTGTAGCTTCAAGTTCATTGTTGGGTTGGGGTGAGAAGGGACGGGCGCGATCTCGAATTGGGCCCACGAATCACGTATATTGACGGATGTAAGGGCGATCATTATACGGATGCATTTGATTCGTAGATAAGTTCCGGTTTACAGTGGTATTTATTTACATTTTAGAATTAAAACCTATCGATTCAAGTTCTAGATTAATTTAGTTATAATTTTGGTTCTTTGGCAGTCCACGAGTTTCATCCATGGAAGTTTCCGTTCGGAGTTATTGATATATGCGACAGAATCCTGCATTACCAACTTATGAGTTTTTGCAGGTGATGCCTAGACACAGAGACATCATGATCGGATGGGCATGTATAGACATCCGAGGTCTAGAAAGTAGCACTAGAACCTAAAAGTCTTACAAACCCCTGGCAAAAAGGCAAAATCCCCACCTGGGCAGCTTCAACCCCAAAACATGTAGTTTGAAACCTAGTTCAGCGTCATGTGGTCAAGTGCATACTAGTAGTACTACGGAGTAAGCTATATATACTTAGGTTTGAAGCATGATTGATCCATGGAACAACATCATCAGCAAAGCATCCAATCATCTCGTATTCAAACATTCTATCTGAGACATTCACCACACCCGTAGACTTTGGGGTGTATCTCACTCAACCTGACACTGGCACTTTGACACCATGACCCTGACAACAGAAACATCATCCAGACCGGTTTCAATCGCAAGAGATCAAGGAAAAGGCGTCAAAGCTTCCAAGGTTCTTAGAAACTCCGTCTTCGCCCCGTCCGTCCCGGCCGGCATCTCTAGCCAACAGCCGCGATAAGAGCTAACGCCATGACCTAACACGTGGCTGCATGTGCGCAAGAGCCTCTTCTCTTCAACTCGAGCACAGCCTTCCACATCGCCGGGAGAGGAGTAAGTAAGACAGCCTCGAAAACGAGGAAAGGAAATAATCGTAAATCATAAACCTAAATCTAAATCATATTCATATATTTAATAAATTTAGAAAGAGAAAAAGAAAAAGAAAGACAAAAACTCAAAGCAGGTTTCTCCTTGCGGGGCTACTGTGCTCACTCCACCACAAGCCATCGGCAACCACGGTAGTCGGGAGCGAACAACTGGAGCTGAGATGAGAAAGCGGGGAGGGGCAGGGCAGAGCCACACAAACACAAGCTAGTCTGGGAAATACAGCCCCGATGACGCTGAGACAAAGCAGGGCTGAGCTTGTCCGAACCAACGGCTTTCGTAGACGCCTGCACGCCCTAGTCGTTAGTCAAAGGCGTCGCTCGGTTCAGGTGTCCAGTCCAACCGGTTTGTTCTTGTGAGGTCAACGTACGTATCCACCCGCCAAGCCCCAGATCGAAGCTGCCTTTACGGTAACGAAGTACCTTGCTATCATATCATATCATACATATCAGCTATCAGCTCAGACCAGGCAGCAAGGCAAAGCCACGCAGCTGATCATCCGCATGAAAGTACTGGCGGGACCCGTGGAAGGGGGAGATTGTAAAAAGTGCCTGAGCCTCCAATCGCTGTGCTTCCCAGTGACTTGGACATGGGCCAGCCAAGACCACAACTACTCCGTACTCCGTAGTAATCCTAACTTTTACTAGTTACTATTTACCAATAAATAGTAAGCTAAATTCAAATCCCGTTGGTGCGATGTGCTCGGACACTAGCAACGTATGTGCCTGTATAGGTAAGTGTGAGGCGTAATTCTTATTGGGTTGATCTTCTGTGCTTTTGAAGATTGCTTTCTTTTCGTTGGTGGGTTCCTTTCCCCTGTCGCTGCCCCCTTCTGCGTGTTCCTGTCGTGGGGCCGTTATTGCCATGCGATGCGATGCGTTGTCCTTGGGCTGCACCTGGATCAATGCGGTAGAGGCAGGTACATTAGAGGCTGATTAGCCTGTAGCTCTATAGTGTGGCCTTGAATGCCTCATGATTGCAGCAGCGGGATAGACATTAAAATTAAATAGAATACAATAACGCCATGCAAGTCCATATCGGGTATGTTTGATTCAAGACTAGTAAATGTGATCCCGATCTACGAGTGTGGCTATACTGTACTATTTCTGACCGGGGTTTAATTCTTTGAACATTGGTTTTCATTCAATTCTGATTTCGTCATACTTTGAGATTATTATTTGACAGATAATCATACTCATCATCCATTACGAAGATCGGGGCTAAAAGGCAATGTAGTGACTCCGGATGCGAAGTATCCGTTACTTGTAGATCGGATAACCTCGGATCACCGGATAGACTGAATAGCACATAATGTACCCGCGGGCACAATTGTATGCCAACACTATTTAATATAACCCTCTCTATCAGGTCTAGTGTATGAGTGATTTTCATATGTACAAGTTTTGACAGTTGA